AACCCAAACCCAAACCCAAACCCAAACCCAAACCCAAACCCAAACCCAAACCCAAACCCAAACCCAAACCCAAACCCAAACCCAAACCCAAACCCAAACCCAAACCCAAACCCAAACCCAAACCCAAACCCAAACCCAAACCCAAACCCAAACCCAAACCCAAACCCAAACCCAAACCCAAACCCAAACCCAAACCCAAACCCAAACCCAAACCCAAACCCAAACCCAAACCCCAAACCCAAACCCAAACCCAAACCCAAACCCAAACCCAAACCCAAACCCAAACCCAAACCCAAACCCAAACCCAAAACCCAAACCCAAACCCAAACCCAAACCCAAACCCAAACCCAAAACCCAAACCCAAACCCAAACCCAAACCCAAACCCAAACCCAAACCCAAACCCAAACCCAAAACCCAAACCCAAACCCAAAACCCAAACCCAAACCCAAACCCAAACCCAAACCCAAACCCAAACCCAAACCCAAACCCAAACCCAAACCCAAACCCAAACCCAAACCCAAACCCAAACCCAAACCCAAACCCAAACCCAAACCCAAACCCAAACCCAAACCCAAACCCAAACCCAAACCCAAACCCAAACCCAAACCCAAACCCAAACCCAAACCCAAACCCAAACCCAAACCCAAACCCAAACCCAAACCCAAACCCAAACCCAAACCCAAACCCAAACCCAAACCCAAACCCAAACCCAAACCCAAACCCAAACCCAAACCCAAACCCAAACCCAAACCCAAACCCAAACCCAAACCCAAACCCAAACCCAAACCCAAACCCAAACCCAAACCCAAACCCAAACCCAAACCCAAACCCAAACCCAAACCCAAACCCAAACCCAAACCCAAACCCAAACCCAAACCCAAACCCAAACCCAAACCCAAACCCAAACCCAAACCCAAACCCAAACCCAAACCCAAACCCAAACCCAAACCCAAACCCAAACCCAAACCCAAACCCAAACCCAAACCCAAACCCAAACCCAAACCCAAACCCAAACCCAAACCCAAACCCAAACCCAAACCCAAACCCAAACCCAAACCCAAACCCAAACCCAAACCCAAACCCAAACCCAAACCCAAACCCAAACCCAAACCCAAACCCAAACCCAAACCCAAACCCAAACCCAAACCCAAACCCAAACCCAAACCCAAACCCAAACCCAAACCCAAACCCAAACCCAAACCCAAACCCAAACCCAAACCCAAACCCAAACCCAAACCCAAACCCAAACCCAAACCCAAACCCAAACCCAAACCCAAACCCAAACCCAAACCCAAACCCAAACCCAAACCCAAACCCAAACCCAAACCCAAACCCAAACCCAAACCCAAACCCAAACCCAAACCCAAACCCAAACCCAAACCCAAACCCAAACCCAAACCCAAACCCAAACCCAAACCCAAACCCAAACCCAAACCCAAACCCAAACCCAAACCCAAACCCAAACCCAAACCCAAACCCAAACCCAAACCCAAACCCAAACCCAAACCCAAACCCAAACCCAAACCCAAACCCAAACCCAAACCCAAACCCAAACCCAAACCCAAACCCAAACCCAAACCCAAACCCAAACCCAAACCCAAACCCAAACCCAAACCCAAACCCAAACCCAAACCCAAACCCAAACCCAAACCCAAACCCAAACCCAAACCCAAACCCAAACCCAAACCCAAACCCAAACCCAAACCCAAACCCAAACCCAAACCCAAACCCAAACCCAAACCCAAACCCAAACCCAAACCCTCAAATCCCACCAACTATAGTTTCCTGTATTGAAATTTCGCGAAAATACATAATAATCAACATAAATTAAAGCATACATTAACAATTAAATATCTATAACCTTAATAATCATACAAGGCATCCAACACATCCCATGCGTCATCATCCCAAGGTTTTACTCCATATGAAAGAAGAGTATTTACATCCTGTATGTGCATTCCATATTGATACTCATCTGAATCATAATCGTCATCATCATAATCCATTTGATGTTGATAAGCTTGCCTTGCCCTTTCATAGTGAGCAAAACGAGGATCAACATGAGGAGGATTTGGTGGTTGTTGTTGTTGTACAGGAGAAGGTGGATGGTAGAACCAGCATGAATCTCCATATCTGCAGTATCCACGTTGCCAATATCTGCATACTGGACGATCATCATACGAATTGTTATTATTATTATCACAATTATTATTGTTATTATTATTATCGGAATTATCATCATCACTGTTGCTGCCCTCGTTGTTTAGATTCCGTAAGTGCTCTATAACATCAATATTGTTATTCCCACACCACCGAATAAAGTTTTCATAATCCCACCCGAAAGCAGCAAATGATTCAGCTTCCACCACATTATTAAAGGACTTGTAGATTGCGTTGGAGTAGCCAAAGACCTGATACTGGCACTCATTCCAATCCGTGAAGACTCCAGTCCTCCTGCCCTGATAAACGGCGTAGTATTTCATGTTCAATTTTTTCTTGGACGGAGCTGATTGTTTATGATTAAAAATCATCACCGGTTCAACAAGATCTACAGAACGGAGTATGATCATTTACTTCTTGGATTCCATTGATATACAGAACAAAGATCCTAATCTTCTTAGGTCAAAGTATTACCCTATATACAATTTCGACTTTAAGGTCTCCAACAACAAGCCTTGTTGCTTTAGGTCCGTTTCTGTAAAAAACCTATAAAAAAAATTCTGAAGAACATTTCTCACCCTTTGTTTCGTAGCTCATTTGCCTCATCATAGAACATCAACCCTTTCTTTCTCACGTTTTAGAGGTGTAGTTTTTGGTGAAGGTACACTTGGATCAGACTCTAACCTCTTGCTTGGGCAATCTTAGAGTCATCATTTATTTTCCAGTCATCATTATACAAGGAACACTTCGGTACGCTCTTTCCATACATTATCTTCCTTGTTGACAAAAGATGAAGTAACAACAAAAAGCCTTTCTTCTTACGGATCGGGAGGTAAAGGAAGTGATGATAAGCAACGTTCTCGATTAGAAGCACAACAGGCTGTAATTGGACTAAGATTTCATGAAGCCATCGTCAATTATGTTGTTCATCATCAACTTCCATTTTTAGGTTCTGAGTTTGAGGTGCGCAATGAAGAGGTTGCTGATATTTTACTCTCTTCTGGAGTAGCTGGACCAGAAAGGACCTATGTTCAAAATGGTCAGACTGTTTTTGTGTTTTCTGCAAAGGATTTCATTGGCTATGAAGTTGGAAAACGAATTCTAGAGGAGAGATTCGGTACCGAAGAATTGATGAAAAAGATTATTCAAGAAAAGATCTACTTGATCCTGAAATCTTTTGACTACGACATTGATTTGAAATCGATTGTTATGCTTAGACTCGTACAGTTAGACGGTACACGTTTGTCTACAATTGGTTGTTTCAAGCCACTAATCACCAACAATCCAAACCTAAAAGATCATATATTCAAGTGCAAACATTGTTTGGATCCAAACGGTTATGTAGAGTACTGCATTTCGAAAGGTGTTATAAAACCAAAGAAAGGTTTAAATGGAGAACAGTTGTTCTGGACACACTTTGCCGAAAAGAAGTGGGATTTACTTGATGGAGTTTTTATGATTCCATCTGATGCACACCATAACGACGTGTTTGGTATTAACAGAGTTGAAGGATCAACAGATATGATCATTCCAATGGGTTTACAGTGTAAAGCGCAAGCTGGAACTAAATTTGACCCACATTCATATTTTAGCTCCACTATCCCTGAACTATTTTATCTCGATAATTATGCACAACTGAAATCTGAGACCCTTTACAATTTAAATAGTTACCATATTGAAGAAACCAAGATTAACAATGAAAATCGTTTCGTGGTGAAGGATAATTCAAAAAACATAATAGATGATGCGAATGGCAAAAGCATGAAAGTTAATTCAAGTGCAAAATGGTATAATGACATCAGAAATGATGTTTTAGAAGTATTTAAATCATCAAAGATGATGCAGGTGTGTGTTGCACTTCACACACCTGAAACATTTCCAAAAGAGGTTGTAGAAAAATACCAGAAAAACTATTTGTGCTCCTTTATCGACAGGAACAACTATAACTTACTCTTCGATAATGAATGGGAGATATATTTAAATGTTAAGAACTTTTTCATCGCAACCAAACCAAAAATCATATCACAGTAAGTGAGGTGTGCTTCGGGTGGTCCTTTCTTGAAGAAAATTGGTGAATGTTTCGCAAGTAAAAATCAACTCATTGTGTCCTCTAAAGTGTATTAACTGTCATTGATCTCTTGAAATAACTCCTATCGTCATATCGATGGATAAGTATAAAAAAAAATCAAACCCTTATGGATAATTTCGATATTTTGAGCAGGAAGAGGAGGAGCTTTTCTTCTGAACGACTGAACGACGGTTGCTGCTGAGTGTAAGCACTACAATTATTGGAGTGAGAGCCATCATTACTTTCCGTGTCATCAGTTCGTACTGGCCGAGAAGAGTTTTGGATAGTGCTGTTGTTGTTGATTTGAGGTGGAGGTTTTGATGCAAAGATACCTGACTGAGAAATCATTTGGGCCAATTGCATGACTTGAGGAGAACTATTTCCAACAACCTTGTTCACACCATCACCAACACTGAAATTTGATTTAGCATATGGCATTACTTCTTGTCGTTGGTTGTTAATATGACTCTCGTCTGTTGTAAATGATGCTGGCTTTCTGGATATTGACGAGGATTGTGGTTTTTGAAAAGGTTGTACTGAAGTTTGAGGTTTTGATGCCTGCTGTATTTCATGACATGAAGAGGTCGTTGATGATGCTGCTGTTGAAGAACCTTTCGAGAATTGTGAAGGTGGTAGAGGTCTTTTAGTGACAACATTTGTCGCTGGGTGGTGACTCTCTTCTTCATGCTCTCGATGATTTGTAATGTTGTTGTTTCGGAATTGGCTTTCAGAGTAGATCGGGGCCTTTTTCAAGGAATTGGTTTGAGGCACCTTTAGAGGGTTTTGCCACGAGTTTGAATTTGTGGAAGGAGTTGGTGGAGACACCTTACAAGGTTTGTCAATATGACTAAAGTGAATGGCATCACTGGAAGGTTGAGTTTCTTGACTATACTCGTGTTGTGGGGTTATTGAACTTACATGCACACTTCTTTGTCGAGATGTGGATTGTTGAAAATTTCTTGACTGAGGCACTGGTGGTTTACATGAAACTGATGCATTGTTTTTTGGATTCGCCTTGTCCGGACACATTGAGGCATGATGGGCAACCACATTCTCCTCTTCATACTCTTGAGGAGATTGAACATAATCCTTTCTTTGTGAATGAGATTGGATGACAGGTTTTGAGGCAGATATATTTGGAGTTGAAGGAGAAGCTTTTGCTGGCTTCTGAATATGTTGATAGGATTCTTCTTCCACAATGGGAGGCTCTTCTTCGTAATCTTCATTCCCATGAGGTGAAGAGAAGTGAGAGTTTGGTAGTGTTCGGGAGGCAGAAGTGCACTCTTGTTCATTTTCTTCTTCTTCATAGTTGTGTCGTTCATCATTTTGAGTAAATTGAGATGTTTCCTGTAGTTGAGAGTTTAAGATCAGTGTTGTCACAACAGATGGTTGTTGTTGAGGTTTTTCAAAAGTCGTTTGTTTCGTTTGAGGTTGGGACAATACAGGAGGTGCATTGGAAAATTGTTTTGGTTGTTGATAAGGTTTCTGCTGTGAGGGAGGAGTATTATATTCAACTTCATTGGTCGAGTGGTACGGGTCTGAATTTTCAACTCGACCTTGTGGTTTGTCCACTAGACGAGAATTGACTTTCCTTTGTTTCAAATCAAACACTGGAAGTTGGGGTGGCTCATTAATAGAAGGTGAAGCCAAGGATGACGTTTGACTTGTTGTTGCTGCTGACGATGAAGAATTTGAATTGTTGCTTTCACTACTTCTATCCATGACTTCGTTTTGTTGATACCAACTCTTGTTAGGAACCGGAGGTGCTTGTTTTGGTTTGAAACCATTATTATTGTTAGAGCTGCCAGTAGTTGCAGTACTTTTTCCATTATTAAAAGAATGATTGTTTGAATTTGTGCTGCTACTACTACTTTTCAATGATGATAAAGATGATGAGGATGAATAGGCATTAGGGATCTGTTGCTGATGATCGTTCGAGCTGCTCGTCTGATTATGATGAATATATTGATAGGAGCACATGAAATTGGAATCTCGTTCCAAACTTTGAATACTTTCTCCACTTCCTGTACTGGTACTTGTAGATGAAGTACTAGTGGTGTTGATGATGATAGCATAGAGGCCTTCCTTTCTCTGCTTTCTCAACTCTCTTCCATATTCCTTAATAGAATCGGAATTTGTTTTGCCTCTTTCCACCACTTTTTGTAAAGCTTCTTTCAAGTGATAAGTCAAAGTATATCCTTCAGCATAGTAGTGATACATGCTTTTAAAGAGTCGATTCATTAATTTGCAATGTTGCATTTGTTTGGCTAAATTGTATCCCTCAATTTCCTTTTGCGTTAACTGTGCTTTCTTTGCATCCACATGAAAATTCAAGACCACAGGTGCATCCTCAATGAAATTTTGATCAATATTCGTCATGACGGCTATTTGGAGAGTGGATATGGATTTTAATCCTTCTCCTAACTTTAATAAAGCTTCTCCAACTGTAAAGAGTTGACATGATGATGAATAAAAAGACATGAATATATCATGTCTTCACTCTTTGAACCCAACACTTACATTCATCATCAAATTCCAATCCACTTTCTTTAATAAAATCACCCCATTCTATTTGAAGATCGGAACTTTGACTCAGCTTTTCAATATAACTCTTCATTCCTTTGACAGCAAAATCAACCGCTTTGGCAGTCGTTTGAACGTTTTGGTCACTCATAGATGTAGTGTTTGTCTAGGTGGCGTTGAGTTTTTCAGTGAGAGCTCAGTTGAGTTGTTTTTTCTGGGTAACAGAAAGCACCTCCACTACATGAAAAGATCAAATAGATCAATGGATCTGCCAATTCATGAACTGGAAGTTATTTCCGCTGATCACACCGTCCAACAGCATCGGATAGGTTCGATTATGAAGATATGCATCGATTCCATTATTTCTTAATCATTATGTTAATTGCATTTCTATGCATTACTGTCCTGAACTAGGTGAAGATTACAGAAACGGGTTGGTTCGCACCTAAATTCATTCCTTCAGTCATCTTGAAGAGGAAAAGAAGAGGATTTGTTGTTACAAATTTACAGGTGAACATTTTAATTGTTTAATACAGAGGGTTCCACAACAGAACATTTGGACCTTAACCACCAAGTCCCTGAACCTGTTACATGACTGGATTAACAGGACTCTGAAATCCATTCAAAGGATCTTCCTTTGCAGTTAACACTTTACAAAATATTGAAATGGTTGATTTCTTTTCTCCCAATTTCTCATCGGAATGATCAATGACACTAGTGTTCTCATCAACGTCCTCAATAATGCTTGTCAATTTACTGTCTGGCTCTTGATCTTCATCCAAAGCAAATACGACATACTTAAACTTGTTTCTGAAGGCCTCAAAATTCAGAACATCCAGAAATAAATTTGAAATATGAAAAGCAGGATTGGAATGGCTATTCTCACATCCAAAAGCTCCAATCACCAATGAGTCATGTCCTTTTGATAATGCAATTGAAAAGTAGGATGCAATTTTCTTTCTCATTGATGCTGCCAACTTGCTTGGAAGAAAATTCTCAAAAGAAGAAACGCTATGATCACCAGGATGCTGCGAACTGTTGGCTATCCCAGAAGATGCATGATTGTGTGGCAACAAGAGTTGCTTTCTTTCTGTTGGTGGGTTTATATAGGGAGAGGTCACAAAGAACGATGTACTGGTTGGTTTGGAAAGGAAAGCATATCCTTCACTTTTCGATTTTCTAATAACCAAGCAATTTGGAACATAAATTCCTCCAAATTCTGGAATTGGATAACGCCATCCTCTTGTTTCATCTAAATGATATGGATCAGCAAGACACAAGCTTAATGAGGTTCTCCTGCAAAGATCGTCTTCTTGTGTATTTCCTCCTTTCGAATAAGTCCCTCCTGGAACACTTTGATGACCACTCACTAATACTAATGGATGAAGTTTGTGTTTTTTCATTTCCAATGCAGTGTTCAATAAATCATTGTTGACCACTTGAATAATGGTAGAGTCAGCGGATTGATTGGTTGAAGGATGACTTGTTGTGCTGTCACCAGAATGAGTGTAATGATGGTGAACACCATAATGTTGATGCGGTAATCTTTTGAGGGAAGCAACTCTCTGTACAGCGTCCAATTCACTGCAATCACAATATTCTGTGGATTTACAAATCTTTTTGATTCCATTAAAATCCAAATGGACGGTAATTGTAGGAATTACTTTTTCCTGAACTCCCTCATCAAAGAAAAATGTTTCTTCTTCTTCTTCGTTCGATGTAGAAGACTTTTTGGATTGCTGCTTTTGAGGATGTTTGTTAGGGTTTGTTTTTTTTAGCTTTAAATTGCGTTCGTTCAATTCAATAATCTCATCAAGAGGTGGCCTTTCTTCTTCTTTCATAATTTCGAATCCTTCAAATGTGCTGTCATCATTATTTACTAATTCATCTTCGTCACTCAATTCACAAAGTTCCTCTTGTTTTGGGTTTTTGTTCTTTTTTTTCTTTTTCTTCTTTTTTGTTTCTGGCTCCTCTTCAACCTCTGCACTCACTTCTAGCTTCTTTCGAGGTACATAGGGTTTTCTTATGAAAACTCTTTCGTGAATGGGAATTTCATGCGTTTGATCATGAGATTGCTCTTTGACCACATTTGTGTCTTCAAGAAAATATTTTCCTCTCAGAAGGGTTTGTAAAGTTCCCATTTGTATCAATTTTCGAAGATCTTGCTTGACAAATTTCTCATTCACATCCTTGTATTTGTATTCATAATAATAGTATTTCCAATCATCAGGATTAAATAATCGCTTGTTCAATCTTAAAGCCAAATCATCAGTCGCTTCTCGCGAAAGAAAATATTTGAAAATTTGCTCGTAATCACTCCGAAGAAAAAAAGTGACGTGGTGGTTTTAAATTACTCGTACGTGTGGAGAAGGCAATTTGGAGAGGCTGAGCATGTTGAGAGGTGGTATTGCTGTTTGAAGTTGGGAGAGTCTTGTTTCGAAACTTTTTTCCAGCCATTTTTTTTGATCTTATTCAGCGACACACGAGCGAACAAGAGTTGCACCAAAATGGAATGACTATTTACATGTCAATGTTTTATTATTGCTTGGTATCTTCATTCATGGGTTGTGTTGATTGTGATTGGGATTGTTGTGGATGTAGTGGAGGCTGTTGTTGGAATTGTGGAGGTGGCATGGTATAAATTCTGACTGGGTAAGGCATGTTTCCAACTTGAGGTGGCATCACAAAAGGTTGATGTGGAATGAATGTTGTAGTGGTGGTGTTTGGCATCGCGACAGGATAAAATACTGGTTGTGGATAATTCATGTGAGCAGTTGGAGTAGTTTGTTGTGGTTGTTGTGCCTCATGATGTTGCTCTTCATGTTGTGTGCTGCCATGTTGCTGCTCGAGAGAGTTGGCAGAAACAAGTGGAACAGCATCCATGTTTGAACTTGCGAGTGGAATCATTTGCAATTCTTGAGGATTCACACTTCTCTCCAAAGCAATCACTCTTTGAGTCAATCTGTTAATTCTTCTTGCTTGAACAATGACAGTGATGATCAAAATGAGGGAAACAATTGGGAACAAGACGAAAATCGGAATCATGGAATCGGAATTGTCACGATAATAAACAGACGGAGTTGGAGATGGACAAATCGTGCATGGATCTTGAGAAGCTTCCAAACTAACAGTCATGGAATAAACATTGGCATAATAGGTGTCAGCATTTCTCACTCCAATATAAACATAGGTTCCATAACTCTTGCTTGGCTTGATGAGATCACTCGAATAGGTGCTGAAATAGGCAAACTGATCATAGATGTTTTGAGTGGGAGAATAGGTTTCTCTCGTGTAAATTTCTACCCTATTGGAAGTGCCTGATTTGTAGTACGAGATCTTTAGCTTCATGTGGGATGGCACATAAATGTAATAGTAATGCCAAGAGTAAGCTGGAATGTTTTTAGCCAAAACTTTCTGTCCATTATATAAATAAGTGACGGTTGAATTGGCTTGAATTAAAGAAACACTGGATTGTGGTGCTTGAGGTGCCGATGATGAAGAAACCGCTCTTGCTCCGGCTGGGATTCCCAAAGCAGAGATCTCAATTTCAGAGAATACTGGTTCCTTCTCTGTGGTTGAGGTGGTAGCAGCGACAACAACCATCATCATCATCATCATCATGGCCATCAGGACAAGGAAAGGAAGCAAATAATGGCGGCCCATCGAGGTGAACACGTTTCGCTTCATCATCTTGTACTGGAGAAGAAACGTTGTTTTTTTTTGTTATGTTTTGATTCTGTTTGGAACTTGGGGGTTTTGGAAGCTGTCGGGGATGGGATCTCAATTAGAAAGAACTTCGATGGATTCAACTTCACGAGATATTTGATAAATGATAACTGTGAGGAAACTTTCAAAAAAGTCTCTGTCATGATCAACTTTGAAGCTTAAATCAGAAAGGCATTGATTGATATCAAAGTCAAACATATTCAGATAACGAAAGAATCTATTGAAAAAAATCTAATTAGTTTATTGTTAGCACCATTGGTGCTGGTAAATCCGTGAGGATTGGGGATTGTTTTTGAAATGGTTTTTTGAATCTTGAGTTAGATCTATTGAAAAAAATGACAAAAACAAGGGGGAAGGCTGTTTCATCAAAGGAGGAAAACAAGAACAACAACAAACGAAAACGCAAAGTAAAAAAGGTTGTTGAAGAGGAGAATGATGATGATGAACTTGGCCCACCTTCGGAAGAGGAGCAAGCAGAGGAAGAGGATTTGGATTATCAAGAAGAAGAGAAACCTGTCGCAAAGAAAAAGAAATCATCCGCCAAGCAAACAAAATCGGAAAGTGCTAGTGCTCATAATACAACGACCTCATCGAGTAAGAAAATAACAAAAATACTTCCCTTCAAATTAAAAACAGGATTTAACAAGGGAAAACGCAAAAAGTCTTTCCGTCAAATTATATCGAAACAAGATCAAACAGCCTCTAATGATGAAACATCGGAAGAAAATTTTGAATTATCTGCAACGAGTGAGGAATCGGCTGTACCTACTTTAAATTATAATTTTATTGCAGCAGGCAATTATTCCATGACGTCCCGAAGGAAATATTGTGACATCACTGGTCTTCTCTGTAAATACACAAATCCTCACAACAAAATTCAGTATCATTCCTCGTGTTTAACTCCTCTCATTCAAAACTTATCGGAACAAAAAATAGAGCAGTACTTGTCACTAAGAAACAACATTTAGCAAGTCGTAGTCGAAAAATACAAAGTAACCCAACAGCAACAGATTTATATGAAATTGAAATATTTCAAATTATTTATTATTATTATTTTTCGTTCGTCGATTATACACCACTGTTTTACACAAGGGTGGAATTGACGTCACGATTGTACAATTGGAACAAATCATCAAGATTCACTATTTGTCTGGCATTTCGTTGGAGATATTTCTTAACATGAGCATGTATCTTATTCAATTCTTCAATATCCGCTTTTTGCATTTCCTGTACAACTGCCTTCAATTTCTCCAACGAAGAATATTGTTCCTTTTCAATTTTCTTAAATGTAGCCTTCACACTTCCATTCCAGTCAAACATTCGAGCCAAATATCGCAATCGGATTTGCAAATCTTGTGAGGAAAAGGATTGCTTCACCGAAACCACAGCACCGTTAAAGACACCATAACCACCAGGTTGCATTGAAACTACATGAGTGCTTGCATCAGAAATGTTGGCTCTATAATTACTGGCTGAAGGTTTCAATTCGTTGGCATAGTATGTTCTCTGCAATTTTCGAATATTGAGTTGTGTCGTATTGATCAACTTGCTTGTGGAGAGTTTAGCTTGGCAATGAGGACAATTCAATAAATTAATGGTTTGTAAACTAATATCCATATTCGAATGACTTTGTATCGTGTTTCGTAAAGTTTCGACTAAATCCATCTTGACTGTGTTGGAGCAAGCATCACATACATAGGATTGAGGCAAATCGATACCATCAAATTCTGTTTCATTATCTTCATCTTGTTTTGAAAGTATCTTGTATTCATCCATATTGTCGTCATCCCCAGTACTAGAAACTCTGTAATACTTCTTTTCCAATCCTAGGCATTCTGCTAACATGGCATTATCTGTTTGTTGCAAATATTCACAAAGACGAGAAACAGGTGGAAAAACTTGTTGTGCCAAATACCACTCATAGTCAATATCCATGGTACCCTTCTTTTGTTCTTCTATAAAGACATCTGGAAGAACTGCTCTTTCAGCAACTTTTGAGGACGATGATCCATCTTTCTTTACAGTAATGACATATGGAATACGTTGATGAAGTCTGACAGCTTGTCCATTTCTTCTCATTTCTAATGCGACTTGAACATGAGGATGATTGATAGCATCAGTATATTGTTCAGGCTCTTTTGTTAGGGCCTTTGTTAAAATATATTGATCAAGAGGAACTCTGTTATTTCTCACGTCATCTGCAATTTCTCTCAAATGAGTATGAATATTGGCAACAATTTCTTCTGGAGTTGGTTGATTTTGAGAGTCAGCAGGTTCATTTGGTCTTAAAATTTGATCCACAATGTATTGAGAGACATTACGGGACAAGTCACACCAATCTCTTCTGACCATGTCCAAACCTTTGAGCTCGAGTTTTTGAATAATTTTACCATCCTTATTCTTGCTGTGAATAATTGCTCCGTATTTCTTCTTTCTCAACAAGAGCATTCTTCTGAATAATCCATCAATATCAATTTCGAGCTTACCCTTTCCTTTTCTGAATGAGTCGTTGATTTGCTTTTTAATTTCTTCACCCTTAGCCAATGCATCATCATAATTTGTTGTGTCTGATGCAATCATCACAGAGTCTGTATCGCCATAAATCACACTATATCTCAGAGTGTTCTCAATCAATTGTTTGGTTTGTGTTAAAATATTTCTTCCTTCAGTAGTGATGGCCTCAGCCATTGGTTTGCAATAGAATCTACTGAATACAAATCCCAAACAACCATAGGTAGAGTTAGCTGTGAGTTTCAAGGCACGTTGTCTCATGTCGAGCTGCCATTTCTGAACCCCATTGGCTTGTTCCATTTGTCGTTGTGCTTGCTTTCTTCGTGACAACAAACTCTGAATGACTTGAGGAAGGACAGTCTTGTCGTTCTTGTGAGCTTCCTTCTCTTCGTCCGAATAGAGGAAATTGGAAAAGCAAATATTCTTTTCAAGAATAATGGATGGATACAGAGAGTTGAAATCGAGCAGGAGAACATAATTATGATGGAAACCAGATTTTGGATCGAGAACAAGACCTCCCGAATACTTGGCTCTTTTTCCTCTCGATTTTTGTCCAAAAGCTCTTGACTTGTCTGGCAAAATATACTTTTGTTTGTGGAATTCGTGAAGAAGCAAATATTCAATACGCTCACTTCTTGATCCTATTAATGTTCGATTCCACAAATTTCCTGCAGCATTGGTCAACTCTTTAGAGAGAGGGATTAAACTTAATTTTTCAACCAAGTCCATTGAAACTTGAGCATCGTGTTCAACAAAGGCACAAAAGTTATTGAGACCTTCAGGACTAGAGAAATATTTGGAGGTTACTGCTACATTACCATCATAGAGAGGATTACGAATCTCCTTATCCAATGGTGTCTCACCCAATTGGGAAATTCTTAAATCCTCCAAAGAGTATGACTTTTCTCTCAAATATTCCTTAACGGCAATATATGTGTCACAAATAATTCTTCCAATTAACACGTCTTTTTCTGACTTGGTAGATTCATTCATACCACCTGGTGCATGTTGAAGCATGGGAAAAACAGATAACCGGAGTCTACCCAAACGAGACCACAAACTTCCTTCTGTTCCTCTCAATGATTTCCATCGTTGCAATAAAATGTCAAGTTCAAAACTCAAGAAACTATGTCCAATGAACATGTCTGGATCGTATTGTTGAATTTGAGCAAAGACGCGGTTGATGAGAGAGGTTTCATTGAGTTCGAGCAAGACGTTGTCTGAGTCTACGGATGAGTCATCAATTTTACGAGCAATGATGAATTTCTTCCTGCCACTTGATTGTCCTGAGAAGGAATATTCTTGTAAAATACCACACACTGCCGCTATCTCATTAGAATTCTTCTCCTCATTGAAAACTGTTTTGACTTTAAGGGACATGAGAACAATAGGTGGTGGAACTCTGTCAGAATTTGCACTGACTTTCACATGAGAGGCCTCATTGATGGTGACTTCATGCTTGCACCAACTTAGTTGTCCTGAGGTCTTGACGGTGAAATTATCAATGGTCAGCCATGAAGGACCCATTAACTTCCTCTTCAAAATAAATTCTTCCAAACCACCTGTCGATGCATGGAAAACCTTACTAAACATCTTGGATCCTCTAAATTCTTGAAGATGCGACTTGAAATTCTTAATGTTCCAAATTACAACTTTGACCATCGCCAAACTCTTATTGTATGGCACCTCAGGATCTTCAAAAATGTACTTTCTCTCTTTAAATTTGAATCCAAACTTGTCACCAGATATCTTTAACACTTCACACAGTTCTTCGTGAATCTTGGTTTCAAGGTCTGAAGTCACATTATTCATATCAATAGGTTCTCGTGGAAGGAAGTAAATTGTTTTTTGTACTTGTTCCAATCTCACACAACAACTGACAAAGTTATTTGGTATCGTCTCTACTTTACCAAACAACACAATTCTTCCTTCCATTTCAGTGGCATCCATAAAGTAAAATTCAAACCGACTCTTTCCTTCCAAAGAAAATCCACTTGAACTGTTGTTTAGAAATTGCTGTTGTGGATCAATGAATGGAATTTTACTCTTAAAGTCATCAGGGAGCACCGAAATAATTTTAACATCTCTAGTTCCCGATGATGACCTGGAAAATAATTTGTTTCTTTTTTGTTGAGGAGAAAATGAGGAGGAATTATTGGTTTCAATATCATCATCGCTCATGTCTTGATGATGAGAAGATGATGACACAATTGCATGATGATGACCCTCGTCATCACTTTCACTGTCGCTTTCGTAGGAGCTTCTTTTCATATTTTTTTTGATTTTGAAAAGTTGGCGCTTTCTGTTTTGGCGGCTTTTTTTTTTGAAATTAACGGTTTTCATTGTGTGTTCAGAAAGGGAAATTGAGATTATCAGATTCACTGGTTTATTACCACTCAATAGAATCAAACCAATATTATAGCAGAGCAGTGAATCATTCATATCGAGCCTCGTACGAGATCAGAACAAGCTTATTACTCATTGTACTTTGGATGATCATGAAGTAACGGTTGTATCTGGGTCATAACCCTAATAAAGTTATTTACAAAATTATAGAATTACCAAGTAATGGTTCTCTCAAAAATGATACAAATCGAGCAAACATCCAGCAAATTGATGGAAAATGTCAACTCATATCAAGCAATATTCACGAAAAATTGGTTCTCATTATTCGTTATTTGTTAATGGCATATCACTTAAGCACTCGTAGTGCCTCACACATAATTCACCATATTTAACTCTTCCTTGGTTATTTTACCGAGCTTTCTACCAGAATGTGATTGCTTGAAACAGAACATGAGAGGCAAACCACAGAGTGCATATTTCTTCTCGAACACTCGTGGATTTAATTCTGAATCTGAGGCGTTGAGCAGTCGAGCGCGTTGCACTGAATAATTTCCTAACTTGTTGCATTGGAGAATGATTCTATCAAGCATCGAATAAACATTTGGGATTGAAACAAAACCAGCATGAATAATCTCTGTGACTACTGAGAAGGGCAAAAATACACGATCAATGCTGTATCCAAAGTATATACTTCCAACACAATCCTTATCTGCCTTGGACATGTTTGATGCTGTGTGATCATTGATATCGAGAGTAAAATAAAGGTGTTCAATTTCATCCTTCATTGACCAGAACATGATTGGTTCTTCACGCTCCAAAATACTCCACGACATTCTGCTCGATAATTTTTGAAAGAGATTTTCCAATGGATAATAACCTCGACAAATAAATAGTCTCTTATCTGTCACCACATAGGTCAATAATAATTTGCAATAAACCAACTTGTACATTAGCACATAGAATAAAATAAATAAGTAACATGCAATAATTGCAAAATAGAGAAAATTCAACAGTAGAGTAAATGTGAGGGTCATATTCTCGTTTTCTTCCATCCATTCTGAGAGAAAATTCAATGGCAAGTAACAAATAAGACTCGTCACAAGTGCACCAAACACAAACAAAATTAAAACATTCTTCCTAAATGATGGTGCAGGTTTTTCAATATGCATGACGTTCTCATCATGATCAAGTGTAATTCCCGATGGCAATGCATGATGGTGATGTTTTCCAAGAAGGCCTTTTCTTTCTATTTTGACATTACTAATAGTATTGTTAATTGAACTTTCTTCATCCTCCTCTCCTTCGGATGGTACAAAAGGAGGTTCTTCATCATTTTCTTGAGCACTGCTTATATTACCATTTGCGAATTGATCCTCCAAATGATTGCTATCTACGTTCTGATGATTATCGGGAGAGTAATAAATTTGCTGATTCTGTGGTCTTAGCATGTGCATAAATGAATTTGAAAAGCCTTTGTGTAATTGTTGTTGTGGATGATCATGATCTGTTTGTGTTTGTTGTGGTCGTAACAATGAATGTTCATCATTATCATCATGTTCATTACTATCATCATCACGGTGATGATGATTCGGATTAACCAACAGATTAAAATTACGAGCCAAATCATTGATCCATTGTGTGCTCCGCATCTGATGATTAACCCACGAGGAGAATACTTTTAAACTTCCTCTTGGTGAGGCTATTGCTTGATGAGTGGTGGTTGCACCAACCATATTGGCTATTCTCAAACTGCTACTACCGTTTAAAGTGGCACTATTTCCCAGTGGGTGTGGTGTTGTGCTTGCTACACCGTTGATCGTCGGCTTTTCATCAACACGATGACTCGTTGAATGACCTTGTGGTTGTTCTTCATCGGAAGTCATGAGAGGAGCTGAGGATGTGGTTTGCGCTTGTGGTTGTTTAATTGTTGCGTGATGATTCAAAGCACTCAATGATGATCGGTTTTGTTTTTTCAGCGTCGGCATTGCAAGAAATTCGCTTTTTTAGAATATTCGTTGTTTGCGTGGTAGAATCCTAAATTCGATTTTTTTTGACTGTCATGCAGTATGAGATATCACATAGAGACATCATCAGAACGTTTTAGGATCCTTGTCATCACCCATAAGGCAAGGACTTTATTTATCAGACGTTTTTTTGTAGATAACATCTCCACATGCCAACAATCATCACGTGACGTAAAAATAAAAGTTTGATCGACTCCAGAAGTCAAGGATGGGTCATGGTTGACCAAAAAATGATTTCACATCATCATCAGGATGCAGGAACGGAAGCAGCTCAGCCCACAACACCCAAAGGCACCACTAATCGTTTTCTCCTTGCCTTTCTAGTTGTTTCCGTTATTTTTAATTTAATCATGTTACTCTCGTGGTCATCCACTCGTCACGGAGGATCATCATTCTCACACGGACGAGAGTCTTTTCATTCATCATCATCCAATCCAATTATTTACAAACAATGTCCCTATTTGGGTGATTATGATAATTTTGTAGCGAACAAATTTCAATCCAAGGATAAGAGTGAAATGTGGAATATTTTACAATTTATTGTTTCACAGGAAGCAATGAATGATTATTTGAGAAATTCAGAGAATAGAGATATCATTAATTTTGGAGTTCCTCATCTTGTCACTGCCACATCACATGATTATTTTGATCGATTGGAAAATTTTGTTGGCTCCGTCCATCGATTGTATGAAAACAAAGTCAATGCTCTGCAAATTAATCCTCAAGTGACATCACCTCCTGGGCATCCCAATGATGAAAAAATTACAAAAATTGGACAAACTTTTAAATCTCATTTGCGATCGAATTATTGGCTTGTTTGGAACAGTGTGGTCACTCCAGAAAATCGACCCATTTTGGTCTATGATTTGGGACTCACCAAAGAACAACGTGAAAAGGTCTATTCGTGGAAAAATGTTCAACTCATTTCTCTCAACTTTGATCTATTACCAAAACATTTCAGGGATTTGAAAACTTTTGCATGGAAACCACTCGTCATGTATTTGGCACTTCAAAAATTTCCTTCTATTATTTTCCTTGATAGTGGCGTCGAGTTGTGGAATCGACTCGATCGAATTGAGGACATTCTCTTCACGAAAGGTTATTTCCATGTCGTACAAGAAGGTTTAACCACTGCATGGCGATGTTGTGGAGCCATTGGTGAATTAACACATCAATCGACATTTAATTATTTGGGACTGAAACGTGAAGAATATGGTCAAAAGGAAATGTGTAGTGGTGGCATTCAAGGTTACATTCGAGATTCGTATTCCTATCAAAATGTGTTGATTCCAACCTTGGAATGTGCATGGGACGTGAATTGTATTGCTCCTCCTGGATCAAGTCTTGCCAATCATCGACAAGATCAATCCGTCTTTTCACTCATGATACACAAAGCTGGAATTACCTGTGAAAAAGACATTCGATTGTGGGGCAATCGAGGAAATTACGTGGATGTTCCACAACATGAAATTGTTCTATTTTTACGAAAAGGAGCTGAAGGAAAACAATACATTGGACAAGCTCAGAAAAAGAAAAAGTTTGCCGTTGTGATTCCATTTGCAGAGAAGCAAGTTTCATCCGTATTGGAAAATATTAATATTTGGAACCATCCTTATTATGAACCTTGTCAATGGTCCATGTCGACACGAGAAAATATCGATGATTCAGAAACAGATTTAATTTTCTATTCGAATCGACAACGAAATGAAAATAATGAAAAAGCCATACTCGATCGAATCAATAATCTCACCAAAGACAAGTCACATAATGTCATTCTCAAATGCTTTTCAAATATTTCATTTAAATATGCTGGATTAAACGACGCACGAGATCAATATCCAGCAGGACCAAGCAATCAATTCTACGATTTAATTCACGATGAGAACTTTCACTCCACCTATAGTCACTTTTTCTATATGGAACCTGATTGTCGAGCCATTCGACCCAATTGGCTTAAGGTTGTGAAATCCATCCTCAAAGAATATTCAATTTTAAAACCGGATTTTTGGTACATTGGATCCAATTATAGAGGAGATGTCGATCTCGGTGAACCTTTGGAATATCGTTATCACATTAATGGAAATGCCATTTACTCGACAGATGTCTCTTTTCGAGCTTTTTTGAAACACGTCTCAAGAGGACATAATTTTGCCTACGACACAGATCCATTCAAATACTTGTTTCAGGTGAAATCTTATGATTTTACCAAACATATTTGGAATCGAATAATTTTCCATAATTTTGTTCAGAATTGGTGGCATTCGAGTTATCATGAAAAAACAGTGAGAGATTTGTATCCGAGAACGTATTTCGTTCATGGTGGTTCTAAGGAATGAGAATGGTTGATTTCATAATCATGATGATGACGTTCATGTTTCATTGCGAGATGATCATGTTTCATTGTGAGTAGTTCATTAAAAGACAAGGACCTCTCACTCACTCCTATTCGTTCATTCATTCATTGATTATTAGTATTGGATGGAAGACAATCTCTTTACAACTCTCTTTCCAAACTGGAGTTGAATCATGTCATCTATTTATTATTATTAATCATTATGAGGTTGATGAAAGAAAAAGCCAATGACAACCATCACAGTTACATCATCATGACAACAAGAGCAAGAGACTAACTCATCACCGTTTTCATCATGTCCACCTCAGACACACCCTCAGAGGCACGATCACTCCTCTTTGGACCTGAAGAACCACCACCACCTCCACCTGTAGTACTTTTCTTGGCTACAACATCACTTGAGGATACTTTTGGTTTCACTGGAGATGGAGAGGCCACCGGAGGAGGAGGTTGTGGCTTCGGAATGGGTGGATTCGGAGGAATAGGTTCCGAGGCATTGCACTGAAACACTGGCAATTGTTCGAATGGATTCCAGAATGGACACACCTTTCCATACATGCCTCCTTGATCGACCACATGTCCTCCCATTTGAAGATAGAGTTGAGAATCATTACAAATACTGTATCGTGGCCATTCCGTTGCTGTCTGCCAATCTCCTCCTCCACTACTACTGTTCATTCTCTTTAAATTCATTTGAAAGAATGCATTTCGATTGGGACTTCCACTCACCACAAAATTCGACCAATACATGATGAGATCTTTGGACAATTCTTGTTCCTGAGGTGTGAATTTGTAATTACCAGTGCCAGGTCTTGTTAAAAGCATGCTTGGAAATTGGAATGGAATTTCAGCTCCGTGGGTCGATCCAAAACATGGATCTGTAAATGCGAAATGATTGGCAATGTTTTGTTGAACCCATTTGAGAGCAATTAATGGAAACGAGAACCACTGGTGCATTCATTCACTTTCTGTGAAATTTGAACCCAATAATCACCGGCGTAGATATTTCCAGAACCTTTCTTGAAACCACCTCCATGAATCCAAAAAAGACAGGTAAGAGAGAATTGCTAGTGCTACCACTTTGAGAAAAGACACTGGAGTTGGCAGGTGTCCATATATTCAAAATTAAACAATCTTCACTCATGGGTTGTTGATAGATAATTCCCATATCAGGAGGTTGAATGCATACATATCCAAAAGAAGTTGCATTGAAAATTTGAGGATTATTATTATTTGAAGGCAATTCTTGAGGTGGTTTAAAACGATTGGAACCTGTGGATGGTTGTGCGTAGGGAATTCCAAGAAATGCACGTGTGGTTGGATTGGCCAGATAACCTTGAACTTTTCCTTGTTGAGTTTGAACGATGAGAGGAAGGAGAGAAGAATCCATGCTTGTTGCATGAACCATCGTGGTGGTGGTGTTGTGTGAATTTCTCAAATTCCATGAAAAGGATGCATGCAAGAGAAGACATGCCATCAAAAAGACAAGTTTCAATAGCTTCTTGGTGATGACAAGTGACAGGAATAGGCACTCTTCATTTTTTGAGGATTTTTTTTTGAAACTAACCAAGTGTGAGATTTGCCTTTCATTAAACATTGTAATTACAGAACTCATAGTTCCATCAAACGAAGCATTCAAAAAGAAGGTTCGTTTTCTCGTGATGTAACCAAGATCACACGAGCGAGATTCCAATCGAATTCTAATGTGAAAAAAAAAGAAAAATGAACCTAGAGCGGGACTACATGACCAACAGCAACAGCACCACCAACTCGAACACAAACATGATCGTTACGATCCGTATCAATGAACATACCTTTCCGATGCCTATGGAAGAAGCTGAACGACTTTTTGGTGAATACCATCAAAATATTCAGGACCGGTATAACTTTGATTTTCTTGCAACATCAATTATTCAACAGCATACAGCTTGCTTAAAGTGATTCAAGGCTTAAAATCAGAATACGTCTCGGAATTGTATGTAACAAAGGAACTGGAGATTATTATTGAGAAGATGAAGAAAGATGGCCATGATGTAGCCTCTTTGTTAGTGTTTTTGGACAAACACTTGCCAGATGTTTGCGATCAATTCGGAATTGTTGATTTTCTTATGGACAAGATACAAGACGTTGTGGGATCAGAGGCTAATCAGGTAATTGAAAATTACATCTTTCAAAATGGTGAATTTATGTTAGGCGAGCAAACTCCAAAGAACTGCGTTACGATCATCTATGAACACAAGAAGAAAATATACTCCTACGGAGTTTTGATAACTACAAGCTCTTTGAAGAACGGCAAAAAAACTATTTCATTGGTTTGACGAAATGGTCAATCATATATTTCCAAAAGAACAAGAACTATTCAATGATGATGACGATGAGGAGGAAGAGGAGGATAAACAACCGAGCTATTTTTCCATTCTATCTGAAATTGTTAACAAAAAGAGACCATTTCAATCTGACTCGACCCAACAAACCAAGAAACAGAAATAAATTATTTTGGTCATTTTGGATTGGTAAGGATCAATTCAAGTGTTTCATAACCTTAATGATCACCAACTTCGCTGCTGAGAGAAGGTGGTCCTGGTATGTTAATGGTCAGTTAATGGTCGAGATTATGCCCTCCATTAATAAAGTTCAACAATTCATCTCCTTTTTCTAGAGTCTTCAACATTTCAATCAAACCACTATCCTCTCCCAATCTTGCAATTTCATCAAACGATTCTCCCATTATTCCTCTCATAAATAAGGTGTGTGTATAGGCTCGTTCTAAAAAACTATGTGAACGCCATTCCCTATCAAATTCTTCATTACTTTTTGTTTTCATCATTTCAGAATTGACATCAATCGAATAACAAAGTTGAGCGGCATCAAATAATTGTTCACTCATTGGAGAAACATTGGTGACAGAAAAAGTAGAAGGATCATATCGGTGACAATGCAATTTTCGAGTATCCACAAAGAATAATTTTCGAAAATAGAATTGAATGAGAGGAAATAATCCAGGAGGACCTGCCACATATTGTCCACTTTCAATGGATGCATGAGATCGATCCAAATTTTGCAATGCATGCTTTAGAAATGGATGACCTTTTTCAAAGTACATGAATTGATTGGACATACATGAAACATTTTGTAATTTTCCAATAGAAAATGTGGAATGATAGTTACATGAAAAAGTGGATGATGAAATAATCGAAGTTGCAGTAGTAGAAGGTTGAAGAGTCACTCCAATCGTATTATTATGTAAAGAATGCATAGATCTCATTAAATAATGTCCATTTTCAATGTAAAGTCCTCCATAATGATAGAGAAGAAATAATCTTAAAAAGTTAGAGAGAGATTGGAAGGGATGAATGCGAGGATTAAAATTTCTCAAAGTATTTGCAAAGACATGTCCTAATTGTGAACCTTGAGTCATTTCTTGTAAATTAAATCTCACCACTCGAATGTTGTAGCGTTTCTTTTCTTTTAACATTTGTTTGAGGAAGGAGTTGGTTGATTTTTGAGAGTTCACAACAGAAGAAGTTAATTTGCGATTCTTTTTGTGAGTCATTGGAGGATTCACTTGAATGGATCGTTTTTGAGAAGAATTTTTTAGATGTTTTTGCTTGAGGTGTGTCGATTTTTCGTCGTTTTCTGAAAGTTTTGATGTTGTTGCTTGTTGATTTTTTGATGAAGGAAGTGTTGTATATATTTTAAAAGTATCAAGATCCAACTCATTGGAAAATATCAATACCTCTGCATTTGGGTTGGTATGTAAAATGGTTTCAATTGCTCTAAATTGGTTCAATGTCACAGAGTTGCCTTCCCAAATTAAAAAAATATGTGGCAAGTGTGGAGAGGGAATAAATGACAATCCTGTGTCGACTCGAGAGATTTCCTCTTTCGCTCGCTCACATAAATTTCGTGTCACAACAAATGTCACATAAATCAGACTCACAAATGTTGCATATTTTAAAACTGTTTTAGGTTTTTTCACTGTAAAGATCACCATTCCAATCACAATCTTGAGAAATGCAATTCCAAAATTTTTAAAATTCATCCAAATTCGTTTTGTCACATTTACAATGAAATTCCACATCAAAGGTCCATAAATTTTCATTCTCGATCGAAAATGAATGATAAAGTAAAACAAGGCAATTAAAAAACTCCAAAAAGCATTCCAAAATCTTTTCCATCTTCCCATTGATAAAACATTGTTCCCATTCGATTTCTTCAACGGTGGCCATGACTGTGCACTCAAATTTGGAATGTTTTTTTCCTTGTCTGTTGTCAAAAGAGTTTCTTTTTTTTGTCTTCTCCTCATCATTTCCAAATGAAATGAATCCTCATCATCTTCATGACCACCATAACGACCATTCATCATTGAATTTCTAGAAAAGCTGCCATTCAAAGTTCCTCCCGAATTGGATCGATGTCGAGCGATGGTTGTTGAGTGGTTGGTTAAATGTTCCAACAGGGCTGTTGCATGGTAGGACCTTCGAGACTGAATTCCCATCATGAGTAATGGATCCATCATGGAGGCATGTACTGGTGTTGTTGTTGGTGGTGGTGGTGTTGTGTGAGAAACAACATGATGTGAATCCATCATCATCATTGGAGAAGTTGGTGTTGATGTGGTGAGTGTTGTTGTTGTTGGTGATCGATTGGTGTCTCCTGTCATCATGACGAGTGGAGAGAGTGGAGAAGAAGACGCTAAAAAACGAGAGGTGTTTGGAATGTTGTTGTTGTTGTTATCAATCGTTTCATCATTATCATACTTGTTGTTGTTGCAATGAGGAGGATGATGGTGAATGGAAATTCGAGGAGGAGAAGAATGGTCTTGTTTGTGAATGGAAGGTTCTGTTTCTTCTGAAGGTGAGACGAGTGCCATGTCAACAAGTGGAGCATCCTCTTGATGATGGTTGTTGTTCTTATTGTTGTCATCATGATGAGGACAGACCATGGGAACAACTTCTCCGTCATCACCAACAATCCATGTCAAAGGTGTTGTGGAAATCTTGTTGTTATGAAAATCGGGATGCTTTTTCATGGCATCATTATGGCTCCTCAATTCGTGGTTGGTGTGATTCGAGTCGGAGTGGAATGTTGCTGACAACTTCATGATTGAATAGTGCAATATGTGTGCATTGAAAGTGATGTGTGTTCTTTTTTTGAAGGATGACAGTGAGCGTACGGGTGTTTGGAAAAGGAAACTCGAATTTCAACGTTTAATTCAAAAGTTCGTGAGGAGGTAGTTGTTGAGATCCAATACAATAAAGGAGACAGAACACTGTTAATGATCGATTAATTTTAACATGGATGATGCAGTGGACAATAACAATATTCTTCTTCTTGTATGTGTGGTTGTTCTTGTGTCTACCCAACATTAATAACATCTCAATCTCGTTTCACCTACACAATGACCATTATTAGAGTGGTAGAAAAGTTTGGCGGAGAACAAATTCACCAATACCTCCATTATTGAGTTTGAGGCACCCAAAAGCAAACAGCCTGACATGCAGATACCATCAAACAATAATGAGGGTTAAATGCAACGCTCACTTCACCACTATGTCTAAAGTTCATATTATTGAAGGCATGGCATTGTTTGCCCGTCTGAGCTTCGAGTGTTAATAATCGTCCATCTTCGGTTCCGACAAATAAAAATTGACTATTGGGAGTAAATGCAAAACTCGATTGTGAAATTCCTGTACCTTGAGGAAGTGGTAAATTATTGTTGGAATAAAAGGCCTTATCTTCGTCAGAAAGAGCGAGTTCATCATTTGTTTTTCTGAATATCTCTTTACCATTAAACGAGTCCAACATAAATATGGAATCGGATGAAGAAATTGCAATATGAGTTCCAGATGGTGAAAACATCATTTGTGAATACTCGGGTGTTTCTCCAGTGAATGGAATTACAAATTCAGTAAAAGATCCACTCTCTACCTTTCTTCTATCATATAATTTGACAATTCCCGAATTTGTAGCAACAGCAAGAACCAAACCTCTCGGATCATAGGCACATAAAGGCTTTACGGTAAAAGGTGCCTTGTAAATTTCATTCGGTTGTCTTAAATCCCACACTCTCATGGTATTATCCAACGAGGTCGATGCAAAGGTATCATCACTCGGACACATATTCAGAGAAACTACAGGCTTGGTATGTCCTTTGAAATATTTAATAAAACTTCCGGTATGAATATTTAAATATCGAATGTCATCATTGGATCCCTCCTTCTTGACCGAAGCATAAAGGCAAGCATCTGGAGAGTGGGTAAATTTCACTTGATTACATCCATACTTTTTGCTGGGTATGACTTTTCGAGGCTCGCTATCTGGACTCAATACAGTGCAATCAAAAAAGGTGATGTGTTCATCATCGGAAGAGCATAACAAGTATTTTCCATCCCGAAAGAAATCCAATCCATTGATCTCTTTTTTGTGTCCTTTATAGACTTTTCCTACTTGGAGCGATTTAATGACTTCGAGGTTGATGGGCGTTTGCATTTTTTTTGTGAATGTCATCCTGGCAGGCACAAAATGTTGAAAGATTGCAAGACTCATAAGGAAGTGTGTTTTTAAAAAAACCTCACCAACCCAATCTAGATGACTTAGCTATAGCTTAATCGTCAAGCTCTTCTTTGCTTTCGTTGTTGAATGCGCGCTAAAACTAGCATGTCTGAAGGCAAAAAACAAACGTCATCTCCAACAGGTTTCAAAATCAGCTTGTCATCTCACCGTTTTGACAGCATGCTGCAACTTAACTGTGTATTACAAAAACTTTAGCACTGTTTCTATTGGTTGTCTCTATTCTTAAATTTTGTTTGGGAGTTATAAATTGGTTGCGAGCTTTAAGGCCAACCGTCACAAGCAAAAAAATATGAAAGCACAACAATCAACAAGATCCAACAACACGACCCACAAACAAAACGTTGGTCAAACCAAACGATCTGCCAACATCGAAGACAGGTTGTTGAAAGATTTCTTGCAGGAATATGGGCTGAGTCAACATGTCGATCCAAACTTGGGTCTTGTGAAGAGTAGGGGACAAAATGTTAACAAAGGTCGTGGAAAGAAGAGCGAGTGGTTGGAGATTTGGAAGCTGCACGACGAGCATTGTTCCGTCAAGAAAATAGCCAAATCACTTAACAGAACAACCACTTACGTGAAGAGAGTGCTTGGTAGACCTAGACCTCAATAATGATGGACTGGGTTTGTAAATATATGAAACTTGCACATATTATCATAAACTTGTAAATACCTCGAATAAACTTGTTATTACTGTAATAATATTGTCAGCATTCATTATACTGCCAATTGTCCAAAAGGAAGAATATTACTAGATGAAAGATATTATATTATTAAATATTACCTATTTAATAATAAAATATAATTGCCGTTGGTATTGTGTTGTTGTAGTGAGCGATGAAAATAATTCATGGCATTCATTGTTGTTGTTACAGTTAGCTAAATATATCATTAATTATCATCTTCTTCGTTATTGTTATCTGAAAATGTTTTTTCTGAACTAGAGGGACAAGCAGATCCATATCCGCTATTGCAAGGTGGTGGATAGAAAGGAGGTGACATCTTGCAAGCTGTTGCATTAAATACAGATCCACATTGAGCCATCATATTTTGGCATACACTGGAGCATACATGATAATAAACCTAAAAAGGAGTGACATTCATTAAAAAAACACATGCATGATCATAAATTTCACATTCGCAAAACAATAAATTAGCAGCACATGCGAATATTATCATATTCCATGAAACAGTTCATTCATTTCAAAGCATATTTTCATCACAAATGAAACAAGTTATCAAATTTGATCACACAACATTTACAACATGACACATTTGTTTCAAATACTTACAGGTTGTTGAGCGCTACAACACTGAGCAATGGTGGATAAGCAAAACGAATCTGCATAAGCTTGCTGACAAGCCTTGCTATAATTTGCCAATTTTGTTTTCAATTCATAATCAATCATTTGGCACGTTTGTCTGTCCCATGTTTCTGCCAAAATATCCATCACCGAATAATGAACATTTCGGCAACATTTAAAACTATAACTCACACATTTCTGAGCATTTACAACGGACACGAGAGAGGTCGGGAATAATGGAGAAAGAGAAGGATGGAAGAAGGAGAGAATCAAAACTAATGCTATCATCATCATAGGCACACATATCTTGTCCGTAGAAGGCTCTTCTCGGGATCGACACAGTAGGCTATCTGCTCGACGTCGTGGTGAATTAATATTCAACATTTTATTTTGATGATGATTGTAATCATGATACGGATTTGGATGATGACCACAACCATGGTTTTGGTTCCTAATATTTCGAATCAAAAGATCGAGATCGAGCATTCCAACACAAAACCCTATGGAATTGCAACTCGATCCAAAAAAGGAACAACAAAAAATGTCTTCTCTCGATAACAAGAGAAATTGCATGGGAAATGAAATCACACAAATCATTCGATCGGAACGATTCGAGCACAAAATTTGTGGAATGACTTCCTCGTTGGTGCGATTACTGAGAACACTCAATTCATCATCATTTACTACTTTTCAATCACAACATCAACAACAAGAACCTTCCTCAGCCTCAGATGATGACATCTTTCAGCCATTGATCTCAAAATTAAGAGACTTGTTGCAACGACATTTTGAAAAATGTCATGATAATAATAATTCGAATCCACAGAACAATCTCCCAAACTCTTGTTGCTCTGAAGGCAACATTTGTGAAGAGGAGAATGCACAAGTAAATGTTGGTTTTGCTTTTGGAAATGTGGCAAAAACTCTCTATGCTCATAATGTGAATTTGAATGAAAATGATGTTTGTGTGTGTTTGATTATGGATAGTCAGCTCGATATTGATTGTAAAATGGTCACAGCTGTGAGAAAGAATTCTTCCTTAGTGAGCTCGAATGACAAGTCCATCATTTGGAAACTCTTGTACAAGTATTCCTTTCAATAAATTATGTTTGTTGGGAACAAAGAATGGTCGTCCAGTACATCTACTTGCATAAATTCATATTTTTGTACTGTTTCGATTATTAAGGATCGTGACAAGTGTTTGTTGCTGTAGAGATTATTGTCACCTCTTGAGGTGAACCATCTTTTTCAATATTTGTATTGTTTATTTAATATTCGACACTTTGGGATTGAAATGATAAAACACTAAATTATTGGTGTGTTGTCTCTTTCCCTTCACATAGGTGTGGAATTGCCATGGATTTTCTTTCACGAATGAAGCGCCAGGATGTGCAATAGAAATGGATTTCTTTCTTTGGAGTTTTTTTGGTTTGGTAATCTTCACGGGAGAGGAGGAATGAGGAATTCGAATTTCAATCTGGCATGAAGGTGAAATTCCTTCTTCTTCTTCCACATTTGGAGATGGAGAACATGAAGAAGATGGAATGGTGCAGGATGTGTGGAGAGCAAGTTGAGGCACTTCATGGAGTTCTGGTTGAGCTTGTGGAAAGGAAATGTCAAGCAAGGTGGGAGATGAAGAGGACGGATGAGGCTTGGACACGAGCAATTCTGTCGTTGCTTTGCAATTAGATGCAAAAGAGATTGACTGTGAAAAGAGGGATTTTTCTTCGATTGGAGCTGGATATAAAGATGATGATGATGGTACAATTCTGTCATGATGGAAAAGTGTGGATGATGATCCTTCGAAGGATGACATTGAAAAGGAAGATGGAGAAGTACAGACACAAGTCAAGTACGTGTCAATACATTTCATTTCGTTCTCTGTGAAGCTTGTGGCCAGTGAAAACGATGGAGTCGTAAAACAAGTGAGTTTGGATTCATGTGCTGTTAGTACTTGCGTTGTGCCATTGATATCGTTCTTTGTCAAGGTTGATGATGGTGTGAACAATGAAGGACTTTGATTGTGTTCGTCATTATTATCATGTTGTTGTTGTGAAAGTAGTAACGCTGACATTACTGAGCTGTTGTTCACCTCTCCGCATCTTTGTGTCATTTGTAAGGAAGAAGAATTCTGCATCTTCTTGTGGAGTTGTGGATGCAATTCTTTGTGTAATGCTGGGTGTGCTTGACTGATGTTGAGCGTTGAAATTGCAATAGTTTCGTTACGAATTGGGCAATTATCATCCTTCCTTGCGGGAACCACGGAACAAAGGTGTCCTGAATCAGCGCTGACAAACAAGTCTTCATTTTCACCTTCTTGGCCAAAATTACAATTCGAGAAGTTATTGCGAAAAACAGAGTGCAGCGCACATGAATTCTGGAGAGTTCCCGTCCTGTTGTGGGAAGAGTTTTCAACACCTTCTGCAAGCAACACGAAAAAATCATCAAGGTCGTTCTCTGACATCTTGCACTTCATCAGTGATACGAGAATGGGAGGAAAAGGATTTGGTAGGTTCTTTGGTGGTCACCTGAATGAACAGTAGGGTAGGTTCAACGTCAATGTGTTGTGAACGTGAATGAGGGGATATGTGCAATTCCTTGTGACGACCAAGACGTTTAGAGGTTTTTTCTTTGATGTGGTTTTCAGAGGGAAGGTGTTGTTTGATCTTCTCATGAGCAGGCCAATTCACACACAAGTAATTATTTATTCAAAAACGGATGGCGAGAGAATCCAGCAAAGGACGACCACGGAACTCTAAAGTCAATTCGCGAATAAAAATGACAAGTATGTCCAACAAGGATTGATTTTGCATTCGGTCTTAGATTCGCCAACTTGTCCATCGGATTCTTTGTTGAAAGTCTCAATTGCAAAAGACGGTGTTTTGGGTATGCGTTCTGAAAAGGTGAAAGAGAACATGACCATGCACTGCGTTTGATGCTCTTTTTGTGAGCATTGAAATTACTCTGTTTTGAGCGAAGTGTGAATCTTTCATTATAGGAACAGAAATCCTCCTCTGACATTGTTATGGATTCAAGAGATAATTTTGTCACTGACCACCACAAACGTTGAAACACATCCAGTTTCACATGCAGAAATCTCACTGATGAACTGCTGCTTGAATTCATCTACCTTCTTGGTTATATAGGTTGTTCTTGAATGGTGCATTGGATTCATTGGCCAAAACCATCGAAAGGTTCTCAAGACACTGTAATTTCAACGCTCGTGTTATGCATCTACCATGAAATTTGCTAGGTCCTCCACATGTTCACAAAAACAGATTCCAACAATGCAATACGAATTTGTAACGAATTTGTAAGCAATTTTTAAAAAGAGCAAAATGCTGAGAAAGGGGAATTAGTGCTCTTTGTAAGCCGTTCAACTTGTCCGTTTTCAGAGTCATCATTTCCTCAAGGAATTCTGGTCAAGATTGCTTCAACTTTTGCCGCAACCTATCCATGCAAAGTAACAACCTCCGAACACAAAGTGTTCACTTTCTTTAATCACTCAACATTGGCTCGGAAAGGAAATGGCCTGATGGGTTATAATATTTCTTAATTCTTAAATTCTTTAAGGATTTAAGAATCCAATTTGACGCCAGACCGCACCATGTCATCTACGAATTTTCTGCCCCATTTTCTTTCGAACTGTTCTTTTGCCAGCTTGATGAAATCCAAAGTCGGAAAATTATCAATTTTTCCCATCTATCAGCAAAGAGAGCTATTAAAAAGTTAAGGGAACAAGAAGAAATGAAACATTCTTCTTCTCAAGAGTGTAACTAGAAGGAATCGTCAAGATGAGATGCTACTGGAATAAAGAATATTTAGGGTTCTTCAAAAACTTCTTCATTCGCCCTTAAAACTTTCCCAATGCAGTCTAGAGCCAAAAGAAAATGAGAGCACTTACCTTGAGTGTGTGTGGGCCAACTATCAAATGTCAAGCGCCAACGGCAAACAAAAAATTAACATCACCACTAACCCCGTCCTTCAATTCACACTGCCAGACCATCATTCCTTCATCATCAACCAATAGTATGCTCATTTCGTCTTCCTTCTAGTGGATCCATCTTCTAATTGTCTCTATTTGATATAAGCAAATCGATCTATCTTTGTATTTTCTATCTCTCTCAACGTGCCAATTCCGCTCCGGTGTGTCAACTCATAACATTTTTCACAACAACAGCATCTTCATCATCAGAACAAGAATTGAATCTGTCCAATGATGACTCCTCCCACCTTGATTTGTACAAACAACACAACAAACATCACCACAACAACATCTTCATCATTGGCTTACAAAGAACCATCTCCGAGTGCCACTGCTGTCGATAATCGAACACACCATTCTGAGTCTTCTCCCACAAGCACCAACAGCACCATCTCCACACCCGCTCATCGAATTTCACACGGCAGTGGAAGCAACGGCGGCGATGATGACGATTCCACATGTGTCATCTCCAGTAGCAGCTGCACCTTCAGTAATCAACACACCAACAACTCGACTTCCTTATCGAATTCAGTGAACACCTCCAACTCGATGCTTTCACGAAAGAGAGCGAGTCATGGGGATCAGCTTCACGACGACGATGAAGATGTTATTGACGACGATCAGGATGGATTTACCAATGAGGATCAAGAAGGAACCTTGATGATGATGATGGACAACATGGAAATGACGATGATGAATCGTAATAATACACATCAATACAATCATCATCAACATCATAACAGTAACAACAACCACAATTCCAACAGCGGAGCGAGTATCGACGATATATTGAAAGGACTCGCCTCTCAACGTTCAACCTCCTCGAATCTTCATCATCCTTTCCTTCCAAATTCATCATCCTCTTCCGTTTCATTCAATAACAACAACAACAATAGTATTACTATTCCTTATCATCCTCATCACGATGATCCAAACCAACATCAATACAACAACCAGGTGAACGTACGGAAACATTCCTCGCCCAATAATCTCTTCTTTCATCAATCGACTCATAACGCTAATAATAATATTGGGCTCAGCAATAACAACGCACAAACAACAATAACAACTCAAACTAGAGGTTCCTCATCATCTTCACCAACGATCATTCCATCCTCTCAAAATGTTCCTCCAAAATCATCATCTTCACCCTCTAAAAAGAAGAAACAACAACAACAGAAACAAAATGGCGAGACTTTGACTATCAGTGTATCCGCTTCATCCGCATTCTCTCAGAAACAACAAAAAGCCTCAATCATCACTCCTAGTACAGAAATATCGGCATCTTCTTTAACAAATTCCACGACAACTCCAACAACATCTACCAATCGAAAGCTTTCTCTTTCTGTTTCCATTCAAAAGAGAATTTCCTCGTGGCGTTCCAATCATAAAAATTCCAATCCTACAAAATCCAATAAGAAACAAGAAGCTCCATTGAATCAACAACAATCACACAAACATTCTCGAAGTCATTCAGAAAGTCTTGTGAATAATCTTTCTCATAACGTTAGTAATAGCAGTAGTAGTAGTAGTATTGTGTTTGGAAATGAAGAATCTACTGTCTTGTTAGTGAACTCTGCAAAAACTTCCGCTTTGGCAACAACGGAAAAGAGTTTGGAGAAGAGTTATGGAACTGTTTTGGGGTCTTCTTCTTCTTTGTCGACAACAATGGAGGATCTTCACCATTCATCGAATTCACAAATGCAATCGCTGAAATCCATACTCGCTCAGAACAAATTTAGACATCATCAAAATAATTATGAATGTGTGGATTCTGATGAGTCGCCAGTGACATCAGCTTCTACCGTGGAACCCTTGTCACCATTTCCAAGCAATAACCAACACAACGGCCAAAACATTCACAACAACCTTGGTTTTGGTTCTCCTCCAAAATTAATCATCCCCAATGTAGCATCATCAACAAATGAGTCATGTGAATCTTATCAGAATCAACATTCTCAACTAAAACCTAAGAAGTTGGATTTTTCGATTGATTTATCTTCAGTATTGGATAATGACACTTCATCAAATCAACTTAGATTGAAATCCAAATTGGCTCCACTGACAGCGAGAGCAAGGGGAGACAGCTCAATCAAACATCCATTCGATTATTTGAAAGGAAGCGTTTCATCACATCAACCGTCACAGCCACTAGCAATTCCTGTTGTTTTGACAAGAAAAAGATCACTTCCAACAACACCTGAATTTCTAAGTATGAATTCACATAACAAAAAATCAACGCCACGAGATGAAGCAGCATTCAGCAATAATCGAGTTGCTGGACAACAATCTGTGTCGCAACAATCAAACCTGTCAACAACCATTTCATTGACAACGCCTCATAACACTAAAGACGATACTGTACTAGTAAGCTCGCTTCCATCCTCTACAAACAGTCCAAATGAGGAACAGGGAATTCATGTGTTGTCTATTCCAGTTCTAACCATAACCACAACGGCACCAACAGAACATCAAATTGTGATAGAAAAACCAAAACAAAATTTCATGACGGTGATGAGTGCTGATACCTTGATATTAGTTTCTTCATTCATTTATGATGACAATTATGAGAAACAAATTGAGAATTTTTCATTTTTGACTTCACATGACATTTTCACAACACTGATGCTTGTTTGCCGAGCTTGGTATGAAAAATTGAACGAAGATTTGGTGTGGTCTTTCAGATATCGACAATTTTTGAACAATCTCTTGAAACATTATTCTAAATCTGTGAATGCTTATTTTGTGACGTATGGCAACGAAAAACATCCTCTTCAAAGGAAAAACTCATCCACCGATTTCGATAAGAAATATACTCCCATCCACAAGAGATACAAATTTTTGAAGAATTTACAAAAGGAAATGAACAATTTTAAACCTCCAGCAATATTGACGACCAATGCTAATGCTTCATTGACAACAATAGGCACAACGATGAATGTTCCCAACAACTCGAATCATTCACTTTCCGTACGGAGAGGAACCATTGCTCATCTGAAACCTGGATACAATATGGACTCCACAACATCTTCCACAGCAAAGCCAACTGACACCTTCAGAAAGAGAACTTCCAGCAATGCCGAGTTGACTTCTCCACGTTTCGAAGATTTACCTAAATTTGCTGCATTTGGTGGCACCACTCCACGAACACCTGTAGCACTCACAAATTTCTCTTCTCCAAGAAAACACGCACATTCGAGTGTGTCCTTGTCCAATGTTCCTCCTGGATTGAAACCAGTCGGATTTCATCTGTTTACAGATATGGCTAGTGGAGGTAGTGGTAATGGCAGTGGTGACAGCGTTACAACAGCGAACAATTCGAAAATTTCACTTCCATTGTCCATCAATAAGAATTTCACTTTTAAGGAAAAGTTTATGGATCTGCTTCGAGATGAGTATTGTAGTAATGTGAGAATTGCGCTCAGGACTATGAACCCACTCAAATTCATCAAGTGTCTCATTATTGAGGATGAAACATTGTCTCGAATGCAATTTTATTATCATATTCACTTGTTCTATGCATTGAAGCTGTTTATTGACGGGGCCAAGAAGGTCATTCACTCCAAAGACAAGAGCGACACATCAAATACTCCTGAAACTTCCAATCTGTCTTCGGTGTCATCGTCAACATCGAGTCTGTCATCCAAGCCAAATAGATTTGTTCAGGAAGTGTTACGAACGAGCTCAGCAACTCTCTTCTCTATTATTCTCTCTGGATTGAAGGATCTGAAGCATGATTTAGCGTTGCGACCACAAAATTATCCAGAATTTTATAAGGAAGTGAAAAATATTCAAAATTTCACATCTGTCTATTCGGCATCGATTGCAAATCAAGTAGCCTACATTGCAGAAAAGTTGACGACGAGATACTTTTTAATTATTTTTGATAAGCTTAACCCGCCTATCAATTTCGATGTTCTGAAATCCTTCATGACAGCCTATCCAAGTATTGCTGATAACAAACTCTTATTAATCGTTTTGGATCGAGCAAGAGAAACATTCTTTCATTCACCTATGGAGGGTGATTCCTTTGTACAACCATTTTCAAGCGGCCCCTTGTCAACACTTGCTGCGTCCAAGCAGAATCGGGTGGAATTTGCGTTTTTACAATTTCTCGTTGAGAATGTGTTGCCAATTATTGCAAGAGAGAAGGCAGATTCAAGAAGAATTATTGACCTATTAATGGACATTCTGACAAGCCGTTATAGTTTAAATCTCAAAGAATTGTGTGCCTATTATAGACACTTATCGGGTGAAGCATTGAGCTCTGGCCACGTAACAGTAGATCCATATTTTCTTCTCGTCGTTTCATGTTTTAAATTTTCACAGCATAATTCGAGCACCTTATCAAACATTGACACAACCAGCTCTTTCAACAGCAGTGTTTCCTCATCTTCCAAGTACGAAGATGATGTTCTCGTTCATCCACAATTCTTTGAGTATTTAATTGACAAGTTTGAAATTGATGTGAATAGAAAAGAAATTTTGTTCTTCCTGTTGAAACACAAACAAACACTTCCCTACTTGGAGGCATTGAAGAAAGCAGGAAAAATTGATATTCGATTTGTTCACAGATGTTTCCACAGCAAGCACTTCGCCGAGTTTCTCACCAAACTTTATTATTCTGGTTCGGTGGGTCCTTATCAATGTCTTGACACTGTGCTTCAACAATTTAACATTGATCCACTTGCTGATTTTGAAAGTGAAAATTCATTCAAATCATTGGAGGAGGCTTGGAAATCCTCTATTAACACTACTCGGTCACTGACACGAAGCTATGGAAGTACGAAAAACAAGGACAATTTCCTCAAAATTATTTCAAGAATTGAAGCGAAACAAAATGGGTACAGCGCCACGTATCATGTGAATTTATTGAAAATTTTCAAGGTGATCCTTCGAAGATGTAAAGAACAGGACAAGAAGTTTAATTTACAAAAAATTGACCGTGACATGAAAATTTCATTCAATTTCATTACACATTCCTTTTTGACTGATTTAGGACATTATCATGAATCCAACTATAGAAATACTACTTTGGAAATGTGTGAATTATTAATTGGATCAGCAAACGCTCTCATTGATTGTTCTGTTTTGAAATTCATTCTCCAAAGAATTGAAGTTGAAGATGCCACCATTCGAGGGAAGAATTCCAAACAAATTGCCTACTATTACCAAAATCAAAATTCAGAGTTGTCACACACTTCGATCGAACTTGAACATTCTGGAAGACTCGTGGATCCTTCTAACAACAACAACAACACTCAAAACATTCCAAATTGGTACAACAAATCAGAACTAGCTTTAATGTCCACCGTCACCAAAGCCATGGAATTGCTTTTACAAAACAGTGCCATGATTTCAAAACTCACTTCTTTCAACACAAGTGGATCCAAACTAGCAAGCAGCATGTTCACAGATATCATGCCCTATTCAGAATGGTATTCTCAACACAAATTAGCCAATGATCATTCTCCACATGCCGCTCAATATTTGCAACTCTATGAACGCACTCGATTATTTATTGCCCGATACAACTTCAATGCTGCTTTGGTCGAAAAAGAGATGAATGACAATCAGGGCATATCTTCTTGTTGCGTTATTTTGTAGAAAAAAGATATTATGTCGATATTTATTTCAACTCTTCAACTACGAATGAAATTTGTTCAACAACCACTCAAGAAGTGACGTGTTTTTGAAAAAAAAGGAAAAAAATTAAAATAAAAAAAATGTCTCAAGATGAAAAGTTATGGTCCAGTGCAATGAAAGCCTCACGCATGGTGGTATCGACAAGCACGATGGAGGAGGAACAACACCATCCTACTGGAGGACGCACGTTAATGATGACGAATAGAACTTTATCGCCAGGTAAATATGCCTCCTCTTCCTTCCCAACGTTTGGAAGAGGTATTTCCGATACCGAGGATTATGATCAAAATATACAGCAGCAAGAGCAACAAGAATATGAATCGGAAAGGCTTGCAAGCCATTTGATGAATGCTTTGGTATTTATGGATGATGTGTATGCGGAGTGCTTTTCGTGGAATCAATCATCAAGGAAGCATCTACTCACACCCAATCATATTCTTAAATTGGGCGCAGTTAGCATTATGAATATTAGCAAGGAAAATCAATGGATTGGTGAGGAACGATTTCAACAATTGTTGGAAATGAATTATCACTATCATTTATACATTTCGAAAAATAGTGGTCATCATGATCCTGTGACAAGCTCACATCAAGCTGAAATGAAATTATCAACGAAAAAGTTACAAATAGACCAAAACAAGGATGAGGAGGAGGAAGAATTTGAGAAAATCTTTAGTGATGATGAAGAGGAGGAGGAAGAACAATCTTTACAAATTCCCTCGACAAAGAAGACGTCACAAATTTTGAACGCTTCTACCACTCCTCCTTCTCAAGCTGTTCCTTATATTGTCGCTTCAGATCAATTGCCTATGAGGGATCCCTCCATACTTGTAAATTCAAATTTGAGGAAAGCTGTATTCTTCGTGAGCGATCTTTCAAAATCTTTGGAAAAGATTGTGAAAAAAGCGATTGACATTTACAAATTCACACAAGTTTATTTTTATTGTGCTTTCAGTGAGGGTTTTTGTGAGTACTACCAATCCACAGTGCTGGAATCTATCCATCAAGAACAAAACTATTCACCTCGTGTTACCGTCGTAAAGGACTACTTGACCTACTCAGATCTCATTGAAAAGACAAGACTCTTTATATTCGAAAAACAATTTTCTCTTCAAAAGAAAGATTCAAAAGTGCGGCTGAGAGAAGATGAAATTAACAAAACCATGTAAGTGTATTCATTAGTTGAAACGACAAGCATGTATTGATATTGACAAAAAATTCACCACAACTTTTTCCACAGACATATCGAGGTGAATCATTACCCTTTCAATATCTCTCTCCTCCTTCCAGATATTTTCATGACTCCTACATGTGTAGACATTTTTCCAATTATATCTATTACAAAAAAGACTTCCTCATCCTTGTCCAAATCTAATAGCCTTCTTTCTGGTTTTCACCTTGGTAGTAGCCCTCAGAAAGAAAAAGATTCTTCCATAGTCATGCAATTCAAGGACTTGCCATCTCTTCTTCAATTACAATACAAGCGAGTATCGGTCACACTTAGAGACATGTTAAAGAATTTAAGGATGAGTGTGGATGTATACTCGCTGGGACAAACATCGAATCTGATTGCTGAAGATTTACAAAGTCTAATTGGAGAGGAGTCATTTAAGACGACTGATGCATGTACACTCGTGATTATGGACAGAACTCTTGATTTGGTGTCTCCAATGGTACATTCCGACAACATACTCGATAAGGTTGTTTGCAGCTTGGAACGCTCATCTGCAGTATCTAACAATGTGAAGGACTCTAGCTCATCATTGATCAATAAGAGCCGTTCGATCCTCAAAGATTGTAAGTTCTTGTGGTTGTCTTTCCAATTTTTGTTTCTTAATATTCATTCATGATTCATTGCTCCTTTCTTTGGTCTCTTTGCATCAACCAACACAACTTAGCCAATTTATCTGGACTTCTTCACCACGGTAATGAAAAAATCATTGATTTAATAAGATCAAGTATTGAGAAAAAACCATCTGAAACGATATCTGAAATGAAAATAACTCTTGATAAGTTGCAAAACATAGTTTCTAAAAAGGGTGACATGTCTCTCGACAAGACCATATCAAGCCTAAAAAGTCTATTGCAGAATCTCTCACTCCCATTAATGATACAGAACGGAGAGACAATTCAATTTTTATCAACCATTCTTCATTCTCAAGAAATTATTCATAATGACACCAAATATTCGGAATTAGCGAGCACTGAAAAATTGATACTTTATGAATGTGACACCAATCAAGAAGAATTACTTAAGAATGTCGTTGATATTTTAAAGAAAGATAAGACCAAGTTTTCCTCTAAAGAAATACTACGACTCGTCATAATGATTTATTCCGTAGTTTCGCCGCAATGCACTTTTTCGAATGAGCAGGAATTGAAATGTTTGCTTGTGGATCGAATTATTGAGGAGTACAAACAAAGTCATTCCAATAGCTCATTTGTGGAATTTTTGAACCATGTTTTGAGCGGGAAATCAATGAATTTATTGAAGCAATCAGAAGCATCCAATGCAAGCGATGAAAAGAGTGAAACCCCTCAAGAGGAAGAGGAATTAGAAGACGATAATTGGGACAATTGGGATGAAGATTTTGACGACGACAAAGATCAATCAAAAAACAGCAAATCACAAACAGAGCTGTCTCAATCGCTACAAAATGATCTCACTCACCACTTTAAAAACCTAAATGCAATCAAAAAGCAGCGACAATATTTCCAAACATTGGACAAATTGGCAGGAAATGACAATGTTTTCATCTTTGACAGTCACAGTGGCAACTTGGGAAATACCGAAACTTCTTTCCGATCCATGTGCAAACAATTAACATATGTTATGGGAGAAATGGATCAATGTCCTGATCTTGTACACAATGCTTCTCTACTAAGCCAACTCACAAACACCTTTGGATTCATGTTTCAGTCACAAAAAGCCAAATTAATTCGAAACGAATCGAGTGCCATCATTATTTTTGTTGTGGGAGGTATCACCTGTGGAGAAATTGCAGATATTAAGGACATGATTCGATTGAATATTCAAGAAAAAGGCCAGAATTCTCCTTATTTTGGAAAGAAGGTATGGATAGGGTCTACACAAATCACTACTGCAGAAAACATTATGAAACAAGTCCTTCAACTGTCAAACAGTGCAAGAGTTTAATCTCGTCCTACACACACACTTAATAGCAAACATCAAGATGTCTTTCACCCTGGTAAATGTTTTCTTTCATATGACCACAACTCACAACGTGTTGTTCCTCAACACGTCATTTGACACAACTCACTGAGACAACTCTGATCCCACCAGAATAACTCTTTCAACAAAAAAAAATTCAGGGATGGGTTTATTCGATGATAAACGTTGTTCGATGGTTTTATGTACATTATTTACAAGCCGAACGTAAGATACGTAGTGACTTCCTAGCAGGCACCCCGGAAGTAAAGGTGTTTAAACTGCTCACGATAACAGCAGCAACCCCTGGGATTCGAACGCTGGACCAGTTGGCTGCCACAGTTCCAGAAAAACCACTCGGCCATATGCGGGCAGCTCTTTCAACAAAAAAAAATGAAATCCTTCGATTCAATGCCATCACATCAACAATTAACATCATCGACACCTCTCAAACAAGATTCGACGACACCTTTTGAAGACACACTCCCGAATCGAATAGTACTCCTCACAGGTGGAACCAATGGAGTGGGAAGAGAATGTGCCAAACAAATGTTAGCTCTCGGAGTGAATGTCATTATTACAAGTTCGAATGAAGAGCGTGCCAAACAAGTGGCTCACTGCATGGAATGTGAAGATATTTGTGAAAAGGAATATGGAGCTCAAGAGGATGCGATGATGAAATCATTATTTGAAAAGTTATGGCCGAAAATTTCTTCTCCATCATCGTCATCCTCAACATCATCACGTTTTAAGAAAGGAAAATGTATTGGAATGGAAATGGATTTAATGGATTTGGAAAAAGTGGCTCAAAGTTGTGTGAAATTGTGTCAAGAAATTTTACCTAATCATTTTGGAACGGATCAATTGGATGGTATTGTGAATAATGCAGGAGTGGTTGGAAGCACTGGAAATGAAGAAAATGCAGTGTTAAATCCACAGGGTGTTTCAAAAACATTTTCTGTGTGTTATCTTGGACATTTTCTAATGAATTACTTGTTAAGAAATAGATTGAGAGAGAATGGAAGAATTGTTGTCGTCTCATCAAATGTGGTTCAATTAATGATTAGTGACAGATATACATCTCTTGAACAATTGGATTGGATGAAAATGATCTATCATGAAAAAACGAAAGGAACCATTCCTCCATATGCCTATAACAAATTATTTTGTTCCATGCATTGCTTAAATTTGCATGACAAATGGATCATTGCAAAAGAATGTCCTCATTTACAATCTGTGAACTATGTTCATCCTGGAGTCATGATGACCAACCTGTTAGAACGAGCAAAGGAAGAGCAAAAACAATCATCTCCTTTTCTTGCTTATATTAGTTATGGAATTGGAAAGATTATACATGCATTTTCTGGAATTCCAATTTCACGAGGTGCTTTTCATGAATTGAGACTAGCTCTCGATCCATCCATTACATGTTCAGGAAAATTCTTTTTCATGCAACAAGAGAAAGATCCTAAAGATGATCATATTCTACTTACTCGTAAGGAAGAACGAGAGAAATTGTGGAATTTCAGCATGAAAATTGTTGGTCCCTTCTTGGAAAGGTATTCTCCTCTCATTGAGCAATAAGAAACAACCATTTTATGGGATATAATGTTGTTCAAGTTCACCCTATCATATATTTGAAGAGGTCCAATCACATAATTATTTGAAGCAATTTGTTTTAATATTCTCTAGATTTGTTTCAATTTCTAAACCCACAGAATACACAGACACAAAAAAGCTTTCAATGTTTGCCTAGAAAACAAAATTGCTTTATTGCCGTTGCTGTGCTTGGGTTGAATTAGAGGTTGAAAAGGTTCCTAAAGCGCTCAAAAGATTTGCTGAGAAAGGAAGTGAGTATTGGTTTTGCGACTGCAGAACTTGTTCCACAATGGATCCAAAATCGACTTTCACTTTGGCAAAACGAACAACTGACTTGGCTAATGCTTGCTTTTTCAGTATTCTTCTGTCATGATAGTTACCACTTGTTGCATCAAAAGGAGTAAATCTCGAATTTACATCAGTGTCATTTCTGAGACGTGTACATCTTCTGTGTACAACAACGTTGAGTGTACTTTTCTTCATGACAGTGCATGAGAGTGTGTTATTTTGCACAAGAGCTTGTCTGTCAAATTTTCCAACCACCAGATGATGATTCTGGAAGAAGGAAAGTTTACCATTTGGAATTGGTTCTACAGTTTCAAGTTGACGGAAGAACTCTTGGAGTTTTGTATTAGAGCCATCCTGAGACTGTGCGTTTATGTTGTTGGATGATAATGCTGCTGACGATTCTGTCTCTTCATTGTCAGTCATTTCAGAATCCTCTGCTTCTTCATCGTATTCATCTTGTTGCTGTTCAGAGGGGGTGTTGATGACATCAGTTTGTTCAACGTTATGATGATGTTGCTGGACTACTGGAGCAGATGATGTGGACAGCTGGTGATGGGCTGTGCGAGCAGGAGTTTCCTCACTTGACGAAGATGTCGACGTAACAGGAGTGTTGTTATTGTTGTGAGCACAATTTAAAGTTTCTTCATCTCCTTCGACTCCTTCGTCTTCTTCAATTTCTTCGTCAAATTCTTCATCTTCATGCATGGGATCAACCACGCACTCAGAATCTTCATTTGGAGCGGAAACTGCATTGATCTTTGCTCTTGCTTTCAGCTCTTCTTCCTGTAACCAACGAACTCTGTATCCAGTGCCTTGGTTATGATTGTTCAGACCCAGCTCATACTCCTCTTCGTTGAGTTCGTCCAACAACTTGTTGACACAATTACAAATTTCATCGATATGAGAAGCAAAAACCATGGCATCCTCTTGCTTCATCCTCTCTAAAGGATGCATAGCACCATCCTTATCATTCACGTTTGTTGTAACGATTGGAGTTGTAACTGCTTGCCATAAATACTGTCTTCTGAGTTGAATCAGTAAATCGTAGAGTTTTGAATTGCGCGATTGAACACTTTCTGGTGGGATGAGAAGGAGCTTTTCAATGGTGATGCGTTGTTGTGGTGTTGTTGGGTTCATGAGATTGAGGGACTGAGGTGTCATTGCTGCGGTAGCTGGATGGCATTGAGAGGGTTGAGGACTGATGATTGGCACGACTCGTTGTTGAGGAGTTGTCGTCGAGGAAGAAGAGGAGGATGGCAATGTTGGTACAGAGGAAGAGGGTAAGTGAGCAGACGAGGAGGACGAGGAGGCACAGCTTGGTATATTGGATTCTGAGGAAGAAGAAGCAACGCTAGAGGAGGTAGCAGAAGCAGCAGGACTAGTTGAGGAGGAACACATTGATGATGATTGAGGTAATGGTGGTAATGAGGAGTTGGTAGTAGTAACGCTGGCATTACTGGCTGATCGGTTTCGGGAGGAAGCTGCTGCCGATGAGGAGGATCTTGATCTATGGTGGACGTGGTGCAAATGATGAGGAAAGCATCGTTGAGCTTCATCAGCAGTTACATTACTGTGGTGCTTATTGTTGGGCGTTGTAGTAGTGCTGTTGTTATTATTGATCATGTTTGTAGTCGTGTTGGGAGTAGTTGCCGTAGGGTTTGTATTCAAAGATGTTGTTGTTGCTGTAGTGGTGTTATTGCCGTTCATATCGGAGTGAAGGCTATTTGAGGCTGACGACATACTGGGGTGAGGCATTGTTGTTGTTTTCTTTGATGAGGTTCTGCTGTTTCTCTTCTTTATAATGGTATTGTTGTTGATTGATCGGTATTGGTGTTGTTGTCGTTTTTAAGAGAGAGATGATGTTGTCAGGACAACTATTTCCCAATACAAATATATAAAAAGCACGAAAGTACTGGTGTTGATGGTGGTGGTACGAGTTCGCGATGATTCGTGGGACTCTTTTTGAATGTATTGAGGTTGCTCTATTGATGATGGAGATTTCAGATCAATAGAGATGTACTAGATTCACGATCAGTAGAGGCTCTAAGAGAATTAACCACTGTTGATGAGCTAGATTCCTTCGTCGAGAGAAAGAGAGAGAGGATAGAACAAGGTGTTCTTTGAGGAATGATGATCGCAACACAAGTTTAACGGAAATATCACGAACGAAGCGATGATGATGATTCGGCCTTTGTTGTTGTAGAACGACTCGTATGAGGGTTATTGTTGTTGTTTTTCTTTCTCAAGTAGGGAGAGAGTGATCCGTTGCGGTCTTATTGTTGTTGTTATGGTAGTGGTAGTGGTGGTGGTTGGATGGTTGGATGACTCGTTCAAGTGGAAAAGCGCTAGAATGCGAGTGTCTGACACTAGGCGACTGGATGGTGAGAATGGATGTCAAGTCTTTTCTTCGTGTTGTGCTGTCTGGTGGCAAACTCTTTGGTTTCGTTAAATATCAAAAACGTTTGACATGAGGAATGGCTTCACGTTTGGCAGTCCCTTCTGAAAATTAAATTAAGAGCGCGTGCTCTCTGTTTGAGAGAATTCTCCTCTTTGTCTTTTAAGAACAAAAAATTTTGCATTGCATATTGAAATTCAACCGATTGTGAAAATGTGCTTGAGTTGCCAGAAAAGGTCGATGAAGGCGCTTGGGTATACAAAATAATCACTTGACAACTGACTTACCTCTTGTGATTTCTTTGGTAATTTGTGTCAAGGCGCGAAGAGTATAGGGGTGTGATACGTCAGGTGACTTGTAAGTGCAATTCCCTTATCAAATCTTCATTAGAGGGGGTTCAGTTTAAGGGACTCGATGCAAGACATCCACTCAGAGGATGTGATATATTCTCCTTCTGTCGTAAATGCGGCGTATCAAAGGATTGTATCGGTTCATGTGCAAGGGTAATGTACAATGAGATCTCAATGGGGTTGACATTTAATCGAGAAGGTGGGTGTCAAAACTCTTGCAAAATTCAGCTTCCTTAACGACAAGAAAGGACTATGAGTGATTTCAAATGCCCTCATGTTGGAAACGAGGACTCTTCAAAAAGTCAATCTTTAATCTCAACATGGAACCTTAAGGAATTGGAGAGATGGCATCATGATGAATAGTGCTAACAAACATGAAGATTCCCTCTTTGAAAATTTGCTATTTCATGACCAGACTTCAATATTTCACATTTCTTCACCTATTCAACATTGATATACTCACCCACTCTCAATTAAAGCCACAAATGAATGCATTTGTTCACTTACTTCTTTCATCGTGATGACAATCACGGTTGAAATCTTGTAAAGCAGGCAATCAAATTCATCCAGCGACATGTCTGGTTGTATTGATTATTCAAGTTCATTAATGTGGAGAGTTTTGTCAGATCAAAACGGACCTGACAAAACTCTCCACAAGCGTCCAATGGTCGTTTTTGTCACTTGTGCGAATATCATGCGCGTGACTTTCTACTTTTGCCAAATGGGTTCTTTCAGATATTCGGCGAGATTTGCGTAGAACAACAAGGAACCGATCAAAGAGGAAGCACTTCCAAAGACAATGTCATCTGGAATACTGTGATTGTATACAATGTCATTGATTTTGCCCTTTTTTGTTGAGACATTTAGGATTGTTGTACAGGAGGATGGTTCTCCCTGGACTTACAGTAACGCTCATGAGTGGTCTTCTAGAAGATTAGTGGTCTGAGAAAAGAGAGGTACACTTCTTATGTGTAGTGGTTGTTATTATTGCTGCATGTTGAATACAAGAATAATCCTCTTCATACATGTGTCACAGAGCATTTACCAAGTAAAGCACATTGTCTATACAAACATGACAATGAAATATTCAACTGAACCCAACTTCAAGATGCATGAGCATACCCAATACAAAGAAATTCCACACTGAATTCAATGATGTGAGTTCATCACCCAAGTTCCAAAAGGAGTAAGGACAATTCTCTCTTTGTGCATAAAAAATTTCAAACAGGATACAACTGCCAATTTCACACAAGGCAATATAAAAACAATATAATAACCATGTGATTAAATTGGAAGAAAATAGTAATGATTCTTATAGGTATGACTACAGAAAGTTGCTGACTAGTGAGAAAGTATGTTAAATAGTTGGAAGTAGCCTTAGCAACTGCCATCAAGATCAATTCTTAACAGCCGGGAATGATTGTGACAAAAAGGAGTGAAAGGTTCAAGAATTCATCATCACTCAGTGCTTCTTCTGAAACCAATGTCAGTGAAACAATGGAGAATGCAAGACTTGTACAATAGGCTACGAAAATCGATTACTTCTTGTAAAATAGAGGACTGATTCAAAATGTTGCTTCTGCATTGATACCAAACGAATGGACTTTGCTCTCCACATATAATTTTGGGCTTGAAATGTATCAACCAGTCTGTTGGATTTGGAAACTTGGATTTCTTCGTGTTCCTGTCACAGTGTCTCTCTTGAATAACTTTCAGCATAGAAATTGGAATAGGTAGATGCAACTTGATTGGATTTGAGTTGGAAAATAGGCTTTCATATAAATTACTAAAATACCATAAGGTGCTGTCATATGCAAGGGTCACAAAATAATCTCGTCCAACACCAACCTCAATCATGAAAGTTGAATCTGTTGACATGTTCCCAAACACATCCATTGGAATTCTTATCCACGTTTTATCTCGATAGGACATATTCGAGTTGGTAATATCTGAAAAATAAACCGCTTGATTGCGAGTGAAGCGAGAGAGGAAATTGTTGATCAGGAGTCTACCAGAATCTAATACAATGACTGCAACGTTGTCAGCTGCAGAAAGCTCCACAATTTTTTCATTCTCAAACTTGACTTGTTGTGAAATTAAGTTTGCACAAACAATATCTTCCCTAAAATTGTAATCAAATCCGAAATAAAATCCATAATTTCGACCGTATCCGTAAAGTTCTCTTTGATTGTTAGCAATTATGAAAATATTATCCCACCCAGCTCTCACAAAATCAACTTGTACATTGAGATTGGAAAGTGATATTTCTTGAAATGTTCCCTTTTTCATGGGCACTTGAGAACATACATATTCATTGTCAAGATATCCATAAACTTGGTTTTTGGTGTTCTGGAAAAGCTCAAAAGAACCTCCTACTTGAAGGTCGAAAAAGTCATTCCCTTCACTAAGCACTACTAATTCATGAGTACTTGCTTTGATTACACGACCATGATTTGTAAGAAATATTAGGTGATCATAGGATTTAGAAATTTTCTCAACATATTCTCCATATTGAAGGACAAAACAAGCATGTCCAAAAATTGGATGTTGTGAAATCAATGATTCTTTCTTAGAAGAGTTGGGAAGCTTTAAATTAAAAAGAATTCTGAATCCCAATGAGAAATAATCTCCAATGAATGTGTTGCCATGTGTATCTCGTTTCGTTTGAATCCAGGATTGATAGAGATGTAAGAACTCTTCAAATAATTCACATTTCGGCAGAATGATGAAGATGGGAAAAGATTTTGAACTAGGACTACCCCCAAAAAACGATACAGCTCTGAATTTCTCATGCCAAACCTCAGAGAAATACAGATTTTTGCATGTCTCTTTCCATTCGGGGTGATCATGAAGAAATTCTGGCATCACGTACTCGTTCAATGATTTTTCCATCAGTAAAATATGATAATCATGGAAGCGAAGATTCACATCTTTCATACGAGTTGAAAGGTTCCAAACAATGTTTCCTGACGCATGGCTAGAAAAAGAGTCATCAGTTCTTTCAACGAAATTCGTGCTTTCTCGAAAGACTAATTTGCTGGTGGGCCGAAGTGGATACACATGATTTCCCACAAAATCGTAGGAAGAGGGTGGAAAAGGATGAACATCAACACATGTTTTTAGGCGTGGTGATGATGAGATTCGGGCCTGGACATTCAATCCATCATGATCGCCTGCGTGTTGGTCTCTGTTTGGTGGCATGGCAAATCTGAGATGTGTGCTCGATAATTTCTTTTAAAAATATCTCGGTGTGACTTTGATTAGTGTGTTCTGGTGAGTCCTCTGGCCTCTCGAGAATTCAGCAATAGTGAGTGTTGGCTTGCAAGAGTCAACCAACAATTCCAACGAGGTGACTTATTCCTTGTCTGTAATTCCAACTAGCACATAATAGTATTCCATGTTCTTTTCAGATGCAGACCATTTGAAGTTACACAGCAAAATTTTGTCCCAAATGGAGCCATTGAAAAAGTATTTGAACTCGGCGAACGGAGGATTCTTGTTAATTCTTGAAATTAATGAAGAATTGTCCTCAATAGTGATTTTAGAATGAGAAACAGTAGTGCCAGAACTCCAACATGCATCTGCTTTTGCAGAATCCAATTCATACAGGTTAATACAAATGCCACTTGAAAATTCCAACAAATTTTCAGTGTTGATAATATCGATATTATTTACATCAAACGAGGGAGGCATATTATTTTTGTGACTCTGCTTGTGATGAATTATTGATTTCCATGATTGAATCGTTTCAATGGCCCAACTCTCAGCCAGTGAATTTTCAGGTCTCTCTGCATAAGCTCCACCATAAAGAGCCAAATCGGAAAGAACGTTCAACAATTCCTGTTCACTATTCATTCGTACGACTGCTTTGTTTTGAATATTTCGGAGCAAAGTTATTGGAATTTGCAAGTCATTTGAAAGAATAATTTCTTCCTCGTAAGGTCTTGTATGTTTGCTCTTGAAAATATATAAAAAAGCTTCTCCGTTTGATTGATAAAGTACATGATTTATGAATTGAAAAAGTGCCTGATTGGAATGATCTTGATGAAGTGATTTAGTTTTAAAAATTAACTCCAAATCCTTCATCGTCATCAAAGAGTTGGAATCGTGATCGTCCTCATGACATTGGTTGTTCTTGTCATGTTGAATATGTGCTCCATGGATGATATTATGATGATATAATTTCCTTGTTGAGAGATTTTGTGTAAACAATGATTTTGAAAGAAGTAAAAAACTAAATCTCGAGTTTTTAATTCCGAAACAAAGTTTAAGGGAAGACTGAATCGATGCGACTTCTCTCCGAAATAACTTGTGCATTTTTTTTATCTTTAGTGTAAGATCTTCCAATTCATTAAATATTGATTTAGAAATGACTTCTTCTTTTGCGTATCTCCTATCCATTCATTTCATCCGATCTCGCGAGGCAACTCACTGGTCACTTCATTTTCACCAATTTTCAGGAATTTCCTTCTTTTTTCTTTCCAACTCGTTTTCACTCCACGCAACACCTTTTCCACAATAAACTCGGCACAAGAGTGTGTTTCTCCAGAAAAAAAACGAACAAAAAAAATATATCCACCACTACGGTTCAGAAACCAAACAAGTTGAACTTTAGCTCTCCAACTATTCCCACTCCGTAACAGGAATACTTACAACACTTGGACTCGCTCATTATTGGCCATGAACGTTCATCAACGAAAAATTCTCTCTTCCGGTGCACTCATATTGGCAGTGGTATACTCCCTTCTCGTCATTGTCGGGATGATGACCTTCGGAGTGGAGGCTCAAAAAACCTATTCCATCACTTCCTACAGTTCTCAAGTGAGTGTTGGAACAGCCTCTTCGTGCTATGTCAATGTGGTTGAAACGGTGGAATATGCTTTTACTGGATCCTATTCCACAGTGGCTCGTGCTGTACCATACACAATTGCTCTTGATATTCCATCATCTTCTGTGAAAGTAGATGTATTGACACCTGGATACTCTGTGTCGTATACGACCGTAACTTCTGAAGCAAATGCCTATTACATTACTTCCACTCTCTATCCATCCACACCATCTGGAGCGACAACAACCATCAAAATTCGCAGATCTTATACTGTGAAGGGGCCAATCACAAAGAATGTAAGTAGTACAAAATTCACATTCTCAATAATTTTGATTTGAAATCAATTGGTGTCATCTTTGACAAATTCGATCTGCAACAATGATCAATGTTGAAACCCATCCCAATGACAACGGCAAAATCATGTGTATGTGCACAACTCATCATTTTCAACTGCACACATTGATATATTTGCCTCAATTTTGACTTTTTCACAATGATTGTCTCTTTCAGGGCAATAACAATGTGGTGACCTACTACTACAAAGAAGCAAGTGATGTTACCAATTTGAGCGTTTCATTTGTCTTTGACAGCTCACTCAACTTGAATTCCAATGATTTGACAGCATCAAGTGGAGGTGTTGTCTCTGGAACCACTGTAACCTATTACAAATCATCTTTAATTTCCAACGGTGAATTTATTCCTTATGTATCATTCCCTGTTCGTTCTCAATTTGATTCATGTGCATCATCTCCTGGAATAGGCATTGGAACAATTATTGGAATTATTTTCGCTGTCATTGTATTTGTAATTTGTGCAATTGTTTGCAGTATTATTGGCTTCTTCAGACGTGTATTCTACCGTCCAAGCTACGGATTTGGATATTATGGATTTGGTCCAACTTATTATCAAGCTGATCCTGGTTTCCATCATCACCACCACCATCACCAATCTGGAGGTCATCACCATGGTGGAATTACCGGAACTTCAGGTTTTGCTCATTAAAGCAATACACGATAAGGTGATTCTCGGTGTACACACCTTTTCTCTCCCAAGCACAAAGTGACACTTGTAAAAAAGCTGTTTGTGATTTATTGAATAAATTTACTTATGAATGCACTTTTACAGGTGAACCCTATTTATTGAATCCGCACTGCATCCATATTCATTGAATGAACCCTATTTGCATCCATATTCAATTGGCAGCAACAGTCCTATCAATCCTTTGCTCCTGATCCACCACTACCATTCATGGAATCATTCACCTTCTCAGCCAATCCATTCAAAAGGATAGATAAAGCTCCTGTCACACCTCTCAGAGGAGAAACAATCATTCTTGCCAACGAACTGGTGGATCTTGGAAGTGAAATGATAGCAACCATTCCTTGTTTCAATTCACTCAATGCTGCCGGTACGACATACCGTCTCAAGGAGTTATTTCTAGAAGAAGAGACAGAACCAATTTCCACTTTCTCGTCCTCTGTTAAATAATTATCCACTCTTGTGCACAACATGTGCATACTATCCACGGTTGCCGCAGTGAACAAGGTCGAGTTCACAGTCACAGTCGATAAAAAGTTCGAAATACCCATTTGAACACCTCTCAACATGCCTCCATCTTTTTGATATTCTCTCAATGGGATGACAATCAAATCTGAAGCTCCTACTGCAATATTATACAATGATTTTATAGTCCTTAATCCCAAAAGTAACTTGAATAAATCCACTGGATTTTTGAAATGATTTAAAATGTGTTGTGTGATGCATTCCACAAGTTTGTCTTTACCAAAAATGGGATTCTCTCTTGGAACTATAAATCGTGTGAAATTCATGCATGCATTCTCAACGCGTGGAATGGGTAAAAGTGACAATGCTGAAGGATAATAATTTAAATGAACTTCAACCGTTTCAATATTCACATGCTCAAAAATGTAAGTATCTTGTGCAACGGAATGATCTTCCTCATGGATGTCGTCTTGCTCTTGTTTCGTATCTTCTTGATGGCCTAAACTCTCTTTTGAGATTTCTGAACAGCCAGAATGACATGACATGGAAGTCGAACTGGAATTCTGAGAAGAGTCCATTTGGAGATGAGATTCAGAATTCTCGAAAAATTTTGTGACGAAGTCAACGAAATGTTCATGAACACTGAGCATGATTGGAATTACATCCAATTCAAGTTCAATTCTTGTTCGTTGGCTCACATCCTTTGAAAGTTTCATTTCCAGTACTGCAAATTTTCGAGTGTCCTCTCGTGTCACATATTTTGTGAGTAATTTACATTTTGAACTTGTGGTTTTTGTCATGTCATAAATCTCCAAGTCCGCAATACAGAGAGTGAGAGAAGACGTTTCAATAATTTCATCATCCTCACTCTCATTTGAATGATTGAGTGGTTCGAATATTAAATAATTCACTCCAAGGCCTTGAATCATTGCACATGCTTTTTCTATTTGATTCTCAAATACGTGCACAAATATATCCACATTGGACTTTATATTGATTTGTTGTGCAATGACCGATTTCAAAGAATGTGTCTCCATTGGAGAATTTTGATTAGCAAAATAATTTTCAGAAATGTTCAAGGGTTTCGGTCCAAGTACAACAAAATCGTCTTCCGTTGATTCAACTGTTTTTTCCTTCATCGTGGATCTAAATGTTTCCTCCGATTCCAATAATGAAAATTCGTCGGTCGTTGTGTAATTATCGTGGACTAAATGATTAGCTGCAACGACTGGTGACACATAAACGGATTGCTGTGACAGTGAAGCGGAATGAAATGCATTTTGAATATTTTCTGAAATGGATGTTGCAATACTCGTGAGTCTTTCAATGGAATTCTTTTGAAGGAAAATATGAAAAGTTCCATTCGAAATATTCAAGTGAGAAAGCTGTGAAGAATTCTTCTTCAACGTTCCATCTATTTGAATGTGATCCAATGAGAGCAATTCTGTAAATTCAAGAAATTTCATTTTCGAAGTAAATCCAAGTGAAAAATTTGAATGTTCCAAAGCCAGTGTGGAAGACATTGAGCTTCCAGATAGTGAAGGGCCTACAAGACTCTCCAATTCATGTAAGGTGCATTTAAGAGAATAAGAGTTGCAAAGAGTAGAGCTCAGTAACTCTTCTGTGGATGTCTTCATGGAAGGATATGAAACAATTGAAGGATGTCTCACAGACCATTGGTCACCTCTTTTTGATGATGAATTAAAGGTGGAGTTTAAGGCACAATTTAACTCTCGAATGTACAAGAGAAGAGTTCCATGTTGAACGGAGCGAATCGCAAGAGTGGTGTTGTGAAAGATTAGTTGAAGGGAGTGGAGAATGTTGTGAACAGGTGTTTGCGTTATCGTCATCGTTTCAAGTTGTGAATGGTCTTGATCTGAAGCGTTTGGAAAGAAATCCTGCAAGAATTGAACATTCTCTAAAGTATGGTCCGCACAAATATCTATAAATAAATTACTGGTATCCAGTGTGACACTTGTTCCGTGCACATCTTTTCTGGTCACTAATTGAATCATATTTTCTTGAATGTTTTGAAAAGGTTTGGCTAATAGAGGTTGTTGAGAAATGATGAATGTCGCCACCTTGTGTGAATTGTACTCGAGAAGTTCAATTGTTCCAATAGAGATACTGCCGATAGCCTGTTGTAAGGCCGAAGTTTGTTCATAGTTTCCATGCACATGTTTCAATAGGAGTTTAAGGTAGCGTTTAGTGATGTTAGAGTAGTCTCCAGTTTTCAAAAGTCTAATATCTATTGTGTCAAAGGAGTATTGTAATGAAAAATTATCACCTGTTGTAGAAGTTTGTATTAATTCTCGAGCTTGGGAATTATCGAAGGTAATTTGTGACAAATGTTTTTCAAGCTCACAAGATATCACACTTGAAATTTCTTGAAAAATTGGCATCAATGTATGAAAGTCATTTCTTGAAAGCTCAAAGCATATGGCATGAATCGTAAGAGAAGGGTTCGCAATATTGAGTGATAGTTTGGAAATTGATACAATATTCGATAGAGACATATCTACACTGTTGTTCATCAACTCAACCCGTGTGGAAAAAATGTCAAACGTAAAATCAGACTGTGACTGAATGATGGATAACCATACTTTCATGACTGGGATATTATCTTCTGAAAGAATGTCACAATGAATATATCCAATGTAAATATTTGGGCACTCCGTGATGGTGTTACTCGTTCTCGCAGTTTTCACATGCATGTAGTGATTTTTGCTCATTTCTCCTAAATAGGTTTGATGCAGCGATTGAATTTTAAAAAATAATCCCAATCCTTCTGTTATTAAGGTAATTAATTTGATGGAGACCTTAATTCTCGAAATGTGTATACTTGTTGATTTTGTAGCGTCTGGAAGATAGATAACGTCAGACTCTTCAATTTCATTGTGTGCTTCAGGTGTTTCATGTGAATGCACTTGATCGAAAATGTGTATTTCATGAATTTTCAAGGTTGTTCTTGTATCAAGTGAGTGACCTTTGAAAGAAGATTTGTAAGACAAATTGAGATCATTCAAATGGCATTCCACATAAGGCACCGAGAGATTCTTTGGAGAGACTTTTCCGTATGTTTGCTCCCATTCTAAATCGACTTGATCTCTAAACAGTAGAATTCCAATAATTTTCCTTGTCGTAAAACTGAAGTTGACGTCATACATGGGAAGCTCTTTTCGTATGGGGGAAGAGGGAACTTCAGTATTTACTGATCTCTTCACATTGTGGTTCACATGTCCTTTTGGAGAGAATGGAGACGTTTGCTGTTTCTTAAACACAAACGAAAAAATTCTCAACAACCGTTCAATGCTATTTGGATTCAAGAAAAGTCTCGCCTCCACACAGTGCAACGAAATATCGAGAAGATTTTTGGAGGAATCAACACGTACCAACAGTTCAAGTGCTCCATTGGTATACAATAAATTACTCTTCATGATATTTTCTGTGTGAACATCTAATACTCGGACAAAAAATCCAAATTTCACATACAATGAATAAATATAACTCTTTCTCTCAGAGCTTGTCCATAATTGATCTGTCTTATCTGCATATTCAATATGTGGTATCACAATAGATAAAACATCTTCGTTAGGCATGTTAATATTGGCTGTCACATTGAGAATCGAAACAGAAATGCTCGACAATAAAGTGTCCACTGTCTTGAATAGAATTTCATGTCCTTGTTTGAAATAAGGATCATTCGACAGACTGTTTGGGGGAGAAGCATTATCTGCATTCAAGGGTGAAGACAAGTCCATCCCACTCCACAGTGGTGACGATGGATTATTTTCTGAAAATCCAGACCAGTGAGAACTGCTCACAAATTCATAATTGATCGAAGGTAGTTGTGAACTTTCCAAATTGACATCACTATTGCAATCAATACCTTGACTTGAATCTTTCCATTGCACATCTAAAAACACTCCATCCAACACAATCTCTACATGAGTCATATTGAGAGAAATAAAAATCGAAATGCAACGAATTTCTCCTCGTTGAATGAACAAATTTCTACTCCTCAAACATTGTTGATTCAAGGCGGCGGTTTTTAAAGTCAAGGAATGAATTTCAAAGATGTGAGAACCATCATGATGATTCTGAGAGGATAGATGATTGGTTTTTGATTCAATTTGATCGGTGGTGATTTCTTCAATGAAGGGCCACAGGACGGATCGTTTTAAAAGCATTAAAACAAGGCTTTTGGGAGGAGAAAAAACTCCAAAGAGTTTGTTGAGCAACATCAGAGTTTTTCGTATTAGAGGACTGTAATTAATAATAATAATACTAAATGATATTTAAAATTGTAATGATCATGATCTTTTTAAAGATCAACAGCTCCTCCGAAGGTTCGATGATCCCTGAATGCAAAAAAGATGATCTCTCGATTTATGAATTTTTGAAATAATTAGTTGCGTTCAAGTGCAGTTGTTGTTGCAAATTGTTTGATTCGACAAAAATCGTGTGTTTGGAATTGTTTTTCTAATTCGCTATTTTTTTGTTCTATCTTTGGTTTTCGCGATTTCGCTGTTTTCACGATTAAACGAACCTTAAGATCGTGAAAAATTGGTTCCTAAACTTTCATCTTGGGCAGTCCTTGTTGCAATTTCAACGAATTAAATATCCAACATTTCATCCGATAGTCAAAATGTTTCAGTGAAACAGATATTTCAGAATCCGTCAACCTTCTCCAAATAGATCCAAAGCTTCCTCCCCTTCTGAGCTCTTGGTTGTTCATGTCTCCTCTGACACATGGTGGTATTTGGAGCTTCCCTCGGCAGAGAATCGTCGCACAGGAATGATGGTGATAGGTTGGATGTGAGGTTATTTTAAACCTTAGAAAGTTTTTTAAGGTTTTTTTTGTAACGAGTTCATCATCACCTCAAAAGCTCTTTGGAAAAACAAATTCCATTCAGAAAGAGCTTGAAGGAGAGTATTTTGAATGAAGAGAGTCTGTGCAGATGTTTGTGCAGAAGATGCGAGTTCAGGAATGCACAAATGCTGGTCATGGTGAAACAATTTTCAAATTGCACCCAAAAAATGTCAACATTCACACCACCACCATTCCGAGAGTCTCCTCATGAATTTATGGGTCTGTGCCTTCAAGACGTGGTGAAAGCCTTGCTCGAGTACAATCATGGCTCTAATTTTCGAATTGAAGCAATTTATTTATTCGGATCGAGATTGTATGGTGTTGAACGTGTTGAACAACAACAAGTTCATGATGTTCAACCTTCCCATCCAATTGCAACCACGAGATCAACAACCATCACCACCAACGGAATGGCTCTTGATCAGCACCACCTCTCTGATTATGATTTTATTATTATTACCAATCGAGGATCGATCGAGAATCGGCCATCACACCAACAACATGACAACCATTCCGAGTGCATGATTCTTCCCGATGATTCCCGATTGACTTTGGAACTTGTGGTGAAAGATCGATATCATTTGGATTGTGTCGTGATGGATATTTCTTCCTTTCTTCTCGATACATTTATTGAGCAACACAATTATAAGGCAATTTTACCATTATGGCTTTCGGATCAAAACACCAGTGATTATGTTTGGTTTGAGACACCTCTCATGAAATTGATTCGAAAGTTTTGGTTGGCAAATTTGAATGTTCGATTAAGACAAATTCAAAGAGGACTCACGTTGTGGTGTCGTATTACAGCAAAACGATCGTTTTATGATGGAGATTTGAGAAGATGTCGAAAGAATTTATTACATTCCATTCGATATTTGAAATATGCCTATCAAATTGTGAGACAACACAAAATTAGCAAGTATCGAAATGCAAAGAAATTTTACAAATTATTCTTTGAAAATACAACTGAGTTTACGACATGGGAACAATATGAAGAAATATTTCGACCTCTTCATAAAAAGTTTAAAACACGTCTCAATGACACGTGTTATAACTTGTTCAAGGATGCAGACAATGAAACATCTTTGATGGACGACACTATGGAATCATCTTCATTGAAATTTATGGATTATATTGAAAAACATCCTTTGAGAGAACTTTCGAGAAATTTTTCAATTGTGATCGCTCCATTATTTGAATCTCAGAATGAGAGAGAACAGAAAAATAGAGTATTACAGGATCATGTATGTGGATGCTATGAATATTCAGCTCTTGACATTGTCAACTCTTGGCCACAGATCGAACAAGAATTGAATCAAATTTTTGAGAAAGTGTCACCAAGAGACATTATTCAACAAGAGACTCAAACTTCACCTTCTCTTTTGAAATTGATTACTCATCGAGAAGTTCACAAAAGATTGGATAAATTGATTCCTCTCAGAGAGTGCTGGAATGGATCTGTTCTTTCATACGAATTTCCACAATATTGGAACGATTTAGATCATTTCTCTCATGATTTTCATTTAAAACTCGTTGCACATTCCTACAATTACTTTTTCCAATATGACGCCGATGAGTGTGTGAATATGCTTCAGGAAGAGAATTCTCACGAGTCGTCATGTATCACAGTGACTAGGAAATATTTGGGAACCATGTATATGCTTTTTTATTTTAATCATGAATGGAGAATAAGCACGAATCAAGTCAATGAGGATTGGAAGTATTTATTTTCAAGAAATACACACTTCAACAATGATATTCAACAACAATTTTGGGAAATTTTTCACAATTCTGGGTATGAATTACCTTCAGAGACACATATGTGTTTCATGTTCACCCTTACTTTTAAACCATTTCTCAATGATGAACGCACACAAACTCCATCACAACAGAGACAACAACAATATTTAATTGCACACGGATGTAGAGACATGATCACACTTAAGGAACAATTTATTGAGACCTATGCAACACGATATCATTGGCAAACAGCCGAAGTGGTTGAAATAATTCCAAAACAATCGTATTTGGAAATGATGAAAAACAACAAGTACAAACCCAAGAAACGACCTCCAACATCAAATCCATGGAGAAAGAAACCAGATGATCTTTGTGTGAATTTACCACTTTTACCAATATTCGAAAAGTATATTGATGAAGCCAATGATTTTTCCAAAAACAATCCTCAACTCTTTTCTGGATTTGTTCTTTGTGATGAACAATTCAATAGAATCAAAGTGGAAACATCCATCTTTTACAATATGGGTCAATTAGAAATCTTTAGAGATAGTGAAACACAGGAAGAAAGTGTAGACTCTGAAAACAATGAAATGCTCATCATTGAAATGATTCGAAATTTGAGAACTTTCCAAGAGGAAGGTATTAATGATTTATTGTTGAGTTTGAATCATTGTCCAACCATTCATCATACTTCTCTAGTTTCTACTTCTTCAGAGACACATTCTTGCATTAGTACTCGTGTTGATCAAACATACGTTCGGGGGATGCCCGTGGACATTGCTCTTGTGAAACATTTTGTTCCTGCCTTCACTGACATGTATATGGATTTTAGAAATATTTTCAGACTTGCTTGTCACATGATTGATCATGTTTATCATTCCTCATTGAAAGAACTCGATCACAGATTACAAAAAGGTGTCATTTCTGAAAAGGAGCTCAACAAAACCTTTCCTTCAATCATTGAGGAGAAGAGTCCAGTCACGCGACACTTTCCCTTCATGTTCATGAGAAAACATGGTATTGACACTTGTTTTGAATTGTTCACACGAAAACACAATTTACACACAGAGGCCATTCATGGATTTCTTATAGAATGTAAACAAAAAATAAGTAAGATTGTATTTCAATTGTCCAATCGTGGTGATGAAACATTCACACAACAATGAGTGAATGTTCTTGTAATTCAAGAAGGTTTGAGTGTTTAAGAATTAAACGTTTACAAAAAAATTTAAAAAAAATTTAAAAAAAATTAGTCAAGCTATTATTCCGACCTCCATCCGTCTTCATGAAGAGAATTCTTCATCACGCGACGAATGATGATGGCGATCATCAGATCCGGACCATCAATACATTCATTCTGGAATACATACTAGATTTGGTGCAAAATGAGCAATCAAATATTCCTAAGAATGATCTCACTCAATCGTTTATTCAATTAGTATCGAAAAATTATGATGAGAAAGATTTTGTTCTCCGATTGCGATTATTGAATGAAAAATTTAAAGAGTTACGTTCAAAAACTTTATTGACTTTAGAAGATGAGGATGATGATGATGAATTAAATTCAAAACGATTGAACTCTTTGAAAAAATTATTGAATGAAATAAGCCCAAGTCAATTTTCACAACTATTTCCGAATGCCTATTTTGGAAAGGAAGAGTACTTGTCGAAACTGAAAAAGTGGGACCAACGTTTGTCAAAAGCTCGAGGTGATCTTGACTCAAAAAGAGAATCTCTAGAAAAAATTATAGGATATTCTTCGGTGTTGTGTAATTCACTGGGATCACCAAGAATTGTCGATGTGTTTTCTTCATTATCATCCTCATCATTATTAATTAATAATCATCGTAGCAATGGAGAGACATTGCTACAACCAACCAATGATGATTCACATCAGCATGAAGAAGGAAATATTGAGTCTTTTAAAAATGGCTCACAAATAACGACTCCATCTAAGACAAAAAAACAACAATTAACACCATTTTCAACTCATGTGAAAAATGGTACTCTAACACAAATGGACGAAACAGGGGACGAACAGTCGAGTATATTACAACCTTCAACGTTAAATTTCGATGTTGGAGGGGACAATTATGAAGGATTTGTAAACACAGAGAACCAAAGTGATCACACAGATTTAATTGTTATTAAGGACGATGAGGACTTGAGACAAGAAAATTTGAGGAAACGAAAATACTTTGAAGGAAGTTGTTCGTTTATTGGGTTAAAGAGAGCCTTAAAAGTAAGTGATGGACATTCATTGTTGCATCGTTTTGGTGCCAAGTCCTATTACTGTCACCTGTCACATTTATTCACAGAAATAATGCCAACAAGTACAATCGATTAGACACGTCTTTCACATTCAGTGACAGTATTTGCACCAAATTTGTCACAAGCAGAGTAGATGAAGACGGCGATGATATTCCAACAAGATCTATCTCTTCACCTCCACGACGAACCCGAAAACAAAAACCAATTCCGTATGAAAAATGGCAACCCAACGAATATGGACAACCTGGAAGATATTGGACGCAAAGAGAGCTTGATGCTCTAGAGAGAGGTTTTGATCTCTATGGAAAGGATTTTAAAAGAATTTTACAAGAATTCAAATCAGACTTTCATCCAGTACGAACACATGTTAGTTTGATGAGGAAATGTAAAAGACAATTCCCAGAAAAATTTTCAAATCTAAGAAAGAAAGTAAATGACACTAGAGAAGAAGAGCAAGAAGAGAATGATGACGATGAAGAAGAGGAAGAAGCTTCATCATCAGACACGCAGGACAATCAAAGAAACAAAGTTTTATCCTAATACCTTTATTCATTTATTTTTGAAACCATGAACCAATTCTATCACTTTTACATTTTTATTTTGATTTGAATATTGGAGAATGTTCATTGTTTATTTACAATTTGTTGGGAACGGAGGTCTATTTGTTGGATTCTTCATTTCTCTTCTCCAAAATAACTGCCTGTACATCCTCATCATACAACAAATCCAAATAAACATAATCTATTGCTTTGATATTTTGCTTTAGTGCTTCTATGACTATTTCCTTATCTTTGCAAAAACTAAAAAGAGCATATTTCAAGGCAAGTCCATGATATTTCACTGCTTTCAAAACAAATTCTCTATCATGCTGGAGCCTGTATGAAGCGAAAAAGAGTGCATGTTCACTCTTTTGAATGAGCTCATTCATCAATTCTTCATTATTCGAAAGATTCAATAATGAATGAGCTAATGCTGATGGATTTTGCTTCACTGCCGTCATTACAATTTCCAAATCTTTTCGATATCTAATTGGAGCATATTGCAAAGCAGTGCCTGTACTTTCCACTGCTTCTAGAACAATTTCTCTATCGTTCCATAACGATTGGTCATTAACATGCTTCAAAGCATCTCCAATTTGTTTCACAGACGTCAAGACAATATCTCTATCATCGCTGAAATGACCTTTAGGAAGAGCTTTTCCATTTTGTTGAACAGCTGCCATGACAATTTCACGATCTTGCTTGAATTTAGCAATGAGATAATTAAGAGCAAGACCGTTCTTCTTCACGGCATGCAATGCAAAGTTTCTGTCATTTTGAAATGTCTCTGAGGCATAGGAAATGGCCGTTTCATGTTTTTCTACTAGTTCTGTCATGAATTCTCGATCTTCTCTCAGATTGAAATATTGGTCATGGATTACTATTTCAGGACAATTTCTTGCTGCTTCCATAACAATTTCCTTATCTTTCCAAAGTGAATCAACAATTAACAAGGTAAGAATATTTCCAGACTTTTTTACACCTGCTAAAACAATATCCCTATCTAGCTGCTTAGTATCCCATGTTGTAAGAAAATAAACTTGGTCAGAATTTTCAAGAGCTTGTAATATTACTTTTTTGTCATTGATCACTTCAGGAGAGGTGACATATTGTAAGCTGTCACCTTTCTTTAAAATTGCATGTGTAATAATTTCAGAGTCATTTCTCAATCGAGCACTTGCTGCAGATAACGCATCCCCGTAGTTGCTAACAGCTTGCAATACAATTTCACGGTCATCTCTGAATGATGGCTCAGCAAGTAACAGGGCACGTCCACAACGTTTAACAATATTCATTATAAATTCTTTTCATTATTTCCTTGTCACTGAAAACATCAAGTCCAGTAGCAAGAAACATGGATTTAGGATCTCTGTTGATAGCATGAAGTATAATTTCCTTGTCTTTTCTAAACTCTTCATCTGCAGCAAGAAAAGTCAATACACTTCCTGTTTTGATAGCCGTAAATATTATTTCTCTATCTTTTAACATGTCTTTGCCCAGATAAAACACAGCGTTTGGATTCTGTTTAACAGCTGCCAATGCTATATCTTTATCGTTCTTGAGTGAGGCATCAAGATAGCGAATAGCAGAACCATTCAATTTGACTAATTCTAACGCGAAATCTTTGTCCTTCTTAAGGTCATCACAACAGGTAATTAACACTTGCAAATTTTGAGAGGCAGCCATTAAGATGACTTCCTTGTCTGCTTTCAACTCTGGCGACGTGTAATAATAGGAGTCATACTGCGATTTGAGGGCAGTCAGTAAAATTTTTCTATTACATCGCAACGATTTTCTTAAAAAACGGAATTCATATGGATTACGTTTCACAATCTCTAATGCTACTTCTTCATCGTTTAACAAATCTATATCAACATTTTCGAAAGAAGAAGAGCTACGAATTGTTTTGGCTGCAAGAATCATTAACGATTTGTCAATTTTTCCATGAGCAAAATCGAGTGCAATTCCATTTTGTGTTATTGCTTCTCGAACGATTTCAGGGTCGCTTCGTAAATGTGAAGCTGCAAATTCCAAGGCTTCTCCATTCTGTTTCACAGCAGCCAACACAATCTCTCTGTCACATTGCAATGATGAATGTGCAAACTCTAAGGCTAGACCTGACTTTTTGACAGCGTAAAGTACAACTTCCTTATCGTGTTTGAGTTCGTGACTAAGATACTTGAGCGGAGTGGAGCCATTATCAATTCCATATTTGAATGCTTTCAATGCTAAATCACGTTTTTTTCGAAGTCTTTCGCTTGCGTGTCTGAGAGCATCTCCATTCTGTCTTACGGCCATTTCCACAAGTTCCTCATCGTCTTGGAGGTCAGGTGAGGCAAATTCTAAGGATAATGGGTCGTTTTTAAGGGCTGTCATTACAACTTCTTTGTCATTTCTAAGAGAGAGAGGTACATAGGAAAGGAAGGATCCATTTTGCTTTACAGCAAGTAATGCCAGCTCTTTGTCTGCTTTCAATAAATAATGTGCATGCTGATAATTGTATGTATCATGTTCAATTAGCTTTTTTACAACCTCTCGATCTTGTCTCATTGAATGATCCAAACTTTCAATATATATATATGAAAAGAATTGATCTTTGTCAAGGAGTTCCATCACAAGGTTCTTATCTTTCCTAAATTTCTCATCTACATATTCTATGCATGCAGGTGAAAATCTAAGAGCCTTCATTACAAACTCTTTGTCTTTCTTCAATCTGCTACTTGCATATTTCATTGCTTCTCCAGTGTCAAAAACGGCTCGTTCAACGACCTCATTGTCATCTTTCAATGCTTCTCCAACATACATCAATTGAGTGCCATTGATGATGACAGCCAAAAGTGCCACCTCCTTATCGTGCCTTAATATGTCGCTAGCATAGCGGAACATGTTTGGTTCCGTTAACAGAACCTTCTTAAGTAATTCTTTATCGTTTCGTAACTCTGCATCAATGTACCGATAAATTGACGTGTTTCCTTCACCAATCATTTGCATGATAAAGTCTTTATCATTCCTCAGCGAAGAATCAGCATATCGAAAATAATGCGCATTGTGATGGACGGCTATTTTGACAAGTTCCTTGTCTTTAAGAAACGCACTATCTACGTGCAGTAGAAGAGAGGGATCTTTTCGAATCGATTCGATAACAATCTCACGATCTTTCGCCAACTCGTCAGAAACATACTCTAAGGCATACGCATTGCTTGTGACACATCCCATAACGATTTCCTTAAGATTCAAATTACAATGAATTGATGTTCAACATATATAAGGTCAACAGATTGTCAATGAAGTATATATTCAATGGTTTGACATACCTTATCATTGTTCCACTCTTTACCAAATCGTATGATTGGAGACTTTACTCTTGTTGCTGCATCAAGAATAAATTCTCAGTCTGAAACAAGTTCTGGTGGCAAGTAGTTGTAATTAGATGCATTATATACCAGAGCGATCATGGCCAAGTTCTTATCTTTTCGCAACTCGAAAGGAATGGATGCAAAAGAGGCACCTGACTTTAATGCACACTTAATCACCTCCATGTCATTTCGCAATTGATCGTTCAGGGATGTGTAGAAATGTAAATTATATCTTTTGGAACCATACAACAAGATAATTTCTTTGTCTTGCTTAAACTCCATTGGAACTTGACCATAGGAAAGGCTTGCTCTTATGGCTGACTCGACAAGTTCTCTATCTTTTTTCAGTGCAACAGGAACATATTGTAATGCTCCTCCATCGGAAGATAGAGCGTGCATGATAAACTCCATGTCACTTCTAAAAGGTTTCCACAATAGTCCAAATTGATAAGGCTGATGTTTCATAAATTCCAGCATGATTCGCCTATCTTGCCGAAATTTCTCATGGAAATCTGTAACAGTCAAACAGTATGCATCGCGTGAGCTCACAGCTAACCATGCTAGCTCTTCATCCTCCTTTAAACTGTCATCTATATATTTGTAATTCACGCTACGCAAGTCAATCGCTTGTAGGGCTAACTCTCTGTTTTTCTTCATTACAGGTCCAACATATTTATAATTGGTGGGTTCGGAAAAGATTGCCACTTGACACACTTCAAAATTGTCTCTCAAATCAGCACTGGCAAATTGAAGTGCACAACCATGGGATTTCACAGCCTCCATGACAACTTCAAAATCGTGTTGCATTTCAGTTGACACGTATTGCAAACAATCGCCGTTCATTTTGACCACCTCGAGCACCACTTCTCGATCTGCTCTTAGTTCAGTACTTGCGTGCATGAAACCATCGAAATACGAGCCACGCAACACAGTGAAAAGAATTTCCTTATCTGACTTCAACTCATCAGCTATAACGTCATACAAATATCCGTTATCTCGCAAAATGTTCAAAACAAGACTTCTATTCGATCTAAACTCAAGACCGAGGTATCTGAGTGCGGATGGTTGACTCTCCAGAGCAGCCATTACACAACTATTGTCCCTTTTCAATCGATCATCAGCATAGCGTATAATCTCACCTCCCAAACGATTGATGGCTAGTAGCACGATTTCCTTGTCGTTAATGAATTTACTACTGAGTTGCGATAATGGGCAGCCACATCTAACTGCCTCCATAACAAACTCCCTGTCATTTCGTAAATCTTCTCCAGCAATATCAAATGACCATGCATTTTGTTTGAGGCATAAGGTGACAATTTCCTTGTCATTATAGAACTCGCGTGGAACTCTACTCAAATCACAACCATGCTTCACAGCCTCCAATATCATGCTTCTGTCTCCCTTAATATTATCACCGGCATCAGACAAACTGTTATTGGAAAACAAATGATTTCACGCAATGGTACCATTGATTAGATTACCATAATAACGTCACATATTATCACACTTGAAGAACACCAATCATAAACATACCAAACTGGTTCAGATTTGACAGCGAGAAGAAACACTTCCCTGTCACTCCTAATTTCATCTGAAAACTGCTGAAATGCTTCCCCTTCAATAGAAACAGCAGCAAGAGCTACTTCTTTATCGTTTTTCAAATCATCACCGATGTGATTATAGGCATGACCTGGACACTCTTTGAGCACTTTTAAAACAAACTCTTTATCATTTCGCACACTTTCATCCGCATATTGAATGGCCTCAGACATTGAAGAACAAGCTAAAAAGACCAATTCACGATCCTTTGCAAATTCTGTATTTTGAACCAATCGTAAATAATCTCCATCATGGCGAATGGCCATCATGAATAAATCCCGAGAGGCAACAGCATCTTGATGATGAATTAAATATTCAGAACAATACGGGATACATTCAATATTTGCAGAGAGGGCATGGAGTACTACTTCTAAATCTCCTTTCAAGTCCTCATCTGCTTGTTGAAACAATTCCAACACTTCACCCGAGTGTTCTTGGCTAAATCGTTGGATCATTTCATATTTTTCTCATGAAAATCAACCGTTGATCGAGCTTTAGTTTGCATGGTTTCTCTCAATAGTCCATAGAGAGAATTATCCAACAAACTCGTGTTCATCGGAAGGATCAAGGTCGTGGCTTCATATTGGTTGGGTGGATTGGGGTGATGATTGGAGCACAACATTGGTTTCCACAATTTTTTAAAACCAAAACCTGATTAGGATGGGATTCCACAGCAGAATTGAAATTTCAAATCGACAAATAAGAATTGAAATTTCTACCATACGCACTGAAAGTAGTAGTAACTGTTGGTTGGAATAAGCGGCATCCTGACAATGTCATGGAATACCAATAAAAAAGGGAAGACATGTTTATTACCAATCATGCAATTGAACTGGAAATGATGTTCCTCCATTTCAAATCAAACAATTTTGAACGAGAATAGATTAAGGTTATTCAACAACCCATTCTCTCATGAAAATTCATCGCCTCCACAACTGCAAGAATCGTGAAACACTGACTCCTAGTTTAGAGAGAGGTTCACTTTGAAATCAAAATCAACCTCACTGTTCAATTTGAGATTCAAACATACGAGATGAACGAATTCAATAATGTTTTTCTTTGAAGTAACCTTTTCATCTTTGAAAAGCCACTTTCTTCCACTTCTTTATTGGAATCACTCTTTTCTGATGTGGAACAATTTTTGAATTCTAAAGATTGGTATTTTGATTTTATATGGAACTCCTTATCGACGAGAATATTTATTTGGACCTCCTGGAACAGGAAAATCAAGTAAAGTGACATCCCTGGCTGCTGTTTTCAATTTGAATATTTGTTTGGTGAATTTGGCTTCAAAAGAATTGAACGATGATGACAGCACATGCAGACGCCATTATTGTCATGGAAGATATTCATCGTTTGCCAATGATGTCATGGATGCTTTGACTCTAATGGGTAACAAAAAAACTGACACGAATAAGGGTGAATGCATCAATCAGTCATTCCAAAGTCTCAGATCCATCCAAAATTCTGAATGAAACTCCCCAGATGGGATCATTCAATGTCTTTCCAACCAAATCTCCACTGAACGCCATTGACGGTATTGCTGCACAAGAAGGCCGAGTCATTTTCCTGACCACCAACTTTAAGGAAAAACTTCCACCTTCTTTAATTAGAAATGGCAGAATTGACAAGAAGATTTTCATTGGACATGCCACTGAATATCAAACCAAAACTTTTACTCAATGACAAGTCCATGCAACTACAAGAACAAAAAGAAGTTGAACATTTCATGGATACCTTTTGGGAGAAGGTCAAACATTTAAAGATTTGCATGGCTCAACTTGAGGATTTTTATTGTTGCATGGAAACAGCATTGTTGAATTGGTGAATGCAGCCGACGATTTTGAAAAGTTTATTATGAATGATCAATAATAACACATTAAACAACTGTGGAGGATGAATAGACTTGTTCAATTTCTTTCTTGGATCTTGTTGTTGTAAAAAGTAAATTCCCTTCATGAGAGAATTGGCAGTTGATGTGAAAGACAACAATTGTGATGGTGTGTGATCACGCCAATTTCAACTTTGTTGTTGAGATTGGGTGTTGGTTGTTGCGATCATAACAAGATCGGCAAGACTAACCGCCAGTGCGGCTTGCCAAAAATTCACTACAGAAAAAAATTCACTTGCTGTCAGACGTCATATTCTGATAAAGTCGCACCAACTCTCACAGCGTTGCACTACAGCTTCATCTACAGCAGAGCCTTTTTGCACAACAGCGTCGTGCACAACAATTTTTTCGCATCACACACATTCTCCCTTTTATTATTACCGACAACAATTTTAAAGGTAAGCTTTCTGATGATAAAATTCGATTCCTAACTCTCCACAATGCTTTACGGTTTCACCTCACGATGATGATTTGAACTCAATATTTGGTTGAATTCAAATTTGGGAATTTATTAATTAATACCGGATGCGGATTTCTTGCATCATCATCATGATCACTGTTCAATTGACCATAACAGCCAACCATGCAAAACCAGCCTTCTTCATCATCAATCCCTTCGTCGTCTTCCACCAATAATAACACCAACAATGTTTCATCCTCCTTGTCCTCCTCCTCTTCAACCACAAGACCATCTCCCATTCCTAATTCTCCTAATACATTGACTACATCTTCTTCTTCGAGTAGCAACATGATGATGAGATCCTCTCCTAAACCATCATCGGGTGGAATGATTCCCCAATATCAACAATATTTTCATTTACTGCAATCCATTTCCTCGGGAGGTCCTTTACCAATTCCATCAACTTCCACCTCTTTGAATGGATCGGGAGGTACTTCGAATTTGCCATTCTCTCCAAATTTGAACGGATTGCCACCGAGTTCGAGTGCTTCTTTGGTTTCGACTTCACCCATGATGAGGAGGACGACATTGAGTGCAATTTTGGGAACCACTCCGAGCGGGTTGACTCGATCGAGCAATAATAATAGCAGCAACAGTGTTGTTGGATCTTCAACATCATCCTCATCATCAAACCAAAATTCTTCATCCTCAGCATCATCGAAAGGAAATACTTCTCCAAAGAATGAACAGTCTTCAACAACACCCATGCTGGTCACAACCTCGGCCAATCAGAATTCAACACAAATAGCATCACCCGTACCAATTTCAAGTGTCTTACCAGTCAAGCTTTCGCATGATTCTCATCATGACTCGAGTGTTGTGTTGGACTCGAGTGTTTCAATGCCTTCTCCTGCTGTTGCAAAACAGAAAAAGTCACGAAAGAAAAAGGAAGAAAAGGAAGAAAAAAATTCCGCAAATGAAGATGATGCCACCAGCAGTGGTGGAGGCGGTGGTCAAGGAGAAGACGAACAATCCAAGAAGGGAAGAAGCAAAACTTGCAAGAGATGGACCGAAGAACAAAATCGTCTCTTAAAAGATGCAGTATTACGATATGGACCAAGAAATTGGAAAAAAATTGCCTCAGAAATTAGTGGAGGAATGTTTACAGCTGATCAATGTAATCAACATTGGCACAGGGTATTGCATGTAAGTAGTAGTAGTAGATGGTCATATTTTGAAGAACAATTCATTTCTCTCACACGTGTCAACTATTAATACTTCACACACAAATATTTCACACAAATGCACAGCCACGTATTATTAAGGGAGAATGGACACAAGAAGAAGATAACCTTCTCTTTGACAAGGTTGCTGAATATGGAGAATCCAGCTGGACCAAAGTAGCAGAATTTCTCATTGGACGAACCGACATTCAATGTCGTCACAGATATTTCCAAAAGAAGAAAGAAATGGAAAGTGGTTCAAGAAGAAAGACCACTTCCACATTTTCCTCGCCCTCTCTTGCTTCATCGACTGGTGTTTCTCCTGGCTTGGGAGTAACAGCAGATGGAGGCCTATTGTCTCCACAACTTGCTGGTTTAGAAGGTGTTCGTGTGAACGTGCCAAATCCGTCACCTCCGCTTGGCATTTCTCCTAGCTCAATATTGGATTCTGCAAGTACCTCTAACTTTGTTCATCAACACAAAATTACATTATTTACTACTCCATCGACCGTTCCTCTTCAGGAAAGACTGAAAGGTGATTCTTCTGTGATTTTGGGACAACAACCATCACCAAATATTCAAAACAACACACCAAGTGGTACTTTTGCATCTCCTTCCTTATCAATGGAATCCAAACAAAGAGTCACACAATTTTCATATCTAGAGAAAGAAGGAATTGATGAAAGTGATTTCGTAACAATCGATGAAATGCCAATGATTGTGCCTACGACGACCACTACTCCAACACAATTTCCAAAAAGTCAACAAACTTCTACACCACAAGAAGAAAAGAAAATTCCAACTCAACAAAAACAACAAGCACAGTACAATGAGAATTTATTACTCTGTGACGAAGAAGATTTATCAACTCCTCAACTGGGAGCAACTTCTCTCACAACAGAAGAAGACATGTCATCTGCCACACTCATGAAACGAGCAACTCCTCAACTTGCAACTCCACAAATGGGTGGAGAACAGGATGACATGGACGAAGATGATGAACCACATCAATTAACCATTGACGAGATGGACACTGTTTCACCAGAACTCTCAAAAGCAAAGAACTTACAAATGGGCACAAAGTCCACTCAACCACTCATGGCTCCAGTTCACACAACTATTGGATCTCCACAAGTGGCAACAACCATTTCGAGTGGTAGTGACAGTCTTTCATCGTCTGCCAACATCAACAACACACCAACCATCACTCCTGCCAAACCAAAGAAACGTTCGAGTGCTCTCAACAGAATGAGAGGAAACATCAATGTGTGGATTCCATTTAGTGAAAGTGAAGAACAAGTATTAATAACAGAGGTTTACAAACAAATTTTGGAAAAGAATTTACCTCTTCCTCACATCAACATGCACCGAGGAATCCAATCCACAGCAATTGTTGGAGTCTCTATCAGCGAGGATCAATCTTCTTCCATTCAGTTTCAATCAACAATTCCGAATTCTTCTGAGTCAACAACAATTCCTGAAGCATTCTCAACAACAAGCAGCAATGTTGGTGACACCAATTCAACCTCAAACAGACAATCCATTCTGTTGCCTTCTCCAGTTCCTGTTCTGACATCGAATTCTCCTCTTCCTCGTCAATTAATTCCTCACAATAACAATATTCGAAAGACAAGTGTCACACCTACAACGAGTGTCACTTCTTCGGACTATGTGGATGACATTGATTTTGTTGAAATTTTGACAGTGAACAGCAATTGTTTCCATCCATTACGAACTCATCATTCACTCAAAACTCACTTTGTGAAACTTCGAGAAATGTTAGGTGACGCTGCTTTATTCAACCTTTCACATAATCATCAAGGACCATTGGTATTGGAACCATTATCTCAAACTCCTCTTGCTCTTTATCAGAAATCAAATAGTCATGCATGGTTGTCCTCAAGTAAGGTTGCTACCCATCGCACCAGTAGTAGCAGTTTGGCCTCTTCTTCACACGCAACATCCACCACAACATCAACGACATTGAATTCAGCTTCATCTTCCTCACAAACAACTCCTAACAAACCTGGAAGGAAAAAGAAGATAATTCCACAAGATGTCACAAAAATGGAAGAAGGAGTTTCTGCCAACGCATCCTCTTCAACAGCTGGAAAGCCAGGACGAAAGCGAAAAACAGCAAGCGCACAAATACCTGGTGTGGCAAGCTCCACAATGGCTGAACCAACTCGAAAGAAGGTTAAGAAGACACTCTCTGAGCAACAAAAGAATTCCAAGAGCGAAGATCAAATGGATGTGAACTCCACTCAATCAACGAACCAATTACCCCTAGTGGGTGATTCAAATGTGACATTCCTTCTTCTCAAAAATTTCAATGCTCCACCCACAACCAAACAGATTCAACCTTCAAAGATGACACTTCCCTTAGATACACCTCTTTCACAAATAGTATCAACCATTCGAGGAAATCTTTCACTGAATTATGATCCAGAAATTATTTGCGAGAACTCACCAATCTCCAATACATCGCAGTCACTGAGGAATTTGATGGACGAGAAAAATATTCAAATTGATGAATTGGTTCTCTTTTACAAATAAACGAACCCAATATTTTGAATAGCAGTCTCTTTTGGTTGCAAAAAGTTCCTGTCAATCACTTGTGATTTTGGACAAAAGTAAAATTTTCAATACTTGGTTTTATTTCACAATAAACTGTCTCAATAAATTAACTTAAAGTATCATCGCATTACAACTGTTGATTCGTGGTTGTCTCTTCATCTCTTAATTGATCATACTTCTTCGAAATACTTCTATACTTGAAGAACAAGAATACAGCAACAATAGAGATACCCACAAGGATAACCAAGCAAACTCCCAACACAGTTCCAATAATCCAATATGGTGTTTCGATGGACAATGGTTCGCATGTCTCTGTTTTCACATCATTTGTGAGATCATTTGGACCTCTGGCACACTTGTGTTGCAAACCTTCCTTTCTTGTAAATCGGATGGGTCTAGTCTTGGTGTCCTTATTGCATTCTCCTTCTAGTCGTGTGAAATCACTCTCAGCACACAATGGGCATCCATAAATTGAGAGAGTATCCAAACGGAAATTGCAGCCAGTGTCGTCCACTGCTCTCAAACGAGGATTATCAGCAAGTGAAGACTCAGTGGAACTATCCACAGTACACATGGCAACAATGGTAATCTTTGCAGGTCCGTCTTTCTTTGTAACATTGTTGAAACAAACATTTTGATAGTTTTGCACAGTGATAGAAATTCCCACATTATTCACGTTTGGTGAAGTATCATAAATAGTTTCCATTGAAATGGAGTTACCAAAATCAACCACTTGACCGTTTCTATATTTCACACATGCGTAGGATCCTGGTGGGCAATTGTCAGCCATGGCATATTGCTCTGAGAACGAGTTCATCATGGCAAATAATTGAGTGGCTTGATCAAAATCAAACATGGTCAACATTGGTCGACCACCACCAATGGTCATGGAGCTACGTGGACCCACTTGACTTGCATTGTTGGCCTTGCACACATCAAAATAGAAAAAGGCGTCCATGATGGAAGTGGTGAAGAAACGAGTGTTACCTAAAAGTGCACCTAACTTTTGGAATTCAAAGCGTTGTGAAGTTGAGTCTAATTTGTTGGTTGACACACAAACTTCATTGTTCGTCCATGAACAAGTTGAACTGCCCTTTGAACTGGTTTGTCCCTTACCACAGTTATAACACTTATCACTTGAGGCATAACTGAACTGATTGGCGTCACAGATTGAACAGTTAGCACTTGCTGGAGCAGAGTAGTAACCAGCAGAGCAAGATTCACACTTGTCCAATTTTGGATATTGACCTCCTGCACAAGTATTGCAGAGAACGGCACCACCAACGTTACCTGAAACACCACTGAGTGATACCTTGGATACAACAGCACGATTACAAGTGAAAGATTCGTTCAATGATGTAGGAGCGTCCAAAGTTACAAAGTTGATATCGAACAACAGTTGATCCTTCTTACGTTCGGTCATTGTAAGTGGAATGTCAACTGTTTGCCAATCTTCTTCTACTTCGTATTCATCCTCTTCGAATTTTTTACATCCACTACATTGAACAGACTTTCTGGCGACTCCATCAACTAAAAAGTCAACTCTACTTCCACTGTTGATAGGACACGAAAGGAACAATCTGACACTGAATGATGGAGTAATGTCCTCTTCCAATGTTACTTTTGGTAAATTAGTAAATGATAAACGAGTGACTGATTTTCCATTTCCAACACCAGAATCTAAGCCAGCAGATCCCAAATCTCTCCATCCCACATTAGTCAAGCATTCACCAACACAAGATGAAGTATATGAAGTGCTCACATCACCAATTACATCATAAAGGTGAAGAATTTTGAAACGAGAAGCCTCATTGCTCTTGCAAGGTTCACATTCCGTTTCAGCATGATGGATAGATCTTGCATGAATGTCGGTATCATTATTGTTACGATTGTCATGATCATTGAAAAATCCAGGTTCACAATAAGTACAAGTTTGAGAGTTTCCAACAATTGTCTTTTTCATACCAAGGCCACACTTGATGGTTTCGCTGCATAATGCAGTAGAAGATGGTGGTAATTGTTCACTGTCATTTCTTGACTCGTTACAAACTTTTGGTAAAATCCAGAAATAGTCAATGGTTCTTCTGTTATTTTCACAGATAGATCCATATCTGAACGAGTAATCATTCTTTGTACAAGGTACATTAGCCATGAAACATTCTGTGGCACCAGAGAAGGAAGTATGTCCAGGAGGACATGCCTTACATGAGGACATTCCTTCTTCGTTTTGATAAGTACCAGGTGGACATGGTAAGCATGGATGAGTACCATTAGAATAAGTTCCTTTGGTACAATTTTCGCATCGAGTGACAACTTCCTTGTCAACTGCTCCCATAATTGAAATATTTCTGATCTTGGCACGATCTTCACCTTCATCTTTGGAAGAGTCTTTGCTGTATAACCATTGGAATGTGTGGAATCCTGCTTTGGTAATTGGGAAGCTGACTTTTTTCCAAGAGAGTTGTCGATCAGCCTTAACCAAATAATCAGAGCTACCATCCATATAAAAGTATAAAAAGTCATAGTATTGTTCGGCATCCACTTGATATTCAAATGAAATGCTAGCAAGTCCCTTATTGACAGCTGTTTGAGAAATTTCAGCAGAATATTCAAGGTAGTTCTTTGAGAATGGTTTGTTTCTGTTGTCACCACTGTCAATATAATCACCACGTGGTTGCCAAGGAGAACATGTTGGTGCCCAAGCAAAGTTTGTACAATAAGTCCTCATTTGTGGAGGAAGAATTGGTTTTTCTAGTAACCATTAATGTCCAAAGTGTGGTTAAAAAACAAGATGACAATATTGTAAAACACACAACAATATATTCCCGAAATGAAAAATAAAACTTTCAACTTCTACTAAACTTACCCACATTGGCATCTGTTCCAGTAGCAATCCAAGTATTCAAACTCAACTCTCCAGAATGAGCATAGGAACCCGGATCACAATGAAGACAAGTCTTACTCGACATTTCCAAACGAGTTCCTTCCTCACAAATCATATCACAAGGAATACCAGTGACTGGTGCAGGCAAATTATATCCCGTACACACGGCAGGAGGCTTGAAAAAGAAGAAAGCAGCCTTTGTATTAGTACTATTATCACATTGAGTGAAACGAGCTCCAACATCTCTCACCGGATCGCATGGACAACCCACAGAGAGAGGCAATACACCCGATGCAAGATCAGTGGCTTGAGTTTGCTCCACGACTGATCGAGTGTTTGAAGTGATGTAAGATCCAGTTGTAGAAGTACTTGATGATAAAACAGATCTGGTTGTTATTCTTGTATCTACATCTTCACCGGGTGTAGCAAACACCATGGCCGATGTTGCCCCACAAGTAATACCAGCACAATGGGTATAACTGGTTGGATATTGAGCATTGAGAGCACACGTTGATTTTTCAGCCTGAACCATCCACAAACTTCCTCCTCCTCCGATCATCATCATCATCGTACACACGATGCAAGCCATCACTGCAACAAGGCTTACTCGTGTGTGGCTTGTTGTTATTTCTACTTTCATTTTTTTTTATTGTTCAAAAAAATTCAAAATTCCGAAAAGGGAAATTCGAAGCTCTGCTTGCACCATCATGGTTCTTGATTTGACTTGTTTCCTAATTCAAAAAAGGAGGTTTTTGAGAAATGGATCAAGTGTTTATTGTAAAATCTTGCATGTGGCAATCAATTATTGGGTGTGTGAACTTGCATTTGTGTTATCTCAATTGACTGCTATTTGGAAAAGATTGGAATGGTAAAAATTATAACACCAATACTTGAAATTATTCATACACCAAAAACACACTTAATCAAAACTCAATTTGGTCAATACTTGTTGCAATTCTCTCACAATGGGATGCAATGAAATTTGTGGAGTAATGTCTTTATCTCCACTTACGAGTTTGGTGTCAAAGAATTTTGGTTTTGTGGAAAAGAGAACACCACCTTGCAATGGATTGGAAGTGTTGGTGCTAGTTGCTTGCTTGAGACGACTCATTAAGGAATGATCCTTATTTCCATTTTTGTCGAGTAAGGTAGAACTTTCATAGACAGAATGTTCGGTGGCAAATTTCACAATGAGAGCACGATCACTGTCTCCACTGTTTCCGGTAATGAAGAAATATCTTGCATTGACTCCTGGTTCTTCTAAATGATATTTTCTATTTTTGTAAACATATTGAATATGGTAATAAAAGAGAGTGGAATCTTTTTCGAATAATTTTCCAGCAGAGTGACTCTGTTCTTCAAAAACAATTTCAATGGGAGAAGAATGCAATTTTTGTAAATTTCCAATGATTTGTTCTCGAAAAACATGTTCAATTTTTTGTTCCAATGACATTTCACTTTGACAATGCAAAGTGACACATTGAAAAGTGACATGCTCACCAACTTCCACATGCAAATTTTCTTCATCTTTGAATCCTCTTTCATTAATAAATGTCACACATGGAATAGATGAATCAGGAATAATTCCAAATTCTGGAGCTTCTCTTGTCACTTGAGTCCAATTGAGTGGAATGAATAAATTTAATCCACTCAATGAAGGAGATGAAAATGCAGTCAATTTCAAGCTCTCATCAGAATTGGTGGATGCTCTGGGACTGGATGAAGTACTTTGAGTCATCATTGCATTCACTTTAGAATTCACCAATTTCAACAATGGATCATTTCTATAAATGGAATATTCATAAACGATCTTTGATTGCACATGCTGTGGACTAATGCTTTTACTTTCCTTCTTCACGGTATTCACAAGAGAGGTTTGTGAAAGATCAATACAAATCTCACCTACAAAATCATCCTTACTCAACAAGTCTTTATCCATCACATGCAAACGAATGGAATCAAACAACAAAATGGAATCGTACAAGATGGAGAAACGAGAATTCCACACTGGATTCAAACTCTTGTAAACGGCCTAACGTGGTCATTTTGAACATTCATTGATGGCATGAATAGTCAAATGATTGGCCACACACACACACATTCATGAAGTGTGTCAGGATGATGATGATCCATGACATCATATCGAATCATACATGTGTGTGAAATGAGATTTTCATCATTATCAACAACAACAACAACAATACTTACCTTCGTTTGAGCAATTGGTTTGAATACGACCGATTCCGATCCTCCATGATTACTGCTTTGAAGAGCCAATTTGGAAGTGGTCGAAATAGAGACGTAGGGATCGGATAAACCATTGACATCCGTTGGAGCTTTTGTCATTATTGTTTCATGTGGTGGATCCATGATTCAAATAGGAGGAGGTTGATAATGATGAATTTGATCATCATCATGGTCAATCATGAATTGATTCAATTTGAGAGTTCAGAAAAAATCCAAAATATATGAAAAAACCTACGCAAGGATTGACCTTCTAGAATGAAGAGTTCGACAAGGTCATCAATTAAAAGACCACGAATAGGTTTTTTGGTGACCGTGGTCAAGGAAGATTGTGTTTGGCTCATGGTGATTCGAGCTTGGATTTTTTAAGTTGAGACCCTTTCGGTGGATGAAAAGACCTGACAATTGACGGGAAAACAAATCATTTCCTTTACTTTTATGAGAACTCATGAGCAAACAAAATCATGTTGTCCTTTACTGTTATGAATAAGAATAAATGGAACAATCCTCCAAGCTTCCTTGTTTGATGAGGTAAGGTTAAAAATGTTCAACAACTTGTTTTCACAACCACGATGACATTAATTTCAAAAAACGTTCATTCACAGAAATTCATTTAAAATTCCTTTAAAATTCATTTATTCTTAATTAATGTCATAGACAAATCTCACAGCAAGTAATACCTTTCCAGTACTATCCACAAGCTTACATTTCACACGAGTTTTAGACAACAAACTCCAAATGACTTTTCTTTCAGGTAATGTAATCACATAACGTTCTTCCTTAGGTTCAAGATCAACGACCTTAGAAACATATTCCACACGAGAAGATACAGTATCCAACTTTTCATGGAATTCACATCCAGAAAGGAATTCATTGACATAGAAACGAATTTGTAACTTGTAGGTCCATCTCTTCTTGAGCTTGATGAGAATTGGAGTAGATTTAACTTCAATAGGTTTCGATTCATCGTTCACATAAACATAAGCAGCTTCCAAAACCACTCCAGGTTCTTGTCTCTTCACATGCACCACAAGAGCATTACTTCTATTCTCGGCCCATGTTTCCTTCGCATGGTCGTCACTGATGAAGGTGACAGGCATGGTTGTGGAGAGATTTGGAGCAAAATTGAATTGATCGTCGACATTAATCTTGAGTTGTTGTTTGTGGTGTCTGGCTTTAGCATTTTGCAGAGCAGCAATAATTTCAGTCTTCTTTTCATCTTCGAGTAAATAGTCACCACTTGTTGGACAATGCAACACAAACACATTGTCATCAAATGGAGATACTGAAACACCTGTAATTTCATCGAGACCAATCTTTCTCTTGATTTTAAATTCTTGTTCATCAATGTTGTACACATTCATATCGGTCACAACAAGTAAACGATATTGTTTTTTGAAATGCTTGTTATACTTGAGTACTTGTCCTGAAAACAACAATTCCTTATCACCATTTCTGTCAAATATCTTCTTCATTCTTTGTGTACCTTCGAGTCTCAAATAATCTCCCATATATTCACGCATGAGAGTTCTTCTGTTACGTCCCTTTCTACCGCTATAGATAGAATCGACCTTATCTTGAATACCTCTTTCGTCTGATCCTTCGTAAAGTTTTAAGGAAGATACAGTGGTTGGTTTTTGGTTTTTGGCATTTGGCAGGTCTTGTTTCACCTTTTCAGGATCAGTATTGTTCACGAGAATGAGACATCCAAGTTTGGTTGGAGTCAATACTGGAACCTTTACCGTTGGATCGTGTTTGAATTCAATGGTCTTGACACCCTTCACATCGGTACTTGGTTTGTAAATAAACTTGTCTTCAACATTGACGGATAATTCCATTCCGTACTTGTCTTTGTAGGCGTCACAAATAACGCTAATAAGTTCAGTCTTCTTCTTACATGAAGCAAACAAATCATGATCGGTTGGGCAATGAATGACAAAGAAGGCGTCACGCATGGTACTCACAGAAATTCCAGAAATGTCTTTGATTGGAGTTACACGATTGATGGTCAACTTTTCATCATCCACAGTGTAAATATAATTAGGAGTTACGACAATTTTTCTTGGTTGAGTTCTGAATCTCTTGTTGACCTTTGTCATCAAGTTGGAGAACAAGATTTGCCCATTCCATTCAGGATCATGCTTACGAATAATTTCACAGAATTTTGGATTTTCTTTCAAATTCAAATAATCACCTTGGAACCACACAAGAACAGAATCCTTACGACGAATCTTCAAACCACCAAAAACATCACTGAGTTCAACTTCATCCATGTCTCCAGGTTTGGCCATTTTTCCAGCACGAACTGACTTTCTTGTCATGGATTGTCTGACAGCTAAATCATTGTGTGCCTTGTCAGAGTCAGCATCAGATTCAGAGACAACGTGAATCTCAGCACCATTTTGAACAGGTACCAAAGTAGTCACTAGGAATTGTTCTTGATTTTCTGGCTCAAGAATCCATTCCAAATCGACCTCTTTTGTACCCTTCTTAGCAAGGTTGATTTGGTGTTGAGTGACAACCTTAATTGGTAACAGTTGACTGCAAGATTCTTGATAAGAGTCATAGATGGATTCCAAAATTTCAGTCTTCTTGGCACTTTCACTCAAAACATCTTGATCTGGATGATCAATCACAAAGAAGTTGTCAGAGTATGGAGAAACAGTGGCAGAAGTAATTTGTGTAATTGGAATACGTCTGTTGACCATATAACCTCCACTTGGATCAATATTGTAAACTGCCTTATCTGTGACCATCAAAATTCTGTCTTGCTTCTTAAATCTCTTGTTGTATTTGGAAACAACGCCAGAGAATATGACCTTACTGTCACCATAGTCTTTTTTCAATTGATTCATCAGTTCACTAAAGTTCATTCTCAAGTAATCTCTGTTTGGGTCGTGTTTACCGAATAGAGAGATCTTTCTTCTCAACTTTCGTTGATTATAAATATCGGCTTGAGTGAAGGTGTGAACGACCATCACTCTATTTTCATGTTCATCAAGGAAAGCTTCAGCTGTGACAGTCTTCTTGAGGTTGTACGGAGATGGTACGAACTGAACAGTGAATTTCTGAACTCCTCGTTCATCTGGCTTGTTATTGAAAATACTTATTTCCTTAGTGACTTCAACCTTTGTAAAATGTTCACCCTTGTTTTTGGCAGCAGCGGATTCGATTAATTTGTTGAACTCTTCCAAAAATTCCCACTTGTTATCGAGATCTAACAATTCATCTCCAACTTCCTCTGAATTATTCATCTTGAAAATAATGTAATTGTCAGAATATGGAGAAATATAAATTTTAGAAATATCTCGAATAGGGATCTTTCGAAGTTGTTCCAATTCTGCTGATGTGGAATCGAGTAAATAAATATTTCTCTTATCAGAACCAGTAATGAGCACACGTTTCTTATTCTCTCCAAAGTTATTGGTTCTGAAACCATCGTGGCGAAGAATGACTTCTTCTGGTTCCTCGACAATGGCTGTCTTGTTGGAAGATTCTTTATCGGATTGCATGGCCTTCTTCATCATTTCATCCAACTTGTCAGCTCTTCGTTGTCGATACTTTCTGAATGCATTTTGAATCTTCTTGACCATTTCATGCTTTTGATTTCGAACCATGTCATCGAGTTGGAACAATTGAACGGCCGATTGGAGTAAGACATTGTTTTTACCGAGGAAAAAATCTTCTGGATTGGTCATGCCAATAATTTCCTGACTCAAAATTTGTTGAACGGCTTCCTTTTTGTGTTCAGTGGTGAATTCTGGAACATTTCCATACTTGTTGGTGATGAATGTTTCCCAATAGGGGAATGTGTCAGGACACAACAACTTGTATCGTTCCAAAAAGACATCGTATGGAATCTTAATATTGTAACCCACTGCGGATCCAACATCTCCTTTTCGTGACAAGACAGTATCCAAAACACCCAAATATTTCACTTGATGATTGATAACATCGGTCTGGAAATCGTCTGCTCTTCTCTCATAGTTTGGAATGATGCAACGAATATGGTGATGTTTCAAACTGCATGAATTCAATTGATGCATTAATTTACCAACATCTTTCAAAAACTTTGCAGCTGTGGTTTGTTGCAATTTGCTACCACCAAGAGATTTGTTCTTTGACAAGACATCATTGGATTGTTCTCCTTTAGGGAAAAGAGCAATGATGAGATGGTCCTTACTTGTTTGCATGGCGAATAGTAAATCTTCAAAGAGTGTGTCACGGTTCTTATCGACCCATCCATCAGAAGTGTTGTATCGTACAGCAGCTGCAAAGTGTTCAATTTCAAATTCTACAGGTTCAGCCAATCTTGGAATTTTAAAGTAAGGATGTTTGAGATTGGTTTTCATCTTTTGAACATAATTTACATCATTACCATTGGGGAATAAACTCTCTTCATCCAACAAGGAGAAAACACTGAGTGGTTTACCAGCAATGAGTTGAATGGCAGATTCTGAATCAAATTTGGTATTTCGTTGTTGGGTTTCATCAACAACAAGATGTGAAGGTTGGGTTTGGTAGTCGTCACCATAAATTTCCTTCTTAATCTCTTCTTGTTCCTTCTTGATGGACTTTTGAACACCACTTTGAATCTTTTCATTGACAAAGTTGATACACAATTGTTCAAAACCGTTCTTCAACTTGTCATTGGGTATAGAATCGTTCTCATTCTCACCACCAGCTTTACCAGTACCTATATTCGAAGAGTAAATTTCAAATCCGAAAATATCCAAAATACCAATATTAAAGTAGGTCTCACGATTGGTCTTGTTCACAAAATCGTCATAATCAGGTACTCTCAGAGAACGATTCACTCTCTTGACCAACCAAAGGAAGAGACGTTCATAAATATTCTTTGCCAATGTATCTCTGTTGAATTCTGCTTGTTCCACAGATTGATTTTGTTCGATTGGAGTTGGATTACCAACCATACGAATGGTTCTTGTGATTAAACTCTTTCTCAACACTTCAGGATCCATTTGTAGAGTATTGGCAGTAGTTTTAAGAGCAATTTCATTGGAAACATCACAAGCTCTCACTCCCGGAGCAATACCACGTCCTTTACGTTCTTCTGGATCTTCAATGCTTGAAAATTTAATGTTACCGAGCTGTAAAATTGCTGCCACAACCTTGAATACAGCCATTTGTTCTGCAATGGACATTTGAACGAGTTCCATCGCTTTCTTTGTGTTCTCAAATTCGAGTGAATCATCGATGGCATTCACGGTGATCAAGTTGTTGTTGAGATAGTGATATTCTTCAGGGAAACCAAGACCCAATTGTTTTCTCACATACTCATCCGATAAGAGTTGATAGAAAATGTGGAAATTACGCTCTCCAGATCTTCTCTTGACCACTCTGGCCTTCTCCAAAAGGAGTGTGAAAATTTCAGCTCCCTGCAATTGACCCTTAAAGTTGAAATAGAGATTTGTGAATTTACCAAAACGAGAAGAGTTGTTGTTTCGAAGAGTCTTGGCATTACCAAATGCTTCCAACAATGGATTACTTTGCAGAATGGAATCCTTAATTCTTTGTGTCTCTAATCCAGAAATTGAGACAGCTGCCAAGTATTCCATAATAATTTTAGCAGCTTCTGTTTTTCCTGAACCAGATTCACCACTGATGATAATGGCTTGTCCAACACCAATTCCTTCTGAAATACTAAAATCATTAATAATGAAAGATTCATCCACTTGTTGCTGTTGTTCTTCTGTTGGTGGTGGAGGAGGTCTCTTTTTAGTACCATTTCTTGTCTCCACTAATGAATTCTTATTCGATGTGGTCGTCGCATGTTCCAAAAGAGTTCGATACGTATCTTCAGCCAATGAATAGATGTGAGGAGCCAATTCGTAGGGAATGTGAGAGTGGAACAAGGCCTTGGTTTCATTACTGTACAATCCCTTAACATTCTTGTAGGGATTGAGTGATAAAATCACTGGGCCAACACAAGTGTAAATTTCGTTTTGATAATAACGATTGGAGAGAATCTTGGTCAAATCAATATCTGTCAACTCATTAGCCGTAGTATTGACGTTGCTTTCCACTGATTTCTTTCTTCCCTTATTAGTGTCCATGAGAAGAAGAGTCAAGTCGTCACACATGTTACGATCCTCCAATTGACGAACACGGAAATCTTGTTGATAATCTGAAGGAGCTGGTTGATAACGATTGTAGGAAGCTCCTCCAGAACTTGCACTAAAGGATTTTCTACTTGGTTGATGATCCTCATTGGGAGGAGATGGCATCAGTTGAGGTTGCAATATTGTATCTGTTCGAATCACCGTGGCCTTCTTGTCTACATCACCTGAATGTTCCAAATGACCACCACTCGAAGAAGAAGAATCCATTAATTTTGGTTTGTTTGAAGGCACTGAAGGTGGTGGTGATCGATTAGCCCCAATGCTTGGTTTCGCACCCACACTTGGCAATGGAGGTGGAACTGATCGAGACACACTATCAGAAGTGGTAGTGGAATCACTTGAAGTTGTTGTGGTTGTTGCTGTTTTAGGACTCACACTTCGTGAGGGTTTGTTGGATGGTACAGAGGGTGGTTGAGTCGATGGGAAAGCACCACTCGAAACTGGTTCTTGTTGTTGCTTCTCGAGAGAGTTTGCTGAATTCTTTCGAATAGGTTTTACAGGAACCATTGGAAGAAAAGTTTCATATTCTGTGGTTTGTTTGCCGTCCATGAGTAGAGTGGGTTTCATGATGGGTAGAGTGGGTTTGATGGGTTTCGTGGTTGGCACTGGAGGTTTCGTGGTGGTTGAGGTGCTGCTGCTGTTCATTTCCTTCTTCAAAGGTTTCTTCCAAGTGGTCTTTCCGGTCGCTTCATGATGATAATAAAAAGCATTTCTTCCAGAATCGAAATAAGCTGTCCATCCCTCTTCCAATTCATCATTCTCGAGTTGAGGAGGAAGAGTTTGAAGTTTGGAAGTAGTGTTCATAGAGCTTTCCGATTCTTTCTCAACATGAGGTTTCTTCCAAGTCGTTGCTCCAGTCACTTCATTGTGATAATAATAGGCACATCGTGTCGAGTCGTAATAGGCACACCAACCTTCTGGTAAATTTGCAGTGGGATCATCCTCCTTCTTTTTCTGAACTTGTTGTTGTTGTGAGGAAGAAGAAGAAGAGGCATTGGAAGCACTCTCTTTTTGTAATTTACTGGAATAGGAATCGGTTGTTGTTGTTGTTGAGGTGGAGGAGGAGAAGGATGATTTCGAGTTGAGAGGAGATACTGGTTTGGAAGAAGAGCTATTTTGTGCTACTTTTTGATTCCACAAACTTGAATTCTTGAGCGCAGAAACTGTATTCATTGTGGTGGTTGGTGGTTGTTGTTGAGAAGATGTGGAATTTGTCGATTTGACAACACTCATACCACCATCACCACTACTGCTGCTACTGCTACTACTCACACCACTCGTGTTGTTGTTGTTTGTAGGATGACTACTGAGCTTCGAGTTTTGAGTGGAGTCTCCGACAGCTGCTGATATTGACTTGAATGTATTGGAAGAAGTCGTCTTTCCAACACCACTGTTACCACTACTAGTACTGCTGCTCGTTGTCGTCATCGTCGTGTTGTCATCTTCTTCATCGCTACTATCACCACTTCCATCCACATCGGAGACACGTTCTCGAACTTCAATGCGATCTTCATCCTCCTCATCGTCGTTCGAGATGACAATCGATGGTTTGGAGGATGATGGTGATGGTGTTGTTGATTTTACACTTGTTTCACCCAAAGCAAAAGTAACATTGGGTTTACGAGTCAAAGCTTTTTCTTCAGGCATTGTTGTCATAGTCGTAGTAGTAGTGGATCCCTTTCGAGCAGGAGGCAATGCTGGAGGCACCACCGTACTGCTACTACTATTATTGGCCACACTTGTCGACTTTTGATCCGAAGATGAAGTGTTTGATCCATTCCTTTGTGGAAGCTTGGGAGCTTCTCTTCTTGCAACACTACCACTACTACCACCACTCACGGATGAGTTTGGAGAGGATTGTGATGAGGATGTCGAGGATGGTGGTGGAGATTGACGATCAAATTCACTTTCACCTCCTCTTGTTTTTGATGGTGATGAGGTGGATGTCGACGATGAGGAAGAGGAGGAGCCAACTGTTGCTTGTTGTGCTGCTTTGGGTCCACCAAATTTGGAACCAACATTGTTGGAGGCATTCAAGGTGGATTGTAATTGTTGAAAGAGAGCCTTTCTGTTTGCAAAAGATGTAGACGAGACATCTTGCTGTGAATTGTTGTCCTTGTCTGACATTTGAAAGTCTATTCAGAATGGAGAAGATCGAATGTTTGATAAAGACTTCTTTTTAACACCACAAACAGCGATGTGCTGTCGAGAGGCAGAGTTTGTGATAGATTCGTCTTGAAGGGTCTGGATCGATTTGGACGATTTCCACTTTTTTTTTTGAGTGAATTATGACAAGTGGCGGTTGTGATGATAGGTGAATGTATAATGTCCAAAATTGTCTAACTTCAATAGCCAACTGCTCATGATGACCTGAAAAGTCAATGAGTCACCCAAAAATAACAATCATCCAATCTTAATTTTTTTATCAAAACAAGAAGAGATTCATACCAAGTTAGACAAAAAGAAAGACCATCTAATTTCCACAGAGAGAAACATGTTCCATATAATTATTCAACACCAATTCAACAGACTGTTCATTATAAGTACCAATTCAACCGTTCAATTTTTTCGAAGCAAGAGCCTTATTGATGTTTCAGAGAGCGCCAAAAAAATATTAAAAGCAAATTGTTGGGAAATTATCATTATCACGTTCATCATTCATTTTAAAATAAATATTCAATCGCACTTGCACCTGTACGCCACATTCCAATGCTCCCCTCCTCGAATCAAGGCTTGATCTTTGGTAGTGATTTTCGATCGGAAAAGTTAATTCTCATGCAGCAAGTTCGGGAGGGTATGCGAGAATTTTCGCGTACTCAGAACAAACAAGCGGATGCTTTTTTGCAGGAATTTAAGAAGCGTGATGATGCATGGGAAATTTTGTTTGATATTCTGTTGATGGATTTTCATCAACAACAGGGAATGATGAATTCATTACCACAAGTATGTTTTAATTTTACAGTGCTAAATGCCATAATGATTCTTTTCACCCTTGTGTGAATTATTGTGAAAAATGAACTCACATGAAATTTGATTCAAATTTTCTGTATTCAGGATGAAAATGAGAGATTTATCTGCTCTCACCTTATTTATATGAAAATACTCTATTCCTATCAAACGTTTGATGCCAAAAATATGGAATGGGTACGATGCAGTTTACTGAAATCTATCGCATTATTCTACAATCGATATTTATTAACAGGAAAACCAAGTGATAAACTAGTCACGCGTCGATTGTTGCTTGCTCTTACCATGTTTTCACTGTATTCAATTCTCGCTAACAATACAGATTTAGAGCAAGTGGACATTTTTTCTGAAACATTTCGATATAAGAGCCACGTGACAAATAATAACAGTTTAGTCATTTTTGATATTGGAAATAGTATTCAAAATTTACAAAGTTTTGACTCAAACACGTTATTTAATGCACTAAATGGAAATGGATCGTTTACAATCACTCTTAGCATCTTGGAGCCCGCACTTGAATGGTTTTCTTTATTGTTGGAGCAAATGGAGAGTGTGAACATGTTTGAAAATTCAGAACAGGCAGAGTTGAAAAAAGAATTTAAAAAGATGGAAGACAGGCTTCTCAATTTCATTTCTCATATTTTGATGCTACCTCTTGATGCAAGTATGTAGTTGTTCATTATTATGAACTGCAAACGTGTTAATTTTCATTTTACAAATCATATATAGAGGAAAAATATAATTATTTTGTAAATTTAAAAATTAATGCCATCAGTATACTGAAAAACTGGGTTGTCTTTGGAATTTCTCCTAAATTTATTTATCAAGACGATACACTTTTACAAATTCTCTATAATATTATTTCTATAAGAAATATTGACCTATTCTTTCCAACAATGGAGTGCATCAACGAGATATTTAACATTTACATTAACTCAAAACATATTGGAGTTATAAAAAAGTATTTAGGTCTCACTCTATCAGAATTGAGACCAATATTCGAACAACATGCAGCAAATTTATCAAATGGTATGTTCCAATAGTAATATCATGTTGTCAATAGTTGATTGTTATGTCTATAGAAACAAGTTTTGCAGTTTGTAGAGAAATTATCAAGCTTTGTGTCACATTGGGAGATAAAGGAACGGAATGGCTCATAAACATGGATGCTATTAGATATATTTCAGCACATCGTATGTTACCTTCAGGAGTGACTATTGTAGATGAAAAAGCAAAACAATTTTTGGCAATGAGTGTTTGTTTCACATCTATTCCTAACATAAATTTGGCAGAGACAATGCATGCTTTTTGGTATCATTTACAAAATTGTGAGATTGATTTTGTCAAGCTTGGAACTCTGGATCCTACCTTATTTATTCCTCCTGAATTACAACACACCATATCATCTCATTTTCGGCTAGAACTGATTGAGTATTTCAAACCTCTATTAGAAAATACAATTACTCAAGGAGTTGACGACTCGGTCAAGTACATGGGACTAATAACTACAAATAGAGAAGAGTTAGATACTTTCAGAGACTCCACAAGAGAGGTTTTCGTTTCTGGCTACTATATTCTAAGGGAGGAAGCTATGCACGTTTGTGAGGAAAAACTACTTACTCTCGAGAAGCGAGGCCATATTCAACAATTGACACAATACATGAAATCCCTACCTTCTCTCCTTACCTCCAATGAATGTGAATATCACATTGGCCAATTTGCACAGCTATTAGTTTCAACCTTGCCAGACTTTGGTTTGTTAGAGTCTATTTTCTTTTCCTTGAACAGTTTTGGAGATATGATCCGTTCACACGAGGCAGCAAAATATTTTGGATCTTTCTTTTCCCATGTCCAACAGTTTGCAGACTTGCTAGTGACATTTTATCAAAGTATATCAGAGATTCAAAACCTACTTTCTGCACATGCATATAGAGATTTAATTGAAAAGACACTGTTAGAAAAAGTCATTTCATGCATGCAGATTTCGAACTTGTCCAATGTTAAAAAAGCAAGTAGTATATTTTCCAAATTGGAGTCCCATGTAGCCATTCCTATTTGGAAATCAATGATGCAACTGATCGATAGATTTTCTGCAATAATTGCACAATCAGGAGAACATGCAATCATTTGGTGTATCAATTTTACTGTGAATTCGATAACTGGCTTCAAAAATTCCTTGAAGGCGGAACATTCACTGTAAGTAATTTCGTTTCTTGTACTGAATGTAAGAAAGGTTAATTTGTGATACTTGTTATAGATCCAATCAAAAGAGAGATAATAATGTGAAAGCACTAATGCACATGTCAGCCGCTTCTTTCTCCTCTCTGTGTGAACAAGTTTCTTCTCCCAGCAAATCTGAAAATACAAGCACCACATTGCTTAAAGATCTAGTTCTTTCTATGCATGATGGTCATTTATTGGATCAATTTGAAGCAAGTGTTTCACAAAAGATATACAAGGGATTGAGCCATATTATTGTTGCCTTGTCTGAATTCCCTTCAACACAAGAACACCTATTAGGATTGCTATTGCAGAATATTGTAACCAATATTGAGCGTATTTTGACAGAGAGACAAAATAGTCTCAATGAACCAAGTGTAGGAGATGTATATGAAAATGAGAAGAGTTTACAAGCTTCCATTAGTTTACATTTTGAGATTAGAAAGATCAAGAGTTTACTATACGCATTTGATGCAAACCGATCGTGTGAAGAACAAAACAACGATACTATTCTCAATATTATGCTCAAATTATTCGAGAGCATTTTGCATTACACCGTTCAAATATTATATTTATTTGTCAAGAAGAATTGTATGACAAACACCAATGATGTATCTTTGTATTTAAGCAATTATTGGGGAAGGTATATTGATCAACATTTACTATGCAACCACATTTCAGACTTGTGGAAGGTCATGATCACAACCATTGGTTGCAAGAATCCTTTAACTTATCCATTTTTACACAAAATTTTGCGTATTGCATGCCAATTCTTTTGCTTTGGCAAGGTGATGGGAGTTGAACAAACAATTGACGAATCCCAATTTTTGCTCGAGTTACAATTAATGGCATCTCAAAATGTAGATCCCAACATTAATGCAATTACACAACATCTTCAAAGATATTTTGTCGAGTGTCAGCCGTATGCTTACATGTTAGATGTGATTGGAATTTTATTTGCTGACATGAAAGATGTTCCATTCCCTCAAACATTTATGACCTATTTTACTCCAATTTTTGTACTTTGTTACAATCTAAGTTCATCCAATATTTATGAAAATAGATTAGAATGGATGAAGAATAAGAGAACCGTTATGGAAGAATACTCACCATATTTAAGAGGACATTTTTCAGAGGATGAGAGAGGAGATTTGCTCATAGCATTATTCAGACTTTTCAATTTTACATGGACTTTATATCCAGAAAATTATCTCACAAATCCAATTCATTACTACTTTTTGGACGATCTGATCTTGAGTTTAATTGAAAATCATATTGGCGGAGGATTGGATCCAAGTCAAAATGGTTCCAAATCAGTCTCCAACTACATTTCCACATTTGTTTTTACATTTTCTCAACTATTGAATCTTGAAAATAGACAAGAGGGAACATTCTTGAGAGAACTTCACAATGAGATCATCAAAAATTATGCATTCAAACTTATTCCCTTGCTTTTGAAATACATTCTATTAACTGACAACACCAACGTCTCTCAAATGCACAAAACACTCTACGGATTCTTTACTTACAACAAGATGTATTTTGTGACGTGTGCGGCAAACTTTGTGATGGGATCTTTGGAAATTCAACAACTTGTCACACATCGTGTATTGAGTCCAAAAGATTTGACTGATTTTTCATCCAAACTCTCCACCACAAGTACTCACACAACACTTGCACTTCGAAATACGATCAAAGATTTCCAAGAAGTTATTGCAAAAGCCATCAACTTGTTAAAGCATGGAAACACAGTCTCCAATGTAGCTCACACAGATTCGGACTCTGATTTGCAAATTCGATCCTTATTGGATCATTAAAGAGGTTGTGTGCATAATTGTTGTTGTTTAAAACTACAACTATTGTAGATTCAGTATTTAGATACCAAAAACAAGTAGTAGTGTGAAGATGAAAAACAGTAGATGGAGATTCTCAACAAGATCCACCAGAAACTACTAGTTCTCTAATAGAACTTTAATGCTCAATTAAATATGACAGTAGTGTTCCTTTCATGCTAAATTCGCATCTCTCCTTCTAAAGAACAATCTTGCCTGAAACGTCAGTTGTCAATCAGATATGGCAAGTTAACAGTCCACGAAGATTTACAAAGACAACTTTGGATATCATGATTTTCTTTTGGAAGAACTGGCATGAATTGCTTTTCAAATGAGACCTGTCATCTCATGTTCATGTCTGTTGAAAAGAAGGTCCGTGATGAGAGTTGAGAGATTTTTCCTTTCACACCAACAATTCCCAACACAAAACAAAAACACCTTCAACGACACAACTACAACAACCGCACTATTCAACAACTAATCGAACATTTGCTCAACCACTATCTCTCTGAAATCAATCACCGACGAGTTCCAATGTCCACTCTCGAACACTTCGAATTCCTTTCTCTCTTTTCAACCACTGCCACCACTGCCAACTCGAGTAACACCACAACAACCACCTCTCCCTTTGGTGATTACAACATTGTGGTCATTTCCCTCAATTCTCCTTTCGTCCTTATCTTTGGAATTCTTTTTCTCTCATCAGTCATTTCCTATCTCGTTCAACACAATACCATGAAGAGAAATCAACACATTTTGTTTTCCATTTTGTTTGTGTTGGAAAGTTTGGTGTGTGTTAACATGTTGACTAGAATTGCGAGTGAAGTGGCCATGTTGCATCCAGTTCCTTCAGAAGGAAGAGTCGCCAGTGTGGTCATTAAGATTTTTGATCGATGTTTTGTGAATATGGCTATTTATGTTGAAGTTGTGTTGATGGCTCATATTTGTTTTATGTTGTAAGTAGAAGTGTCTACAAGTTGTCTAATTAATTGGTTGTGTGTGTGTGTGATATTTATTCATTCATCGAATGGAAATGGTTTTGAATATGTTGTGTGAATGATGTTGGAATTTCTTGTGACAAATGAATCAAACAGTGCAGAGACATGTCGAGCGATTAACACATTTAGTGACGTGACTTTTGGTAGAATCAAAAAACTCATCATTTCATTTCTCTTCATTCTTGGATTCTTATTTGTTGCTTTTTGTGCATTCACAATATTGATGGGTGCTCTTTCGATTGCTAAATTACCAATTGATAATGCTGCTTTGAATTATGCAACCCTTGCTCTCTTTTTATGTGCTGCAGCATTGTTTTTTGGTTCGACTGTGACAGTGTCCATTCTCCTCAATGTAAGTTTGAACAGTTTCAATTGTTTGAATGAATTCACATGTGTGTGTCTCTTCGTTCATGATATTGAACTACTTCACAACAGATTGTCGGAAGAAAACTTTCTCAATCATTGCAAGACAGCAAACGCCGAATTAAGAACATGTTAAAATCTGCCACTTCGACCACCGTCAACACCACTTCGACTACAACTCTTTCTAAAGACCACCACTCGAAGGAGAATTTAGAACAAGAAAAAGTCAAGAGTGTGGAACAAATTAGAAATTACAAATTCAAAAAAGTTGCTCTCAGAAAAGCAATGGCCATTCAATATGGACTCACTTTCAGTTTATTCTTTCAATTTATTGGATTTATTTTCATTCCAATTTCATTGAGTTGGAATTATTCAATGAATTTCTTCCACATGTTGTACAATATTGGAATTTTGGTATTTATTGTGTTGATTTTAAGTATTTATCATCCAATGAGAGAAGTTCAGAAATTGTTTAGAGCTGACTCAGAAAAGAATTTACAACTATTGACTGCAAACAATGCCTCCAGTAAGCACTTGTCCACAACCAATTCTGCAGACAGTATGGGATCGAAACATTCCCTATCCATGTCACCAAGTAATACTTGTGAGATGTTGTCGATTGAGAATAACAAGACATTGTGTGCCAATTTTGTAGAACCAATTACATCTCCAATGAGTGATATTTCAACTTCAGATTTATCTGGCACAAGTGTGTAATAACTTCCAGATCTGTCTGTCGTGCACACCCTTCGATGTAGGTTAAGAGGAGAAGAAAAGCACTACAGTTGACCGAAAAGATTCTACAAGGTTGGATGGACTTTCATAGTTGTAACAATCATGTAAAAAGACTTCTCCACAATAATTGTAACAATAATAATAAATATAATTAAAACTAGATTCTCATGTTAAACCTTTCATTGGCACATTTATTGTTGTGAAATTCGATCTCCCAATATCTTTCTCAAATATGGATGTCTGTATTGTCTTGCCAATCGAGAGACATCCAAATGCAAATCCTTCTCTCACACGAACCTCTTTTCCATTAATGAATTCTTTGAAAATTTCAAATTCCTTCTTATAATGAGAAGAGGTTGCGTTTTGAAGAGAATGTTCAAACCAATCCGCCTCAGTCAAAATGACAAAATCATCGTCATCATCTTTCTCTGTTTGAATCATGCAAGTGTTGGTTGGATTTTGGTCTTTTGAATTTTCAGCATCTTTTTCGTCGATGTGTTGAAGAGTAGAATCTTTGATTTCAATGGATGTTGATTCATCATGATGAGAAGAGAAGTTTTGAATATCAGATGATTCATCCACAGACTTTTCAGCTGAAACGTGTGTTTCTTCACACAAGTTCGTTGCCTTTCCATTTTCAATGTCTAACAATGAATCTCTATTGTCATCAATATTTGAATTTTGTGTGACTGTGACTGATAATTGTTGTTGATCTTGTTCAGATCTTTCATTTAAGGCAATAATAATTGCATCTCTTTCCCTCTCAATAGTTTTTCTTGTCATGAAATACAATCCAATGATAATAATCAACAAAATTGGAATTTCCACCACAGCTGTCATAATTCTTTTCAACAAGACAGGCAACAAGACAATAATCGAAAATGGGAAAAATATAAAACAAATTCCAAAATTTTCCACAACCGTATTCAAAATATTTCCATTACTTTCCATCGATCTTTCATACCAATACATGATCAAATACTTGTCAATCAAGTATGTTAAAATAAAATACAGTAAAGCAACAATGTAAATGAGAGGAATGCAAGTTCCATAAAGTAAACACATCATGAGCATGGTAATTTTCATACTGTATTCAGCTTCATAGTCGAATACAGGTCGATGCCATTCTCCAGTTTTGAAATAATCTCTAATACTTGAAATGGTGTTGACAATCATTTCTAAACCTTTTGAGGTGATGGCCAAGACAATGGTTAAAATGATCAATTCAATGCTAATAAAGTTGAAAAAGTAAATTTCATTGTTGAAGGGTGGTAGTGAATTGAATATTCTCCTGTTGTGTATGTGAATTTAGATTTCAAATTACCAAAAATTAATATTCAAATCGATTTCAAAAAAAACTACCAAAATTAGTAATTTACATATTCACTTACCACACAGATTTGTAATAGGTCCAACCATATGGAAATATAATGGTGCTCAGTACAAAAAAGTAGGTCGTTCTTCTAAGAATTGTTTTTCTCTTATGAATATTCGTCTTGTGCTTTTCCCATTTCACCAATTTTTCCACCAATGGTTTAAACAACTCGTTAATCAGTGAAATAATTTCAGGAGAAAGTTCCAAAACAACCAATAATATTTTAAAGGTTATTTCTGTAGGTGTCTTTAGAACATTTTCAGCATAACCATAAATTTCAGTCTATGAATATATTTTGTGAATATTTCACATGTTGTGAAACAATGAAACTTTCAAAAATAAATTCTTACCTTATTTTGTGAGGCATACCATGGAATAGAACTGTTCAAAATGAGAACTGTATACACCACTAGTAACACTACAAATAAAATTATGTTCGAAATCAAGACACGAGAAGCTCTTTTGGAAGTGGAAATGTTTAAATTCTCAAAAAGGACATCGGATGCTTCACAGGCGGGTGCAAAGTTATATTGTTGAGAGGATCGACTCTCCTGGTCACTGGTTGGTGTTGTTGTTGGTATCGTTGAATGATGACTAGTTGTTCCAATAGGTAAACATTGTTTCAAGAATTTCACCAATTTTGAAAGAGTATTTGAAATGTACTTTTTAGAGATCAAAAATCCCATAAAATCAGTCACATATTCATCACAAACTGTTTTGGCTGTTGTCATGGAAAAGAAGGTTGCAAATGCATATCCAGTTCCAGTAATGTTTTCTTCTCTTCTCAATTCTAATAATTGTTTTTCAATTTGTTGAATATTTTCTTCACAATAACTCGAATAGGATTGTGTTCTGTAATAGATTTGAGAGCACAAATTTCTTAAAAGTGAGAATGGAGTGGTTTGTGATTCTTGTTCAATGGCTTGACGAAGTTTTCTCTGGAATTTTTCAAGCTGTTTTTCGAGAGTGGTAATTTTCTCAAAATCCAAACAAATGTGACAATCTACAATCGCATCTTTTCCAAACATTTCCTGCAATTCTTACAATAATTTTTCCTTATCTTTGAGATTCTTGTCAATATTTGAAATAAAGGCTTGCAAAATTGGAATTTCCTTTGATCATATGACGAGCTAATTTTCTTAATCTCAACATGAGTAATAGACCCAATATGGAAATAAGTCCATTCAAAATGTAAAACAGTAAAGTCCACCAACTTTTGTGAACATCAATGAACGCAATCGTAGTTCCTGTAAAATCTTTAAAGGAATAGTCGTAATGCTTGCTTGTCAAGTAAATTGGTAAGAGTAACACCAAAGAAATGCATCCACAAATGGTCACAAATAGCATGAAATATTTTTGAAACCATAAATAATAATAGACATCTGTTCCACACTGTTTCACAATATCACTATCAGATGCAAATAGAAATAATGATGGAAAGGCATCATAGACATGTTGAAGCAAGTCTTTAAGGTATTTTATAAATCGATGTGTGAAAAAAAGTTCCATCTTGAACGTTTTCATGCTGTTGGATGATGATAATTTTGATGAACAGTGGAAATTAACTTATTCCAAAGATGGTTTTCGAAATTATTTGAAATCATCATCGATGATCAATGAGCCACAATTTAGAAGCAAGCAAGCACATTGAAAGGAAGTGTTTTTTGTGGCAAAAGTTCCATTCAATCCATCCACCGTCAAGACACCAAATCTCAATCGATGTCTGTAATTAGGAGTTGCAGTAACAGATAAATCAGTAAACGACATGAACCCCTTTTTCATGATATAAATACTTTTTCGTTGGACATGGAATTCATATGAAAATAAACAACCTTGTTTGGTAATGTAATTTTGATCTGGATAAAATGCTCCATCATAAAATTGAGCATCACCATCATTATTTAGAGAATTTTCATTAATTTTAAATTATTGATAGTATATGAATAGTGTAAGAATAGTATTATAATAATAATATTAAATTATTAAATGAAAGGAATGAATATATTAACGAACCATTTATGGATCATCCGACCACCACAGCCACTATTGTGCACAGAATACTTATCATTCATGGATGGACATTTACTTGCATGATCTACAACTCCATTCACACAATGAGTTGGTATTTGTGAATACCATAGAAGCAACGTTTCATCCGTGTCCTCTTGAAGTGTTTTGTTATCATTCCTACTAGAACGAATATTTGTCGTGTAATTCCGCAAAAACCATAACTTCAAACAATAATAGATTAATATCAATGGGTTAATTGCTGTCTCCTCTTCAGGAAGTGTCACTTCTTTGGAGATGGAGTATCAACCAACAACCTTTATTGTTGTACAGTTGTCCCGAGAAATGGATACTAGAATGTGATGAAAAAACTCAAATTGCTTTGAGAAAAACCATATTGAATGGATAATAGTTCTGGGACGAATATAGATCATATAAATAAATTTGTTAGAATTATTCAATCAAATCATAAACAAATTGTTAATTTTGAAACAAATCAAGAATATTCATATCTACTTCACCGCAAGTGATCATAAAAAAAGGTTAGCTCAATAAAATTTTAAACAAGAAATTGATATTATACACCCACATCATTTTACACCAAAATTTCGAAAAAAACACAAATTGCTTCACAGATTTCTCCACAAGTTGATTCACAACAAGAGTCATCACAAGTAAGTAATTTGTTTTTTTTTGATATTATCTCATCATTATCAATCATTCTACTCTCGTAATCGGAACCGTATTAATTTTACCACAGGTATGTGTTTAATATAATTTCAAATTAATAATTATTATTATAAAAGACACAAGTGGCTGCATCATCATTTTGCACTCGATGCCACCAGCCACGACTGACAAATCACAAGGCCGTCTGCAAAGGTATAGTGGTCTGTGATGGTTCTTGTAGTTACCCGCGCTGCAAGATAAAGATGGAGAAGGAAGTGGAGGCCAAGAAGAAGGCTAAGAAGGCGAAAAAGTTGCTTGGACTGGAGAACATTAACAACAATACCAAACCGCAACAGTTTCAGAAGATAAAGAGCAAGGCTTGCAAGATGTCGAGCTTGGAAGTTTTTTAATTGAAGGGATACAAGACGTCGAGGGTATCAAGGCAAGCCCGTCAAAGAAGAGCAAGAAAGTGGAGTCGGATAGTGATTCCTCTGATTCCTCAGATTCAGATGATAGAATTACGGAGTTTGAAGAGAAGGTGAAGAAGATAGAGAAGAGTGTTAGGGAGTTGAAAGATATTTTCCGCTCTTTCAGATTGTTCTCTTTTACTCTTTGTTTGTGAGCAAATTTCTTTGTACAACAATAATAATAATCCAAGTTCCTTGAAAAACATCGCAATAATGCGACGGAAATATCGTTGACCGAATCACTATCTTTTTTAAATTTTACCCTAGGGAAAACTCATCGATGATAAGGCCAAAGTCAATCGCAGACACAAAAGTGTCAAAGAAAATCACTGAGCAAATCAATGATAAATAAGGCAAAAGCCAGTTAATACAACACAAAGTGTTGTTGAATTCTAAACGTAATGGGAGGGAGGGGAGTGTTGTTGTGGTGCCAGACTGTTGGGAAGCTGCAGTAGTGGTATTAGTTTGCTCTTTAGAGAGCTGTTTTGGTTGTGGATTTGTTGACATTTTTTAGCCATACTTTCAGTCAACCTTATTGTTTTCGTTACAAAACACATCCTTTCTTTTCAGAACATTCAATGTTGATTTTTTTGAGATTTGGAATTCCTTTCGAATTGGAATGGAATCTTTTTGGCTAACAACAAACTGTTCAGCTCGAATGTGTTTCGAAACAACAACACCCTACACCATTTTCTTATGTATGGGCAACGCAGTTTTTGGGTGATGCCAAGCCAGTTTCGCTGGAGAAAAGGATACTTTCGCTGGACTAATTCTAGTCCGTTTTCCAAACGAATCTCTGCTCACTCCTGGTGGGATTGCAGAGATTCACTTCACTTTAATGTGGTGACGAGAAATTAGAAGATTATAAATGGTGAATAACAATAATGTCGAAGGGTGATGTTGTTGATTTGCTTTTGAAAGGACAGAGCTCTGTTTATTTTCATCTTTTACGAGAAACAACACTTGCGAATCCATTCAGAAAACTTGGGAGATGCAATATGAACCAAAAATAAAATCATCTTAATGAACAAAATGAGAAGCAAGGCAGCAATTTCACTCTCTGAAAAACCTGCTCCCTCTCTCTTGTATCTGCTATCATGATTATAAGGTTTGAAGAGGGTGGTGGTGGAAGATGTATTTACAACTGGGGAAAAATCATGAAGAAATGCAAATGGAGAGGTTGCTGGTTCATCAAGGGAGGAGTCAAAAGATCTGACAGAAATTGATTCCTCTGTTGTTAAGGAGCGAGAGTCAGAGGTATCAGATTCTTGGTGTGGTTGTTGACTTGGTATGCCACTGCTACTGTTTGAGTTGGAACGTCTGGTTTTGACGCTACTGGATAAATATGTTGTTGATGATGTTGAAATTGTTGAACTTTTGTGTTGTGTACTATGGTGCTGATGATTGTTGTGGTGCTGATGATGTTTGTGTGGTTGGTGAGGTGGCTCTAATGTAACGTCGTGATGATGTCCACCCAGCAACAAATTTCTCAAAGGAACCGGCTGACGTTGCATCTGAAAATCGAGAAGTCTGTTGGCTGAGCTCGAATGTTTGGTTTGGGCATGCCATGAAGATCTTTGGGGTCGTAATAAAGTACATTTTCTTGCATGCTTGTGGGTCCTTAGCATGGGACGAGAAGGGTTATTGAGGATTTGTTTTGATGCAGAGGACGCAGAAGATGCAGAGGCTGCTGTTGATGTTAAAGAAGAGGTTTCACTGTCTCCTATTGCTTCACTTGTAGTGCCGTAAGGGGTCATTGCGTCGTTTGGTGTGTCTGATTTTACAAGTAACCTCCGATTCATCATTAAGGATGAATAAAGGCAAGATGAGGAGAGTGAAATGTTGTTGGTGTTGTTGTTGGTGGTGGTATTGCTGGGTACAGGAGTGATGGTGATGGAAGGATCTTGGGCATCGTTTGAGATGAAACAACTCAAAGAGTCGCCTTCATCCTCAATATCTGTAATGGTCATGGCCTCATGGGACGAATGCCGTCGTTGTCGTCCATGAGTAGGCTTGTACGCGAATGGACACAAAATAAAGGGTGAAGCTGGGGAGGAAGGGGTGAGAGGAGAAGTGATGGGGGAATAGAGGAGGGGGTTCAAATTTTCATGTTCATCACTGCCATCTTTTCCAAACAACTCTCGAGAGGAAATGATAGGGGTCATGGTGGTAGTGTTAGTGGAACCATTCTCCGGCATTTGGTCTGCAACATCCGTGAATGAGGAATTTCTGCTCATGTTGTTGTTGCTACTGTTCCTGCTCATGGTCCCCTCCGAAATCTTTCGATAGCTTCCTCGTCGGGAAAGTACCACCAAAGATCCTTCTACTTCTCGGGATGAGCTCTCTTCACGAGAAGAGTCTTTCATAACATTCATTCTGTCCAATTACTGTTTCACTCTTTTTGGAATAATAAAAGCAACGATTCTTCTTCAGATGATGATACAAATGATAGTTCTCTTCAGATGATGATACAAATGAAACTTCTCTGTCGGGCGCTCCAAGGCGTTAGTTATACTAAGGCAATCTGACGGTATTTTTTTTAGTGTTGTGGGAATCTTTTTCCGCTCCAGCTGCTGCGAGGATTCATGGACTCGAGAGCTCTCTTGCAGTGCAAGAATATTTCTTGGATAGGTGCAAGAATGGCAATGGTTCTGATCGAAACAGTCGTTGTCGTATGTTGTGGAGACATTATGTTTCGCCGTCTTCTGAATTCACAAGCCACGGCTTCTTAATTGGTCAACGGTGTTGCCTTTTGTACCCACAAACAGACACTAGACAGGAATAGAGACCCACCGTACTCGGAAATTGCTCCATAAAGGTTCGAAAGAATCTCTTATATCGACGACTGTTCGTGTTTGAAAACTTCTAGATTTGTGGTTTTAGAACCGCCTAAACACATCAAAAGTTCGTATCGCCAATGAAAAGGCCTTCACAAAAACCTTTCCATTCCTACGCATCAGATTCTCCATATCGATTCTTAAAATATTGTGCATAGGCCACTAATTGAATCAAGTTGTCGAGAAGAACATGATCCGATTCTTCCTCCAGTTCTTCTCTCTGAACATGTTGTTGGCGAGGAGGATGACGATCCCAAACTTCATCTCCACCTGATGTTGCCTTGCTCTCTCTTCGGTGAGCGAAGAATCGACACACAGGTTCAAATGCTTCACGTGCCAAATGAATGCTCTTTTCGTATTTCATGAGAGAACGATGAAGAGAGAGAAGTTGCTTGTTCTTTTCAATGGTTTCTGGATTTGTGATGGTATTGTTGGTCGTGATGGTCGTTGAAGCCGCGATTGAAGAGGATCCTGCAGTCGTACGATTGCTATCGAGGTTGGAAATGTCGTCAGAAATCGAGTCCATGTCACTGGCAATGCTTTGGTTGGATCCATCATGAAAAGTCTTACTTTCTATCAATGCCAAGGGTGCATTTCCCATAATGAGTTCAATCAAAATGGAAATCACAATATTGGCGATTTGTTTGAATACTTGACACATGTGAACAATGGTTTCACCGTTGGAAAACTCTTTTGAGGAATCTCCATGCATCATCTCACTGGTCTTCTTTCCACATAGAGGTGTCATAAATGTCACCATGTCTGAAATGGTTCTCAAATTCACAATCAGAGTGGTCATGAAAAAATCAGAAAAGTCCTTAATGGCCATTAATTCGTTCAAAAGTACCTCTCGATTTTTTCTCGCAATCACGAGAAGCATTCGGAGAGTGAGACATGTCATGTCAGAGTCTACAAAGACCATAATTTCTTTTCTCGTTGTTGTGTTTGTTTCCGTATTTGAACTTTCATTATTCGTTTCAACAGATTCAATCACTTGAATTTGTTTTTTTGTGACATTATTTGTGGAAATGACAGAAATCCACTTGATAAAAGAGAATAATCGTCCTGAAATAATGGCCTCTTTCTTGTCACTATTCGAATAGAATAATGATTCCAATAAATCCTTTTCTTGTTTTTCTGACGCAAATTCTGAGAGTAGTCTCTCTCGCATCAAATCACTCTGAACCGCTACATATAATAATCTCATGATGAGAATACTCTGTTTCAACCATTGTTGGTCTTCCATCGTTTTGAAAAAGGCATTCTTGTTTAAATTTTGTGAAACTCTCGAGAGAAGCATATCCCAAAACAGTGGCACTGATTTCACATGATCGAAAAATAAACATCGAAATTCTGGATTGTTCAAAGTGAAAATGAGCAACATTTGTAACGCATAATTGCAAGTAGAGTATTCGTGTCGAGTGAGCATTTCTGTGTCATTGTTTTGAATAAATACTCCAAAATTTGAGACCTTTCCATTTTGAGATGGATTAGAGCCACCATTATGCATCGAGTACTTCTTCACATGCAATAAAAATAGACTCAAGAAATTGCTGAGATTCTTATTTTCATTTCTTCGTTGTGGAATCATTTCAAGAAAGATTCGATTATTGAAATTCGAGTAACTAAAGAGACTCCACAAAATGCTATAAACATGTGGCAAACAAATGTGCAATTCTGGTCGTTTCTGATAGCACAACAGTCGATCGAGTGAATTGAAAAAGAGTGCCTCAAGAGTTGAATTTTGAACTATATGTGTATACACATGCCAATTATGTGAAATTGTGTGAAATTTTGATGATCATGTGTGCCATAATAATGGTCACAAGAAATCATGATGTTGTTATGGAATGATCAAAACCATCATTCACTCGAATATATATATAATACATACATCTCAACTCATTGACATACATTAAAAACAAAGGTCCATAAATTCGATCACTCAACAAGAATGCCAACATGAAATTCGAGCACTCAATCACATCCTCTCGAAACACTCTCTCATCCCCAGACATGAGCAAAATTCGTAACATGTTCTTGTAAAAATCATTTTGAAAATGAGGAGGATCTAAATGAATCTGTGTGGACATGGTTGATGTGGCTATTGTTGTTGACATTAAAAGAGCAGTGCCATTGTTGTTGTTGTCGTTGCTCTTTTGAACTGAATTGTTGTTATTATTATTACTATTATTATCGTCATCATCATTGTCTTCATCACAACGACGACGACTTCCAGTTTTCACATCAACATTCACATCCTCCTTCTCATATTGCTCCCATAAAAGATCCACATAATTCTTCATCATTTGATAGATCAATACAAGTCCATTCCGAAGTGTTAATTGTGCTTTAGGTGAGACTGATTCTTTACATCGATCAGCTGCCACATAGAGCAATGAAAAAATCTGTCCAATTAACATTTCCATGTCGTTGAATTGAAGAATTTCTCGGAACGTTTCTTTGGGAAGACATTTGGTGGAGTGAAAAGGTCCTGAAATGTCTAACAAGATGTGACTCCAGTTGAAGTGAGCCCATTTCCGAGAACGGAGTGGTTGAATGCCCAGATCGAATTCTTGTTGAATTTGTTCCTCTGTGCTTGTGAAAAGAGAGGACAGAAAGGACATTTTTTTGGTAATCACACGCGTGTATCATGACGATTGTAATGGTGACGTTCTCTTTTGCAGCATGATTGTAATTGTGACCTTGACATTGGCATTTTAGAAAAAGAAGCTGGAAAATGTGTGTGTTTGGAAAATTGCATCTTCCTTGAGCAAGGAAGAATGACGATTTTGCTGAAAAATGTTTTTTAATAATCCAATAATAATGTGAATGAACATTAAATCATTCCTTTCAATTTTTCCTAGAAAGATTTAAAGGCAACTATCTCTAGGTGGTTCGCTAATTGGCATTGTACGATGAGTCCTGAGGCTGCTCTTACATTTAAAGTTTGCTGTATCCTCAACATATCTGACTTGATAATTGATAATCTTTGGAATTCTGTGGACCTGAGTATTTGGAATTCGCTTGACAGGCAAAACATCCTTAGTGATGGCTTGCTGTTCTCTCCTCTTTTCTCTCTCTTCTCGAGTCATTTCGGCATTTGCAATATTTCTTCCGTATTTACGACGAACAATCGGATCCTTTACAAATGGTTCCTCACCTTCAAAGTGGAATTGAAGTTGAGTTTGTTTTTCAATATCAGCCAAACGAGGGGCCACTACAATATATTTTCTATTGTAAACTTCGTCATAGGCAAAGTGCACCCATCCATCACGAATAGCATGGAGCGTATAGTCCTTGCCTTGTGCAACATTGTATCCGGGCCAATATCTATTACCTCGTTGTCTGACTAATACTTCACCAGCTTTCACTCGTTGTCCTTGCAATCTTTTGAGACCCAGTCTTTTTGAATGAGAGTCTTTGGTCTTTTGTGTAGAACCACCACTCTTCTTTGAAGCAAAACGAACTTGATGTTGAGAGGCCTCACAAATGGAATTAATTAAAAACGATGAACAATTTGTTATTGTGCTGGAAATTGTTGTTTGTACCGACGATGATGATGGATGAGAGAAGAGGAATGATGTAGCAGCTGCCGCAGCCATACGATGAGAGGAAGGCTTGCCGCTCATCATCACAGCAGTCATCATGGCCGATGACGAAAAGAGAGAATTGCTGATGAATTTCTTCATTTTTTGTGGTTGTTTTTTGAAACAATTTTATTGTTTTTCTAATGATGATGAGAAGACGCGACAACGGAGCTCTGTTTGCTATAAACGAGGTCTTTTCAGGAGAATGTTCATCTTGGAATTAATTGGAGATGTCCGAAAAAATCATTTGAAAATGGAATTTCAAAAGAGTTTGACTGTGAACAGTTGCACTCGAGTAATTACGAATGTCTTTGCTTTTGAAAACATTCAATGATGAATGGAAATCCAAAATACATTAATAAATTCACCTCCGAATAGATGATCAATTATTATTATTATTCAATTCCACTTCAAAACATATCCCGAATGATAAATATTATATTCTTTCAAAGTCTTTTCATAATCCACTTCTTTTCCACAATAATACAAAGCAGATCCAGGAGCACTCGATAACATGATCACTCTCTCTTTAATGTCTTGCATGGTATCCTCCATCGGATCACAAGGAATGAATAAAATCTTGTTTTTCGTTTTCACGAATATTTTCATTTTTCTGTGAACATAATTTTTCCATCAAAACCAAATTGTTCATGATGAGCGATATCTCAATGAAATATTAAACGCATCTATTGAGGAAGTGAGCAATAAAGTTTTCAAAACAAAGGTGAATTCACAACATCTGTGACAACATCACAGGAATGTGGCACTTTCCAAGAAAATGATTGAATATTTAATTCTTCACATTATCATTCTGTCGTTCATTTTCAAAGTGTTTGGATTTCCATCCCAAGGCAAAACGCTTACCACATGTCTTCCACACACTACTGAAACGACAGGCCGACAAGTGCTACCTGCATACTCTGAATATTCCACACGATGTACTTTACCATCCGCTAAATACACATGAAGGTCGATATTACTTCCTCGAACTCGAGATTTGAATCCAATCAATTGCCCTTCTTTGTTAGCTGTTGATACTTGATAAGAGGTTTTTCCATGGAGAACAGGAGCATTAGATTTTACACAGTAACCAAATCTCGTATAGGTCTCTAACGGTTCTGTAGAGTCAGGTACATTACTTTTAACACCCACTAAAATACTCCAAGCATTGGTGTCGACTTCTTTGCTAAATTTGGTTAATAAAATTGACCAACACTCAACGACATTTTGCTGAATTGCATAATTGACAAAATATGACTTCCAAAAACCATCATTGGAGGCCATGACCGAATGATTCAAATGAGTAGCAACATCATTATGTATCGTCTTGTATGACGTATGATTCATTTTACAAAATACAAACTTCCTGAATGAAATATACTGCAATTTCAATATCATTGAACGAGCTTTCATCCTTGTCTTGTTATCATTTAACTGGAGAACATTTTTCTTCCATTTATGCAAATGTGGAGCAACAACTTCATCCATACATGTATCCAGTAAACAATTATTCGAATCCAAACGTTGAAACATTCGGTTTCTAAATTGCCAATAACCTCTTATAAAATTATCACAAATGATTGAGTGATCGTTTTCATTGAAATGACTCAAATAAGATGCCTGTTTCACTTGTTTCTCTACTTGATGATCCAAAGCCTTCATTTTCGCTTCCCAAATTTCTGGATTCTTCACCAATTGTTCATACAAATATCTGCATGACAATCCGAATGATAACCATGAAGCATCATCAAGAAATGGAATGATCAAATCATACAATAAAACGTTACAATCAAGATCAAGAAGTTGATAATGTTGTTTCATTTGAATTTTTTTAAGGTTTTTCTTACAATTTCATTTCTGAACGAAGTAAAAACCTTTCAATTCCAAAATGAAACAAATATCCATTCAGGTAAAGCATCACTTTTTATCAATAATACTGGTACGAAAATAAAAGATAAAGAAGAGATTTTAATCAATTAGTGAAATGTAAATGTGTACATTAATTTCATCAAAAAAATGTCAGAAATTGATGGTGAGGAGGAAGATTTTGATCAAGAGCAAGAAGAAGAGGAAATCTCCGATGAAGATGAAAATGATGAAGAATACATTGAAACTGACTCGGAAGAAGAAGAAGGAAAAGTTAAACACCATCATCATGAGGATGATGAATTATCGGATGAACAAGAAGAGGATAAGGATTTTCCAAACTTTACTGACGGTCTCACTCTGCAAGGTAGACTTCAAGTAAAGAATGCTCGAAAATTATATTTTGATGAAAAACAAAGAGAATATAACGCAATGGTTGCGAAAGAAGTGTCGTCCAAAGTGAAACAAAAGTGGAACGACATTATTTCGAATCAACAAATTGCGTCTGGGGGATTTGATTTTCAAGTTTTGAAGAATTTATTGGATTCACAATCAGATATAGGCACTGAAACATCGAATGTCTCACGTCAACAATCTCTCGAAGGACAATTAGACATTAAACAGAGAGGAGACCATTGGAATTACACGATTGGCTTGAATGAAACTAATCACCATGACGAAGAGAATGAGCAAGCTAATGAGAACACTGACGAAGAAGACAATGAGGAAGACGAAGAAATTACCGACGATGATGATGACGAAGATTAAGTTTTTCAAGCATGCATGGAGTACGCTTTTGAGAGTTACAACAGGGATGGGCATACGAGCAGGAGTGACCTTTGCATGACATTATTGTTCATCAAGAGTGTCACAAGTGGTTCTATTGTGGCAACCACATTTTATAATAATACTCGAATTATAACTTAAATGAATTTATTGAGGATCAAGGTGGTTACTTCTTTTGACCTTTCTTTTGATATCCCTTATTTCCACCACCACCTCTTGATGATTGTGCGTTAGATGGTGCAGGGAACATGCAAGCAAAAATTCTGCATGGAGCTCCATGAACGTCAGCTCCGTTATATAAAAGACATTCACGAACACTTTCCCAATCCTTGAAATGAATCAAGAATTGATTCTTATTGCTCTTTGAACTCTCTATCGAAACAAGACTTCCACATTCCTCCACGTAGGACCACAATTCTTCTTCAGTGATTGGAGAACCTTTCACAACCATCAAACAAGCCTTGTCGTTCTCACATGCATGGCGAATATGAATTGGAAGACCTTCAATGATAGCTCCGTTGTAGTCTTCAAAGACATGAGGATTCTCAATGTCCTTTTCAAAAACAACAATGGCAGATTTTGGACCTGTCAAGGTTGCAGTTGCAGATGATTGTTGTTGTTGTGGTTGATTGTTATTTCTCTGAGCATTTCTCAATGCATGATTGGCCAACATTTCAGAATCCTTTCCTGAAATATTCTTTTGGAAAATTAGAATTCGTTTCACTTTTTGACCAGGAGTTGCAGTGTCCTCGGCAATTTCATTCATGCATCCATTGAGAATAATTTCATCAACAGAAAGTGCTAAATTGGAAACCAGTAATGTATTCTTGTAGACTTTGGAAGAATTGGAAGAAATTTTGGTAAGAAAGGTTGGATCTTGAGTCGCATTGATATATTCCTCAGTGTCATTAATTTCCTTCTTTGGTTTTTTAGAGAGAGATTCAAGAGAAGCTTCATCGGATCCGTTCGTGTTGGAATCGGTCGTATTCGTGGTGCTGTTGGTGGTGGTATTACCATCATCCTTCTCTGCTTGTTTACGTTTACTTCCCTTCTTCTTTGTGTTATTATTTGCTACTGTAGTTGTGGTTGTTTTATTAGCAGTGGAAGTTGTAATTTCATCATCATCCACCATCTTATCGGTGGTGGTCGTGGTGATTTCCGTGAGGGTGATGGTTTCCTCGGATGGTGTTGGTGCCACCTTGTTTTGTTGTTGTTGTTTCTTGTTTGCCTTTGTCTTGTTTTTGCCCATTTTTTTTGAATCAAATTTTTTATGGAACCCATCAAACAACAAGCTTACAACAAACAAGATGAAGAACACTCGGCTTTTAGGTGTTGGTGCAAAAGGTGTGGTTCAAAAACACACATTCATGTGAGGATTTTACGATTTTATTGAGGTCATGTCATGGAATCTATTGAGATGGCCATGGGGTGGTCAGAAAGAGAGAATAATTTTTCAAAGATTTTAACATTCATCTTCTTCTTCTTCTAGTAAGACAATTCTTGAGTCGAATAGAATTGTTTGTACCATCTTCGCAATTTCATCACTGGTCCATCATTCTAATCATATCATTGGTTCATATTATAAAATTAATATATAGATTGAATAGATACGTGAACAACAACTCATCATTCACACACAAACCCCTATCACACCATTGCTACTTACCTTCACTAACAATGGTTTTTTCATGTACATCTTATTTTCCCACACCAAAATGTCATTCTGCCACTGAGCAACCCAATTTCCAACAATATACCACACCAACATTCTTGGAATCTTATTTTCAGCAAATGCCACAAATCCAACATCTAAACTCGTGACACCTGTTGGAGTGTGTGTATGAAAGAGGTAAATCCTTCCAAAGTTTCCATCGAATTGGAAAAGGGTTAGTCCTCCTGGTCCATAAAATGTAATTTGAGCATCTACCTTCGTAGAGGTGAGTTTTCTTCCAAATACCTCTAAACATGCTTGATTTTTGAAATAGGCAATATGTTTTTCAGTGGGAGAGAGTTCAAAACTTGCCTTATGAATGATTTTGACAAATGGCACTGGAATGGATCTTCCAATACAGGAACGAGGCCCTGTCCATGGCAATGCCATCTCTCCATGCAAGGGTTGAAAATGTTGAACATCGGCAGAATTCTCTGCAAAATCTTGTATATTCATTCGAATGTCTTCATAGACGAAATTTCCATAATGATAATACTTGCACTCTTGAGGTGAAACATCAAGATCTGGGATGGAAATGGGATCATAGGAAGGAGGTTCTCTCTCTGAATGATACCACACCAAGATCATTCCATACTTTTCCACACAAATCCATGGAGTGGAGCCATTTCCTGTTTTAGCACAGGATGGAATTGAACCTTCCGAATAAGGAATATTCACACATTGTCCATCCTTATCAAATTCCCAATGATGAAAGACACAACGTAAATGATTTCCAATGACCTTTCCTTGAATGCCTAAATTGGCTCCCAAATGTGGACAATAAGCATCCAACACTCCAACGACAGGCTTTTCATTCTCCCTTAATTGCTGACCTCTGAAAATCACCAATTCTTTCCCAAAATAATTCACTAATTTGGATTGACCTGGAGAGAGATCACTCGAATTACATAGACGATACCATCCGTTAGGGTATTGTTGAATGTATGAATCGGCACGTTCTTTTTCTACTTGTTGTTTCGAAGGATTGAATGAAGATGGAGAAGCACGATGTGGTTGTCCCTGACTGGAACATGAACGAGAGAGGAGGAAAACAGTGAGAAGGAGAATATTGATGGAAAGACTGAGAAGGAGAAGTAAGGAGGAAGTGCTGCTGCTAGACGACGTGGTGATGGATGGAAACGACGAGTCTTCGGTTGCTGTGGACACGACACTTGTTAGGAATGGAGTTAAAGAAGAGAGCAGCGAGTTGAGCATGATGAATGTGACTAGAAATATCCAAGACGACACCAAGGTTTGAAAATGATGTGATCTCCACAACAACAAGTGGTTACAGGAAGAGAGTTTCAAACTGTGACTCAGAAGAAGGAGAAGCAAAGGGTTTTTTTGAGATGTGGCAAACTGTCAGACAGCAGACACCTGAAAAGAAGTTTGTGCTTGCGGAAGTCCTCTGTTGTTTTTACAACTTTTTATTGATGGCTACAAACCGAAAAGGAATAATTAATCATGGAGGAGCTCCTTTGATTTCTCACATGTTCATCCACCGATTTCGAATTCATGCAATTCCTATTACAACATCGGAGCGTGAATGTTGATTGAAAAACTGTGCGTCTCTTCTCGTACTTTTCGTTGTCGTGATTGCGAGTGGACGACCACAAGCTTGTGAAATATTAGACTTTGAGGAAGGATGCATTTACTGTTTGAGACACACACGCGCTCAGACAATGTCTGGAATAAATGATGCTCAAGTCGAGACACTAGCCAGATCCAAGCTTACTCTTTCTACAGATGAGAATGAGATCGGGCAATAGTCCTTAGCCATTTATTTACTACCCTGCAAATGAATCTAATTTGGTCTTGAATGACCTCAAGCTGGAATGGTTCCTCTTGTTCGAATCACTATATGTATTACCACCTGTTTCAAAGACATTCCAAAGATGAATATATACCTACAGAAGAAATAAGTCATCTCTTTCAATCAAATAGAAATGTCATAAATACACATGATTACATTTTTATATGTTACAAATGATGATACAAATTTTGAATTTATGATGGATCTCAAAATCGAATTGAAAACCACCAATCTCGTGTTGTTCGTGATGATGACAATTTGTTTTCATCATCATTGCTGAAAGGTTCGGGCAATTTCATTCGCTCTCCTCTCGGTATTTTACATTGTGGATATAGTTTTTACATATACAATGTGGATACATCTGATCACTAGTTGTCACCACTAGTTTTGAATCTTCTCGAATTGAGTCGACCAGTACTCGGTACATTTGCTTCTTTCATTTCTCGATGGAAGGTTGAAGCAAGCGTACATTTGTTCGAGAATTCGTTCTTGAGGAGATGATTGGGGCATGGATGATGATTGGCTAGTGTTCTTCATGGTTCTTGATGTTAAATAATGTTGTGGTAATGATGATGATACAAGTGAGGATTTTTTGTTGTTAATTATCATGTCCGCAATCACCACAAAATGACGACCAAGTCAATGTTTCTGAGGGTGCGCTCCAAAATTCTCCTTTCATCCTTCACTCATCATGGGCTGGTATGCACTGAGTAGCCAAGGAGCACCTTACAGTAGTCAACAAGATCCTTACTTCAAAAACAAGCGCTATTCGTTGATGATATTTTTAGGTATTGCCACCTCATCTTCGACCGTTTGAAAAGAGGAAGCTCCGGAGTTGCTCGCCTTGTTCCATCTCTCTCTTCTTGTTGGATATGAAATCTCAAAAAGAAAAATACTTGTATCGCTCTGGCTCATCATCACAATAGTTGTAATATATTTATTCACGAGAAAATGATCGAAAAAGAGTATGATTATTTGTATAAAAGTATGTGTATTGAGAGTGATTGAACATCCCAATCGATGAATTTTTGAATGGAAATTTTAAAATGATGAAATTATGTCGTTTGGTTTCATCGAATGCAATCATGTGCAGTTGTTGTAATTGGAGATTCTGCGGTTGGAAAGAGCTCACTCATTGTTCGTTTTGCAAAAAATGAATTTAAATTCAACACAAAACCTACCATCGGAGTGGACTTTGCTTCTAAAGATATAACGTACGATTCAAAATGTATTTTAGGACACATTTGGGATACGTAAGTGTTGGAGGTATATGATGAATCTTCTCACTTGCATTGTACATTTTTGGTTGTGGCTATAATATTTCATGAATATTTTGGTGATGGATTTCAACATTTTGCATGATCTGCAACAAAAAAATCATCCTCAACATTTCATCATGTTCATAATTTCTGCATTGCAACAAAAAATCATCCTCAACATTTCAACTTTTTCACATTTGATGTGATGATTGCATGAACGGTTTTTCATTATTGATCAAAATTTTACGATGAAAAATCATCCTTAAATCATAAATTGTTTAAAATTTTAGAGCTGGACAAGAGAAATATCAAGCAACAGCTCCTGCACTCTATAGAGGAGCCCTAGGAGCAATGATTGTCTTTGACATTAGCAATAGACAAAGTTTTGAAAATTTAGAACGATGGCTCACTCAACTGAAGAAATATGGAGAACCAGATTGTGTAAATATTATTGTTGGAAATAAGAGTGATTTACAACATTTGAGACAAGTCTCTGTTGAAGAAGCCTCTCAATATGCCCAAAAACACGGAGCCTATTATATGGAAACTTCTGCATTGAATGCATCAAATGTAGAGAAGGCCTTTTCTTCATTATTGCAAAACATTTATTTGAAAAAACCAACACCTATTGACGTTTATAATCCACCACCACAAAACCCAAATCTTCCAGTGGTTCCAAGTCCCGGAGGCGGTGTTCAGAACCCAAGTTTACCAGATCCAACACCTGTTCAATCGTCCTTTCCATGCCAATGCTGATGCACAATAAATGTTTGAAAATCCTTAAAAGTTTGTCAAAATTTTGAATAATTACCAACAATGTTGAGATGATATCTGATGGCTTGACAAGTGCAATTTCTGAAATCATCCTCAAGAATTTCAACATCCTTATACTAAGCTTAATGAGCTTATCCAACTGGCTCCTGTTCTTTCTTCCCAAATGAATTTGGACATGGTATTCAAAAAGGATGCCCTATCAAAAATGTACATGGCCACAACCAACGAACCTTAACCGTTGAATATGTTATTTTTATCTGGTGCCAACTCACTCTCGAGTTCAACAACAACGTTAAGCCCCTCCTACTTGATTCAATCACCCCTTGATTAAGACGGCTTCCATGATCACGAATGGCTCGTGGCTCGCTATGAGATTCACATTCAAAAAATTTCAAGAAGGATAAAGAACATATTCCGAAAACAACCAACAATACAACAGTACACTACAGTAACAGTCAGACCAACATGCAAATTCCAGACGAAAATATTGATTTAATGTACAACAGTAGGTTTTATATTTTGGAAAGGATGATCATGTTGAATCATCATCATTGAACATATACAGTTATTGTTGCAGGTGATTCAGGAGTAGGAAAAAGCTCACTAATTATTCGTTTCACTAGAAATGATTTCCGTTTACATACGAAACCGACCATCGGAGTCGATTTTTCGTCCAAAGATATTTCCTATGATGGAAAGTGTATTCGAGGAAGAATTTGGGATACGTAAGTTTTTCCGAAAGAGAAAGTCATGCTAATATATGAACAATGTCATCATTATTATTCATTCAATGATGAAATTTGTTGCGTGATGGATCGATTATTTGTATTAATTATAATTTAATTATTGGATTCACTTAATAATTTTAATTTTCAATATATTTTGGAAACTTGAAAATGTTTGACTCGAATTGACTCTCATCAGAGCTGGACAAGAACGATTTCAAGCCATTACTCCATCCTTCTATAGAGGCGCTCATGGTGCCATGATTGTCTTTGATCTATCGAATAGAAGCAGCTTTGAAAAAGTAGAAGATAAATGGATCTCTCAATTAAGAAAATATGGTGAACCTAATTGCATCATAATATTAGTTGGAAATAAGAGCGATTTAGTGGATCAACGACAAATTTCTGTGGAGGAAGCAACAAAATTTGCTCAAAAACATGGAGCGTATTATATGGAAACATCTGCATTGAACGCATCAAATGTCGAACTGGCTTTCAATACCTTAATTCAAAATATTTATCATAACAAACCATTGCATCCCGTAGTAGTTGACCCACTTAATCCTCCTCCTACAGTGGTTCCACCTCCTGTGAATATTACTTTCGATCCAACTAAGCCCACAGTGCCAACGACTGAACAACCAAGTAAATGCCAATGCTGACAACGCCTTTATTAACACAAACCAACACCTGATCTTACAAGCTCAGTTAAACAAAGCTCAAAGCCAGGGAAAGGACCAACACCACTTCGTATCGATCCTGGTTAAATTGCCTCAATGAAGAGGATTCTTGAATGTATTGGAAGCCCTATGGCTGTCGAGACGATTGTGGGTGTATCCAATGTAGTGAGCACAAGAAAACCAAAAGATTGAAAGTGTGATTGACCACAAGTGGGATGATCGGTCATCTGTAACGTTTAGTTGCCGAACAATTAGAAACGTGTCTGTTTACGGTTAAATGTTCGAATCTCGGTATGACCGTGTGAACTCCAAAAGAAAAAATGTCGTCCTCTCTTCCAATAGGACAAACTTACACCATTTGTCGATCACGATCGTCAAACTTTCGCAAGAAAGCTCTCATCATACATGGAGATGAACCGGATCATTTCTTTTCCTGTGCTTGCGAGAAATTTGCTGGGTTCGTTCGAGATCCACAAGTCTTTGTGTGGCCTCCTAAGAATTTTACATTCCAACCTGACCGACCTGATGATAGTTTTGCCTTTTTGAGTGGAGTTGATTTAATTCATCAGCTCGATTTGATTGATCCACAAGCGCATTCCGCAGAATATTTGCGAACACAATATTCACTGATTGTTTTTCCACTCTATGCCGGCTCTGGTACAATGACAGGGGAGCAGGCAAAGCGTTTTTCAGAAGTGATCAGTATGATCAAAAAATTGATTATTCAAAAACAAATTACAGTTCTGTTTTTGAGAGGAAGTGCAAATAGTGTACCATCTCGATTGGGCTATATGTCTGATGAAGGCTCTCAAGATGGCTTTGTTGGATATACATTAGAGTCCACTCTGGAATTGAACATGAATGAATTGAACGAGTTGGCAGTCCGGAGTAGAGTGTTGACAGAGTTTCTAAATTCCAAACTATTGTCGGAATGCTCCACGATCAGAATGGATGAACAGCTTAACAAGATTGTGACAATTCAAAATGCATCCTTTCTATGTGGAATACCAAGAGGACATTTGAAGGATCGTTCCTCTTGGCATTTGCTTATTAGTTCTTCATCAGAGTTGAAGGATTGTCTATTAATTCACAAGGAACATCGAGTATTTTTCACTCCATGGTATGGAATGCCAACCAATGAAAACATGTCCCATCACATTGTGAAATATTTCTGTAAATTCATGGTTGAAGAATATTTCGTAAAAAATGGTGGTGCTGATTTTCAAGTCAAGATGAAAAGCAAATATCAAAATCAACAATTAATAGACATTGTTGTTGTAAATATGTGAAAATTCATAGAAAGTAGAATACCATGTGTGAAAATCTCTTATTAAGATTCATTCTTCATGAAGAATTTGAATGACTAATTCTCGCAACATGAATTCCTCAAATGCGAATAATATTCAGAACTCTTCACTACAATCAGAGAAGGCTTTAAATTGTTCTTTACAATTTCAACAACATGGAGTACAGCATTCAGCATTCGATTTCCGTTAATATCGATGAATACTTTGAGCTCTGAGGAAGGATTTTCGTAGAGATATTTTCTCCATGTTCTAATCACTCGTTTTTGATCATCCTCGCTCATAATATCCGCACACCAAAATTCAATAAATGGAAATTTCTTCTTTGTTTCCTCAACGTATGCCTTTGAAATGTCCAAACACAACAACTTGGCACATTTTTCATGAAGAATTTTAGATGTTTCACCAAGAGCACTTCCAATTTCCAAAACAAAATCTCCTGGGTGTTTGATTATTTGCGTGTTTGATTCGCTTCCACCCGAATTCATCACAGTGCGACATGAATGTTGTGTTGGTGCGGTCGTCGCCAATAGATTGTCATCCTCTTGCTGTTCAATAAAATCATACTTGTTGAATACTTGAGTTTTTGCTAAAAGCCTAAAATCACTCGTCTCATTGCACACAATGATATCCACATCTGTCGTATGATCGTTCGTGTGAGTAGCACCATTATCTAAAGAGCTTGCCTCCATGTGGTGATGATGGTATTGTTCAATGAATGTTCCACAGTTCTTTAATCCCCATTGCTTTGTGGCTCTAAAGATCGGCACCATTCTTTCAGCTTTGCAATGATATCGAGATTTATCTTTGCAATATTCAATTTTATATCTTCCAACAAACGGACTGTTTGCATTGGTTACAAATTCCAGTACTCTTCCGATGGCATAGAGCTTTTTACTTTGCAGCGTCCATACATAATCTCCTTGTCTAAATGATCCATCATGAGGTTGGAATGTATTCTTTGAAAGAGAAGCATGCCGATTCCGATCAATATTAGTGGATGATTTTAGAATTCTTCCTTTCAATTTTCCTTCATCAAATAAAAAGACATTTGTCTCTCCCGAAATCTCAAGTTTTTTGTTCTCATCTCCATCGTGAGAAACGGCTTTCAGAGAAGGAATCATTTTTTTCTTTGCAGAAAATCTCTGCAACTGGACTTGAATATTGTTGTCCTTGGCTCTGAAACAGAGCTCTGGATCATTGAACAATGCACTGTACTCTTTACGAAGAGAAAGGCACAATTGGAGATGCAGTAAGTCTGTGGTGACCTTTAAAAGCTGGGAGATGTAACTCTTATTTGTCGGCAATTGACCACAATGGTGTTGTACAATATAGCAGTGAAGCTTTGTCTGACCGCTTTTCGTTTCGCAGTCTCAAGTTGGAGTTCGTTTCAGCTTTCTCTATTCCAGAATGTCTTACACCATTCAAGAAACAGCCAAACCGAGAGTTGGATGATGTTGAGAATAGTTTCAACAAGGAATTGGGCTCTGTACACGTGTATTGGTTGAGCAAGTGATTGGAAGGATTAAGAAGTTTCAAATTCTCAAGCAAACATTCCGGTCCGCATTGTGGATGCAGCTGCATCCGACAGTGTTTCGCCTGTGCGCCAAGCTGACCAATTTGTCATTCAAATTTCAACCCATCCGGAAATGCTAATTGGATGAGAAAATCCTGAAATTTGTTGTGGATGAATGATTTACAACTTGAGATTCAAATGACCAATCAAAAAAAAAGACATCTTGTCATTTTCATCTTTTGTAAATCCAGAAAACGTCACAAAACTCACCGCATCAATTCAAATCTTTCAAAAAATGCCAGGAAATGGTGCAGGAGTGTTCTTTGTTGGTGATCAGGAGACAATCGATGAAATAGCCAAAGCTGCCAATGATATCTGTCGTAAACAACATGATCGTAGAAATATTTACGACACTTTGAAGAACCATTTTGCCAATGATCAACAAGCTGCCAAAGCATTTGAATATGCAAATGAGTGTTGGTTTTTTAAGAAAGGTCATTGCGAGAGCGGAGATGAATGTCTTTTTCGCCATACGCAAAATGGTTCTGTTGTAAATCATCCCATGTTGAACAGAGAGCAAAGGGACAAATTTTATTCTTCAATACAAGTGACAGATTCAGTCATGGCACATTTAGAGTTCATTCACATCAAATCCGTTCATATGGGAGTTCCACCTGCAGAGGTAATGATTGATCAAGAAACACGCAATTATATCTTTCAACAACAAGAACGATATTTGAGAGAGACTGTTTTTGCCAAATATTTGAAGGAGAAGATTGGTGTTGGAGATGTTATTGAAAAAGTTTATCCTCATTATTCGAAAAGAGCGAGTTTAGTAAATATGCATTATTTGATTGGTGTGGAACCGTTGAGCATTAATTCATGTCTCTCTGGTTATAGAAACTGTGCGAACATTAGTATGACCAATGGTGGACTTGAAGGAAGTTCCATTGACACTGCCAAAAAGGAAAGTAAGGAAGAATTTCATATCGATGTGGATGAAATGTTTAGCAACAAACAATATCGAGACTTGTTGAAGGAAAAAGATATTGGATTTGAGGAAAATATTAAGGTGAACTCTAGCGAAACACATATTTTCATTTGTTTATGTTTGAAAGATTATATTGAGGTCTGTCAAGAGGAGGATGTGGTTATCCTTAAATGGAAAGAAAAAGGTAGACCAGAAGAAAAGGAGGAGGATGTTGCTTCTCTTACCTCCAAATTTGATTCCTGTTTAAACGTAACCCAACAACAACAATAGTCAGTTCCCTCCTCCTTTCCTAAACTGCCACTTGAGTGGATTGTTTGGTAAAATTTAGTCAATCAATTTTAATCTCTGAATGTAAAAATTTTATAATTTAATCTCTGAATGTTCTTGCGGAACTGTACAGTGTCGAGTTTATTGAGATGGGTGACCAATAATTTCCTTCGCCCATGTTAGACGAATATGGTGGTGAGCTCTTTGAGGCGAAGTTTTTGAGCATCTTTCTTGGTATGTCCAAACATGCCTCCACTCACTTCATCTTCGTCATCGAATTGGTCTTCAATCGTCACTTCATCAAAGCCATCATCTTCGTCTTCAACCTCCTCGTCAGAATCGTATTTTCTCTTGAGAGCTCCTCCACCAAATCCACCCAAATAAGACGTTCCATAGGTCGTACAACTTTCATCTTCGTCATCATCGCTTCCAATATTAAGGGCATCGTTGGCAATTTTAGTCTTACTCTTTTGCAAGCTCAAAATACGCTCTTCAACGGAGTCCTTGACAACAAATCGGTAAACTGTAACGGGCTTATCTTGACCAATACGGTGAACTCTGTCAATGGCTTGTTCTTCAATTGCTGGATTCCACCAAGGATCAAGTAAAAAGACATGGGTGGCCCAAACCAAGTTAAGTCCAGTACCTCCAACCTTTAAAGAAATTAGACAGACTTGAATGGTATTGTCGTATTTGAATTTTTGAACAGCATCGTCACGATCTTTTCTTTGCATTTTACCGTCTAATCTAACAAAGCGAATTCCTGACTTTTCAAGTGCGACCTCCACTAAATCTAACATGGACGTCCATTGAGAGAATACAACTGATTTTGTACCATATTCCTGCGAACGTAATTTTTCAATGAGTGCATTAATCTTGCTGCTTGATCTCCAGTTCATTCTCATGTATTTGCTAACATTGATACTCTTCAGTTGAGAGGCAATCACCGACTCGCCTTCATTATTTTGTCTCATCTTGAGCTTTTCCTTGTTTAGTTTCAATACTTGAGGTAACATGGGTAAAATAGTGTCATAAACCTCAAATCCATTCTTTTGTTCAAAGTTTTCCAAAAATCCATTCATGGTCGATTTGTCCGTCTTCTTTTGGAAGCTTGTAATGATAAGGGCAGGATGATTACAAACTTGTCTCAAATGCAAAAGCATTTCCAAAATGTTTGCATAATTTTTGAGAACAGTATTGCTTCTCACAAATTCGTTAAATTTGCCCTTGCTGTACTCGTAGAGAGATTTGTAGAATGTCATTTCGGCTTGTGAAAATTGTATCGAAACAGTCTCGACATGTTTCTTAGGAAGCTCAACAATACGCTTTCCATTCACTCTCTTGTTCTTTGTTCTACGAATAACCAATTTTTTGATCACGGATTGTAAGGCTTCAATGGCTTTCTTATCTTTCTTTTCAAATGGTTTTCCGATATATTTGGTCCACCATCTCCAATCTCCGTGAGGATTCACTTTCAAAAAGTGGAACAGAGAGTACAAATCGTCAATATGATTTTGGATTGGAGTACCAGTTACTGCCCATCTTCTTTCAGCATCAACTGCTGCGGTAGCTCTAGATTGAAGAGATTTTCTATTCTTGATATTGTGAGCTTCATCCAAAACTACACGGAAAAATTTCATCTTGTAGATGGGACTTGGTTGTTGTGGTGCAGAATCTTTTGTCTTTTTCTTCGCATTCGCTCTTTCCTTTGTTATAAATGTTTGGCTGTACTCATAACTCAAAGTATTGTAGGTGGTAATTATTACATCATATTTCAATAGTGTTGCAACATCACGAATACGTCTGTTGCCCTGATAAACATAAACTGAGAGTTGATTGTTGGTGTGACGTTCAATTTCTTGTTTCCATTGATCTACGATAGTTAGAGGAGTGACAACCAACGTAGCAGTGGAGAAATACTTATCGCTCACAATCGTTGGAGTCGATTTCTTTCCCTTGATTCTATTGGAGGCAATAAGGCCAATAACTTCAACTGTTTTTCCGAGACCCATTTCACTAAAATTATCAATTGAAAAATATGGAATTTGTTGAACATTATTCATATAATGATTGTACACGTTGAAAAAAACACTTACTCGGCAAGTATTCCACCCTTAGGTTCAGGTGGTGCTGGTACAAAGGTTAAAGTAATCACGCCATGAAGTGGATTAAAGTAAAATGGGGTACCGTCAGGAAATTTCCTTTCCTGGAACAAGGAATGTAACTTTGGTGCAGATTTGGCTTTGTCTTCACCGATACGTTCTCTCTTTAACATCCATTTCACAGCTGTCTTTTGGTAGCTTCTAAGCTCTGTAGTCAATAGAGAATCTTCTGGAATTTCGATGGCATGATGACTAATTTCATACTCTTCATCAGAATTATCGTCTGTATTGGGAGCATTTTCATCATCAACAATGACTTTTTCAATTTCTTCATAGAGCTCTTCGAGTTGTTTATCCAGACCTTCTCCCTCCATGTCAGAAAGGTTATGGAAAGATGATGATGAAGCTCCATTCGTTTGTGCTGCTGGCTTTTGGATGATATACTCATCCAAATCAGTGTCATCTAATGCATCAAGATCATCTTCCTCCTCTTGTTTCGATTTATGTAAGGAAACATCTGATCCATTGGTTTTTCGTAATTTTGATAGTTGGAAATTGGCAGTATTATTTACAAACAATTCTGAAGATGAGGAACTACCTATAATGGAAACACCAGAATTTCTATCCAATAATTCAAAGAGCTTTTTCAGAAAGTTCTTTCGTACGTGATACATTTGAATTTGGTCATCAGACATGCGTTCAATATTAGCCAATGAAAATGGATTTGATTCATTGGAGTCTGTGCTTGATTCTAATAGATTCTTATCAGAAACCAAGGCCTTTTTGACCAAAAAAACTTTTAGAGAAATAAAATTGCGACCTGTCCCTTCAATCAATGCATTTGCGACTGAAACCATGATAATCTTGTGTTTTGACAAAGGTACAAGGCAGTCATTATATTCCATAGATGACACGTAGCCAATAAGTTCTCTATTTGCAGAAAATAAATATACACAGGAATTGTGTGAATTTTTGTTTGATGACTTTGAGACTCCAAATCGTGTTCTTTTCACGCCTTGCGATTTCACCTTTTCAAATTTGCTTAAATCAAACGATTCCTCGTCGATATTATTGAAATCTTCTCCATCCACAAACATATCATCGTCATCTTCATCAAAATCATCATCTTCATAACTATCGAAATCCGAGCCAAAATCAGGAACATAGCATCTTACTGAAGAAATATCGGTTGTGTTTGAAGCCAAATTTTTCCAAATTTCGGAATTGGTCACTTGTACCTCCAATTTTTGAATCTCACTTAACAATTTCGGCCATTTTTTGCCTGGCTTGGATGGAGAAACCTCAAGCAAGCCCTTTGTACTTGTCGGAAGAACAGGAGTGGCCATTGGTGGTGGCAATGAAATTTGGGAGAAAAAGTTGGGTGGAATCATGGGTGGAGTTGAAGAAGATGAGGCACCTGTTTGCATGAATGGTGGTGTAGCATTTCCCATAAATGAAGAACTAAGAGGTGTTGTTGCTCCTTTGAAAGGGGTTGAACTGTTAGATGAATTGTTAGAAGAACCGCCAATAATAGTGGAAAATCCCTTAAATTGCGAGGAGGACGATGAATTGGAGAGTTGAGCAATAATTGCTTGAGGAGGTATTGAGGGAGGTGTTTTGATTGAAGAGCTCTTGCTTGATGGTGGAGGCGGTGTGCTCGTTGATATAAACTGGAGAGGAGTGGAAATGGACATGCCATTCTTTGCTTGCTGTTGCTTGTTAAGATTTGCAATTTGTAAAAAGTACGGATTTGTAATGCTAGACTGAGATGAAGGAGGGAGAGGAGGCGGTGTGACTCTGTTTTGAGGAAGACCTTGATTGATAGTATTAATGGTTTGATAATCTTTTAACATGTTCAAAAATTGGTCTGTGGTTGTTTGTGAGAATGGAGTGGGAGTTGATGAAGAGTTATTGGTGGTTGGTGTGTTGACAATGGATGGTAATCGAGGTGGAGTTGTAAATTGTGGTAACTGTGGAGGTTGTTGGGGAGAAGCGTTCCTAATCACTGTGGGCATACCTACCAAACCACCACCGGTGTTCGAAACAAGAGCATTCATGTTGTTGCTGCGGAAAGCCACTTGATTACCATTCGTGATGATATTATGGGTAATGCCAATATTGGAGCTATTCTTATTCAACATATTTGATGGCATGGGTATTGTTGTAGACGTCGTCATATTCAAAGCCTTGTTGGTGGTACCCGAAGGTGTGGTTGTGCCTGGAGCGGGTACGATATCATCAATAAAACTAAAGAGCTCATCATCATTCAGTAAATCATCAATATTGGAAGAATTTTGGTGAGCCATGATGGTGCAAGTGATGATGTCTGATATCGGAGGAAAAAGGGTAATACTCTCGCCACGACTACAACTTGAAAGAAGTGATAATTATTGATGTTGTTGCTGTTTGAATATTACTATTATTATTGTTGCTGCAATATCTTCGCCTCTATGTTGCCACGTGAGAGAGTTACCAGAGTATGGTGTTATTATTATTGTATGAGTTTCAAAACCGAGAGACTATCAATGTCCACACACACCACGAGCGAGCGAGAGAGATTGCTGCAATTTTTTGACTTGAAATTTAAAAATAAGTTTGGAAAATGGACAATACGCAAAAATTTGATGACTCAAAGGTTTGAGAATTAAATGAAAAGGATCGTTTTGTTCAATTCAAAGAAGAAGAAGAAGAATTAACACCAAGATTTGGTGGGGTTATTGTCAAAGGTTGATTCCCGTTGTGAACTGGAAAAAAGGTCATCTGATGAGTTGAAATTGAATAAAAATTCAAAAAAAATTTAAATTTTGAAAATGCTGGGAGAGTCTCATTTGCTTCAAAAAACCAATTCCAGTTCTAGCACGAACGAAATCGGAAAATCAAACAGTGATGATTGGAATAGATTGAATCAAATTGATAATTCTCATTTACAGCAATGGATTGATAAAATAGAACAATTATTTCATCACGTTCATTCACATTTTGAAATGCAAGATAAAAAGGATATTTATTTTCAAGACAACAATAGTCCCGAGGCAATAATATTAACATCATTAAACCATCAAGATCAAATTTTGTTGCAGGAACATTTGAAACAAGTATTCACGCGAATCATCCAAGAAAATTTCACACTTTTCAAAATAATTTTAGAGGAGTATCCGTCACTAATTCGACTCTTGAACACAATAATTTCGTTGCCTTCTCCAAATTTATTACTAGTTGTGATGAGGCCTGTTCTAAATCATTTATATCTATTGTTGTACAAGTCCATTGTAGAAACTGACGATTTTTCTGAAAAGCCCAAAATTATTAACCGTTGCTTGAATTTACTTGGTAAATGCATACAAGTTCGAACGGATTATGGTCACAAGGCACATGGAAGCACGACGGATGTTCTGTTTGAATTTGAGAAAAATATTCCTTTAAGTCACTCTATGGAACAATATTTAGAGCAAATTATTCTAGAGAAATGCTATGATATTAAGATTAATAGGGCACTATCGATCAATCGTAACAAGAAACATCATCATGTGAACTTTCTTAGATCATGCCTTTGCTTTTTAAAATTGGGCGTCTTTCAATATCCGCTTTGTCATATGGCCATGATTCAATATATTTCTATATTTATTGACAACATAGATTGGTCCAATTTGCAAGACATTATCATTCTCACTCTAGCTCATGAATTAATATCATCAAAGGACGAAGAAATTGTTTCTCTCTCCCAAAAGACAAAAATTGCAAGCAGTAACATGACCATCCTTTCTAAACTATTCACTGAATTATTAGAATCCATGCTAAAACAACCTTTCAAATCAGTACATAATTTCACTGAGTATCGAATTCTGTCAGAGTGTATTCGAACGAATGCATCTATATGCATCATTTTAGAAAATTTCATTGAAAATCTCTTTTTAGAGTGCAACAATAATTTCAGGATTCTTTATGCAGCACATGACATTTTCTCTCCTCTTGCAACGAATGCATTACCATTGGAGACACTAGACACAACTCATTTGATACACTTAAGTGAAGACATTTCCACACATTGGATTAGGCATCAATTCAAGTCCTATGATTGGTTTCTTCGAAGTATGGTATATGTATTTTCGTATGTCATCAGACAATATCAGCAACCGAGGAGAGACAAGAACCAACAATTTGAAATGACTCCAATGTTTCGACAGTCCTTGGTCTACCTGATACGATACATCTTTGGACATGACCTTTCGAAGGATTTCGAGCTAGCTCAAGACTCACTTCTTCACATCATTCAAACTCTCTCTAAATGCGAGAAAATTAGTCATTCTCAATTTTTGAGCTTTATCGAAGACGAGAACATGAATGATGAAAGTGGCACGACGTCATTTCAACCCGTTCCAATTCATTCCCTTATTAACTTGTACATGTCCATGATTTTTGTAAGGCATGACTCAAAAAATTTCACCTACGATCAAGTGATTGATTTGTTCTTGAATGACGACACCAATCAAGACTTCTCAATCTTTACTGAAAAGACTCTGATCATTCTACGATGGATGGACCAAATGATTTTGCTGTTAAACTCGCCATCCTCAAGTATGGACACTCCACTTCGAAGGAAATTCCTGTCATTCCATCAAAGACAACTGATTCTTCTCTTGGGATATTTAAGGGTATTGCCACTTTTCAAAAAGAAGTGCAAATTGAACAACTTGACAAGCCATACTTCTCTCTCTTCATTGCTCCTAAAATTTCAAGAAGAATACTATGAACCACTTGTTGCCTTTTGGAATCATTATAAATCAAACAATCCAAGCACAAACAACAACCTCCACATCAATGCCTTCCAAACAGCAAACCACTCGATCCTATCCTTTTCTCAAGTGCAGAAAGAACTCGAAGAGGAATCTTCGACAACCACAACCACCACGTCGACACAGCACCAAACCTTAAAGTCCCTTCATGGTCGAGATCCCCTAGAGAGTGGCCAGAATGCACTAAGCAAGCATCAGATTCTCCTGATACCTCTCATTCTTTCCACCTTTGAACGAATTTCTCTCTTTGATGACGAAGAGGAGGTTGTTGTAGAGGATGATGGTGGTGGATGATGCAATTTCAGAAGAGAATGGATTTCGACAATACTTATGGAGGCTGTTGTGGAGAGAACGAGAGGAGAGCTTCCTCCAATGATTCACAACATGACGAAATTGACCAATCTTATTAGGTTGAGCTAAATGACAAAGAGCTCATTCGGGTGATCCAGGTTGTAACTTGACGTTCTGATAAAACGAAATATTTTTATTGGAATTCCCAACTCTTCCAAGTACACATTGTTTTCAATCATGCACATACTTCATAACGTTAGGGTTCAAGACTTGAGTATACTTCCAAAATCACGTTTTAGAAAAACCAAGTGTTCTCGAAAGTCTTGATGATCAATTTTAGATCACGCACGGAGCAAATCTGCCCACAGCTGAAAAAACAAAAGCCTTTAGCTTTAAAAAAAAATGGTGTCCAGGAAGGAAAACAACGCTGCCCATTCCCAGCAACAAGGAGGCTCTTCCTCTTCTCAGACGAAGAAGACCACACCCAATGTTGTTGTAGGCAGCGGAAGTAATGGACAACAACAACATCAAACACAACAGCCTCCCACTGGTTCGGCATGGACTGGAGTCAAGCCAGCATCGTTGAGTCAAAAGTCATCATCGGCTGGTTCTATGGGTAATGGCGGTTCTGGTGTTGGAAATATTACAACAACAACAATATCATCATCAATGGTGAATACCACCTCCAACAATACCGAGAGTAATCAAGCATCAAAACAACAACAACACAGAAAGAGCGCATCTCCAAGTAATAAGCAAGTTGCTTCATCTTCCAACACGAACGCCACTACTTCCACTGGAGGAAGCCAGAAGGGAGACTCTCGTCCCAACAAAAGCGGACAGCAACAACAACCTATTGATGCATCGTCAACAAAAGCCTCTCCATCGCAACAACAACAACCTCCACAGCAACCATCGACAACTACGACATCCACAAATCAGCAAGTCGACTCTACACCACATCCAAAAGCCGAAGTTAACAGAAAGAGAATCAAGTTCTTGTTCACTAATTTTGTCGGTCATGTGGTTGATGTTATCAACAGCTCCGGAGACGTCTATGAAGGTATCTTTCATACTGCTAGACACGACACTAAATACAATGATTTTGTGTTCGTGTTAAAGTTGGCTAAACTCGTTCGTGGAGCAAACCATAGTACATCCACTCAACAAACCATTCATGAAACTATGACATTCAAATCAAAGGACATTCAACAAATTTATGCCAAGAACATTACCTTCAAGGCTCAGAAAATTTTGAATGGATTTAAGACTGATACCGAAATTTCTAATAGACAACAAACTGAAAAGGAACTTATCAAGTGGCAACCTGAAGAGGGTGACAGTGAACTTGTTGCTCTTGAAGAAAGTACATATGCTCCAAGACAATGGGATCAATTCTCTGAAAATTTAAACAAATTTGGTGTCAAATCGACCTATGAGGAGCATCATTATACAACATACCTTGACAAAAATTCGGAATTTTATAAACTGCACGCTGCTAAAGCAAGTAAAATTGCAGAAGAAATTGAGAAGAGTAGCCCTTCCGTGAATAACATACACATTTTGGAAGAAAGAGGATTATTGGAGCAAACTGAAATTTCTGAAGAGGATCTGTATAGCTCTGTTATTCGTGACGAAAAAAGCATTCCAGGAGTTAAAAAGCCAAAGAAGCAGCCACAAGCAAAGCAAGTCACTCAACAACAACAACAGGCAACTACAAGTGCATCACCTTCAAGCTCTCCAAAATACATTCCTCCACATAAGCAGCAAAAACAGGGTAATGCAACTACTCCAATACAACAACAGACCACACCAGTTGTAACTACAACTACTACGACAACTCCAACAATCGAATCTTCGAAAGAACCCAAAGCATTGGCACCAATTGATACCAAGTTGCAAACAGGCAAATCACGTTCAGTCAGCCAAGTGGTCGCACCACAACCTTCCTTGTTAGAAAATAATGCTACTAGTGCCTCAAGCACAGCTGAAGACTCTACTCAAGACGGATCACCAAAACACAAGGGACTTCCTGCTCACTTAGTTTTGGAAAATAGAAGTAGTAGAAGCAATTCTTTCACTGCTGGAACTGTACCAAACATTGAAGAACATAAGAGTGTTTTGTTACATCTGACATCTGCAAAACCCGTATCAAGCAGCACCAAGCCATTGAGTCCAACACTTCCATCCTCTCCTCTTAGTTTTAAGCCAGCAGGTAGCCCTGGAACTCCAGTAATTAAGGAAAGTATTTTGGCATTAGGATTACAAACAACTACTCCTAAAATATCGGAACAAGCTGCTGAAGCTTTCATTGAATACAGAAAGAGAAAGAATTCTGATGCCGCAGCTAGAAATAGAGAAAATGACATTAAGATCTTGAAAGAAACTAGTTCACTTTTAGACTCAAAACTCAAGAAATTCGTAAGCTCTCCATCAACACAAACACCAACCGATGAAACTGCTAAGGAGCAACAACCATTGAAAGAAGCTTGGAAAGAACAACCCAAAGAGCAGCCAACTGAACCATCAAAGGAACAACCAAAAGATGCACAACCAGCCACAACTACAGTTGAGGAAAAACCCAAGCCCAAATCCACACTCAATCCTAATGCTAAGGCATTTGTGTTTAATCCAAAATCGCAGCCATACGTACCAAGATCTTCACCTGTCACAACTTCTAGCAGCACTCCTCCTTCCCACGTTCCACCAACGAATACAACAGTTAGTACTCCACCAACCAATCAAATGCCATTACCAATGCCTGTAGCCTTTGTTCCAATGTATCACCCACCTAATTTTGGTTTCATCCCTTCATTCCAAAACCAAATGAACAGACCAACTCCATGGTCACAACACAAAATTCAGGATATGCCAATCCGTGACCACTTCTTTAAAAACGTCAATTTACAGCAAGTAGATAAGAACATTGGACCAGCATGGCTTGACCAAGAGGATTTAGAAAATAGAAAGAGCTTCAAAGAGCAAGATGTTTCAGATGTTGATAGTACTGTCGTTCAAGCAAATCCAACATTTGTTCCAAACTATTTTGTTCCTCAACCAGGAATGGTGGTCATCCCTCCTCCTGTTGGTTATGTTCCTCCTGTGGGTTACGTTCCTCCCGTTGGACCTCCTAGTTATTATCCACCAACCCTACCAAAGAGAGAATAGAGCAAAGAGCAATACGTTTTGAACAATTAATGTTTGAGGTTGTTGAAATCGAAAAATATGATGCAATTTGAGTTGTACAACAGTGAAGTGTTAAGAACTCGATGACTCGTGAAAACTCAACAACATCTCTATCAAAACAATAATACATCACAACCAATCACGAAAACGTGTTGTTGAATAGATTTTCGTTGAGCAGAATTCAAAATCTTCTTTAAAACTCAATAAAAAGAGTTTATTCACAACACCACGTGCAGCAGTCAACTGTCAAACTCAAAAAATCTGCAAAAATGGCCACAGGAAATGCTATTGTGCTCGACTCGATGCGTCGGTTGTACAAAGTCTACGAAGAAACCGGTGGAAAGGAATTACAAATCAAAGATCAACTCGAAGAAGTCACAGGAAAGAATATTTTCGAAGCCAACAAAATTCTTCTCGTTAGAAAATTAGATTTAACCAGAGAGGTGTGTGTTTTTAAAAATCTCAATGATGGGATTGGAAATTTATAATTTAAATATTTAACCATATGATGATGATGATGATAAAAATATGAATGGATTGTTATTTCCAACTCATCTATCACAACAACAACAACAACAATACTATTTTCATTCATTGACCTTTTTGATGCCTTTTTTGTGTTACAAAACACATTTTGCAATTTCATTAGAAAATTAATGAACGTGATGAAGCCATGAAAAAGAACAAGAACAACACTCGTGTTATTAAATTGAATCAAAACATTAAAAAGATGCTCCGATATTTGAGAAAGGACTATCAGAATTTGGAGAATATTCACAAAAATGCAGCCAAGGTTTGTGTTTGTGAAATGTATCATTCGTGTACCTGTGACCAAATCCAATGATAATCATCATCATCACATATGCAACAATAACATTGTGACCCAATGACATTGAATCATTATATATTTATGTTTCTATGAAAATAATTGTAAAATTATTATTTCAAATCTCTATACCTATTCAACAACAATCACAATTCATGAATCTATAGAAACGTTTCTTTGGAAAACAACCTGATCCAAGAGAAATGGCTCAACAACAAGAAGATTTAAAACTTCTTCTCGCACACATTTCACAAGTTGAAAAATTAGACAAACGAAGATTTGAAGAAGATTTTTCTGGAGACAATGAAAAGAGAAAACAATTATTGTCGATTAATGAAGATGAAAATGAAAAGAAGGGCTTGCAACATTCTTCACTCATTTCTGAACACTTGTTGCATGAGGAGGATCTTCCTCAAGATGCTCGTGATTATGGAAATTTGCCACGAATTAATATTGAGGAAAGTATGACACAGGTGAGCATGTATAAAAAACAAATGGATCAAGGTAGGTGTGAATTGTTTGGATGGGAGAAATGAATAATTAATCACTTGTTTTTTTTTACAAATCATGATTTTAATATTTGTGGAATGGTTGTCACTTGTCATTGAAAAATACATCCAATAGGTCTCGACATGTTCAGTAAGAAAATTGAAAAGCTCAAATACATTTCCGAGGATATGAGTTCAGAATTGGACGAACAAAACAAACTTTTAGAATCCATTGGTGATAAGGTCGATGATGAAATTGAACATTTGAAACGACTCAATGAAAGAACAGATCAAGCCAACAAGTTAGCCAATCAATCGACCAAGATTTGTCTCATCTTGCTTGCAGTGAGCATTATTACAGTCATTGTTGGAGGAGTGACTGTGTGGTTGGTTTACTTTTTCGTTCCAGGAAAATAGAAAAATTTTGTTCCATTAAACGAGAATCGATATTCTTTGTTAAAGTACAGGTTGTATTTACAGAAATTGAATTCCAACAATGGAATTGACGCAAGTTTACATGTCTGATCAGCATTGCCTCAATTCACTCATGTTCATGCATTTCTAGAACTGCAAATGAATTTCAAAAGGAAACGACATTCCTTCAAATCTCATCAAATTCAGTTGCCATCATGAGGGAGAACTCTCAACATGAATTCACTCCTTCCATAAACATCTCAAAACACTGTTTAACCAAAAGTACATTGGTTGAAACACATAATTATGGATTCAACAGTTCCTCGTCAAAACGAGTATCCATTTCCTCATCATCATCTCGTTCCATTAAACAAAGGGTCTGCTCTTTGGATGTTTCCAATTTGTATTGAGCAGGTTGAGCGAACTGATTCCAGATCGCTACATGATCCTTTCTAGGGAATTGCATATCAGGATATTCATCATTCATGAAACACATTCTACTCTTCCGGTGAGTGCACTCTTGATCTTCATCCTCCTTTTTGCAACGGGGTGCATGGTAATCTCTCTTTCCAAAGTCTTGTTTCATTTCAATGATGAGTTGAGAGTCGTTGTTATTGTGTTTTTTTAATGTTGGGTAAGAATGGCAAATTGTGGCGCGTTGAATGTTCGAACCGCTGCCTCCAGTAACTACAAATTACAAAAATGTAAAATTTTTGGCGGTTTCATAAACATTAATATATATGTACGCAATAAATGGAGTAATAATACTTTTTAAATGGCTGTTTTACAAATTGGACATTGATTTCTCATTCGTAAAGCTTGATGAACGCAATCTCTGTGATATCTATGAAGACATGTTGGTAATGTACAAACCACTTCACCTTGTTCATACTTGCTCAAACAAATGCAACAGGTCTCGTCGAGAAGTTCTCTAGCCAATGTTTCTGAGCATTCGGGTATTGATGAATCTAATGTATGTCCAGAATTTTGAGTTGGAGTTGCAGAAGAATTGTTGGGTGTTGTTGTTGTCGCTGTGTTTGGGGAAGAAGATGCTGGATTACGAAGAAGAATTTCATCGTCATGACCATACAGATGGGAATCTTCATCTGACTTTTCTACGAGTGGCGGATGTGACGAATCAAGCTGCGGTATTTTGAAAACTGGCAGTTGTGCAAGTGCACTCTCTGAAAGACCAGCTGGTTGTTGATTGTATTGTTCTAATTGAAGGAGCGTTTCGTAATCTTGTTCATTGAAATCTCGGTCAATCATCATGAGTCGTAATGAGCTAATGTCAATTCCTCGTTGTTGAAGCATTTGTAAAAGTCTTTGATTTCTTTGAGAAATTTCCTCTGGATCCCAAAAGTCCTCGTCGTTGCTTCCTTCGTATTGCAATAATCCATGTCTCAATAAATAAGCTTTCATTCTTCTGGCAAATGAAGATGAACTATAATTTAAATAAAGGGTAAACATTCTCTTTGCACAAAGGCATCCACAGCAACATAACAAGCATGACAAAATGATTGCATTTGGTACAGTTAGAAAATACATAAAAACGCGACGGGTGTCACTTGTTTCGCCACTATTTTCTCCACTATTAGAATTTTCTCCACCATCTTGCGTTGTGCTCTGTTTGGAGGCTATCATGACCACAAACATTATGATTGCATGAGCTAGAATAATGGCAGTTACAAGACCAATTAAAACTATGATCCTCATGGTCCTTCTTCTCGAAATGGCATTCAAACTATCGGGATTCAATAAATCATCCGTTTGAAAATTTTCATCTTGCAGCAATTGTTGTGGCCTTTGTTCATGATTGTTATTTTCTTCATGAAGTTGCGGCGATTGTGCTTGATGGGTATTTGTACTCAGAGAATTGTTGTTACTTCTTGAAGACCACCAATTCGATAAGCGTCCAAATAATGAATGTCGTGATGATGATGACGAATGATTTCTTCCACTGGTACTATCATTTTGATTCCATTGATTTAATTCATCTTCTTGAGTGGTTGTATTCATCATTTCATCTCCATCATCATGATCTCGGGTTGAATGATAGTATTGTTGTTGTGGTGTTGGTTGCGGTTGGCGATTCGTAGAACCACCACCATGACCTGTTGTTGCACGTGAGGATGTTGATGATGAAGGGTTCAACTCATCCAACTCAACTCTCACACCACGATAGGCTCCGAGAGGATCATCACTACTACCATCACGACCAGTCGTAGTCGCCATCAACGATGTCGCTGACATGTTTAATATTTTTTATTTGAATATTTGTGCGTTCTAAATTTGTAAATATTATTTGAATGATCCTTCAAGGAAGGACAGGAGAATTATGATTTCAAATTGCTTCAGAAGCATTCACCAACAATGTGTTTCATGCACACACATATTCTCTCTTGATATATTGAATAGCAATACGGGAAACTCTCGGAATTCCATCCAAGAGAATTTTTCTGTTCCGACTTTAGTTTTTTAAGAGAGCCAAAAACGGAAGCTTTTTGAGCGAGACAAAAAAAAATAAATAATAGAAATGTTTCAACAACCATCACAACAAGGAGTGCAAGCCAATGGATCGGATCTTGTCGTCCGTCCATTGTTTGGAGGAGCCATGTCTATTTTGTTGCCAGTGCATTATTTGGATGCCTCAAATTTCAGAGAAATTCCAGATAATCAGGAAGTTTGGACCGACAATTTGGAAGTACCAACATCATCGGGTGGAGGAGTGCAATCATCGAGTTGTCCTTCTGTGATTATTGAAATTTTATCAAGATCTGAAAATGTATCGGATGCAAAGATTATGGATTTTTTATTTCATGATTTGGCTGATGCGAATCATGCTGCTGTAAATCAAAGATTTTTGCTCTTGCAACCTTTTGACGACACTCAACAAACACGAGCAAATAATTTTCCAATGGCCGATTATGCCACAGGAGCTGTAGGGAAAATGATGGTAGAGAAAAATAGAGGAATGGATGAAGTTACTGTTTTTTTGTGGGTTGTAAGATTGAAGCACGTCGATACTGATATCTTAATATCATTGAATGATCCTGTTGTGAAATATTCAAGTGCTGACGAAGCATCTCAATCTCCTAGAATGAAACTTTTCGAAACAATTGTTCGTTCTCTCAAGGTGAACGATTGGAATTTATTTGCTTAATCTAATTTTTTTAAATTACAAGATCTTAAATGTACATAAATACATGCCACCAAATTAAAACAACCATACCTTCAGTTATTGTTTACTAAGGTCAAACTTGGTCTGTTTGAAATTATTTATTTATTTTCAATGCGTTAACTTCGCAGGAGATTACTTAATGTATGAAACAATTTGATTTTGAATTTTTCACACAAATGAATTTCGTGATCATCGATCGGAAATTGAGTAAAAGTTTTTAAAGAATTATAATTTTTTTATATTTGTTGTTGATTGATGAACAAAACTCTGCTCAGTGTATCTCAAAATTTAGAGCTCATCGTGCTCAGCCTTCTTTTCTTCTGCTGGAGCTTCTTCAGCCTTCTTTCTGGCTTCCTCTTCTTGTCTCTTCTTTTCCTCCTCTTCTCTCTTCTTTCTTTCCTCTTCTTCCTTTTGTCTCTTAGCAGCTTCAATCTTATCGAAAGCTTCCTTTTCCTTCTTAGCACGTTCAACGACCTTTTGGGCTTGTTCTCTAGCAACATCAATGTCATCAGTGACCAAAATGTTATCAAAGATAGTACCAGCCTTCACTTGCCAAATTTCGATACCAGCATATTCGATATCGTTGTACTTGCCAACATTTTCATCAAAGACATAATCTGGATTTGGAATGAGTGGAGCAGACCATTCGCCCTTGTAGGCAGGATTTGGAATCATTCTTGGCTTCCATTCACCCTTGTAATCTGGGTTAGGAATTTGAGGAGCTTCCCATGTACCATCTTCTTCATCGGACCAGTCTTCTGGCTTCTTGGCTTGTGGATCTGGAATATATTTTGGTTGATCCCAATCTTCTGGCTTCTTATCCTCTGGATCAACAATTTCCTTTTCATCGACCCAATCAGCTGGCTTCTTGGCTTGTGGATCTGGAATTTCCTTTGGAGCCAAAAAGTCCCAATCATCATACAAGTTACCACTTTCCTTCTTCACACCATCAATTTGAACTTCATAAGAAGCATCAGGATTGATGATAGCAGTATAGATGTGAGTAAGTTGATCGGTTTCACATGGGAGAGTCTTCTTCCACAACAAATTCTTTCCCTTGTAGTTGAAGATGAAGTGAACTCTTCTTGTAGCACTTCCACAGACATCAGGACCGAACATGATTCTGTATTCAGTGTCATCTTTGAAGTCTTCTTGATTGACTCCGCTTGGAAGGTATTTAATGTAGGCACCACCACAATCAATATTTTGTGGGTGCTTGGTGGAGAATTGAAGAACGAGTGGTTTCTCTCCTCTACATGTTGCTACCTTATCGAATTTTGCCGAGATGGAGTAGTGTCTGGCGTCTTGAGCAGTTTGGATACCCTTGTCTTCCTCAGCATCACCATACCATTCACCGGCAGTATGCTTCCATTCACCATAGTTATCCTTAGCCTTGCTCTTCACCCACCTCTTTTCCCATCCTGCATGGAAAGGCTCATAGAAGAATGTTTCAGCAGAAACCACAGCCACAAAACTCAAAACGAGAGCAGCCAAAATAATGTGCTTTGAGAACATTTTTTTTTTGCTGTTGGTCTTCGGAATCCCAACAGTTGTTTGCCAAAGAGAGAATCCAGCAAGCTCTTCTTCAATGGCCAGCGCAGAGACAGGACTGATTGCTCGAATACTGCACAGAGCATCAGCTGGATAACGCAGAGCGAGAGAAGGCTTGTCCCTCTCTCTCTCTTGAGGGAAAGGTCATCGAGCGCCAAAATTCAGATCTGAACACGTGTTTCTTCATGAATGAGGCAAGTGGTTTACAATGTGCGGAAATTCCGAAGACAATTCCGACACACATTCAACAAAAGAGAATGGAAAGAACAGTGTGCTTCAATACTGGAGTGAGCATACGACCATCGTGAATGAACACGAATTGGTAGTTTTCAATGAATGCGATGAATTCACATATAAAAGCCAAAGAGAGAAGAGTAAAAAACAAGTCAAGAAATTTATTTATTGCTCGATTTGAATAAACACCATTCAAACATGGAGGCTAGAGTGAGAGGAATGGAAATACCCAACCGCTCCTTTCCATAATATTCAAAGAGATCCATCGAATGAGTGGCTCCAAATTCAACGACCATCTCAATGACCTCTTTGAAGAGCGCCGAGTTGGTGCTTGAATGATCCTCCTGATCATTGTTATTATCATTGCTTTGATCCTTCTTAGTGGTGGTCGTGGTGGGGCGCATAGAAGGAGCAGTTGTAATGGTGCTGCTATTCATCTTCAACATGATGAAATCCTCACATCATTCGGCCATTCTCATGAAATTATCCAAACGAATATACTCTCTCAACAGTAGTGTACATTTAAAGACTAAACCTTTCATGTCATGTTGATGAGCCATTTCCAAGATGGAGAGAATATTATCTTCATGAATAAGTTCAGTATTGAAAATACCATAACAATACTCAATGATACATCTCAGAGCGGACACACGTTTGTATCGGGTTGAGGATAAAACACTTGATTTCGAATATCGGTGAAAATGGAAGTACTTCCACCTGTGATGGAAGTGTTGGAATGCTGCTGATGTTGTAATAAGGATTCAAAGAATAAGCTATTCGATGCAAGTATAGTTTTGTGAACCTGGATAAATTCATTCTCATTCACACAAATAGCAAAATCATGATCTGAGAGTGGATCTTCCAAGAGCAATTCCAAGGCGTTTGAAGGTACCACATATTTACGTTCCTTCCATGGTTCCATATCTGTTGGTTTTCTATTGTAGAATTGGAAAATATATTTTTCAATTCGTGGATTGAAACGAAGATCGAATTCTTGCTCATAGACATTGCGCTTGATAAAACTGAGACAATAATCTCGTACAATTTTGAGAGGAGAGGTGCTGTTTGATGGATAGGAATGCAACAGTTGTTGCAACCATGGAGAGTTTTTCTGATCTTCCATCCTTGTGGAGCCATCTTCCGTTCGTTGCGGTGGTGTTTGTTGTGAAATGACGCTATTTACAACATGGACATTTCTTGAGAGACCACCATTCTCATCATTTTCCAAGATCTTGTTGTTTCCATAGAAACATTGATCGATTCGAACTAAATAAGCATCCACCATTTCGAGAGCATTTAACACATTCGAAATTCGAAGAGAACTTTTCACATGTTCGAGAGCTTGTTGCTTAATTTCAACCAAATCTCCATGAGCCTCCTGTAAACACAACAAGTATCTCAGAGAGGATTGTAAATCTCGATCAAATGTGACGACATGTCCATACACATAACACACCAAACTCTGCATACACACTTGTTCGTCCACAGAGAGTGATTTCACAAATGACTGACACGATAAGACACGATGAAGTCCTGGTGCAAATATTCTCAAATAAGGCATGAATGCCATAATGCTGGAATTGTCTGCGCTGGAAAGTAAATCTCGTTCATGGAGTTTGATTTGTGGAGAATGAAATTCCTTGCATGGAAGGCGTGGCAATTGTTGTGGAGGAGAGTTTGACGATGAGGAAGAAGTCATTGAATTGTTCAATGATGATCGAGGAGATGAATTCCTGGTTGAGGAGGTTGTAGCTGGATGCGCCGATGAAGCATGAGCCGAAACAACAACCAGATGATCCGAGTGGGAGGATGAACCTTGTTGTTGCACACGTGGACTATTCACCATGACCAACGAGGGTACATTTACTTTCCTGACTGCCGAGTGTTTATGGTTATTGGAGGAAGAGGAACAAGAGCTTTTCATGATAATGTCGAGAGTATAGTGTTGGACTTGGTTCGCTCAATGGTGCAGTGAGAATGGAGAATGAATATATTCACTTTTTTCTATTGGATTGATCAAACCGAATCATTCCTTATTGCCGCTGATTTTAAGCCATTCTTTGAGAAGTGAAAAACATCACATCAAGGAACAACGAAGAACATCATATGGATCCCAACCGTGAATTAATCAAATCAACGATGGGAGAGCTTTGGGTTGCTGGGATTTCAGCTCATACTAAATAGGAAATATCCATTTTGAATGAAAATTTGGAATGTTTCATGTCGACGCGAACCAATCCGAACGCTTTTTATCCAATCATAATTTAGTTACATGTAACAATGGTGTGACTGATGGATTGAACATGTTGCATTTGCCGTTACTACTATTGTTTTTAATTTGCATTACATCACATTACAAACGTTATACTTGACAGTTTTCCAAGATGTGCCCTCATTTTCTAAAGGAATTTTGGCTGAGATTCGTTCAAGTCGTAACACTCTCTCTGCAATTGAGGCGTCAATTATTTTCAACTGTTCTTGTATTTGATGTTTTTCAGCATCATATTTAATCTTTAAGAGCTCTTTTCTTGATTGTAAAATCATTCTTTTTACAAACCAGGAAGCAAGAAAAGTAGCACCAATCATGAAAATGTAATGCAAAGGATAGAGTCCATCCATGATTTGAAACCAAAATAACTTCCAGCTTAATAGAGAAAACGCAGCAATGACCAGGTATTTGGTCACATCTGTCATTTCTACATAAAGGATGATGGACCCAAATAGTGTGACAACAATATGCATCATGTATCCAATATAGAACATTATACTTCGTGTGTAGGGCACAGAAATGATCATGCTAATAGCAAATGCTAAAATAATTTTCTCGGCAATGCTTTCACTTTTAAAAGCATACTCTTGTTGAACCTCTAATATACGAAGTCGATTGAGATGATTCTTTCTTTGTGCAATTCTTTCTTCATGAATACTCTTAATTTTGTTGTCAATTAATCCTTTGCAATAACCATAAATAATTTGTAAATTCTCGATATTGATATTCTCAAGCTGAAATTTGACATGATTTCCTCTACTATAGTAATTTTTAATTCTTCTCTTTTCCATTTCCACTCTCCATAAATAGGGACTTCGAAATGCTTTGTAACTCGCCTGACACGTCCTTGACAATTTAATGACATCCAACACATCATCCAAATACAAATAAATACATAAAAATATTTCTGGAATCCACAAGAGGGGTTGTTGTTCATTCCAAACATGACTGAGAGAATGAAACGTTTCCAATGTTTGATCTTGAACACTCGGAATGATCATTGATGATGATGATGTTGCTTGCCGATACTTTTTTGGTGATTCTTTTGAGGGGTGCTGTTGAGAATGTTGTTGATGATGGATTGCATCATTATTTACATTAACTAGTTGATCATTCCGAGATATTATCATGCTGCTACGCCCATCCTCTTCTGAAAAGTTGAAATGGTTTGATGATGAGAAATCAATGTCGTCATGGGGTGAATGATCATTCGAAAAAATCATTTTTCAGAATCTTCTTTTTTGTTCGCTTGTCAAAGAGACAATGCATTCAATGATACGAGAGTAGTGGTGTTGATTGAGAGATCAACCTTGAGAAATTCATATCTCTCCTCGAAATATCTTGCAACCAACAACATGACTCTCTATTGACAACAGTAATTGGAAACGAAATGCATGTATAAAGTCGAATCTAAGGTGAAAGCGAGAGTGTGACTTGACCAATGATGGACGTGTTGATAGTTAGAAGTTCGTAGTTTAATTCAATCTCCACACATGCATCGAGTGTTCACTATTATCAAATCCCTTGTTGTGGCTGCTTGTGAAGAATAGATTGTCACACAATATAAATAATTGAATATAATATTTATACAAATATAATCATTGTGAATGTCATGGGGTTACTGCAACAACAAAAAAGCCTTAAAATGGACAACCAATTTAATGGTGTTCAAACCAAGGCAAGTACTAAATGTTGAAAGGGCTCTCAAGTTGATCACATTTAACTGTCATTCATCATTTCTTTGAGGAGGTCCTTAGTGTGTGCAATGTAAGTTTGGAATTCTGGAGATGAGACAGAATCTTCATGGACATATTCCTTTTGTCCCTTCTTGTTAGTGTACACAACTATATGTGAATTGTTGGACAGCATAATCTCTGCCCTGTCATTGAATTTCACTTGAATGACAGTATTACTCAACCTGTATGATGATGCAATGCTAGACTTGTGGTATCGTTTCACATACACACTTTGATCCTCTCCAGTCAATTCAAAAAGCTCTGGACGATTCTCTTGCTTGATAGCAGAGTCCAAGCATCCCTTAAAGTACTTGATGAGTGTGACTTTCTTTTTAAGCTCTTCAGGATAACTGGTCAATGAGTAGACAAAATGTTCATCGTGAGATTGAATATCGTCACGATTGTAGGCATAGTAATCGATACGAGTCTTGTCATGCGAGAGAACCATTTTCGAGTAGTCATTGAAAAATGCTCCTGTTGCACCATTGCTCAGACGGTAACACAGTCCATAATCTGGAAAGTCTAGAGAAAAGAGAACTTTGGTTCTTGGCACTGGAGAGCGTGTAGAGCTTGATCGTGCAGATCTGAGTTTAGGGGAAACCGAAGGTGATAACTCTTTCAAATCTTTTCGAGCGTATGGTTGAGTAGGTGAGAGTTTGGTGGATTGAGGACGAATATTTTCCTGATTCTCATCTTGTCTTCTTCTTGAAGGGAGAACCTTCTTGAAGAGTTTATCCATAATGCCTTGATCTTTTCTATCTCTTGCACTGTTCAGAGTGTTTGGATCAATGGCCTTCAAGGGTTCTCTGGCCACAGGTGGTTGTTGCTGAGATGATGTTGTCACAACAGCCATGGCCTTTTTGGCCTCTTCTTGCTTCTTCTTGAGCATTTCCTCACGTTCCTTTTGGAGAGCTTCCAAATTCTTTTTCACATCCACTCGGCAATAAATCTCTGCGTATTTCATTAAGGAGGTTGGACAAGCTGTCGATTTCATGGATTTGAAAAAGTCGTCCGCTAGCGCCTCATCCACAGTTGGTCTTGCCTTTGGATCACTATTCAACATCTTCTTAATAAACTTTCTTGCATTTTCAGAAATATTGACACCAGCAGGGAACGAGTATTTTCCTTCTTGAATTCTCCTGTAGGTAGTCTTGACATCCTCAGTCTCAAAAGGAGGAGTACCGATTAAGAGTGTATATAGAATGACACCACAAGACCAAAGATCCACTTCATAGCTGTGACCCTTGCTTAGTAAAATTTCAGGTGCAATATAGTTGGGTGTTCCACATATTGTGGTTTTTCGTTCATTATTGTGTACTTCGGTGGCCAATCCAAAATCTCCAATCTTCACTCTCATGTACTTGTCCAGGAAAATATTTCCCAATTTCAAATCTCGGTGAATAACTCTGCATGAGTGCATATACTTGACTGCCATCAAAATTTGAAAGAAAATGTATTGAGCTTCTGCCTCTGAAAGTCTCCTCTTCTTGTCCATCATTTCTAATAGTGATTTGCAATGACACATTTCCAATATAATATATGCATTGTGGGCATCTTCGAAAAACTTTTCAAATCCCACCACATACTTGTGAGACATCTTTTTATGGATCTTAATTTCACTGAGAAGCTTATCCTTGTTTCGTTCTTTCATAAGAGTTGCTTTTGGAATAATCTTGGCAGCGAGGCTTACTCCGGTCGAACAATCAGTGACTTCAAAGCATTTAGCAAAGCCTCCTTCACCAAGCATTTCTCCTTGCTTGTAGGAAGATGCAATACTCCTTACTCCTCCCTTGTCGGCATACTCGACAATCATGTTAGAGAGAGGTGTTTTTGATTTGCCTGAAGGAATGGTTGGAGTGGAAGAGACGACACCAGTGGCTGCTGTTGTTATTCTCTTGGGTGCTGTTGAGACTGTTGAGACAGGCCTCGAGAGGGGAAGTACATTTCCGAATCCTCTTGGGTTTCGAATATTGTTCATATATGATGAGACTGGAGAGAGAATATTTAGTTATTAATAATGGAGAGAGTGGCAACAGTGATGCTGCGGAAAGGAGGATTAAAGCAAAGAAACGTTTGTTGGCCACAAGGGTGGATGTTGTTGGGTGAATCTCTTCTTCTTCTAAATGTATAGATAGATATATACGCGTAAAAGAATCCGAAACGTAATGACAAATAATATCGACTTGTGGTACAAGTAGGACAATGTGTTGTTGAAGAGAAAAGCTTGTTAAGGGATAATATCGCTTCTCTCTCTCTCGTTCAAACGGAAAGTCTATTCAAAGAAACGGGCCAAACACTGATGATGATTCTTGTTGGAGTCTTCGTCGTCGTAGTAGACGCAACGTTGCAAGGTGTTGAGGGTTTTTCTTTCGATTGTTTTCAAAAAATAAGGTTGTTAACGGATAGGAATTTGAGTTTGTAGACAAATTGGCGGGAATTTCTGCTTAACGGTCGAGCCGTTCGATCAAGTGAATTGATGGTTGTTGGTTCCTAATTCGTTGTGATCATGGATGAGTCATGAAATATATGAGTGTCGAGTACTTGTGTGTTCATTCGTATGTTTGTCACATGTGGCAGGCAAAATATCGTGAATGGGATATAACTGGATGTGATGTTGCAGTGGTCCAATCAGAACCTGTCATCCAAGATTCAGGTTCTTATTTCGTACTGTAGTTCCTCCTGTTATTCAATCCTTTACAAGGAAATATAAAGAGAGAGTCACATTAAAGGTCATGTAAGTGACTTTTTCGCATCCTAGTGAAGTTCAATGTGTTACACTCTGTGTTTACATCAAGACAGACCTTTGGGCAAGAATGACAAAAGATCAGCTGTTGTAACGACCCCATGAACGATGTAAACACAGTGAACACACTGAACTATTTACAACTTTAAAACTATTCATCTTTATCTAGTTCGTCTCCTTTGGAAAATTGAATTCTTCTGGCATATCTTTTCGTACCTCCAAATTGGAAAAATGGTTTCAAAACGTCACCTGTGCATACACTTCAATTTGATCAAGAATGGCGAAACACAGACCCAGCAAGAGACAAATTTTTTTCTCATTGTAAACTAAAATTTGGGGCGATTTTCTATTGGACAGCCTAAAAATAATGCAAGTCTATTTCAAGATGCTCGCAAACAACTTCGCAGTTTTTAAAAAAAACGTTGCAGTTTCCCTCCCTGCCCTATACGCTATCATAGCCGTCGTTGTGTCTAGCCAAACGATTTTTTCGACTACCCGAACCGTTACACGTCGTTGTTGTTGACATTATTCTCAAACAATGTTCAGTGCAGATAGCAGCATTAGCAAGGGACTGTCCTCTTCCACCTCTTCGTCGTCATCCTCCCCAAAACTCTATGGCAAAGTTTATTTTTATGCTAAAAAAAGCAGATCTGAAACAAACACGGAATCAGTGGGTAACACAAAACATGAAGAGATTCGAAAGATCGCTCTCCCACCCACATATCAAGAGTTTTACAACCTTATCATGTTGAGTCTTGCTAAGGAAACGAGCGAAAGACAGCACCTTAGTGACTCTCATTTGGCTTTGTCTTCTTCGAGTAGTTTATCCTCGAAAAGTGGTTTAATCCTTAAATACCTAGGTCAAGATGAAAATTGGGTCTCTTTTTCATCTCAAGAAGAATATGATCATGCTTTGGCACTCTGCAAGAGTTGTCAAAACCATTGTATTCGTATTCGAGTGTACTATAAGAAGGGCCTTTTCAAATCATCGAGCTCACGATCCAAGAAGTGTCTCGACACTCATCAATGCATCCACAACTTGACAATATGCTCTGACTTTGAAGAACTCCAAAGACTTCTGCGTGAACACGCATCTTCCAAATCTTCCTCTAGCTCCTCATCTGATTCTTCTGCTCCCTCTTCCACCAATTCTTCTTCCTCCCAATCTTCTAATTCTGATCAATTTTTTCAGTTTTGGTCAGCAAGCGGCTCTTCTTGTTTAGAAAGCAAAGCCTAATAAACAAGTTGTATATACTCAGAGTTAAAACACAAACATGATGTATTTTGGATTGATGTTTCTTAAATTAGAAGATCTACCTTGGGTCTCATGGCTTGCATTTTCGAAAGGACCATGAGCAATTCCCACTCACAGCTTGATTGACATAATTCACCCAACAGCAAGGAATTCTTTGAGAGAAACTATGGTTTGGCAATGCACCAATCGGTGACCATCATGCCATTTTCTTTTTGACCTATTCTCACTAGATGCTGCTCATTCCAGTCATAACAAGAGCAATTCTGAACAGAAGGCGAAAGTATTTGAATTTTTTTGAAAGGAACGAAGAGGAAGGTCAAATATCATGAGTTGTTTTATGATATTTGAATGAAACATGACACTCTGGGTGAGTGCATGTCACCTTTCATGGTTCAACTGGGATCCACTTCCTCCAACCGAGCGAGATTTTATGACACTAGTTCGGAGTGGATCTGTGAATCATTGACTTTTTTATTGAATGATGTGCATGATAAATGGATGCATGTTGTTATTGTTACATCTCTTCCTGTAGATCTTTACATCATTGGTCAATGCAGGTGGCGAAGAAATTTGTCTTTTATTAATGTGTTGTGTTTCTCAAGCACTTTGAAATATTGAAGAACATGTTGAAACCGGAATTCCACGATTAGGTAACAATTAGAACTATGGGCATGGAAGTTAGAGAGGTTGGACATGAACTTTTGCAAGTATCATATATGCCTATTTAACCTTCGATCCAAAAATTCTTTAAAAAACATGTCTAAGGAAATGAATCTGATTTCCTTATGACATTTCGAAATCAAACAAGTGACGATGATGACGAACTCATCACTGTTCCCCTATCGATTCATTTAATTTTTCACTCCTCAAAAGGAATTGACAAACAAAAACGAAAGGAGAGATAGATTTCCTGACTTTTAAAGTTCACCTTCGTCTGTGTTGACTTTTTCAAAAGAGTGACAGCTCCAATGGATCACAAGAGTTAAAAAATCAACAACGAAATGTTTTTTCTTGATTTCTTTCGATCCAACCGAGGTGATTCCTCTTCCTCTCACAACCATAAACAGAAGAAGTGTCTCTTTCAAATATTGAGTTGTTCCTTCTTCTTTTAAAACACTTCTGAATTTTTACACCTTTTTCTTTATCCTCAACATGACAAGAGGTGTGAACCTTCTGACAAATTGAAGAGATTTCCAAATGGAACATCTATATTATACACTAAGTGATAATTACGTTGCCGTTCTACATATCTATTGAAACAATAAAACCGAAAAAATCATGTTCAACACATTTCAAAACTGATCCATCTCTATCAAAATATCACAAACCCTCCATATGGATGCATCACAACATCCCTCTTCATGTATGGAACCTATTGACAAACCAATTGCATCCATCAACTCAATGACTGTCTCAACTTTGAGTTTAATCTCAATTGTTGCATTGGATGAATTGTAAATGATTGAAAAGACAATGTCACTCCGTACAGACACATTTACAAGCATTTGACAGTTCAAATCAATTTTATTAACCACAACATGTCTTATCCTCATATACACCAAGTTCTAAATACACAAAAGCCTCTGCATTACTTGGATGTATTCCAATCAAATCATCAAATTCCTCTTTCGTACATCCCTTTTTCAGAGCCAAAGCAAATCCTTGAGTCACTTCCGCTGCTTGTGGTCCCAAATAATGCAAACCAATAACTCTCTCATTCTCCTTGAGACAAATCAATTTGACAAATCCCTTCTCTGCTTTTTCTGGTATTTTGTACTCCAAAATGTTAAATTTCTTCTTGTAGATCACTAAATGTTCAGAACCAAATTCTTGAATGGCCTTTTCTTCACTGTAACCCACGAGACCATATTCCAATGGTGTAAAGACAGTGGTTGGAACGCAATTGTAATCGACCAATTGAAATGATTGCTTTGTCTTTCTTTCCTCAGAAGAAGAAGAAGACGACGCCTTTGAGGTCTCAGTGAATGGTTGTGAAAAGAGACGATAAGCCAAATATTTTCCTTGTTGAATGGCCACAGGTGTCAATTCAAAATTATGACCATTCTCAATGACATCTCCAATGGCAAAGATGGAAGGAACACTGGTTCGTTCCTCTTGATCGACAATAATTTTTTGACCTTCTTCTTCTTCTTTGATGTATTGCACACCGACAGCATCCAAATTCAATCCTTTCACATCGGGAGAACGTCCTGTTGCAAACATGACAGTATCGAATTCTTCTGAATATTCCTTCTTGTCCGTCTCTGTATTCAAAATATAATACACCTTCTTCTTGTCACAATTCTCTAATTTTTCAATTCTTAATGGAATACAAGGTTGTAAAAATCGAACCTTGTGATTCAGTTCCATCGATTCTTGCAAATGAGTGACCACTTCTCGATCGAAGGTGGAATTTCTCAAAATTTGTGAACGAACCATGACACTGACATCAAATCCCAATCCACTCAAAAATCCAGCGCATTCCAATGCAATATATCCTCCACCGACAATTAAGGTCTTTCCTGGAGGTGAACGTAAGGAAAATAAATCATCACTCGTAATGGCATGTTCGAGTGCTCCAGGAACTTGTGAAGGGATGTGTGGTCTTCCACCGGGTGCCAAAACGATATATTTGGAAGTTAATAACAAATTGTTGTTAGAGGAGGAGGAGGAGGAGGATGAACCCACCAATGAGACCGTATGAGCGTCTTTCAATTGTCCCAATTGTTCATAAAAGTCAATTTTTCGTTTTTTGAGTTCATTCTTGTAGACGAAATGTGATCCTGAGCGAGTATTTAGAATACCCTGAACTAATACATTCCAATCGAAATAATCTTTTCGAATTTCATGAGGAAAGTGATTGAAGGGATCATCATTCTCGATGGTCCTGTCCATGAATCCTGGCAATTTCCAACCATAGTTGATGGCTTGTCTAATTTTGTCTCCCATTTCAGCAGCAAAATGCATTTGTTTTTTTGGAATGCATCCAACTGTGGACAGGTGACACCGCCAAGTGATGTTAAAACAAACACCATGAATGTGATAAGGAGAGATTTTATAAAGAAAGTGTTGTTAAAGAATTATAAAACACTCATTCAAACACACACACACAATTCATCATCGTCATCATCAATACTTACCATTGACACAAGTTCCTCCAATTTTCCAAGTGTTACCTTGAGTGGAAGGTTTGACATAATCCAATAAGGCAACTTTGGCTCCCAAATCGGCAGCAGTTTTTGCAGCTTTTAATCCTCCACTGCCACCACCAATGACAATTAAATCGTACATGAATGAGTTCATCGATGGTTGAGACATGTTCTATTGTTGTTGTTGTTGTTAAAGAAATGTTTGATACCAATGAACGAATGTTGTGTAATCGAGTAGGTTCGTATTAGGATGCAGTCAGATCAGAACGAAATGGAACTTTGAATTTTTTTTCGATTGGTATTCGAAATCCGAAGACGGAGTTGGAGTTTTAAATCTTTTTTTGGAAATTAAAGTGCGCACGAAAGAGAGGATTTGAATTGCTCATTGCTTCCTTCAGAATATATAGGATTCATGCTGCCTCTGGAAGATCAGACCTCTCAAACTTGAGAACCACTCGTTGCAGCAGCGAATGTATGGCTGAAATTGTCCAATTCGAATAGCAGAACACAGCAGTTAAATACAAAACATCATTTTCCTTGTGCTTTCTCTTGGTTCTCAAGCCAATTCCTAGACGGGATGCAACAAAGAAGAGTCCAGAAAAGAAAATGGAACCAAAGACTTGCTTCCGACACGAAACAGTTTCCAACAGGGTGATGAATTTAAAAGATTTCAGATCTTGAGAACCAAGAGAAGGCACATGAGTTATCAAGATCGTAATATCTAAACAGTTGTTTGTGTTGCATCTCGTCATCATCAACAGGCACTCAGAAAGGGGTGAATTTTGAGATTGAACAAGAACTGCCTCACCATGAAAAAGAAAGACTGTTCTTCTGTAATTTCTAATCATCATCATCATCTAGTATATTCATATTTTCCTCTTGTTGTTGTTCATATATAGATTATTCTGGGAAAGAAATGAATCATCTCCATCAGGATTTAATTCTCTATCTCTTTGATTTTCTCATCATTCCTCCGAGAGACTTTATCAATGTCTTTTCATTGAATCGACATTGGAGAGAATGTACTGAATTGAATGATGAGTTTTGGGAGAGACAATTATGCGATATAATGTACCTTCTTTATGAGAGTTGGAAGAAACAAGAATTGGCTCATTGTCGACCTCCAATAGGATCTACCAATCCTACAATGATGATGAAGACAACAATGATGGATTCAGTTGCATCAGATTCCAAAAAGACGAGATTGTTCATGCTGCCAGATGGTCCTCTTTCGTTGGATGAGTTTTATCGGAAATACTTTTTCAAAGAAGAAACAATGTTCTCTCCCAAAAGGATGAACAACAAGAGAGGAGGATCCAAATCTACTTCTCAGGAGATCATCAAACCACTGTTTAGGAAAATTCTTGGAACATTGAATCACGAATTGGAACGATGGATTGAAGAAAAGTCCATCATGGTGAGAGAAGAAGAATGCACTCGCAATGCAATCACAGATCCAATGCCTCCAACACTGAACATCCTTCATCATCATCAGGACATCATGATGACGAATAGAAAATTATCGATCAAATCCATATTTCTCTCCACGTTTTCTCGAATTAAGGAACAAGAGTTATGGCAATCCATCAAATCTCAGGCTCAAAAAAAGTCAACCACAAACTTGAACTTTTTGAGTAGCATTATCCATTGTGAATATTTCAAGTATTTAAATGAGTTTGAATTTCATAGAGATCGTATTCGTAAAGGGCTTGGAATTTACAACAATTTAAGGATGGATCATACAATTTCCTATTGGGAATTTATTTTAAACATGAAAGAAACGAACAAACGTAACATTATTTCATTACAACGAATGGTTTTTGATAGAGCCATATTCAAAGCAGAACAGAAAAACCATCATGTGATGATTGATGTTTTACAAGCCACGTCAAATCTATTTGCAAAAGTTGCTGAACATCAAGGAACTGAAACAGTATCACAAGAAGTGGCTTTGAATACTATTTTTGAAGGAATTACTCACTATTTACAATGCAAAGTTTCTTTTGAAAAGAGAACTAAGTTCATGAAAACCCTACTCTTGAAATTACTACAGGATTGCTTTTACAGACATACAAGTACACACATGGCAATATATGTATTTGAGCAGTTTAGACAGTATTTTCAAAAAACGTACAAAATTCTCTTTGAACGACCTTTGCACAAACAGGTATGCACTAGATATGATTACAGACGCAAGAATTGTTTCTCTCCTCTCACCATCGACAGAGAACCACAATTATTTTTGTTGGAATATTTTCTTAATACTCTTTACTTTTCACAAGAATTTCTCCTTAAATTTTTAGGACATCAACATTCACGTGAATACTCTGAAAAAATTGCATGTATTTATTATTCAAGTTCAAATGCAACTCCAACCTGTGAATTTTTGAATTTCAAAAATGGAGACATTCATGAATATGTTACGGCTCTGTTGAGATGTCGCCAAGTGTATCGAAAATTTGGAAGAGATTCACATTTTGAGAAAGATTTAGAGAAACAACTCTCTAACACGATATTCAATGATCCAGATCATGAAGATTTATTGTTGACGTTATTTCATCAAGGATTGATTTCAAAATCATTCACAGATCGATGTGTGAAGAGAATTTTATTTTCAATTTGGGATCGACATTTATATGGTGATGTTGATGACAAGTTAGCCACAATGTTGCAAGAGACACAAACAATACTCTCAAAATTCAATACTGATGGAAGACTTTCATTAGAAATGATACATAGTCCATACAAATTCTTGGATCATTTCGATAGTTGTGATCTGGACGAGGCCTCTCAAAAATTCCCCAAATCAATACTGAAAACAAAAGCTCTCTCAGAATTCAAACAGGTCGGTTCTGACGATTTATTTGATGCCAATCCACTGTGTTTGTTTATGCTCAACTTTGACCCTAAGACTGAGATATTGTTGAAACTTTTGAATCATTCATTCTTTACACAATATTGGAACGTAATTGTAACAGTGCCGAAGCTGTATGACATGATGTTTCCACAGCCTGTGTTAGTGGGCAACGAAATTCTTTATTGCTATCGAACTGATAGTTATTCAATTGAAAACCGATATATTCGACTTTATTTGAAAAAGATGACATTGAAACAATTATTGAATGATTTGATAGAGGAATCCAAAAAGAAGGAAAGGTAAAAATAAAGAAGAAATTGCTTTCTTAGACAATAAATATGCAAAGTTCTTTCCTTGTTTATGAATGACTAGGAATTATGTGACAATCTTCCAGTCAAAACCCAATCGTGAGCAACTTTTTTGCTTCAGTTGATGTCTGTCATTTCTTTCTTTTTTTTGGTGTGCTCTCATACTCGTGATTTCCTTGTTCCAGGTGATCGATGGTGCAAAGAGTTAGGCCATTCGTGTTTGTGAGATAAATGTCAGAGAATGAAATAGCGTCATTGAGTATGCTGTGACTTCTTTTGCCAAGACTGGACTTGGTTATTTCCTTTAAGCTTGCTACTATCTTGGATTGGAACCATTGTTGATTGGGAGAGAGAATCGTCTTCTTTTTGTCTTTGTCCGTGATCAGTTTTTCAGAGTTTGGACAGGTCAAATAAAAGCACAAATCCTTTGAGGTTCTGTCCATAGAAATGTGGTAATCTTTCCTATCACCAACATGTTTCTTCAACATTTCAGAGATGACCAACGAGTCTTCACGAAGACGTACAGACGAAGAACCATAATACAAGTAACTCCGACGGTTATATACCATAATAAATACCTTAAGACATTTCGTCAAGATGTAGATGGTTGTTTGTCCCGTACACAGAACATCCATAATGGTATCATTTTCCTCAAAATCTTGAGGAGCACGAGATTTCATCAACTCTCGCAAAAGGACAGGTTTTTTGTTGTGATTCATGTCAAACAAGTACCATTCGTTGCTTCCATCTTGTACAAGACAAACCTCTGCATGGGCATAAATTTTCTTAATTCCCTTATAAAAGAAAGAATAATTGTAACAATTTGGAATGGTTTGCTCGGAAAAGTCAGACCAAAAAATATCCCCATATTTATAGTAGGGATGAATAAAAATGTATAAATAATCATTCTCAGTTCCAAAAATGGAGTACATGGGCGCTGTGGCCATGCATCGCACACGGTCATTGTCTTGTTCGAAAAATTCACTTTTGAGTGGAATGTCACTTAATGTGGGAACATTTAAAATTCCGTGATAATCTCTGTTGTGAAAAATAGCATTTCCAAGAAAAATTGAAATTAATTTTTACATCCCCAAATATCATATATAGCATTAATATATTATTCAATGATGATGATGATGATAACGAACATGAATGTTCTGTTTGTGGGTTGCTGTTTTTCTTTCGAAAAGGCATTTGTTTAAACTCGTTCTTTCCATCAAATTCAGGAAGTCATTACAACGACATTGTAAAATCAAAATAAATATTAATCTTAATTTATTTAAACATTAACATTAAACATCAAAAGGTAGTATTTAATGATTTACACCAATCCATTACCTAACATTGAGAAAGAGCGTAAAAGGAAATTGTGAATTTCTTAATTGCCAAACTTTGTAAGAGCCAATCGACATTGCTTGAACTTGATTGTAACCTGAAAATACATAGCATGGAGAAACGAATGGATATCCATGATCGAGCTGAGCTTGACAAGTGCATGTCTTGTTACTGAAAGTGTACTCGTAAATAATAGAATTGTGAAGCAAGACAATGACAGAATAGGAATCTGTCAAGCCATTGTCAAAGATGGAAACAACATCCTCTCGAGAGATGGCAAGTCGAGTGTCAAAGATATCAGCGCGCACTAAATACTTGACGGACATCAATGTATGCGAAATCATAATCAAACAGCTCCGTTTCCAATGTTTACTTCAAGAATGAACCTCCTCAACCATCTTTGTAAAATAAAATCATTCCAGTTCGGAGAAGTGTTTATCGCATGTCGAAGTTGCTGATTTGCATTTGGATTGGACATAAACTCCGTATTGATCTTATTCACATTTCGGAGAATCTCTCTATACTGAGCTTTGAGATATTAATTGTTGACATGAATTACAAAACTATCGATGATGTTTGTAATGCTTCAAAAGAAGTGTATACTTGATTGAAATGTGATTGTGAATATCAGAGAGCTTGGTTCCTTCATCTGGTAATTTTTCAACTTCATCCACAATTCGTTGAACCATGAGTGGCATGGTGACATCTTTGTGACGAGTGCTCTTTGTTTTCATGCAACTCTTGGCCACAATCAACATGTGAACAATGTTATCGATGGAGGTGAGGCGAGAATATAAAGCTTCCCAATATTTATCCATGTTAAAAGAACCTGTGTGAACACTACTCAATCGACGGAAGCTTGGAAAACGTGAACTCTTATCTGAAGAAGATGGAGAAGAATAGATGGAGTGTGCAGAAATTCCCAGTGGAGAGTTTGCAGAGGTGGCAATAGGTTCATTAGTATGTGTAGATGTTGCTTGGTATTCTCTCTTCAATTCGTTTTGATGCTTTCGTTTGTTTTCAAGAATCATCTTTTGAAGAAGAGGGTTTCTAATTTCTTGTTCCTCCAATAATATCAGTTTGAATCGTTCTAATGCGACAAATAATGCAGTCTCTCCATACAAGTTGGGTGTGTCGATGGGATAACGGAAATTGTGTGGATCCATATTCTTTCGATCATTGAATACGACTGGTAATGTTTCTTGTTCATGTAATTCGTCGAGATGAATTCTAGCTCCTTTTTTCGGACGAGAACGCTTGAAAAACCTGAAACCAGATTTTGCAGATTTTTGGTCAATGCTGCTATGACTTGCTCCACTTTCATCGACAGGTGTTTTTGGTGGTGTTTGATGTGTAGTATTTCTCGAAGAGACAACTTCATTGCTGTTGGGGCTTCTCACTCGAGGTGTTTTGATTAAATTTGAAAGTTTTTCAAGACCTTTAAGGATACGTGCAGTTCCTGGAGTGCTAGGAGTAGGTGTGGATTGACTTCCAGATGCACTTGTGACGTTCAAACAAAGTTCAGGAATGTGAATACGGAGTTGACTTGTTAAATGTGTGTGACTATCATTGGAAGAATCAGCAATTAGGGAGGCATCACTACTTCCCACCATATTTTGCGCAATGCTAGAATTGGATGGAAAATTCATGGAAAATAATTCAGAATCACTCTTCTTCTTGGTGATTGGTAAATCTACCATTGAATCTGAAGGGTGTTCTCGATCATAGGAATCAAAATCTGTATATCTTCGTCGTTCTCTGATGGATTTCCTTTTTTGGATATTTTTAACATTTTCGGTAGCAATCGATAAAAAGACTTGCACAACTTCAATATTGTTGTACCAACAAGCCACATGAAGGGGAGTAAAACCTTCATACTTGTCATGCTCAAGGAATAATTTCTGATAAATCTCCCCAGGCAAGGAGATGGCACATAATGACAAAAATACAGCATTATTGGCAATTGCTGCTAAATGGAACAAATTGAGACCGTGTGCCTTGGTTTTGGTCGTGCAACATGCGTTGTAATCAATCTCATTCAATAAAAAGGCCCATACTTTCAAATAATTTTCTCGTTCGTTTTGTGTCAAATCCTTGTTCCAGTTTCGTGAATGAGTTCGAATAAATTTTTCAAAGGATCCTAGCGCGGAATTTGGATAATAAGCAGGGTAATATCTCTCAAAGAATTCTTCCGTTTCCATGGTGTCATTGCAGTGAATGCTCATCACGCTTCTCATTAAGGCGGTCATACCGTTGTCGTCTCTCATGTTGGCGAAGGTAATTGGTTCAGAATAAAAATAGATTAATAATCTCACAATATCATAATAACCTTTGGTTGCAGCAATGTGAAGTGCGGTGACACCGGAGTCTCTCTTCTTTAGAGTTGGAGCAACTCCGAGTAATATTTGAGTTTCTACAGCCTTGACATCATGCATTTCACAAGCTAAGTGAATACCAGCATTTCCATAAATGTCTTTTTTTCCCCAATCCATTTTCTTAGAGCCAGTTTTTGTGACAGCAGTCAATAAAAGAGTAAGTACGTCACAATTACCTTTTGTGGAGGCTGTATGAAGAGCTGTTCCTTCAATTTTGTTCGTGTGATTCAAATTGACATCGTATTTGCTTAATAAAAACGCCACAACTTCCACTTGGTTGTGTTGAATTGCGATTTGAAGCAGTGAATTTCCATTGTGGTTGTCTCTAACGGAGTTGACAATAGTGTCATTTAGCACACATTCCAAAAGTGCAATACATCCTCTCTTTACAGCATGAATGATAATATTTGAATTTTTTGCAACTTCATCCAAAGGTGTGAGTTTTGGGAGGTAAAATGAGAGGGATGACACCACTTGTTTCAGAGGCGATGATGGAATGACAACGCCAAAAGAATCTCTTTTCTGAGCAGAGGCAGCAGATACTTTACCATCTCTGGGATTTCTATCTAATGCTGAGGCTGCCACTTCTCCTCCTCGGGCCATTGCTGAGGAAATAGCACCTGCAGGAGAGGAGGCCAGTCTTCCAATGTGAGATTTTGTTGGTGTGACTGGTGAAATCTGTAACGAGGTCGGTATCTCGCTAGATGCGCTTCTGTGCATTGATGAGGAAGCTTTTACATCAAGAAAAAGACTTGGCTCAGAACCAGAGGAAGACGAAGCACTTGCTGCAGTATCTTTTCGATTCATAAATTCACTGCCATTGTTTTCAGGTGAAAAAAAATAGTTATTGTTATCTGCAGCATAGGCAGCTAAAGAATTGCTTCTCCGTCCAGATCGAAATTTGGGTTTCTGTGTTGTTTTGCTTGATGACCTAGGTGTTAAAGGATTATTTGGTTGTGTTAATTTTCTTCTTGGTGTTTTGTTTCCAACATTTTCATTTACGTGTTGAGTGATGGATGATCCAATACCAACAATTCCACCAAAAGCTCCATAATTAATGTTATCTGCACGGGGCGTTATAGTATCTTGATCAACATAACTTGTGACGCTGGTAATAGATCGAACTGACAACATGTCATGAGTGAAATCCACATTATCATCTACATTTGACTTGTTATTGAAATCCAAATGAAAGGGTTGTCTTTTTGGAGGCGAATTATTATTTGCATTGGTTAAAAAATCAGCTGAATTTTTCTGATCTTTTGGACCGTCATGATTTTGTCCATTACTTTTGCTCCTATTATGTCTGTACTTGTTAAATAGTGAAGATGTTGAAATTTGGTTCGACGTACTGTTTGGCGAATTGATGGTTGTGTGTGCTTCTTTTAAGGCTTTTGAGCTGTTGGCAATCAAATTGAAAAGGCTGCTTAGATGTTGAGTTGGAGAATTTGAAGAAGATGGTTGTTGGAACGGTGATGACGGTGAAGTGTTACTGCCATTCTCGAGTAACTCGAGTAACTCGTTATTATTGATCTTGGAAGGACTTGAATGATCTAGGTCAGAGTTTTGAAAAACATTAGGGGTAACAAAATTGGTGTTTTTTGGGGATGAAGCATTCGTGAGATTGGTATCATGTGATGAAGTGAATGTATTTACAAATTGGTCCTCATTACTCACTGTTTCGTTATTCATGTTTGATGAATGATTTGGAGAGATGGATGGAACTGTTGAACCACTAGTTGTGGTTGTTGTCGTTGTGTCATGTGAAGAATTTTCTGTCGACGATTCACGTGAATTCGATGAAAAAGGAGATTGTATCAATGTGGTTTTGTTAGATGGTGAGGTCGTGTCAGAATGGTTTCGAGAAATTCCAGGACTCGGGTCGACAGCCGTCGGCGAGGAGGGATCACTTCTTGAGGAATTAGGGTTTGATACAGCTTGTTTTTGATTATTCGGAGTGGATGTTGAAGAAGGACGCATCAGAAATGATTGTGATGATTTCAAAGTAGATGTTTGAAAATTCAATACAACTCTCCTTCCGTTAATGATTGCTACATTGTTTCCACTGTTAAGGCTTGTTGGAATAAAGTGATGATGATGTTGTTGATGGTGATTAATATTTGTGGTCGTCGAAGAAGAAGAAAATTGAGGTGTGGATGAGGTAGTAGTAGTTGATGATGATGATTTGAGAGAGGAAGAATGCTGTGGAGTAGAGATTTTAGTGGTTGACCTAGTAGAAGGAGAGGTCAAGGAAACTGCAGTATTGCCATTGGTTGTGAACTCGCTCAATGGCTTGGGTGAGAGAGTACGAAGAGTAGTATTCTCTGATGTTGTTGTTCTTGTTGTTGTTGTTGATAATGTATGAGATTGGTGATGATGAAATAATACACCATTGGATGGGTGTGGTGTTGTGGGATTTTGAGAGGGTGATGAGCCTCTCGTATGATGCGTCATTTGAGCTTCTCTTTCAATTGCTTCCTTCTTATTGTGTACATGATTGAGATAATTCGCCAAATGCTTAAAGACCTTCCCCGAGAGTACCTTCTCTTCGGAAGGAGTTTTTACTGGACTCATCATTGTGTTGTTGAGATGAGTTGAGGATGATGTAGTGGAAGAGGTTGAAGGTGTTGATTGGATCATGTTATGTTCATTACTGTTGTTCTTGTTGTTGTTATTATTATCATTATTATTGGTCGAATGATTATGACATGCGTTCAGTGTACGATTGATTCGTATGGTTGGAGTGAGATTTTGTTCCTCCTCCTCCTCTAATTCTTCTCCTTCATTCCTCCTCCTGTTATTAGTAGTAACAACCACGCAGCTCGGAATACTCTTTTCTTCTTCTCCAATCGAGCCATGATGGGTGTGGTGTCGTGGTACGACGAAGCTGCTGTTGTGTGTGGTTGTGGTTGTTTGGAGAAGAGAGGGTGTCAGAGGAGGGCTCGTCGAGGAGGTTGGATTTTCTTGTTGTTGTTGCTGAGAGGGTGATGATGAACTTGAGGTTGTTGTGGTTGTTCTTGATTCCGTAGGGTTCTGTTTCGTCGTCATGTTGTTGAGATCATCATTGTGCAAAGTAATTGGAATGGATGTGGTGTCCATCGTCGTGCAATCTGCTGCTGATAGAGTAGTCGTCGTCGTCGTCGTTGAAAGAGTGTTCTCCAATGGAGTGATTGGAAGAATGGACGGAATTTCTTGAGTGTGGTTGCTGTCAATATTATTATGATTGGGTAATGACAATGACGTTAAAGACACGGTCGTCGTCGTTGTGAGACCTCTCTCGCTCATTCTGAAGTAGGTGGTATCTGTTGATGATGATGAAGTTTCTAACGAATGTTCCTGGAATTGTGATGGCACCAAGTCAGATGCCATCGATTCAAAAAGCTGAACGGGAGTATCACCACCAACTGTGGTCGCTGTTGTTGATGACGACGAGAGGTCGTGGTGGTGTGACTCGTCTTTCTTTTCTGTTTTCGGACTTGCGATTGTCAGCTGTTGTTGCGGCATTTTTAATATAACGAAAAATCGTGCTAGCTCACCCACAACTTCTTCCCAGGTTGACAACTGCTCGTCTTCAAAAAGAATCTACCGCATCTAATCTTGTGTGTGATATGATCCTCAAGATTACCAAAAACGAACACTCTCAAGACATGTTTGTCTTTGGTAATTGATTTTCCCTCCAAAAAAAATGAATGTTAAGGAAATGTTTGATAGTGTGGCGTTGAGCCTCATTCACTTCTTGGAGTCTCATGAAGGGGTCAAGAATGTACAATTATTTGAAACGAAACCGGCCACGCCATCGCAAGTGGATGCTTGGGAGAAGACAAACAAAATAATCATGCCATCGGAATTGAAATCTTTCTTGTTGTATTCGAATGGATTTTTATTGAAGTGGAAGATAAGTTTATCGGAAGAGAGAGAAGTGCAGATGGGATACATGTCCATACATTCCATAGAAAAGATGGTAGAAGTAAAACGGAAAGATGACGATACAGAAGCGTCTCATCCATTTCATGCTGCATTTGAATTGAGCAATTCTACAACGCATTGCAACGGACGTGTTTGTTTTGTATACAAAGACCAATCACAAAATCCTGCCACGGCTGAAATTTGGTATCAAGATTTGGGAATGAATTGGTGGTTCATCTCAAAAACATTTGTGGAATATTTTCGACTAATGATTTTGCATTTAGGACTACCGAACTGGCAAATGGTTTTCACTGATACAGGTCTTCCTTCGATAACGAAACAGTGGATTCGATTTCTTTCACCTCAACGATTGCTCATTGACCTCAGTAGATTATGTTTGAACAAAGAGGCACTTATTGAAATGCCAGAGAGTATGAATGAAGTTTTTAAAGTAAGGACAGTGTCTCGAGTGACAGAACTTCGCAACAAGAATAAGAAAAAGAAAAAAGTATCTGTAAAAAAGAAAGCCAAAATCGACCTCAAAAAACTCGATGCAATGGCATCCAAGAACAAGAAGAAGGAAAAATCTTTGTCATCCATCGACAAGGTTTGATGTTCAGAAATGAATTATCTTAAAGGATTTTTATTGTTACAACAAAATTGGGGATTCTATGTTACACAGAAATAAGAGCAACTAGAGGGAATCCATTTTCTCTCGTTCCTCAGCATATCTCTCAGATTGGTACCACTTTTGAGCATGGCTTGCACATTGTCTTCGACCTCGAGTTTTCACGTACTTGGTACTTATTAAGCTCCAATTGTGACCACATTCTTTCAAACCTTTTAAGAAGCGAAGATGTTCATCATCAGACCACCACCCAGTATTGAATTGACCTTTAGTTGTGTGCTTCTTTTTCTTTCGGATTGTGGTCTTTCTCTTCTTTTGTGGAGTTGATTTCTTAGCGTCTTCTTCAGAGGAGACTATGAAATCGTCATCTGCATTGGATGCTTCTTCCATGTCATCTTCTTCACCAGTCGAAGAATCACTTCGGTCAGATTGATGATGTTGATACACTTGAGAAGAGTCTGTGACAGATCTAGTATGGTACAATTTGGTATTATTCGATGGGAGTGGTTGAGAGATGGTTGTGTGATTGGATGATACAGAGGTGGTTGTTGTTGTTGTGTTGAGAAGGGAAGGATGACCCACCAGAGATGATGATCCACTTTCTGCATACCATCGAGAGATCATCTTTCTGGGTTTTGAAATTCCAACTGGACTGATCAAATCCCAGTTCTGTTTTCGGTCCATATCAGACCTTTGTAGGATGTCGTGTCGTTGTTGTGAAGTGGTTGCAGCTGAACTTGTGGTGGTGGTGGTATGGAAGAGTGAGGGAGTGTGAGTGTTCATCATCGTGGTGATGGATTGCTTCTTTCGCAACAACAACGAGGATGACGATGAACCAGAAACGGATGAACCATCCGTTAAGCTCTTCAGTTGCAGCTTCTCGTATTGGTTTAGATCAGAATAGGAATCTTGCAGAGATGGTTCCATCAACAAGGGTGGAATGTAGACAAAGGAAGTGGTATTATTGTCTGATGAACAACAACCTTTCAAAGATGACTGTCTATGATGATCGGATTTGTCAGTCGTCGTCATCGTCGAGGAAGTGATATTAAAAGAGGTTGGGCTCTCTTTTAAACTCAGCAAAGCTTGGGCAAGAAAATCTTCACAGGAGGATGTCGCAGCCATATGGTTGATAGAGTGGTGATGTTTCAAAGATAACTCAACAACAAGATGATAATCTCGTGAGGATGGGAGGCAATTATACGTTTGACAAAGATGACTGAGAATCACTTGTTGTGACAATTTTAATTGTTGGAAGTGATGAGAGGTCTCTTTGCAATGAAGTTTCTTTATGGGAGGCCAAAAAAAGGATAGAACTATTTTGTACTGTACGGGTTACAAAAACGCAGTGTAGACTTGGAGTGAGTTATTTGGAGATGAAATATGCGTTTGACAATACTTTCTTGATTGAGTATCACTTCAAAGGGAGCTTTGTACCACAAAAAAGTTCTCAATAGCAACTGATGTTGAGTCTTTTGTTTTAAAGATGCTGTTGATCAACAACAGACAGATCCGAACAATTTCAATGAAAATACGTCATCATGTTTCAAGCTGTGCAAGAACACACAAGTTTCATATTTATCATATGGACATGAGCATGATTGTTACTTTTTGGTAAGAATTGAAATACTAGAAGTGTTCTTTAATTAGCAAAAAGGCATATCGAAACGAAGATTTCTTGTCAATATCACTACTGAATTCGAACAGAGCTTGAGTTATCTTGTATCTCTACAGAGGTTTGGTGTCTCGACATTTAAAGAAAAAAAACAAAAGAAGAACTGAGTTTTACAATAATGAATGATCGAGTTTGCGATTTCATTGGTGAACACATATGCGGTAGTTGTACAGATCTGTTCATGGCGATCTTTAGAAAATTGGTGAAGATGATGGTCTGTTGTCAGTTATCATCTTGCTTAGGCAGAACGAACTCTTGGTAAGATTGTAATCATTGTATAACAGCAGCAGGGAACGGAGTTGTGGTTGGGTCCATTTTGGAACAATTGTTACCAAAAGGCATCTCTGATTACAGTAGTAGTAGTGGTAAGTGGTTGAACATTAATTGGCATCTAATGCTTAACAAATGAGAACAAGATCAGAAAACTTGCATTGATCCTTCTCAAGTCGAAGACTCTTCAGCAATAGCTTGTGAAATCTCACAATCCTTCCCTTAACACATGTTTGTACCAAAAAGGTTGAATTATTATGTGATGTAAAAACTCGCCATTCTTTTGTGGCAGAATTCATACCAATCATTTTTGGAGGAGAAAATTCCAAATTCTTTTGTTGGATGTAAGACGAGGGCAATGCATTGTGTAAATTGAGCTTGACAGGTACGACTACTCCATTGGCAAACACTCCAATTCCTAATTGCCCAAAACATGCCAGACCACAAACATACACATCGGAACATATGGTGACAAAGGCGGAATGATAGGGTCCGCATGCAATATCTTTGACATAGTCATAATATTTGGGTAATTCTTCAAATGGCCATTTCATGCTTGTGAGAGGTGTCGCATCAGTCTTTTTATCCCACATTCGGGCAAAAAATTCATTTCGTTCGGGAATGAACCTGGTTCTTACATCTCCAATTCCAAGTTGGCCTGGTTCATTATTTCCCACTACCATGACATGATGAGTATCTGTGAGCAATAAGGTATGAGAACTTCCACAAGCAATTTTTAAAATTTTCATCTTGTCAAGACCTTTCATTAAGGTTGGTTTTGAAATGGTCTTGGAGGTTAAATTTCCACATTGCCCTTGAGCGTTTCTACCAAATGCATAGACTTTTCCTGACGATGTCAACACACATGTATAATTTTGTCCACATTTCACATCCACAAACTGTTCATCTTCCACCATCACAGTAGTGTTTTCACTATGTTTTTCCCCATTCCTATTCCTGCACTCCATGAGGGTTTCTAATTTGTTGTGAAAAACGTCGCCTCGATCAGTGTTGAAAGCTCCACAATATATGAGTTTGGTCACTTTGGAGGAATCGTGTGGCCGAGCAAGGAAGACAGTATGGTAAGACCCACAACTTGCTTTCACAATGTGATACTCGGTTGGAATTAATTTCCATTTGGGTACATCAACAAAATCTCCAGTCCCGCATTGACCCTTCTTATTGCGACCTTATTTTCATGAAAATTGAAAATGGTAATAATATTCAAGAATTTAAAAACATTTAAGATCTTAATGGTGTGAATGATTTAAAACGTACCACATGCCATTGCCTTTCCATTGGAAAATACAATCACAGAATGTTCAAATCCTACTGAAGAATCGACAATGCATACTGATTGCTCATTTGTTTCACTTTTTAATTTCCAAAAATCATGATCCACTTGTTGGAGTGTTGGAATCAAATTATTACTCGACCATGAATAGAGCAGGGAGTGATTGGTGGATGAAACTGTACCTGAGAAAGATGGAGGGTCATTGTTATTGTCGGAGATGTGAAATCCAACTCCTAATGCTCTTCCACACATGTAAATGTCACTTGTCACATTGCCTTTGTTTGTGATGGCCCGAGTAGTCAGTAATGTAAATGAAGAATTAGAAATATTCTCTACTCTATAATTCTCGTAATGCTTTGATGACTCATCTGTATTCAAATGTGTTGAAAATACAGTATGAAACGATGTAAAGTGCTGCGGATGGGCAGAATCACTCGTAAAATCATGGACTTTACAATTTTTTGCATAATCCAACTGGGAGAGCGATTGAGCCGTCAATTGAAGCGAATAATTCTCGCCAGCAGCATACACAATTTCTTCATAGGAATCGGAATGATGTTTGACGCTTGATTGGGTCATAGGACGACTGGTTAATGAATTGAGCTGGGACGAAGTTGACATTTTTAAAGTAGAAGAAAAAGCAAGAAAAACGAACTTGGGAACATGGTTCCTATCTCTTCAACAAAGTGTTTTGTTTTAATAATACCCTCGTTTGTTAATGACAGAAGCAACATAGACCCAAACACTCATCACTCCATTGGCATAAGGTTCAACATAAACAGCGAGAGCAAATTTCACATCATTTTCATAAGTGTCATAAACCATTGTGTTGCGAACTTCGGTCACAATTTCCTTAATATCTTTGAAAGCAAAATTGAGAGGAAATCCGTTAATAGCGCTCGATTCGTTCACAATCGCAAGTGCTTGTTGTTGATTTTCTTCACTCAGAGGTTGATCTAACTTTTTGCTCGCCTCAAAACTTTGAAGAAGTTCCTTAAATGTCTTACTGAGCGAGTTATCCCAAATGGTGGCCTTGTGACGCCATTTTGAGAAACCTTCCTCAATGGCTCTTCTAATGTCTTGTTCCAATCGAATGGATTGTTCGTTCGAAGTCTTGGTATACAGTAATTTCTTGTATTGAATTTTTCCTTTAGGGTCTGATGCTTCTTTGGCAATCATCTTGTTTGCATCTCGTGTTGGATGATACAATGGATAGAATTGTGAAACATCATTCAGATCAAATTTCATGGTTGAGGGTTGAACTTTCTTTTGAACATTCACCCAAACATTGCTTTGAGAAAAGATGGTGTGAATTTCTTGAAGAGGACATAATGGATCATCCACTGAATATTTCTCGCCAGTCACTGGATTCCAAAGCCACAGACATTTTCTATTTTCCTGATAGGAATGTGAATGTTGAGTGGCAGCGCTATTTTCCACTGTTAGTACATAGGCAGTCTCACCTTCAGGAACTCCTTTTCCAAGTACGACGAATGCTAACCGTCCAATGCTTAATAAATAATTACACAAGAGAATGGCATGTTCTTCCCAATCTCCAGCTTTAGTGTCCAAAAATTCTTGAGATCCTACCCAAGTATCATCAGATCCATAGGCAAGGGAGTCATTAACAACTGGAATTAAAGATACAAATCTTGCGAGTTCTGCTGCGGTTTGTAATTCAGTTGGTGGATCTTGAGGGGTAATATATCTAGTAATAAGAGTAGCTTTTCCTTCAATATTAGGAACGAGACATTTGACAATTCTTGATTTCACATGTTTGGACTTTTTCACAACTTTCATCCACCATTGACAATATGAATAAACTTCTGGGCCTTCTCCTGTCACAATAAAATCTTCAACCTTTTCAGGTGTTGGGAGAGGAGGGTCCAAAGTAATGCACACCGTAAGTGCTGAGTAGGCATTTGCTTCGTTCACAGACTTGCTATAGCCCAAGTACAGTGGTGGTGTTTTCAATCTAAAGGTACCAACAATTTTTCCATTCTGGAAGAGTGTTGAAAAAGGAACAGAATAGGACCCTAACCACTTAAATTCAGCTCGTTGATTAATGGCATTGTAGTCTCTTTCGTCTTTCAATCCTTCAACAGTAATTTCATCGAAAATGTCAAAGTAAATCTCCTTGTCTATTAATTTCAAAGCTTCAGTACTGTAATCATTATTTGGGGTTTGTAGATTTAGTGTTAATGTCTGATTGTACTGAGGAAAAGGTCCTTCCACAGATTTAGTTCTCTGCATTTCTCCATCGAATGTCACTGCAACAAAGGATAACAACCGCTATTGAAGAATGTTACCAATTATTACATTTTAAAATGTAATCAATACTTACATCTGGCAAAGTTTGTTCTTGATTCGCTTTAGACATGGTAATATAATTAATTGTTTCCTTATTTCCTCCTGAAGTTGCTTGATCGTGCTCATAAATGTTTGTTGCACCATTTTCTTGCATACGATTTGTCATTTGCATTTCCAACCCCAACTCACTTGCATTCTTGAGTCTTTCTTGTCTGTAAGTTCTATATGTTGCGTTGTGACTATCTTTTCGAACTGGAAAATTGTATCCTCTTGTAATTTGTACTAAAATGTTGCAAGATGTTATTTCTGAGAGAGGTGGTACTTGTTTTTGTTTGCGTTTTGGATTAAGAGGTCGATATTCCTCAAATATTTCCAAAATAGCATCTATAGAATGGTGGAATGAAGGTAGTGGAGGTTCTTTGACAAATTGAGAAACACTATAGATTGATTTTGTTGTTGTAACAAAGTTCAAATAAATCAATATAACTAAGAATTACTTACTCGATATTTGTTTTAACCAAACGCTTTGCCTTTCTAAGTATTGCATTGTTTGCATGCCTTCTGACTTGATTGACATAGGATGATAGTTTTGCCTCAGTTGAGAGAGACTTGATAATCTTTTCTTCATAGCTTTTAACAACTCTTGGCTGAATTTGATCAAGATCGAGTGGTATCAATGGTAATGGTACCTTCCCTTTAACTTCATCTCTCAGCTTTAGCAAGTGTAATCTTCTTTGATATGCTGAATTATTAAATTCATCAAAGAAGAATAATTCGTCATCTTGTTCAGCAAGATAAAAACCTTTGCTTGATAAATCATCCCTATCTAATTCATTTAACATGGAAAGAAGCCCTGTATTTCTTGGATCATTAGGATCAATATTATTTGATTCCATCCATGAAGTAATTTGTTTAAGGTTAAGTAAATCTCTTGCAGTTGGTAGATCTGTTCTTTTCTTTTCTACCGGAGGTTTTGGAGCCTCAATCATTCTGTCCTCAGATGGCTTAACCCAAGCAATCGACATTTTCACGAGTCCACTTGTGTGATGAGTTGGTTTTGGTAAAGATTTAAATAATGGAGTAAAAATGGAAAGAGGAAACACTCCAATAGCTTGAAGTTCCCAAACAGGTGAATGAGCAACTGGAGAGGTGAAATTTAGAGTCTTCATGTTGTCCATTTCTACCTTTCCTGATCGCTCCAAACCTGGTACAGGAACGAACACTTGTGAAATTGTTCTATCCAACCATCCAGATTGCATGACTTCTAAACTGATAGATTCTGGCCATTTGAAAACGCTCACAGATACAATCTCATTAAAGTTTACAGTAAAGTCAGATCTTAATTGTTGGCTTGTAGTTTTGCAAACAAAGTTGCCGTTCACTAAAACATTTACGTGATATGAAAGTTGGCTGATTTGATTTCTTCTTTCAATTTCGGTCTATGATTTCGCACACTCATTGAGATTAATGATAATTCCTTGCTAAAAAAAAACTTACAGATGGAAGTTCTGATTCTTTGGTGATTTCAGTTTTTAAAATTTCAGGAATAATGATAGATTCTCCAGGATATCTTCGGTGCATTCCCATTCGTTCAATGATGCGCTTTCTTTCGCTCTCTTTATCAAAAGCTGGAAGTTTGGGTGGATCTTTCTTTGATGCCACTAAAAACAGCGATGAGTACTCTTGTTCTCCGATTGGTATTAGCTGCTCTCTGTATTCAATAACTTGTTGAATGTATTTCCATTTCAAATCCTCTTCCATCTCTATTAACTCTTGTTCGATATTATATTGAATGACAAAGCTGTCATCCTCTTTGTTGGTTTCCACTGTTCTGAAACCCATTTTTAAATTTGTGACAGTATATCTGTTGTTTGATCTTATTTTACATAGCAGATCCCAATTGCTAATCATAGTATTTACAAGGGTAATTTCCTTAAACTCTTCATTTTCCTGTATTAATATAATCGTAATACATTTAAGCTATTTCAATTGAAGCTTACCATTGCTGTTCTAGTTTGTTTGATTTCAGAGCGCAATACAGACATCTCGCGCTCAATCTCCTTTACCTCCTTTGTTAAATAACTTAATTCATCGAGTGGGTTTGATTTCTTAATTGCCTTGTCCTTTTTTCCTCTAAGTCTATCCAATTCAGTTTGTAAGGCCTAAACAAAGGTATTGTAAATTAAGTAACTCGGAAATATCAATACTTACCAAAATTTTCTTCTGATAATAATCAAATTTATCTGCGGTTTTAAGCTCTTGGTATCTGTTATAGGCCTCAAGAATCTTTCTTGTGACGATCTCTTCTTCAGTCATGAGTGGATGATCCTCAAAAATAATCTCCCGAATATCAATGTCGATTTTGAAGTGTTTCGATGCGGTGGTTGAGCGAAGACTCTTAGTAGGTATCGTCCTCTTAAGACCTATTGCATTGTTATCTTTCAAATCAAAATCAAATTCTCCCGGTTTTGTAAATACATTATTGGTAGGATCCAACTGTACAATTAATTGTCCGTTTTCATCAAAGAATTTTGAAATTCCATTATGTTCTCGCATTAATCGATGCTCCAATAAATGTTGGCCTCGTTCAAGAAGAAAGGGCTTCTTGTCAGAAAAGATTCCCTCCTCTTGTGGATCAAAATATCGATAAATTGTCGAGTATTCCTGTGACAGTTTTTCAATTTTTTGTCTCAACTTTTCTGAAATAGTTTTGCATTCTTCTGCTTCTTTGGTTTTTTGTCGTGATAAATAAATTTCATACAATTTGTTGAGCTCGTTCACTCGGACTTCCATTTGTCTTTTGACTCCCTCGACGACAGGCCTAATTTCCGATACAAAAGTAACATGTTCAAGAAAATCTTTTTTCCTATTTTCTTTTTTGATGATTATCGGATCCCTTCGTTCTGCTAATTTGACAACTTCTTGTTTTTCCTTTTCCAACAATAATTTGGTCACGAGATTATTTTCATCTTCTTTGTTGTTATCGTCAATATTTGTTTCTTGGTTGTCTTGGTTATTATTCAAGGTTGTAGAGGTGTGTATGAGCGAATTTCCACCGTCCGCATTGCTCGTGATCGATACAGCTTGTTCGTGATTGGAATTCTCTTGATGAGCAAGGCTTTGTAGATTCGTGTCATTTTTAATATTTTCGTCGTCTTCAGCACTTTCGAAGAGTTGTCTTCTTGCTCTCGAACGTGATTTTCTCTTTTTCTTTCTAGTGGTATCCTGGTCTTCCGTGTGATCACCAGTGGTATCTTCTTTACTTCTTGACGGTTGGTTGACCAAGTTCATGTCGGAATTTGTCAACGGAGAATGATCTCGTTTGCCTTCATCTCCTACAACGACATCCCGAGGAGGTGATGGTTTCGATGAGGATGGTCTTCCCGATCCAGGCCGGCTATTGCTGTATGATGGTACTAACGCTTCTCGTTGTAACACGTCTTGTTGTTGTTTGGTTTGAAGAGAATGAGGCTGATGTTCTTCAAAGACTTGGTCAACATCTTCCAACATTTTTTTAAGTGAATTGTTGTATTCGATTTGGCGCAAATTAACTTTCTCAACGGACTCGTCCCTTGTTGTCGATAAAAATTCAAAAGCAAACGAATCAATTCAACTCTTTTGTATTATAATAATAATATCATGAGTTAGGGTTTGCTTGCATATTTGTGGGGCTGTTGGCCCATAAAGCTCAAGCAATCAAACCTTACAAATATGTTGTTGGGCAGACGAACGTTCCTTGAACAAATTGATCATTAACGAAACGGCTTCGGAAATTCATCAAGAATTCATCAAGTTCTCTACCTTAAATATGATTGTTTATTGCAAAAGAAAGAAGGAGGAGAAGTTGTTCACGGGACATGATAATTTAGGAATTGTTAACAAGGTATCTCGGTAAATCGTCAAGCTTAGAGTAATTCAGGGTCATAGTGGAATTCTTCAGCACCAATCGATTCTGAATGAACGATTCCAAAATGTGGTTTGATGATAGTTTTAAATGAATATTACGAATTGATGATGAAATGAGATTTAAGAAAGTGTTCATATTGTGGATATCCAAATATCATCATACACAACAATAAATCATTACCATCAAATTATCAAAATTAATCATCAAATGATATAACAATAATAATACCGTATGTTATCATTTTAGTCACCCGATACTCTCATCCTATTACTTACTTTTACCTAACAGCGACGAGATAAATCCATGAATAGGCTCACTCACATAAGGAGTAATACTAACGACAGCACATCCGATGATAAAGTATACAAGCTTTCTCTTCATTTCATTCATAGCCTTTCTTTTTGGTGGAGGCTGAGGTTTACCTCTTCCGAATGGTGAAAACATTTTTTTGAAGTTTTTTCAATCAATTTAGCACAGCATGAAAACGAAACCAAAACATTTAATGTTCTCTCGCTATAGTTGTTGTTTCACCAAGATGGCACGATTCATAAATTTCCTTCATTGATAACCTCATGCCCATCTATCTCACTTTATCGAGAGAACATTTTTCAACAACACATGTTGACCATTCTGACCAGAATTTTTGGCTTTCTTCTTTCAGACATCCGCTCGCATAAACCCTTTTTTTGACTTTCTTTTCAATTTTATCGAAAAAATTCCAAGTCAACCCGCAAGCCTTGCCTTTTTGATGCTGAGTGCGGATGCATCCATGTGCACAAGTCAACTCATCCACTCTTAGAAAACAATAACAGCGCCGTTAATAACAACAACCCTTCTCCAGCATTTTCAAAACATTTCGGATCCTGACCTTGCAACTCTCAACTATTCATTGAATATTATCATCGCAGATGGGACTGAAACCCTCTCGACCCAGTTGGGATATTCCTGACGATGATGAAGATACATCAACCACTGAAGAGGACGAAACAACAACCCTTCAACAACAACAGCATGTATCGAAAAAGAGAGATCATCCTTCCTCTCAACAACAATTATATATCCAAAACAAAAAGAATAATTATCAGTCAACCTCCCAAACTTCCAATAGCGCTGCTACTGGGATACCTATCAACAAGTCTAGCACAAAGTCTTCATCATCGCCATCACTCATCAAATCATCAGATTCATCCTATGCATCCGATTCATCGGTACTGTCTTCTCACCCCAGTTCACGAACTGCTGGCAAGTCCTATTCAAGTACGAGCACTAGCGTGACCTCTAAATTTTCTACATCCTCTTCTGCATCTCCTTCCTCTCTTTTTATGGCACCATTCTTGAAATCGAGAACCACATCATCATCGATACTAGAGTTGGAAAGCTCAGGAGCTGAAAATATAGGCTTCTCTTGCAAAGATCAATCAAGTCATGAAATGACAACTCTGGAAACATACTTTAAATATTTCGGATGTCAGTTTGTGGATTATATTGGAAGAGGTACTTTTGCCCATTGCTTTAAAGTGATATATCAAGAAAAGGATCTTGCATTGATGCAACCTCCTCCTGTCAATAACAACAGCAATAACAACAAATCACAACAAGCGACACAACGAAAAGATATTTATCACTTACCACAGCAAGAATATTCTTGCTTGAAATTAGTAGAAATTTCGAATAATCCAAAAATTGAAGAGCGGCTGAAACAAGAAATTCAAATATTACGAGTTTGCAACACCTGTAAATATATCACCAAGTTACTGAGCGACTATAGGCTAATTGATACCAAGCTCGACTACAAGAATATCATGAAGGGAAGAAATTGGATTGTTCAAATACTCGAGTATGGAGATTCTATTATGAAAGTGTTGAAAGATTACGAAAGTCAGAATAGAACTGTTAAATATTTTACGATAGGAGAGCTTTATGCATATTTCACTCAAGCTATTGAATGTTTATACGAGTTACACGAAGTTTATCACGTCATTCACAGAGATGTGAAGCTGTCCAATATTTTATTGAAGTCTGTGATTCATGCACGGTACAATGAATGCATGTATCATTTCATGTTGTGTGATTTTAATGTCAGTATGTTTGACACGACAAATGAAAAGAAAGGAAATTCAAACACCACCTCTAAGAAATCACTGGTTGGAACATCGATATTCGTTCCAAACGAGGTTATTTTCACAGGAGACTATACCAATAAGGTAGACATGTACTCCATGGGTGTTGTATTCATTCTGTTGTTTGGAATGGTTGGAGGAGACTATGATTTTCTTGAAAGGTTTTATTGCAATGACATTCTTGGACCGCTACGAAGTGACAAGAAGTCTGCCTATTCAAACTCATTTTATGGAAATCCTTCGATATATTCCAATAATTCATTGTCCTCTCTTGCTAGTGCCCCAAATCAAACGCAACCCGAGTCTGCTCCCATTGAATTGAATTCCATCCTTGAAAGAATATCCTCTAAATATTATTTAAACATCCCACTAATTGGTAACTTGCTTTTGGATATGACCAAATACTATAATGAAAGACCTTCAAGCAAGCAAATGTATGAAACTAACTTGGATTACAACTATCTGTATTACATTGTAAATGGATATGCTAACACAAATGAGATGGAGCTGCTTTTACAAGCCAGTCCTAAATATGCACAAGAGAGTGAAAACATTGTCAAGTATATCATCTTCACTATCGGCCAAATCTCTTCCTCTACCTGCTATGATATTGAAATCATTTGTAATTGCTTAAAACTTTTAAAACCTCCAGAATGTTCCCGTGAGTTGTGTAATGTATTATTGAAATGGATTTTGCAATGTGACATGGCTGAGAAGAAACAATTAGAGTTTATGAACCAAGTGATCGATCTCATGAACAGTTATGATGAAGTGACAAAACAAAAGGCCATTGTACATGGTATCATTTATAATGGTCATCTCCAAAGCAATTCCTCTCAATCACCTCGTATTGAATCTCTTCACTACTTTATTAAGGAATTATGTCATAACGACAATGAAAAGGTGCTTCAATACATCGAAGAATTCAACACAGAATTATCAAAAACACGACAAGACTCTACAATCACTAATTTCCTCGATGCATTTATCCAACATCATCATCAAGTTTCGCGTGACCATCGATAGTGATTCACTCCAGAAAGTTTTCACCCGTTCGTCTTTCACTTGGACTTGATTTAACGACTGAATCACAAATGCACTTCAGGCAAGCTGTTGTTCTCGTGTGTTGTCAAGAATTCAAACAAGTATGATTGTTGTTAAACAGTTATTATTTTTATTATATTTTTTTTAATTAGACACAGGTGGCTTCTCCTTTCATCGCACATAATATCAATATTCATCATTAATCTATTTTGGCTTCATTGACTTTTACCGAAGGATTTTGTTCGCTTGCCTTCTTCGAAGAAGAGACATATCGAACCAAGAGGAGTGGCATTTCGAAAACCAACCAGTGATACAATACTGCATCGAAAATCCACATGATATAACAATCAATTCCTCCCACAAACTTGAATAAGGAATGTGGCCATTCTTGCAATGTTTCTTTCAAGACGTATGTGCAGAAATAACCAACAATGAATTCAGTGACATAACCAGCAGTAGCATTAATGATGAAACCCAACCAAAGATTAACTCTCCTAGGAATCAAGAAAAAGTAATAAATCGAGTAGAAGAGGATTGGCAATAGAGCCCATGCTTTGACAGAGTCAAAAGAAAAATGATGATACTGTGAAGTTGGATAGATCCATCGATACCTTTAATTATTTCGACATTCACACACATACAAATATGGATCACAAATTCAAAATGTTTTTCATGGTCATCAGGATGATTCCACAACAACTTACTCTCCAATACACAAAAGACATAATTTGTTTTGAACCAATTCCACGAACCAATAAATAAAGGGAATGTATGCCAATTGGCAGAGAATGGGGATGATGAGAGAAGACATTTTTTGAGAGAACTGGCACGTTTTGTGATTGTTGTGGGGTTCATTCACAGTTGTTGTTGTTAGACAAGTAACGTGTCAGACCAATTAATACATACGTCTCCAAACTGATCAAGAAGTGATAAGACATCAACAACAAGATGTAAAATAATTGGTTGACGGGATTCACCTGTCAAATCATGTGATTTTTGATAGATTTCACAAGTGGTGATAATGAGACAGCGAAAGAAGTATGTCTGACATAATTATGTAAATATTTTGTCCATTGTTGTCTGACCTTTTTGGTGGGAAACAATTTGGAGGGAATTGAACTGTTTATTAAAAATTTATTTATTCATTGATTATTAAATCAATATGTAACGGTTGGATGAATATGTTGTTTGTATTGATTGAGATGATTCGCTTTCTCTATCAACAAGATCTCATCAACAATATCGGGGATACTTCAACAATATCCTCAATGAAACTGGTTTGAATGCAAAACAACCTCGTTGGCACCATGCATTGAGCCAGTTTCATCATGCCGAGGATTGATGTTGAGAAAATATTTCAATCTGAAATTTTGACCTGCCAGTCCAGGTGAAATTTTGACCGGCTACTTCTGCTTGTAAGGTTAAGACACAGTGAGAGAAACTTTGAACTCGATTCTGTAAAAAGACATTCAGATTGAAATGGTTCGCTTGACTGTTCGTCTACTCGATCAACAAGAAGAATTCGAAAATTTTCGTTTTCAAATTTTCAAAAAATAAAAAAAATGCCAACCGCAAAACGCAAACAAATTAAATCATCATCGGAAGGAAATAAACGAAAGACCGCAACACCATCATCGGAAGATAAGCTCGAGATGAACGTGAGCAGTACTGCTTCACCAATAAAATCATCATCAGCAAGGGAGGATACGTATGTGTGTTTGGAGAAACCTTCCATCAGTGAGATTTTGTCCAATTTTTTGATGGTGAATTATGATCACTTGCAGGATGAAACAAAGAGACAAGCTACCAATGTATGCAAAGTGATTTTGAAGCATATTCAAGAACAAGGAGCTCCAGAGCCATCAGAATCTGAAGCGAAATATGTGGAAGTGTATAACAAATATATGAACTTGGAGAACAGGTCAATGTATAAAATTTATGATTTATTTGGGAGAAGCCTTTTAGAAAAACAATTCGATACCATTTGTGAAATTATTACTAAGGAATATTTATTTAAAGATTTCAACTCAGAAAGCTTAATTGAACTCTTGAAAAAAGAAATGGATGACTCCACGTCAATAATTTTTAGACCTGACTTTGACGATTTATATTGTGGAATTGATCAAACAGAAAAGTCTTCAAAAAGATCGAAAAAGGCAGGTAAAACTCCAGCCGCAATGAGAAGCAAAGATCAGGCACCAACCGCTTCAGAAATTATGTCTGATGAAAGAACATCAAAGGTTCTCATGACCACCATCTCTGATGAAATACTTGGCCCAGAATCTTCTCATTCATCACTCAAAAAAGAAACTGTTAGTTCAGATATTCTTCAGTTTGAAGTTGTCTACAATGATGGTAGCATTGAAAGCTTGGAGAAATTATTGGCTGCTAAAAACATATTTGGTAAGCAATTACCCAAAATGCCAAAAGACTACATTGCTAGATTGGTTTTCGATAGAAGCCACAGAGCAATACTTGGCTCCAAGGAGGGAAAAGTTGTCGGAGGTATCAGTTTTAGACCATTTTTTACACAAGGTTTTGCTGAAATTGCGTTTTGTGCTGTCACAGGAAATGAGCAAGTCAAGGGTTATGGTACAAGGCTCATGAACCATCTCAAAGACTATTGCCAATCCATTGGAGTATTTCGATTCTTGACCTATGCAGATAACTATGCCATTGGTTATTTCAAAAAGCAAGGTTTCACAAAAGACATTTCACTCGACGAGAAAAGATATAAGGGCTACATCAAGGATTATGATGGTGGTACTCTCATGGAATGTGTGATTAGAGCAGACATTAACTACTTGGATGTACCTTTAATGCTGAGAAAACAAATCGCAGCTGTAAATCAAAAGTTAGACACAATATGCAATTCTAACATCATTCATCCAGGTCTAACTGTATTCAAGAAGGGAGAAAAGATAACAAATCTTAGAGATATTCCTGGATTAGCTGAGAGCAATCACGTGATAGACCCAAAGGCCGCTCAACTTCAAAATATAATGCGAGACGTTTTGGAAAAGGTAAAGAAAAACGAATATTCTTGGCCATTTTTGGTTCCTGTCGATGCCAATGAAGTTCCAGATTACTATGAAGTCATTAAGAATCCAATGGATCTATCCTCTATTGAACAACGATTGAATAGTGGATATTACAGAACTAAGGACATTTTTGTGTCAGATTTTAGGCTCATGTTTGATAATTGTAGAACTTATAATGCAGAGACAACAGAATACTATGAATGTGCCAACAGACTGGAAGACTATTTCAAATCCTTACTGAAAGGAGCTCTTGGCAAGTAAATGTGATCTCGATGTAAATATCGAAGCAACAAAGAATCAAAATCTTCTGTTAAAACAAACCACGACGTTGCTAAAAAACGAGGACTTTTTTTTAGCGATTGTTCTTTACAAATAACAATTTAAAAACTGCTCGACTTGAATGAAAGTTGTAATTCCAACTCTCTGATGGTTCTCTCAAGACTCTCCTTTTCTCTCTTGACCTTATCAGTCTCAAATTCAGCCTTTGTGAGTTTCTCTTTCCATTGACGAATTTCATCACGCAATTGATTTTGTTGAATCTTCAACTCATTGCTGCGTTGTTCTTCAGCCTCAGCCTTCTTTTCAGCCTTTTGAACTTCACGATCAGCCTTCTTGACTTCCCTCTTCATGGAGCTCAATTCTTGTTGCAATTGTTCAATCTTGGCATTGGCAGCAGCAAGATCTTCTTCGACCTTTCTCTTTTGATTTTCAACATTGAGGACGTTTTGTCTCTCTTGTTCAAGCTTGTACTTCATATCAGTAATGTCCTTTCTAATTTGCTTCATACGATTGTCGATATTAGCTCGTTCATCAAGTTCAACCTTCAACTTTCTGGATTCTTGTTCCTTTTCCAACTCAACTTCCTTAATACGTAATTCGAGTCTGTGAACATGATCACGAGTATCCTCAAGTTCATGTTGCAATGAGTCGCGTTCAGCTTTAAGTTCCTTAATTTCTTGATTGAGCAACTTTCTATTTCTCTTTTCCTTTTCAAAGAAGTTCTTGAGTGATTGCAATTCAAGCTCACTGTTGGTACTAACAGTTTGAGCAGTCTTGAATTGAGAAGTGACAGTCGCTAATTGTCTCTTCAAATCAGAAACGTCACCTTCCAATCTGAGTTTATCCTCCAATTCACTATTCTTCTCAGTTTGAATCTTTTCAATAGTTCTTTGCAATTTTTGAATTTCCTTATTCAATTGCTTTTCACCTTGTTGTTGTTCTCTCAATTGTCTTTCCAAATCAGAAATTTGTTCTTGTAACTTTCTATTTTCACTGTACATGTTGGACTTTTCAATTTCAACCTTGTGACGAGCTTCATATTCCAAATCCTTTTCTTGTTTGGCAACCATTTTCACTTCTTCAATTTCTGAATGAGCACGTTTCAATTCATGCATGTACTTTTGAAGTTCATTTTCCAACTCCATTTCACGTCTCTTTAAACGTTCCTTATCCAATTGTTCTTGTCTCACATTTTCCTTAAGTTGTTCGATCTTGTCTCTCAATTCATTCAATCGCTCAGCATTGGCATAGGATGCAGCAGAAGACTTTTTCACAGTAGCATCTTCATCTTCAGAATCACTGTCATCGAAACTCCAATTTTTCTTGGAAGCCAAAAGATTGGTCTCAGATCCTGATCCATATTGTCCAGCAGATCCCATTGGAGTGCTACTTGTTGAAACTGGACTAGATGTAGTTTCTCTGTGACGGTGTGAAGTTGAAATTGCTGTTTCATCTTCATCATTTCTAGAAAGTGAAGTGACAACTTCCTTAATATCTTCAGTGTTTGTTTCAGAGAGTGATTGTTCTTCACCTCCTGCAGTTGCGGTCGTGGAAAGTTCAGGAGCTGTAGAATCGGACATTAAATTCACAACATCGGAGGAAGGAACAGCTGCTGTCACTTCCAAAACAACTTCATTGTTGGATGAAGAAGCAGCGTCAATATTTTGTTGCAATAATTGTTTGTCTTGTTCGGTCAATTCATTTTCTGTCACAGTTGGAAGAGTGACAGGTGGTTCTTCAATGGTTGCTTCGGTTGCCACTTCTACTGCTGGTTGTTCTTGTTGTGGAACATTCTCTGCTGTTGTTTCTGTACTTTCTACGGCTGGTTGTTCTTCTGATGCTCCTGCTTCAGTACCTGCTCCTTGTTGTGAAGTTTCACTCGATTGTCCTTCTTTGAAGAATTTATAGACAGCTGACAAATAAGTGACAATGGATCGTTCATCGGGTTTTTCTTCATTCACATCCTCTGGATCTAACAAACGTGGAATACCCAATTGTTCTGCTTGATCGAAAGCCCATTGAAGTCTCTCCATGCGACCAAAGTCTTCTTGGATGGTCTTGAAAGAAAGTCCCATGTTTTGTAAGAGTTCTGGACGTTGCTATTGGTGTGTGAGTGTGTGTGAGTGTGAAATGGTAAAAATTGTGAAATGTCCATGGTTGTGTTTGTCAAAATTTGTTGTCGAATAGAGTAGTAGTGAAAAGAAGAATGTGAAAAAGTGATTTTCCACGACGATAATCATCATTATGTTTTTTACAATAATAATTATTCACATTTCATGTGTATAAAGTTTGTAAACAAAATTTCACACCGAAAAGTTAAATACATCATCATTGAATAGGGTCATCCACAAGTGATAATTTCAAAACCAAATGAACATATGATTCATCATACAATAATAATGGGTTATTATCATGGTCATCATTATTCGATGACATTTTAAACTTACACTATCAATGATGGCAGCAAATGCCAAACCATCAGCAAAGGAAGTGGTAAAGTTCTTAATTTCAATACCACGATCTTGGGTAACTTTTTGGCACCATTGAAGAATGGCTCCCTTTCCACGCTTTGTTGACATTTTGATGATGAGGAGAGTGTGGTTGAAGTGGTTGAATTTTTTTTTGATTTTTGACGGCTCGACATTTTTGACAAGTGAAAGGCAACAACACGAGTTGATGATGGGTGCTGAACAATTTGGTGATTGGCAGTCGTGCATGTTGGTCAACACTGATTTCTAAGGTTTGTTGTGGCACTTTAAGGATAAGAACACTCTTGTCATTCTAAGGAATATTATCCAACAAATCAAACACATTGTTGTTTCAAACGAAAGAAGAAGAAACACCAAAATATGATCGATCATGGAACAGAGTTGCTCTATTTGTGTTTCAACAGATTGGAACATTGTTACAACCATTAATGATGAAACTACATTCTTGGATGAAAGTAATTGTTCTTTCCAAAGCAAACGCAAAACACGTGTCGAACTAATTTTCACAAGTTCCGAAAAACTGCATTTTCTAAAAACACACACTTCTCTCAACTGCATGCGACATGATTATATGTAACCTTGTTTGACCAAATATAATACAATATATTTATGAAATCTCCAAGTTTTCCAACTACTTATTGAAAAAATCGAATTAATTGCATCATCATCAACATATTTGAAACAATCATTACAACAAATAACAACAATTATTACAACAACAACAAATCATAATGATGGACGTTTTACAACATCCCGATCTATTACTACACATCTTTAAGAACTTGACACATGTGGATTTGTGTCATTCCGTCTCTCGAGTGAATCGTTTGTGGTATCAAGTCTCCATTCGGAATGAATTGTGGAGATTTTTATGTTTTCATGTCTATTCGAAACATCATGGACAATTCAAAGAAGAATCATTGGAGGAAGTGATCAATGATGATCATGATCATGGTCCACCAAATTCAACACCAATAATGGAACAAGAAGGTGTGAATTTGAAATCCAATCCCGACGAATTTCTCAATCGAAATATTGTGCGGTTGGAATTGGAGGAATTGTACTACAAGAACAAATTCTTTGAAAAGGCCTATTCCAACAAATTTCGGATCGTGTTGAGATATCCTCGGGAAGATCTCAAGTTGTTTGGTGCTTACTATAATCCTGTTCAAGCCAGTGAAATTAAGTTTTCCAATGATGTGAAACATTTATTGAAATTTGTTCCCATCCTTCGAAAGGAAAAGAAGAAGCAACAACAGTCAACATCAAAGAATGATCGTAACAGCAGTAGTAGTAGTAATGGTGGAGGAAAGAAGAAACAAAAGAAGGCAATGAAGTTTGAATTGATTGAAAATCCAAATCAGGAAGAGCTGTTGGAACTCTTTGAATTTCCTGGTTTAATAACATGTAGTGAGATGAATCGTGTGTATTGTGTGTTGAATGCATGTTTGGTCACGAAGGACAAGAATTTCAAGCGAAATACGTACGATATTGTAAAGAAGTATATTGTAAAGAGATCTTTGCCAAAGATTCCCATGTCACAGAGATGGGAGTATGTCATGAATGAACAATTTTCATCCTATCGCCACTCCACCCCAATAAAGATGATCCTTAATTAGCATAATATTATGACGACCCTTAATTAAGACAATTCTATATTTGTATGGAGATGATGAATTAAAAAATCCAAAGCATCACTCTTTTTCAATAAAATCAACACTGAATCGACAGATATCAAGAGCTCTATAGTTTATTACTGATGAAGGAAATGGGTGAGTTTGTACAAGAAGGATAAATTATGAAAACTTAGAAACCTAGAGGGGAAATATTAAGGAAAACCTAGAGGAAGACTGGTCTCAGATAATTGCAGGGAAATCCATCATGGATGCTGTCCTTGATCACATACTTGTCCTCCAGGATTCTCGTCTTCTTCAAACACCAAGACTCGGCAGGGATTTCTCTTATTTATGGTCGTCGAAGGATGTCGCATCTGTGAAGTAAGGGATCCGAGTGGTATCGTAATATTATGTGTTTTCATTCGCTTGGGAGCAACTACATCAGGATAGGGTCGATAAAACTCGTTCGCATTGGTCGCCCTTAAGGAGAGCTTTTTGGAAGGAAGCGGAGACAACCCCGCGAAGGAGGTTCTCGGTGTGGAGGTGGTATTCACTTCAAAGGGAGTTGTTGTTGTTGTTGTCGACAGTTGGTTCGCGTTCTTTAAAAAGACTGACCAAGAATCGGCGGCAGCTGTCATGGTATGGCAAGTGATTTCTGGTGGATTTGATGGTGAGCGACTGGGCGAGGATGTGATGGCTTGTTCAGCGAGCGATGTTGTCGTTGTTGTTGTTGTCGTCGTTGTCGTTGTGGTAGTAGTGATAGTCGATGATTGTTGAGATGCTTCTGCTTGGATCATCATGCTCTGAGGTAGTATTGAGGCTGGTGCTTAATGCGCATAAAATTGGCGCCAAACAACAAGTAAGATTCCAAAGGGGTAAGGTGGACTCTTTTTTTTTGTTGCGATGAATTGAACGTTGAAAAACGAACAAGGAAACGAAAACTGCTTGTTTTGAACCTGTAACAGAGTGATGAACATTCACCTGAGGCTTTAATGGGTAGGCTTTCACTTTTTCAAAACAACGATCATTCACAGATTCGTTGTGGTAGGGGAGGAAAAATTTTCGTTCCGTTCTTTCCGCGCGTGTGCCAAGGTGTTCTTGCAAGAGTAGTGGTCATTGTTATATTATTTGGTCGTTAAGGTGCCAATCTCCTTATTAAATATATCGAAAAAGGAGTCAATTTCACACTTTTGAATCCCAATCGCACACGCCAAGGTTATGTAGTGATGAGGGTATTCATTGGTATGAGCACCATAACCCACAAAATCAATACCAACCACAGTCTTTGTTGTGTCTTTGAGAACGACCCTCGGTCCTGTACAATTCCGATAGAAAAGTCTACCACCCAACCTCAGTGCTTGTTCCTTACTCAAGTGAAGAGAAAGTGCAAATGAGATTTGATTTCGTGAGTTGGATCCTGTGATGAGTTGTTGAGAGGGAGCAGTGGTATTGACAGTCAGTGACTGTTTGGTATGAACATGAATGGCACTAGATTGGGAATTTTCCGATAAGGATGAGTGGATGGCATTCGAATTTTCGCTCGGTGTTGTCTCTTCAGTTTTGAACTTGCTAATGAAATATTGGAATAGTTCCTCCCTCTCTGAGAGAAGCTCCTTCCATCTGCGTTCTCCCATCGAGAGCAGAGTCATAAATAAATCCAATATGGGTGACATGTTTGCCCTACCGGCATAGAGTTTTGAGACCTTATCCACAAATTCCTCACATTCACCTCCACTTGCAACAACAGCACCTCCCACAGGTACCATAAAATTCTTGTCAGTGCTTTGAACAAAACATGTAATGGTAGATTTTGAACTTGCAATTGTCTTGTTAATATTCTCCATAATGATTTTGGATTGAACGCCATAGGCATTGTTAACAATGTGGCCAATTTGATATTTGTGACAGATTTTTCCAATTTCAAAAACATTATCAGGAACACGTGGTGCAAAGCAACTCGTCGTCGAGAGGACACATAGAATATTTTCTACTCCAACTTCTTGAATCTTCTTCTCAATTGCTGGAATATCGGCTTCAATAGATCCATCTTCGTTAACAATATTTTCAATGACGAGAGGAACCAGTCCAGCAGTGTCAATCGATTTTAGAACTGATTGTTGATCAATTCTTGGCCAAATGACAAACTTCTTGTTAGGTTGTTTGATATCATTTGCTAGTGTCCTAAGACACAAACTCAAAGTCATTCCAGTACACATAGGCACAACAATGGACTTTTTGGCATTTCTACATCCAGCAATTTGCAACGCGTGATTGACTAAATAATTTGTCAATTGCAAAATCATGCTTGATCCTGCTGCCTTTGGTTGATTGGAAGTCAATTCTCCTGATCTTCCAATTCCATGGCTCAAATGAAAATGTCTCTTCATCACTAAATTGCTGAATACACGTCCTTCTCTCTCTCCAATTCCGGTATGATTTTCATAATTATTTGTATCCATTGAAGCAAAAAGAGAAAGCAATGCTTCAATTTGTTGATCGGAATAGCCTTCCTTTGGAAGCAAACGCTGAGATAATAACGTTTTAAACATCTTTTGTTGTTTGTTCAGAGCCTGCAAAGCTTGTTTAGCATGATTGGCTTGAATGAGTTGGCTAGCCAATTCTCCAAATTCTTCAAAATTCATCTTCTTCAATGTGAGAATGAATAATTCCGAGGTTGGTGATCTTACTGATGGCACTCTTCTATTTTTTTTAATAATTTTTTCGAAACACTTTTTAAAAACCAAGCTTATCAAAGTTCAACAATTTGATAAATTTGCTGAACCAAAGACTCCTTGTTCCGATATCTTCGGTCTTCTCATGTACATTCCAAATGGAACTGCACGAGTGAGTCAATGACGCAAACAAGCTCTTCCGTTCCTAATGCCAACAACTGATCAGAATAAAAATGCCCACAAAACATTCTTCGGCTGTCGTCAAGTCAACTTCTTCGCTTCAGCAGCTTCCGAACAACAACATCAACGGTCATCCGAATGTAAATAATAGCAAAAATTCATCATCAGCAACAACACAAAATAAATCCATCAAGACAAAGAAATCTAAAAATTCAACTATAGCATCACCACAACAATTTTCTACTCCGCAGACGAAAAATTGCGTGGAGTCGTCATCAAATTCTTCCGCGATGGGAGCTGATCAAGATAATTCATTGTCGAAATCTTTGTCATCATCGCCGACAGCAATAAATCATCATGAAGATGTCCCGAGCGAATATTTGCATGGTTCGGAAGGCATTGATAGTGTTTCCTTGATAAATGCAAATATTCAAATTGAGCAACGCAAAAAATTTGCTCTTAAAAAGATAATTGCTGGATACACGAAAGGAATAACTTTTCTTTATCATCAAAAGTTTGAAATTGCAATAGGCTGTTTCACAACATCTCTCGGACTGAAACAAAACTTATATTTCACAATTTCAAAGGATGAAGATGATGAAGAAAATTCTCGGAATGATGACACACAATGTCAGCAATCTCAAGAAACTCCATTCTTACTCGAATCTACTCTATTCGATGATGACCAACACCGACAAGACCTTCATTCATCTCTCAACATTCCAGAATTACTTTGCTCTTCATTACCTCTTTCTCCTTGTACCTTTACTTTGTATATTTTGAGAGCCATTGCATTCATTGGTCATCATGTTTACTCTAAAGCAGTTGTAGATTGTGACTCAGTGCTGAGACAGAATTCTTCTTACCATTCGGTAAGTGAATATATTCATCTTTACGATTTATTCATTTTTTCGACAACATTTACATAAATTCAGGCATATATTATCAAAGGACATGCACTGATATGTATGAGAAAATATAAGGAAGCCTATATGAATTTTACTGCACTTCTCGAACAAGTAAGTTACATCAACCATCAATTAACATATTATTCACGCACAACATTGAAACCATTAGAGCAATATGGAAAGAACCAAATCATCACACAAATGTGATATCGATTTTGAGTTGCTGTATGAACGAAAGGAAGATGTATTTGATAGTTTACGAACGCTTCATGGGCTTTCTTATCATATTTACGAAATGTCCAAGAAACAAAACAAAAATAAGAACGACTTGGATGTTTTAGATCAATCAGTTATTAACATTTGTAAATACTGTGATTATTATGAAAAATCGATCGTTGAACATGAACGAAAAAAGTGTGCAGAAAACTTTTCAAAGAAAAAAAGAAGTATCAGAAGAATCCGCGGATGATACACTTTTCATGGGTGACGAAAATGATTTTGGACTCAATATTTTAGATATTTATTGTTTAGCATCATCTCCCACTGATATTAATTGCCGAAGTATGGGCGCAGTGCTGCTAGTAGATTACATTGCAAGTGCTGTCAATGATTACAACCATGTAATGTTTGAATATTTTGAGAAAATTGATCTCAAAAATAAGAAGGAGAACAAGAGCGTTCTCGAAGAAATATTTGAAGAAGAGGAAGAACGGTCACTCATACTCAACGGTATAGACAGTATTTTAGATTCTCTGTGTTTATGGGACGACCAAGAACTAAAATTATTTTCCACAAGAGCTGTGACTGATCTATGCAATGTTGACAATGATTGTTCGATACGAAGGAGAATTGTACAGTATGAGGATGGAGATGCATTACGACAAATTATTCAGCAACTTTCTCTGATCGATTATATAATCCCTGATATGGGAGAAAATGACACACAACTTTGTGAATTGTTGGAAGCTTCTGTTTGTGCTCTGGCAGCAATTGCTAGAGGAGGAACTTCTGATTTAAGTAGAACCATTTATGAGATGAACGGTCTTATTGCCCTTTCTCCAATTTTACTTCAAGTTTCGAAATCTTTGGCCACCCAAAGACCTCCTATCATTAAGGCCGTTTTTATTGCACAATGTTATGCATACTTGTCCGTAGAAAATTTTGACATTAAGGAAGCAATAGTATCTGACGAGAAAGTTCTTCTTGCTCTTTACAAGCTCTCATTACAGAATATCGATATGGAAGCTAAAAATTTTGCTATTATCACTGTGGGAAATAGTTGTCAAAATCCAGGTATGTTGTGTTCTTTATTTGTAGATGGATATTTTTAACACGGTACTTGCAAAATTTTTCGATGGCTATTACGACTGATTGTGGCCAATATCATGTTGTCTCTATTCGTTCCCTACACACAACAACAGAATGCTGGGGAAAACCACTATTATTGAAACAAATTTCCGAGCAAGTCAACAATACACTCATTTCGAAAGGTTATTTAGAACTTTTGGTGGAGATTATTAAGAAAAAGCCGTCCGCTACGACCACTTCAACAGCAGCAGGAAACTCAAAGAAAAAATCATCCAACATTGATGCTTCGTTGATCGAACTTCAATACAACGCTATTAACACAATGACAGGACTTTTAGGATTTGAAAGTGGCAGAAAAAGGTTCAAGAAAAATCATGGAGAAGAAATTCTCACAAATATCATTCTTGAATCCAAGTTTGAAGCCCTTCGAGAAGTCAGCAGCAAAGCCAGAACCTTCTACATTACTCTCAATGATTACGGAGATAATATTTCTGAATATGTGTTCACCAAGTTTAAATTCTTTAATTATTCCAGAAATCCGGAACTAGAATCTTCCTCGACGCCATACCAATCTCTTGTGGATTCTTCAAATACTAACAACAATATAGCTACTCCGTCACGATCTATTACCGATCAAAGCCATAACAATGGTAGAAATGACAATGCTATTACTCCAACTAGTAGTGCCCAACAAAATAATACTGTCCCTACCAGCAGAGAAGAAATTATCAAAGAAGAAACATTGAGATTTTTGGAAATGAAACGAAAGGGAGAACTACCAAATGATTTCAATGAAGATTTTTACTCCAAACTTATGAATGGTATATTGGGTATTGGAGTGGTGGGTATGGGACCCATGTCGTCATCGAATCAACAAGATCACACAAGTAACGCAAATCAAAGCAACAAGCCCTCTAAAAGTACCTTAAAGAATGTGACACTATCATCCTCTTCTGCTGGTACTGAAGAAAAGAAGCCACCAAAAAGTGCAACTGCCAATCCCATAACGAATGCTCCCACCAAAAAGACACCATCTCATTCACATGAAAAATCACCACTTATTTCAAAAGATAATATTGATGATATTGCAGACTTGATTTCATCTTCACCGGATAAAAACAAAAAGAAAAAGAAGAAACAACAGCCATCCAACAAGAAAAAGAAACAAGAGACCACAAAGAAAATAACAGAGCAACAACAGCCAAAAAAGACCTCCTCAGAATCTACCAATAAGTTGCCAATCACGACCTCACCATCGACAGTTCAAACGAAAAATGTGGAATCTAGGAAAATATTACAGCCATCGCCTCATCCTTCTCAAAAAGTTATTGAATTATCAGACGATGAAGAGAGTACTGAAGAAGAAGAAGAAGGAGACGAAGTTTCAAAATCAGAGAAAGGTCTGAAAAACGATATATCTGCTTCTACGACTTTTGCCACCTCCTCAATGGCTTCAAACAAAGAGTTGCGAGGAAATTCACCTTCTCTGCATTCTGTGATCGCAATGGGTGAAGATGACACCACAACCGTTTCCTACGAAAATTTAACACCTGAGGAAATTTTTATGTTGGAGTTTGAAAAGGGAATGGATAAGTTAATCAAGGAATTGTGGTACACATAGGTCAAGAGACAGTACACGAAAAGTATGGCATGACAGTAGTACAAAGGAATGAAAATAATCACGAATATTGCAGCATGTAGAAACATACGTAAATATTGATAATTTATTTTGTGGATTTGTGTAGAATTGTACAATGTTGAAATTGAAGAATATGTCTTTTTGCCAAAGTATCAGCATATCTACAAACGAATAATGAATCATTGTGAAAGTGGCTTAATGACAATCTCAGTCACAACGTGATCCCTTGTCTTACATAGCTGCATGTTAATCCAATTCATCATTCCAGCAACCAAATTGTCACTGGAAAGACATGACATTTCATTTCCTCTCTTGTACTCCAATGAATAATTCAAAGGGAAATTAATACCGCATTTGACTATCAACTCTTGCTTGAATTGATGGAGCGTTGTGATCTTTCTGATGTCCTCTTTATCAAACGTTGGATGGTATGTGTGTTCTTGGAAGATACCTTGATAAACAAGACATCATCGCTGCTGTCATCATCATCTTCAATGACAATTGGTGCTAGGACAGAATTACCCTCTCTTCCATCTTCAGTCTTCTCATCCTCTTCCATATGATCATTGTTAACACCAGTCATTGGGTTTGCAGTTGTATGATTCTCCAAGGTTGGAAGAACCATACGATCATTCACAGTATTGTTGGCATTTACACTATTTTGGACCGTTGGAAGAAATATTTTCGATTGATCACATGAGCATGAACACAATACTCTCGGCGAGAGGCAACACAATATGGGCAGATGCGAACACGACATTTACCTTTTGTATTTGGTTGTTGTTGTGGATATGATGAAGAAGGAGGAGTTTGCACAATGAAAATCATTGGTGGTTTCCACCAACAACTGCTTGAGATGGACGATAGTGGTGTTGTTGTTGTTGAGAGGAGGAAGGATGAAAAAAACGACGAAGTCGAGAAGAAGCTTCTTTGGGCATGACACAGTGGTGATCCAAGTTTGGCAATAATTATGATTCGGCAACCTTGCTCAACCTTGCTCGGTGTTTTAAGGACCAAGTGTTTTTCAAGCGATAAAGACGATGAATTTTTTTGAAAGGTTCTTGTTGTTGTTGGTGGTTGTCAGACAGCGACTCAGAGTTTTCATGCTTGGACTAGAAACCGACGAACAAATTTTTTTGCTACTGGGAATTGCAAAGGTCGATGTGAGTCATGAAAGGCCACCGATAGGTTCATTGCCAGGTGAGAGAAATAGGAGTTGGTAGATTGATGCTAAGATGTTTGGTGTATCCTATGTGCGTGTAGTAGAATAAACTCAGATTTCTCGAATCGATTTTAATCGTTGGATTACTCAAATGCTCATTTTTTTTTATCTTAATTCAATCTTAATTTGTTGAAATTAAAAAAAATGCCTCAACAAATTAATGCTCTAAAGGATTTCACTGTTTCTGATGTGGATGTCCAGTTGAAGCAACAACAAAATCGTGATTTTGATGATGATTTTCCAAGTACAACATCGACAAACATCATTTCAACAAATGAAAAAGAGGATCCCACTTTCATCCGTCATCAAACGAATTTGGTGGTTTCGACTCATCATTTGCTGAGGAAAACAATTTAAGTTTTGAAAATGAAAAGCCAAAACAACATTCAGAACATGCATTACCTCCCAAAGAGAGTGACGTAATTGGATCATGCTTCTCCAACAAAACTAATAATGAAGCAACTACTAATTTTAAATTTCCCTAATTGGATATAGAAAATGGAAATCGGTGAACGTTTAAAGAAAGCAGTTTCACAAGGATTTTATTTGTTTTGCAAGTTGTATCTATCATCCAAGACAGGAATGTCCAAAGAACAGGCTACAAAAATACTGCTCTTTCTTCATGAACTCTTGTTGCCAGATAATCGATCCTCAATGTTTCGAAGACGTAAACAATAAGAATCTTTTGGTTAATTTAAAGGAACAAATGGGTTTGTGGTCTCTCCAAACCTTGATAAAGGTCCGGTGTTTGTGGGATTTTCTGCATATTTTGTCAATTGACTTTATTCAAGCTCAACCAAACTCTTTAATTGTTTACAATCGAAACATTCATGCCCTTCACTAAGTTTAGAACATATCAATGTTGGCGGAAGTATCTTCATTGGAAGATTTCGTGTCTTGCTTTGTCTGCCATACAGAGGAGCATGTTATTTTAAATCCAGCTCACTATAGTCTTGAATATTTCTTATTAAAATAATTTGTTTGTTTTGTTGTTTCTACTCTTTCTTTTTTGTAATACCACTTCTGTTTTTATGGAACACCAAATTTTGTGTTTTGGGGTTATGCATTGAATATTTGTGTACAAATAAATGGAACAACCTGGCAATGAGAATCAAAACAGACCACCAGCCAATATACTTTACAAACTAATTTGTAATTTTATAAATTTATTATAATTTCGATGGGCTTCTCGATAGGCTTATGTATTAAAGAATGAACAAGAATAAATGAGTTCAATGATCAAATTCAACAACAATCACAATAAGGGAATAATAACCTTAAAAGTTTTACCTCAATAACATATGAAAAATAACCACTCTCTTTGGAAAATGGTATAAGTTAATCACTTATGAGTAGATGTTTGATTGGTGTTCAATACAGGTAAAGAAGGTACAATGACATTCATTTCAATCTCAGGTTCAAAATCTTTCTTCTTCTGAAATTGCAATTTAATCCAATTGACCATACTTCGAACTAAATGATCATTCGTCAGACAAGACAGTTCATTGTCTCTCATGTACTTTAATTCAAAACAATCCACATTCTTAAATGCGCATTCATGGATTATTGTTTTCTTCAAAACATCCAAAGATGTCAAAGTTGTCACATTCAATTCTGGATGAAATAACAAACGACAATGATTGGGATAATTCATCCGAAATTTGATAGAAACTTTGAATGGGAGTTTAAATGGTTCAATAAACGTTCTTTCCATTCTTTCTTGTACCACCTGCTTGATAAATATCACATCATCATCATCGTCATCCAAAATCACCTCTACTTCCTGACCATTCACGACAGGCTGGGCTGTTTGAGTTTCTTGTGAAACTTGAGCTGTGGAACGACCTTCTACAACAAGTTCATTCCTTTCCTGATCATTCACTTTTTTCATTGGATCCTCATGTCCAGAACGATCAGCATGTTCAGAACTTCGTGATAAAGATGATGAAATGGATCTCAGTGGTGAGGTTAAAGGTACTTGTCCTGTTGATTGACATGATATCAATAGTTGGTGAGTGTAAGCGTTGGTATGTTGTGCATTCCTTTCAGAAGTCGAACGTTTCTGTGGTGCAGAACGACAGACCGTTCGACAACCATGAAAACGATGAATTGTTTTCTTCGAGTACAAAGGATGTGAAGGTTTCATAGGTCGACCAAAATGATCTCGAATCACCATGGAAAACGATGATTGATGCATGACAGATACCATCTTTTGCCATGGTTGGTCTTCTCCTGCTCGTGATCTCTCGATATCCTCTTCAGAATGCTCGAAAGCAAGTTAAAGTCTTTCAAATTCTGAGTTTAGAAATGGACAAAACTCGTCATTAAATTCTTCCCAGTCCAACTCGGTCAAACATCTTAAACCTTCTCGAATATTCGAAAACACTGGATACGGTTCGTCGTCATATTCAAGGTATTTACAAATGTCTACTGAATGAGGACAGCAAGGAAGATCTCTCGCAAAGCAACATGGACATTTGGAGGTTTTTTTGGGTCGACCGTGTGCTGGCATGTGTGATGATTCAATATAATACTGTTTGTTCAATTAATTGGTTTGATGATGATGATCAATGATGATCAGTAGTGTGATGACAGAATGAGAGGAGGAGGAGACAATTTTTTGTGTGTTTCAAACTTGTGACAACACTCCTCCATGAGACCAAAAAATTGAAAGGTTGCGTTTGGGTGAAACAAAATTTTTTGCGCCTTTCAATTCGAGAATGCAAGCTTGAGAAGACCAAGAAAACGAATTATCATAAAAACTTGACTGCAAGTCAACAAGAAACTCAAGAAATGCAATGGGTGTGATTGCGTCTGGTAGCTTGATTGTTGTGTATATTGTGTGTTGTCATCGATTCGTCATTCGTATTTCAAACTCTTTGGTTGTGTACAAGGAATAGCATGCGTCTATGAATGCTTTATATCCAATGACGATCATTGCCATAATTGCAAGAAATGTTGACCAAAACAGCCAGCATGAAAAAAAATGTTCATAATTCATATTTTCTTTGAGATACTTATGCATCAGGAAATCATTTAACTTTGAGCATGCACAAATGAGTGCTATCAAGCAAATGTTCTTTAAAAAAATGGGAATTATTGTTGGAATAAGTGTGAGCTTGATTTTTCGACAAGATGGAATACAAGTCACCTCCATAGCTGCTATGGAATCAATAGAAGCAGGTGACAAATGCAAAAGATAAACACGCAATCGATAGAATATATCTTTTCGAGTAGTGATGCATTTCAATGTGCTCTTTTGGTGCAGTGCTGTATTAGTGCGATAATGCAAAATGGTGTGAGGGAAAAGTAATACAAAGCATATTATCACCTACCTGGAAACCAAAAAATTTGCAACATGATTTCTCTTTCAATCGGCCTGTTATAATTGTTGATATTTCTTGCGAACGAAATAAAATGTAACATTAATTCTTCCGCTACTTCCATAATCTCCCTCTTATCTTTGGTACACTCAATTGTATTTGTAAATTGTGGGAAAATTTCCAAAATTACTGATCGAATGTGCGGATCAGATCTTGGTAACCTTAAGTTCGTTTTTGAGAGATAAATATGTCCTCGAATTTTCACACACTTGTTCGCATATTTTAACAACTTATTCATCAACTGCTGTTGACTGTCGTTTATCAGCTCAAATAAGTTAAAAATACTGAGTACGTTTGTGTTAAATGGTTCATCTTTGATAATGTTAAAGCTAATCTCCATGGTGGGTGCATGTGATGTTTCCGAAGTGGCTATTAACGGGCTTTTCCATGTTCGTCTACTCTGAGTTGCATCTTCGCTTAATAAAAAAACATAGCCAAATCGGCACGAAAATTCATGAAGAAAATGTAGTTCTTGATAGCTCCATTGTGAATTTTTGAACGTCTCCTCAACAAGATGAAATTGCTTTTTTCGTTGCTCATCCGTTGTATTCATAAATGAATAACTTTCAAGATGTAATTTCTGAATAAATACTGTTTTTGACAATTCAAGAGACATTCTCAACACTTTGCAAATAGTTTCGATATTATTACAATCATCAGATACATGTGGATTATTCATTACAAATTTTTTACAAATTGTTTCCATGATGATATAAATTATTTGAATTATTGACAATGGAGTGGATAACCCGAATTTGTGTTCATGATTATACAATTTTTTACAAAGTCTTTCCATCAATATTTCATCGAAAAGTGTATTGCAATTTCGTATAGATGCTTTTGAGATTACCCTATTTTCATCATCATGCTGCTCCATCTGATCCTCTCTTGTCCCTAACACGGACATGGACGATCCAAAAACTCCTTCCCATATATTCCGCATGGAAATATGAAATAAAAAATAGGAAGGTAAATACGAGATGATTTCCATGATCATATCGTGAGGTAAAACGGAGAGCTTGACCTTTAACTGAAGTTGGCGCATTTTTTTTATTGTTGGGTGGATCTACTACGACTACTTTTTGGAGAATTTCCATCATTTTGTGTTTTTTGCTACCAATTCTTGGAATTCATCTGGAGAAGAAAAGCAAATGACAATATGATAACACATACCATCAATTCCATTCTTTTCATCAAGGTTTGCTGACGGTTCACTTTTTTGACAACTTCTTCCACTACTTTAAGAAATACTTGATCCAATTCAAAATCAGTACATGTGCTCATTGGATCATTCATTAATGAAGGTATTTCAATGGCTTCTCGTTTCACAACTTCTTCCTCTCGATCATCACGCTTGATTCCAAATGGAAGGGCAATCACACAAGGTTTTGATTGTTTTTGAAAAGCTTCAAGTATTCGTTTTGTAAAATATTGATATCGATAGACTTTTGGATAAAACACAATGACATCAACCATCGAAATGACCTGCCCAATCTCTGTGTCATTATCTGATCCCAATTCATAACCAATGAATTTCACACAAGAAGATACAAATTGTTGAATACTGTCAAAAGCGTTCCAAGAAAGGCGATATAGAAGGTTTCTTTTGTTTAGGTGCTCGTTCGTGATGCTGTCAATCAATGAATAAAATCTATTCACAAAAAGACCTTCTGAATCATTTCCTGTAAGTATTCCAATCTTCAATAGGTTTTCCTTCAGACAGTTATACACAGATTCAGACACCATGTCACATGTCATAAATCTTAATTGTCCTTCGTCCATCACAACTTTAGTATCAGCATCCCAAATGATGTACCTTAAAAACTCACAGGAATGCCACTGTTTTTTAAGAGACATCGACAGCTCAAAACACTTATTTTCATGAGCATTCACATGATAATTGACCGAAAAAGCATGAAACATTTCATTCTCAAAAAATGTCAAACTTAAAGTTCTGGTTCTTTCGCTTTTCAAAAGTATCTGAAATACAGCTTTCTCTCTATCGCACATTGGCAATTTAATGCGAAACTTGCTTTTAACTTCTTGTCTCTCAAACAAATTTTGAGTCGTTCCAAAACAGACGGCCTCTAAAATGTTACTTGTTGTTTGCAAATCGTTTTTCAAAGAGAAGGCAGTAAAATAATTAACTTCAGAACATGTCTTCCAGAGACGAGTGCCAGGTCGAAGAAAGAGACCATAAATCTCTGATTTTTCTCGATATTGCTGCAAAACACGTAAACCTTCGAGAATTTCCTCATCTCTTGCCTCATCTTCTTGATCATTCTTTTCATCAATGAACACCAACACACAATGATGATTTCCATGAAAACTGTTTGTGACTTGTTCACAGACTTGAGCAGGTGTAAAATAAGAGGGATTTGTATTGGATAAGAAAGAAGGGGAATATAATACATCATCAAAATAATAATTATCACAACATCGAATGCCTTCCGCTAAATAGTTCGAAGCGATAGTTATTTCCGATAATTTGGGGAGGTTTTTAGTGTTCATCCTCATGGTATTCAATTTCTCACGAAGCCAAATGTAGATTAATCGAAACCGTCTTGGAGTGTGACTAAATATTACAAACCAAATCTTGTGATTGTTGGTGTTGCCATAATGACGACTCAATTCACGTGGTGCATTTTTTTTGCTGATCTAAAGTTTACTTGCATTGACATTTGACAGATTGGAAATTGTAATTTATTAATACGATTCACGGTTTCTAGAAGATTTCAAATAAAGTTCTCCCTGACGAATAGCAGCTTCAAGGATCATATAAGTATTCTTATCAATATCAAATCTTCTTTTTGGATCATTACCATGATAATTCTCAGTTGTGAAAATCGAATGTCTTGGTGCTCCAATCTGCTGGGCAATGTTATTTTTAAGTGTTTCCAAATCTTCATTTGCAGCAACCTCATCAATCTTGGAAATCACCACCAAAGGTTGCAATGAAGCTTTTAAAGCCTCAAGGAACATTTCCCTCAACCTGTTCATCAATTCCCTATCACCACGATCACCTTGAGCAACCACAAATAGGATGGAATGAATCTTTCGTTGAGGTTCATCCACACAAGTAAAGTTTTGATTGTTGGGAAGTTGTGTTACGGAATTCATTTCATATTCATGTGGAAGTCTTCCCTCAACGAATAAATTAAACTCATTGTTGTTATAGGTTTCACTGGTGAGTCCATAAGTGTCCCACAAGACGTATCTCAATTTGGAGAGTTGTGGATCATGTTCAAATATTTTGGGAAGATTGTAACGACACATTTTGGTGGTTACGTGATTTCCAGTGTTGGCAGCAATAGCAAGAGTTGAGAATTGATTGCTCGTAACCACACTTCCTTCCAATAGAGTATAAACACAATTGAAGAAACTACTCTTTCCTGCCCATGGGTACCGAATAAGCCAATATTCAACATTGGAACATCTTGGGGGAGGTAAGAGATGAGACTGCCACAAAAATCACTCACCCAAATAGTGACAGCTCCTTTCATGAGTGGAACTTTTTTAGGGTTCAATATTTCAAATGGGATGGTTTCTTCAAGTTCATGGATAGATACATTGTCTAAAGTCTCTAATTCGATTTCAAAGGTATACTTTCCATCCTCATTGATATCTGATGGAATGACATGACGACATAAATCAAAATATTGATTGAGGAATTTGAAAGTACTGTTTTTTGGGACACACTCTGAAGACCTGTTGATCAATGTGACTTGGAATTTGACAGGTTGTCCAATGGCTACAGGACGATTCAAGATTTTAGCACTCACTCGAATGGTGTCTCTCTTTTGACTGGAAAGTCCCATCAACTCTTCGATCGTGTCTTTCACATCATCCCATTGACTCACACATCCTCCCATATCATCTGATGAGGCAAGTAATTTTATAATCTTTTCATTGACATACTCCCCGACTCCCAAACACATCACATCCACATCGAACACAATCTTCAATTCATCACTCGCATGAATAGCCTTCTGCTCATCATCGGGAACACCATCAGTGAGAATAATAACCACTCTTCGTGAAGGTCCTTTCAATTCTTGTGTCTGAAATAAATTCTTTGCTTCCATCAAACCAAGATCCATTCGAGTCGATCGTTTCATTTGTTGCATGGCGTTGAGAGAGGCTTCAATCTCTTCATATTTGGTGGTGGAGTTAATTTCACCCCTTTTTTCTCAAAATTCAAACCCAACGTCAAGAGGAGCAATTGAGTCAACTCAAAAACGTCATTGAAGAGCAAAAGCATTAAATTGAAAATCTTCGAACCAGTGTGGAATCTCTCCTCTCTCTCAACACATCCTTGCGAAACGATTATTCAAAATTGGAACGTCAACTAATTGTTCTTGAAAGAATACATATGAAAGAGTTGAATAAGAAAATATCACATTCTGAGGAAAGGTTAAATACACACGATCAACAATTTCAAGACATGTGTCAAGAAATCACTCAAATCAAGGAAATTGTAAAACCTCCAACAACAAGAAATTCACAACAACAAGGCGTTCTTTCCTCCATAAATACCTTCTGGGGAGTTCACATTTCACCTGAAGCAAGAAAAGGTTTTTGGAACACTCTCCTTTGATATCTTCCATTGTCCAGATTATCAAACCATGACAAATGCCATTCTTGAAAAAGTTTCAAAATTGGCTCTTCGTGAACGATTTGTCATGACAGAGAACAACAATATCATTTCATCGGTTGAGGCAAGTACCCATGATTTGGTATTGTATCCCAAGTATTGTGGAAGCTCTCGTTTTCAAAGCAAGGAGGCTCTTGAATTTGTAAATAAGGGAAAGAAGATTATCTTCTTGTTGTATCGTTATGGCAATAAGAATGATTCGTTGCAATTGGGATCCGAATTCTCAAATTGTGCCAAGTTTGAATTCTTTACGAGCAGTCTTGATAAAATACAGCTTGTGGAAAATGATAAAACCGAAGGAGAATATTTTTGGTTGTGTGTGAAATCAGACAAGTGACACCGAAAAAAAATGAATTCACGAACATCTCTACCCAACAAGACCCAAACTTTGGATCAACCTTCGATCGAAACAATCATCTCGACGATGAACTCCACTCTCGAAAGACTTGACAAGAAAATTGAACAATTAGATCATCGATTAACATCAATCGAACAAAGAGTGGACAAAATCCAAGATGTTGTCAATGAGATTAAAGAGGTCATGGAAGAAGATTCTCAAACTGAAAATCAATCATGGTTTTCTTCATTTGTCTCCAGATTTTCGTCTCCTCCAAGATCAAGGAAGCTCACCAATTCACAAAAAGCTACATCCAGTTCTTACTCCAGAAAGTTCAAAGTTAATGTATTTGTCGGTGACAGAGATTATGACAAGACCATTTCCGATGTAATGAATGTCTTCTCCCAGTACGCCAAGCAACGTTATTCAGTGACACTTTTAATGAACATCATCACCCATGTCGAAGAAGCAGACGATCAAGTGCTCACACTTTTTGTGAAATATTGTGGCACTTCAAGATTTGAAAGCAAGGAGGCGAGATGGATTGCTGAAATGAAAAAAGCTTTGCATTTCATTCTGCTTCGTTATGGTGAAACTAGGAGTGAAGTGTGTCTTTCAGATATTTATTCCATGTCGAGCGCTTTTGAATTTCATGTAAATAATCTTGAAGACAAAAAGGTGTTGTTTGACAACCCAAGAAACAAAAGATCTCTGGATTTACTTTGTAACAAGTTATTTGCTTGAATTTGTAATTACGAGGTGAGGACATGTGTAAAAAAGATGAACAGGATTGAAACTGTTCTTCTTGTACAATCAATTAAAAACTTTCAAATTTAATTCAATGGCTGATAGATACAGTTTGACGACGTAGATACAATACCTATTTAGACAAATTTACAACCCTCATCAAATTTGAATAATCCAGATTTTGAAGGATGGATTGGTAGTTGTTTTGAAAAGTACTCGATATTATTATTTCATTCAATGATGATTCTCTCGCTTATATAAAAGGTTGGTTGAAAAGTTGGATCACGTCCTCTTTGATTTTCAAAATACTGAATCATGACGATCACACAATCATCACTTGCAAGAAATGATTTCAAGCCATCTCTTTCATATGACAATTCAATATCCTTACAAATGGAACATTTAAGTTTCATTTCGTTCTTTAAATCAGCCAATGTCATATTTGGTTCAAGTTTGTCAAATTCTCTCTTAAACCAAGAGGGAAGAATTGGATAGGAACGTTGTTTAATATTGAGTGTGGAGCATATCATTCTAGCGTGAGGACAAGAAGACTTGCCCTGTCCGAAACAACTGGGACATTTTTGTGTCTTTCTTGTACGAGTGATGATCATGTCGTGGCAGATGGATTCCACCTTTTTAGTTTCTTCCTTTGGCATGATGATAATCCACTCGATGATTGTTTGAGGCTGTGTTTTAATACAATGGTCAATCCGTGTTGATGGTTATGAATGATGGTGTGTGACGACGAGGATCGAGATTGTTGTTTCAATTTTTTGTTGTCTTTAAATTCAACATTTCTAAATGGGTCAAATCGCTTTGACAAGTTCCAAAGACAAAATTTTTTGTTTGAGAGTAACTTTGCGAAAGATTTTGTCGTCGAGGTGTTGTCACTAGGAACAGCGACATTGCTCTTCTTCTTTGCTTGTATTCTCTTTGTGTGTCGATGACTAGTTCCATTGAAGAGGTTGTTCCCAAAATTTCTCCTTTCATGGTCATCAATCTCTTTCCTCCGAATTCTTGGCGTATCGTTTTGTGTAAAGATACAACATTTTCTATACCTCTCGTTATATCTTTGAACTTATCTTCAAAGACATCACAAAGACATTTCCAACATGCACATTTTGTTTATTTTAATGTTTAATTTACTTTTCAAACAATTTTCATTTCCAATTCAAATTCAGAGTTCTGTTGCAATTTCACCAAAGCCCATCGAAACATGGATTCCACTAAAGGATCGCTGCACAGAAACGACCACATTCCATTTCTCTTGTAACACATGGAAAAGTCGTTCTCTACAATATTGCATTGATGTTTGATCTCTCTCTTGAGTGCATCGAGAGTTTTCTTACTTTTGGATAAGAGTGGATGAAAAACCAAATTGGAATTCTCTTTGAAAACCATAACAGGTAAAAGTTCATCCTTAGAAGACAATGGTCTTGAATTTGGAACATTTGGATGAATGAGACATGGGAAACTCTGGTGATGGATCAATAATGCTATTATCGGTTTCATCCAATTCAGATTCATCCTCTGTATCACAATCTCCAATTTGTAAATCATCAGAATCCGATTCATCCTCATTGTGGTGTCTTTTGCTTTCCACTTCTTCATCTTCCATCTCTTGACTGGAATTTGAAACATTTTCCATATTCTCTGATGTTTAGTCTGATGTGTCTTGTGGTTGAAGAGTTCTCTTCTGAATATTCATCTTTTTAAAATTGATCCTCCTTCTTGTTCTTTCTTGAATATTTCACTTGTTGCATGTGAACACGAAAAACCAGACCAAAATCTTGTAATTTTTGATTCAACAATCGAATAAGGTGGAAATCATCATCTTCCTCATTTCACGATATCACTCTAATCATTCTTTCGTGATCGTCAATGACTCTTGTCTCTCTTCTATTCAACTTTCATGCATCCAAACTCCATGACAATAAGATTCTTAGTTCTTGGTCATGGAATTCTATCAAGACCAACTTATTCTGCTAAAAAAATTTTTCATTATAAGGTTGTTGCAATATGAAATGTTGATTTGATTATTCGAAAGAGATAAAACATAAAAAGATCAAAATATATGTATTAAGGATTTCTGAAATCATGTTGCAATGACTATGAGGTGACAGATAATGGCATGCAAACATACTTTTTTTGGGTCTGATCTCAACAACTACTTATCAAAAAACATTGTTCTTGGTTTGGACGGGTTGATTTGTTGGGTGATTGTAGTAGTGGTTTGGGTTTGTGTTGTTGTTTGGGTTTTGGGTTTTGGGTAGGTTTGGTCAATTCAACAAAATATGTTTGTATGCCATTATGTGTAATCCCATCGATTTCATTAAACGTTGTAAATTTCATGGACGCACTCCCACAAGATATTGATTTCTTTTCTCGATCCTTCATCTTGGAAGCACTGTATGAATGTAATTGAAAACTCGTCACTCGAATTTCCATTAATCGCTTCTTGGGTGATTTGGAAAAAGTTTTTGCACCAAAAAAAAATATCACCACCATCACAACAATATGCTTTCGTCATCAAATTCATCATCCTCACCGCAAGTATCCAAAACCCCTTCCGTTCAACAACCCGAATGGTTTCCACCCACTGGAAGGGATACGGGTATTGAAGTGTTCAACTCTTTAACTTTGAAGAAGGAAAAGCTGGTTTTGCAAGACGATTCTAATACTCTGACTTGGTATACTTGTGGTCCGACAGTCTATGATTGGAGTCATATGGGACATGCTCGTACCTATGTAGGATTTGATATTGTCCGTAGAATTTTGGAAGACTATTTTAATTTTAATATTATTTATATTGAGAATATTACCGATATTGATGATAAAATCATCAAGAAGAGTAATAGAGTTTGTCTCGAAGAAAACATTGTCAAGTTTTTAGAAAAGATTTCAAATCTTCCAAAATCCGAATCACTCTCAAAGCTTGAGACTTACTTAAAGAATTTGAAACAAAAATTGGAGGCCGATCAACTTGAAAAGGAAAAGAGCAAACAACTTACCTTGAATCAACTTACTCAGGAAAGAGATTTGCTCGTTCAAGCAGTGAAAGAAGCTGGCTTGGATTCAAATGAAGTTTCTGCTCCAGATTTCTTGTCTGTTCCTAGATATTACGAAAAACTCTTTTGGGAAGATATGCAACAACTTCAAGTGAAACCACCAACCGTGCTTGTGAGAGTGACTGAACATATTCCAGAAGTTATTAATTTCATCCAAAAGATTATTGATAATGGTTTTGCATATGAGAGCGAAGGAAGCGTTTACTTTGATGTGGATGCTTTCCAAAACAGTCAAAAGCATGTGTATGCCAAATTAGAACCATGGAGTGCAAATTGTGAAGATCGTTTATTGGATGGTGAGGGAGAGACCCAAACTAGTAAGAAAATTACAAAGAGATCTAAAAAAGATTTTGCATTGTGGAAATTATCTCAACCTGGAGAACCTGAATATGAGAGTAAATGGGGCAAGGGTAGACCTGGATGGCACATTGAGTGCAGTGCAATGGCTTGTTACGCACTTCAAAAAGCTGCCGAGCTTGCAGGAAGAAATACTTCCGAAAATCCTCCAGTTTTGGACGTTCACTGTGGAGGCATTGATTTGAAATTCCCTCATCACGACAATGAGCTCGCTCAATCAGAGGCATATCTTGGAAATAGACAATGGGTAAATTATTTCCTTCACACAGGTCACTTGTCAATTAATGGAATGTCCATGTCCAAGTCGAAGAAGAACTTTATTACAATTAGAGAAGCACTCAAGTACTATACTGCTCGTCAAATCAGAACCATGTTCCTCTTCCGTACTTTTGATTCTGAAATGGAATACTCGGTTGATAGCATGGAGTATGCTAAGAACGTAGAAAAGCAATTCCAAGAATTCTTTGGTAATTTGAAGGTCATTTTCAGAGATTACAACAATAAGGGAGGAAAAATTATTGAAAAATGGAGCAATGAAGAGTTTGACTTGAATAACTTCTTGGGTGAAAAGAAATTATCCATTGATAAGGCCTTAAGAAGTTCCTTTGACACAAAAACCTCAATGATTGATCTCCAACAATTGGTGAAGAAAACAAATACATATTTGGAAGTGAAGAATGTTGACAAGTACAACGAGTTTATTAAGAAAGGAGGCGATCAACACGCTTCTGATGCTCCTCAATATCCATCAGTTATGCTCTTGAAGCAAGTGGCTTATTATATTACAAGAATTCTTAACGTATTTGGTCTTGTCGATAGTGTAGATTCCTTTGGTTTCCCAGTTTCAGGTAGCGATGATTATGAATCAAATGTGACTCCTATCATCAACGCTCTTTCTGAATTCAGAGCAGAAATAAGAAGTATTGCAAGAGACAAGGAAGACAAGAAGGAACAGAGAATTCTCAAGGCCTGTGACGCTTTAAGAGATGACGTTCTTCCAACGTTAGGAATTAAATTGGAGGATAAGAAAGACACAATCACATGGAAACTTGTTGATAAGGAAGAACTTATGAGAGAACGTGAAGAAAAGCTTGAAAAAGAAAAAACAGGCAAAGAAAGACGCTGTTTCAAAGGCACAGTCAGCTCTTGCAACTGCAGAAGAAGAATATCAAAAGTCTTTGATTGCTCCACAAGACCTTTTTAAAACTGGTGAATATGCATCCAAATATTCTGAGTACGACGATAAAGGAATCCCAACCAAGGACGCTTCAGGTCAAGAAATAACCAAGAGTGCCAAAAAGAATCTCGAAAAACTTTTAGCTAAACAAGAAAAGCTTTATCAAAGTCAAGAAGCAAAAAAGAAAGCAGTGGAAGAGAAGAAAGCAGCCCTTGAGAAAGCCATTGCTTTGTTGAGCGAATAAATATTCCAATTTTGTTGAATGTCTTTCACATACTAGTTACATATTGACTTGTCTTTTGAAAATATTGTGGGTGTATTTAGAAAACGTTACAAGGAGTGAACAGAAAATCCGTCACGCGTGCAATACGTGACAGGTTTGTTGAAAATAAATATTTCTAGGAAATGTGGGATGAGCAAAAATTAGGGAACTTAAAGTTCATAAATAATGCAAAGTAATACTACAATGGAAAGCAAAAATATTAAAGATCATTCTCTGCTGAAAGGATGTCAGATGTAATCTGTTCTAAACGCTCTTTCAAATTTGCCTTGTCTAATGCAGTCACAAAGAACACATCTCGCAATCTGTTTTCAGTGTCCTTTTCTTTGTACATATCTTTGATAAATTCTTTAGCAGCATCAGGATCGTTTTCAGGTCCCTTATATTCCTCAAATGTATCAGCCAAACGAGAACCGTTCTTAATCTTGGACACAAACAGATCATGCTTGTTAAAAAGTAAGTAAACTAGTGTATCAGCAAACCACTTGGAGTTGATGTAGTCTCCAAAGAGAGACAAACTTTCCTTCATTCTGTTTGTGCTGTCGTCTTCGTAACACTTTTGATCGAACTCACTCAATGAGCAAACAAAGAGAATGCTGTCAACACCTTGAAAATGGTGAATCCACTTTTTTCTTTCTGTTCTTTGTCCTCCCACGTCAATCATACAGAATGGAAGATTCTTGAATGTGAAAGGTTGTTCAATCAAACCTGTAGTCTTGATTCTTGCTCTAACTACATCTTCTTCGCTTGGCATATAGTCATCCTTTCCGATTCTATCTAAATTATCAAAGTAGTATGAGGCAGAATCTTCAATTTGGAATTCATTTCTTCTTGCCATTGCTTGGAGAATTGCTGGTTCCTTCCACAACTCGGCAATGTCTTGAGCCAAGTTGGAATCCCAGACTTTGTCTGTTGTCAACAAAATCTTTTGTTCCAATCCTTCAATCTTTTCTGCTCGTTGTCTGTTCTCTTCAGTTGAAATAGGAAGGTTGAGAGATTTGGTTGCTTGAATGAGGACCATCATATTACGCAAAATGTTTTCATAGATCATTGGTTTAATCTTGGTCTTCTCTTCTGTCGTGAAGCCATTGTTGTAAATGAGTCTCATCTGTTTAAAGATGGTACCTGTTGGGAGAGGCAATGATGATGTGTTGACAAGTTAATAGTGTCATTGTGATGAAGGAGAGTAGAGACGAGTTCGTAGATGAACAAGGATTCACGTGAAGGGAATGTCATTCAAAAGAAGTGGTAATGAACAATGAATCACAACAGTTCATACAATAATAATCATGAGAGATCCAGTCATAATTACGTGATGATGATATTTTAGGAGGACAGATAACGAATATTCATCATTGACACCGCCCATCATCAAAACAGATCATTGTCGTACGAATGATGAGTGCAAATGAACAAATTGACAACGAGAACACAATAAGATTATGAATCAAATAGTTATGGATATACACACAAACAAAAGTTACATACTCTTTCCGCTATCACCTGCTCCTACCAACAAAATCTTCTTTGGTGGTTTAGCAGCTGGTGTATTTTGTGTTTGAGGTGTGGTACCTGTTCCATTGCTAGTAGGTTTTGCTGGGGCTTTATCTCCTCCTCCAAAGCACATTTTGAAAGGTAGTAATATTGGATGATGATGATGAGATTTTCAGAAAACTCTATTCACGCGGTGAATATTGTCGTAGTGGAAGTTCTTTGTTGTATACAACAAGTGGGTGAAGATAAAGTATGGAACTTGGTTGTATAGCGTCGCCGCTGTTGTAATTTCAGTAGTAGTGAATTGTTGTTGTTGTTGGTTCCAGGAGTAGTACAGTAACGGACTGAACGCGGATGATGATGATGAGAGAATGACTGCACTATAGAAAAAACGCGGCAAAGAGAATTGTGATTTTTTTTTTTGAAAGTTTCTTGATGATGGCTGAAAAGACAACGAATCAACAACAACGGGAATAACTCACGAATTTTCGAGTCGAATGGATGATGAGGAGTAGTGGTGAGTTGAGTAGGGTTGTTGGTGATTGAATTGTGTGGAAGTGTTGTTGTTGTTGTTGTGAGAGTTGTGATCACACGGGTTGAACTTGAATTTGGTGATGATCAATTCAATGGTTGTTGTTTTTAATTTCTTTTTGGTTCAGAATAAAGTCAACAACAAGTGTCGCATAGTAGTGGGAGCGTCCGAAATTGGAAATTCAGTGATTCCACACAGAAAGCGATCTTTCAATTTGTGAGAAGAGCCAAGGGTCGAAGGATCGATGCAATGATCAATGGTTATTATTATTGTGGCAACATATGAGAAATGAACGACAAGTGGTTATATTATCAGTGATGCTTAATGTTGAGGACGGTCTTCAAAAAAGAAGAGTGACGTTTGTGACTGGTCTTGGAATGTCAAGAGGCTATGATTCGCAGTGAGATGCAGTGAGTGATTTCAAGAGAGTGATGTGCAAAAGGTCTTTCGAATTTGATGTCAAAATAAAACCTATAATGCAATCTTTTTGATGTACTGTACTTGTTTCCACTTATACTCGTCATTGATACATGATCATTCAACTAGAACCTTTGTCAATAGAGAGCTCCTTCAAAAAAATAGAGAACTGAGAGATCACAAATTGTTACCGAATTTGTGTGTCATTTCCAATGAAAAATCATGAAGGCGATCCATCTGGAAGAAAAATCAAGCTGTCAACTAGAAGAGTTGCCACTCTCAACGCCACTAATATACTAACTGTAATAGCCTTCTTGATTGTGCACCTAATTGTAATCCATGCCCAACAAACATCTTCTTCCAAGACTTGGTTCTTATTGCCGAGACATTTGACAGAAAATGTCAACTCCCTATCATCAACACAAGTCAATACGAATCCAAATACTATCACACCCATCCAGTCATCATCATCGTTGTCATCATCATCACTAACAGACCTCATTCCGACATTGTCCTCCTCCTTCTATAAAACCATAAAAACAATTCCACCACATGCTCAACCCAACCCCAACGAAACACAAGACTCTCCGAATGACACTCCACACATTCAAGATTTATTTCAATCCACCTACAACAATTCTCTTTATTTAAATTTCACCTATTATTTTGATGAGGAATCGGATTTTGTCGATCGAGTGTGTACGTTTGATCTTCCCTGTAGTGATCTTCATGATATCATGTTTGCTGTGAATAGCACTCTTTATTCAGAGAGTTATTATTATAATTTTACAATAGTACCAAATATTGAAAGATTTGTCATTGTGAATATTGTGTTAAAAAGTAATGCTGTATTGATCTATTTGGGATTAACAGTTCCATCCTTCCCAAATTTGAAATATTTATTTCATTGGACAAGTCAAGAGGGTGAAATAAGAAAGAATGTTGATTGGTTATCTTTTTTGGATCCTCCATCAAGGACAGATATCGTTTGGATTTGTTTCTCAAATCTCCATTTAACGGGGTATGATAATTCCATCACACTTACAACTTATAATGTTGGAGTTTATAATTGTCAATTTGAGAAAATATTTCTTCTTCCCTTTTTTGGTTCGACTTTAATTTATGAAAAAACTTCTCTCACTCAAGTAGACACTCGAAGAATTGAATATTGTGAAACAGTAATATTTTATAATGTGGACTTGAAAGAAGAGTGTAAAATACGTTTTCAACAAGTGAATACTTTCATCTTTAATAATGTGAAAGCCATTGAGAGCTCAGTAGCAACCATTCAAATCGACTTTTCAAGAAAAACATTCATAAGAAATTCAGTATTTAAGAATTATTCATCCAAATTTGCCTTAACCAGTAATGTGGAAGTGACTTTTGAAAATTGTGTATTCGACCATGTGGTAACCTCAACATTTGCACACTATGGAGCTATTGTCACTGCGTTTTTGGAAAACACATTATCCATTCGAAATTGTACTTTTTCGAGAGGATATTCAGCAGTTTATGTTCGAGAGTATACTAAATTAGAATTGATCACCAGCCAATTCTTTAATAATACTGTGACGATCATTATTGAATCCAATGACATGTTTACTCTGAACTCTGTCGTAAACCTTATTGGATGTGCTATTTTGACCATAATTGATTGCAAGTTTGATCACAACGTTGGAGCACAAAAGGGTTCTGCCCTCTATATCAAGGATTCCATGGATGCCGTTATTCATTGGACCTCCTTTATGAACGGAAACGGAAGTGCCATCTATGTGGAAAATATCAAGACTACAAGTCAAGAAAATTTTTCCATTCGAATTCTCAAATCAAGGTTTGAAAATAATTACAGTGATGACTATGGAGGTGCTATTCGATTGTTGACATCCATCAAGCACTTCTCTATAGATCTATCCAAATTCATCGGAAATCAAGCAAGATATTCAGGAGGTGCCGTTTTCATTGAATTAGTCCAACAAGTGAGCTGGATTGCTGGCAGTCTTTTCCAAGACAATCGCGTTCTCTACAGTGGATCTCATGACCATGAACAGTTCTACAAAGGAAGAGGAGGAGCTGTTTTTCTCCTCTTCTCAACACCCACTCCTCTCGCCATTGCTGATTCTTTCTTTGTACACAATCAAGCTAATATTGGAGGAGCTCTCTCGTATGCCTACACAAGTGTTAAGAACATCTTTAATTGTACCTTTGAAAAGAATGTGGCACAAAAGACAGGAGGTGCCATCTTTCACTTCTCACCTTCACCGAAGACAAGCACCAACTTTTCAATGGTGCAATTTGAAAATAATCAAGCAGGTGTGTATGGAAATGATTACTTTAGTTCTGTCACGTCTGTGAGGTTTGATCAAATTGAAGTCGAGTTGTATCCAGGTAAGTGTTGATTGTGACATGATCATATAAAAATTGAACTATTTGGAATGATGCCAACATCATTTTGAAAGGCCAAACGGTGAATATTTCGCTAACCACATTTGTGGATACCACACAAGCTCCCACTAATGTCGAAAGTTATTTAGTTTCAACTTCAAATCAAAATTTAGAGATGGGTATTCAAGAATATTCAAACTTTGTCAGTCTCAAACTCTACTCCTTCATCGATATTGAAACATTACAAGGAAGTATCATCCACACGACACTTTTACTCGAATCCAAGAAAAAAACTTCTTTTTTCAAGTTCAAATTAATGTCATGCCCAAAAGGAAAATTGTTACAAAATTCCATGCTCCCTGAAATTAACAAATTTACATTTGTTTGTGTCGATGAGCCGTCAAATTCTCTTGGATTAATTCTTGGTATTTCCATTCCTTTCTTTCTAATATTTTTTTTATTAGGTTCTCTTTTCACCAGTGGTTGCATTTTCATTGCTTGGCGAATCAAACAAAAATTGAATAGACTTGCCATAAAAGAAAAAGCTGAAAAGGATGTAGAAAAGAAAATACTTGATAAGAAAATTATTTTTGACAATTGGGCGAAAGGTCCAACGGTTAGCAATGCCAGTGAAGACTCCATGACAGCTCCTCTGATTCACAATGACAGTTGTGACGCTACTCTTTCACACACTAGTCATGAGATGAGACAATTCAAAAACAAGAAGGAATCATTCTTGATTTCAATTGATGATTTAAAAATTATCAAAGTAAGTTGCTCACCAATCTAGTAGTAATTAATTCTCAAAATGCAAATGGAAATTCAAAAGAAAATTGCTGAGGGAGGTTATGGTGTCATTTATCAGGCCAAGTTATGGAACAAATTGGATGTGGCAATTAAAACTCTGAAACAAATTGATGATGGACTCATTAACGATTTACAAGATGATGAAGAATTTGAAAAGGAAGTTTCTGTATTAGCAAATTTAAATCATCCAAACATTTTGAAATTTTATGGAATTTCAGTGACTGAAACTAGCAAGTACATGATTACAGAGTATTTAGAGAATGGATCCTTAGAAAGAATGTTGCAAAGTTGTAGATTTGGAAAAACTATTTTATCATTTGAAAAGAAATTGCAAATGCTTGAGGATGTGAGTTGTGGAATGAACTATCTTCATTCTCTGAATCCAGCAATTATTCATAGAGATTTAAAACCAGGAAACATTTTGATCAAGAGGTAAGTGAACTGTTAATTCTATCAAAATGAATGATATGGAATATTTCAAATTTAGTGATCATACCTGTAAAGTTTGCGATTTTGGATTATCGAGAGTGATTGGAAATAATACAAACAAAACCATGACTAAGAATGTTGGCACCTTTTTCTACATGAGTCCAGAACTCATCTCGGATGCCACTAGCTATGGAGATGGAATTCAAGTTGTGCCCAATTCTCAAGAAAAAGCATTAAGAGCGACCAAGATTGATATATATAGCTTTGGAATTATCATGTGGGAATTGTTTTTTGAGTTAATTCCATATTCTGAAAGTCCAAAAATTGGAACTCAAGGAAAAGGAATTGCATTTGTGAATATTTTGAGTTGTGTCATGCAAGGAGCAAGACCAGCAATTCCTTTCCAAAATAAGGAAGAGTTGAAAGAATGGTTACAATTATATCCTGTAATGGCCAGAGAAGGAGGCCAAAGTGCAACGAACTGTGATTTAGAATCCATCATTTTGAGCTATTTTGAATTGGTAAGAAGATGTTGGAGTCAAGAGGTTATACATCGTCCATCTTTTGCAGTCATTCTCGAAGAACTCAGAAAACTGAAATCCAAACTCTCGTGAACTCATAATTTATAGAATTAATTTAGGAATTGTCACAACCGATTCATGAATGTAGCAATCAATGAAGCCAAAAGAGGTACATTGATAGACAGAGCATTCTAGGTGATAATAATTGGTATTGGGTATTTTGAATTTTCTGAATTTCTCCAACACCATAAAAAATAGCAATTCAATTCAAGCTTACATTTCAAAAACATTTTAGGATTGAAATCAGCGAACAGATACGAAAAAACAACCACAGAAAATGTCGTTTGGATAAAAAAAAAATTAAAAAAATTTCGCTCGCCTTGGTTCCGTCTCGGGAGGAATCGAACCTCCGTCAATGGATTCAAAGTCCACTATGCTACCATTACACCACGAGACGAGCACATTTAATTTCATACAATATGTAATATTACTAGAAAGATATCAATCTTTTCATTCACACGCTTTGGTCTTCCTGAACATCTTGCTCAATTAAAAAAATTAAACGTGATCTCTGTATCACCTTCCTCATCATCATGTCGGAACTAGAAGAGATGATCAATGCTTCTTCCTTTGTGTTGCAAAATAGAGAACGCATTCAATCCATTGTTCAATTATTACCCAAGATTGATATCCATACTCATTTAGGTGGATGTCTGCGGTCCAGTACGATTTATGATCTCATCAAATTACATCCGAATATTTATGAAAATCCTGATGAAGTGGTTCGTCAGGTACAGCTTACGGAAGGAGATCAACGCAATCTAAAACAATGTTTTGATATATTTAAAATTATTAATTCTGTTACTGCTGATTTAAAAGTACTGGAAAGAATTACATACGAAACTCTCGAAGATTATGATGCTGAGAATTGTATTTATTTAGAGTTGAGAACAACACCAAAATCAAATTCAAATCCATCTTACACTAAAAAGGATTACTTGATGTGCATTGTGAATACGATTGAAAGATACTTGAAAGAGCATGAGAATGATACCAATTTTGTGGACGTGTCACTTCTCGTAAGCGTGAATAGAAGTGAATCTATCGAAAAAGCAAAAGAAAATATTGACCTTGCTCATGAAATTATCAAAGAAAGACGAGAGCTACAAAAGAATGGCCACATGTTTAAGAGCTCAGGTGTGGTTGGTCTCGATTTTTGTGGAAACCCATATGATGGCAATTTTACTGATTTTGCTAAACTATTTGCCGAAAGCAATCTGAACCAAACTATTCATTTTGCAGAAATTAACAGTTATGACGAGTCTAAAGCGATGCTTCGACATTGTTTGGAGATGAATTCAAAAGTGAAAATTCGTCTTGGACATGCTGTCTGTCTCAATGATGAACTCAAGGAAATGCTACTTGTTGATAAGAGCAAAAAAGAGCTCACCGAAAAACATACCCAGTTTGACAGAATCCCTGTTGAAATTTGTTTGACGTCTAATCTCATGAGCAAATCAGTGTTTAACATTCACGATCATCCACTCGTGATGTTTTATTTGTCGAACCATCCAATTAGCATCAACACTGATGACAGAGGAGTGTTCCAAACTTCTCTCGAAATTGAATACATGAAAGCAATAGAAGTTTTCGACAAGATTTTATCCAATACTCCAAATAATCAAACAGAAATTCAATCCTCTCTTTATGAATTGATCCGTGTGGTAGAGAAATCGATTGAGAGTGTGTTTGTTGAGAATAGAGTTATTGAGAAAATTTTAACCTCATACAGAGAGCGTGTAGCTCTTGTTCTGGCAGCAGATTAGTTGTTGACAAAAGTACTACCTCGAACTTGAATAATTATTTTCATTATTTATGAAATAAATTAATAGTGTAAAATTTGAGTTTACATGCTCCATTTGAGTTGGAGATCCTTCTTATTGACCAACCAACGAGCAACAAATACAAGCACTAAGAGACTCAAAGTTGACAGAATTAGCATTGCATGATTAAAGTCTTCGTTCAAAATGTCAAACTTCTTAGAAGGTGATAACCGTGTGAAGAAAACGTCCAAACCTGACGAGAGCATAAGAGTGGTTGATTCAAGAACTGATGGACTAGTTTGAATTAGACGTATTCGGTGAACAGGTTTGTTATAATTTGCAACATTGAGTGACACATATGGAACATAAGGATTGTAAGGAAGTAAGCCCTCTGCAATTTCATCTGGAGCAAGTGCTGGATTTCTTGGTCTGCGAGCATCTACCATCTTTTTATCAAGAAGATAGATTTGGTCATTGGTCATTGAGACTGAACAGGCACCATGTCAGATCCGCACAAACTGAAAAATGATATACTTACCAATGTATTGCTTGTTTGTGACTCCAATAGTTGTCTTTGTAATACCAATTGATTTAATTCCATAAGGGAAAATATAGCTATTCTTTCTCACAGTTGGTTTGCTGTATCCAAACGATGAAAAGACACCGCTCTCCTTTGAGGTTGAAAACTTTTCCATAAGGATTGACAAAAAGTCTTTCTTTTGGAATTCGGTTCCATTATTGAATAATTCCAATGATGTCAACTCATATCTCATTTGCCTGGCATTGGTATAGTGATAAAGAAGAGTATTTTCATCCATGACCATGTTAACAGGTCCAGATGCATCCTCATGATGGATTTGATATAAAATTTCTCCGGTTGCTCCATCAATAATATAAACACGAAGAACTGGATATTCCGCTGAAGGGCTTTCTTTTTCAATAGTGGCAACTGCAAACATTCCTGAGTTCAAATACTTATACATTACGTTACCGGATGCTGTAACAATGATGCCAGTGTAAATATGTTGATTCAATAAAGATGGTGGAGAAGCAAAGGATGCAATTGATGTGCCCAGAGAAATAGACCATGTCTGTGAAGCTTTTGTTTCATTAACATTCCATGCATAGCCATATAATTTGCCTTCTTTGATGTTTCTGGTATGAAAGTGAATGCTGAGCGGGAAAGATTTTACAACCTTAATAGTATCGCTTGTTTCTGGAAATATTTTGACATTAAGTTCATCATCAATTAAAAGAAGTGGATGAATTCTTCCCTCTGTAGTGGTAGGAATTAACACCACGTTGTTGAATGAGAATCCAAGTAATGATTTTGTGAGTTGCTTTCCATTCAAAGCATCAAGCACAAGAGCAACTGATTTGGTTTTTCCAACTATGAAAATTGTGGCCTCTGATCTTATTTTAACATCATCCTTGAGTACTTGCTCCTTAGTAATAAATAAGTGATGTTTAAAATCTTTGGTGTCAATCTCCTTCTCAACAATTGGTGGTACAAAGAGTGACCAAACAATATGACCATCAGAAGAGTGCAAGCCAAAAAGCTTTCCAATTTTAGTCTTGACAAGCAGAAGTTTTTGAAATCCGAGTCTGTCTTGAACAAACTTTAGGCTTTCGTCTTCAACTTTGGTGACTTCGGAGTTGTTCTTGCCTATCAATTGATTAACATATGAAGACACCTTTTGAACAATTTCTGACAATTGCTCTAGTTGTAAACGTAATCTATTAACAAACGAAGGTGCGCTACTTTCAGGCTTTAAAGTGTGATGGACTGGAAATTCAACAAACTTAATATCATCTACAGACGCAAGGGCTTCTTCTCTTGTCCACACCTTTTGATTTTCTTTGTATCCTATCATTGATTCATCCTCACAAACCACAATAAATCTATAAATTAATTGGTTATTTGCCTCTTGGTTCATGAAGAGCTGTAAGAAAATTCTTTGGATTTTTCCATGATTGCTACGAGAAAGCTCAAGCTTAAATTGAGATACAGTCTCTCCAGAACTCTTTTTAACAGACACATGAGCTGAGTCTGTATCTTGACTATCCACTGTAGCAAAATACGAGGAACCTCCAAGTTGTAATACTGGAGATGTAATATATTGTTGACCTTCTTTTGTAGTTTTAACTCCAAACTCATCTTCAAAGTAGAACTTATTTTGATCCAAAATGAGCTTTGAACGTGCTTGCTCTTTGCTGATAGTTTCTTCATTAATGTTGCCTGTGCTTAAAACCAAGCAGGAAAGCTTGGAAGAAGTCTTAAAGCATACTTTCTCATTATTCGCAACAAGGCTGAGCTGTGAAATATCATCAATATCAACTTGGAATGTTTTTTGGGTGGTCAGAGCACCATTTTCAACATTTATGCTCTGTATCACCACTGGTTTCTTACTAGAATCAGCAGATCCAATTTGGACGACATTTAACTGTTGTCCAGCATAAAAAAGCTTTGCAAAAACGCTATCGAACCAAGTATTATTTTAACATCCATTTGATGCAACAAGTGACACTCACCTTTCGTCTTTGGATGTTATCTTCCACTTTTCAGCACCATTCTTTAAATCTTTAGAAGAGAGAGAATTTCCAGTAGAAACAACTAAAAGCCCAGATGTTGTCAAGGCATCATTAAAATTAGATTCAGAGACTCTATCGAATATTAAAGATCCATCCAAAGCACTCCATAATTTAATATACCGCTTGTTGGAGACTGGGTTAATAGACAAAGAAACAATCTTATCAAAACCTGCTGAGTAGATGTTTTCGATACTTTCATCTTCATTAAATACTCTTCTCCACACTTTACATATTTCCGAAAATATTAAATTAGCATCAAGGATGACCGTCGGAAGCAACAATATAAGACAACTCTTTTTTACAAACAATAATACATACACAATTCTCCTGTTCGCACATTTAACCCAGCTAAAACACCCATATTACTAGCAACCACTATTAAAGCCTTGTTAGAAAATCCTGACTCCACCATCATGACTCTTCCAATATTCTCTTTCATCCAATCATATGTATTGGCTTCACTTTGTAAGATAGCCTCCACAACGTTGCTTCTCATCGTTGTAGCTGCAATTACAAATAACAACAAGGAAAAGAGCATCATAGAGAACACTCCAAGCAGCTTCCCCGAAGATCTTCTCATCGTCATGGGTGCGACATTGTGCGTCGTCATGATGATGAAGAAGGATGGATTCATTTTTTAATTTCGTTAAAGACGAAACAAAACACCGAAAAGAACACAAATAAATTCATGGAATGGAACTCTCCATGAGCAATACTAAATACAATATCATTCTGCTCAACAAGAGGTCATGATGAAGATGATGTTCAACGAAATGGACATCACCAGAGGAAAAGTTTACAAAAAAAATAATGACAAGCTTGAAATCATCCACCAATGCATCGTCATCCTCATTGCCATTTCATTCATTTCCGATCGAGCTGGTGTGCTCTGTTTTGGACTTTCTCACTCTCGATCTCTCACATTATTGCTATGGATACTGTTGTATGATTGCAAATTTGAAATTCTCATCATCCCAAGGTTCTAAATTGTACAATTCCACAATCTCGGATCGGTATCATCCAATCAAGACTTTTGAAATACAAAATGAATGCAATGAAATTACTTCTCCTGATGCGTTGGAGTATTTTCTCGGAAATTTATATTCATCGATTCTTTCATTGAATAAGAGCTCGGGATCATCATCACGAACGAGTAGCAAAATAAGATCGAGTTGGCGAGGCTTGTCATCTTTTTTCATGCGTATTCTATTTGGATATAAAAGAGGAAATTCGAGAGGAAATATTATGTTGTTGTGGCCAAACATTAAATTGAGTGGATTGAGGGATTGGCCTTATTTTGTGGATATGAGTAAAGAGGCCACAAGTATCATGTACAATGAAGAAGAACACATCTGTCAAGAATTTTTGTATAGAATTATTCCACATGTATCACGAGTGCGAAGTCTTGTGCTAAATTGTAAAATAGAGAGCTCTGTTAATTTTCTAAATGAATATTTACAGTTTCATTCAAGAAATGATTTTACTAATACGAAAGGATTGTCACACACTTTGGAGAAAATTGATTTTTCACCATTTTCTAGTACGATCAAAAAGAAATACAAATTCTTTGGGGAACGAATGGTAAAATCTAGCCAATTATTTCATAGAAAGGAATGCCAAAATGAATCGACAGAGCAGAATTTTGCATCTTTTGTAAGATCAGGATTTAACCGACTTTTGATATCTATTTATGCTCCATCTCGAAATCATATCTTTACCTTATCTAGCTCACTAATTGAAATGCCTCATTTACGATATATTGACTTGTCAGGACTTTCCTTTCAAGTTCAAGGGAAAACTAACAACTCGCTCGAGCAGTATGTTAACGATACTGTTCATTGGTTTAGAAATCTATTTTCTAAAACACCTAATTTACAAGTATTTAAACTTAACTATATTTATGGAAACAATGAATCGAACCTTGCTGTGGATGAAGTGACTCCACAGGAGAAAACCCTGCTTGAATCTATTATCAACTGTATTTGTGAGTCAAAACTAGCACACATGAAAGAACTCTCTATGAATGGATGTGGATTATCAAACAAAGGATTCATATCTATTCTTAAACATTTACGCCTCAAGAAATTGTCTTTGAAATACAACAGTGGCATAACCTTGGATGATCCTTTTTATTCAGATTCAAGAAATGCTAACAAACATCTGGAACACTTGGATTTATCTTATTGTGAATTAGGATATTTTTCAGGATTTTTGGATTTATTGAGCAAGATATTACCATCCATCAAAACTTTGAAAATTGCAGGACATAATGACATGTCTTTATATACAAGGACTCTTAACGCCCTACTACAAACCATGTCTTTGGAATATTTAGATCTTCGAAACTCACCAATGATACAAGATGAGGGACTAAAATTGTCAAACAAAACAAGAAAACTGAGACTTAAATCTTCCAAAATGGAGAGCTCCGCTATTCATGTCATTTCCTCCACCTTCTTTAATGTTACCTTTTTAGAGATTATTAACTATTCACTGTCCGTTACACAAATAGACCAAATATTTGATGCGTGCAAAATGAAATTGAAAGTTTTGAGATTACCTGCTTCTAACCTTACCAATGAGCACGCCTATTGCATTGCACGTCATTTAACAAATGCCACTGAGAGACGTGGTGATGGATTGACTGAATTGGATCTTTCGAGGAATAATATCAAAGATGGAGGTTTTAATGCATTGTGGCAAGCTTTACCAAATTTGAACATTTTCAAACTTGGAGGAAATCCAGATGTTTCCAACAATTCTTTCAAAAACGTTGCCATTCCTTTCAACTTACACACACTTGAATTGGCTTGTACCAAAATTGGAGACAATACTGCATGTGAATGGCTATTCAAGAGTGTATCTGGAGAAAAGAGGAACAAATGCAAACTTACTGCCTTAGACGCCCATAATACAATGTTCGGTGATTCCCTAATTGATTACGTAAAGAAAGAAACTTCTCTGCGGTATTTAGATGTATCAGGGTCGCTTCTTTCGAAAGAAGCCAAAGAAGTGTTGAGGTCATCTTGCTTGTGGATTTCAGAAATTATTGTATAGCCAGCAGTAAATTGCAATTCACCGAGTTAGAGAGTCAGTTTATTTTCGGAATTATTGTGTAATTTTCGACCGCACAACGTCACCATGTTTGCTCCTTTTCTAAATTGCTAATATTTACAACTTGGCGATATTGGACTCAAAGATGTTTTCGGTTTCGATTTGGTAACACTCAGGGAAGCGTACAATGGCTTTCCAATTTAGGTCCTTGTGTTAATGTGTTCGCATATTCGAGTTTCCAAAACTTGTCAGTAATTTGCTCCATTTGGTGACCTTTTCGCTATGAAAAAGTCTATACATGTGAACTTGGAGTTTGCAAAATCGTAGCATGTCATCTCTTTCAAGCCGCTCCATATATTTATACACTTGTTCAGCATATTCTTCGTATTTTTCTAGTGTGATATTTCGTCTATTCGTTTGAATACCACATAGCCAATCTAAAGCGCAAATGTTCATTGGGCAAATGGTGAAAGATTTCTCCAAACAACCCACAACTAGATCAATATTTTTTTCCTTCATATCTAACAACAAAAGCCCTTGATTGAGATATGCCATGGACAACTCTGATCGAATCTCCTTCACAGGAGAGTGTTTCATTATTATCCGCAAAAGTTTTTGGTTATCTTTGAAAGCCCTGTCGTAGTGTTTGGTTTGTTGGAATAGTGTTACTCGATTAAGATAAATTAGGATTAGATTTTCGTTACATTCGAGAGCCTTATTGAAGTTAGCCATAGTTGACTTCACGTCGTTTGCTCTCCATTTCAATAGGCCAATCATATAATATACAAATGGTTGTAACATAGAGTTTCCATATGTCATTTCGGCATCAACAGATTCTGGATAGATGGTGGGTATTATACCTCTAAATCCAAATGCGTGAGATTCTTTGATGGACACTAGTGAAACATCCAAGAAATGAATGGGTGCCGTATGATTTCTAGGTACAAGTTTGTTGAATCCAGTTAGCATGCCAATAAAATAGTGGCCATAAAAACATTGAGGGTCCTTGTCAGTGGCACTAAAGAAATGATCATTCGGGCTTGTGTTATGAGTAAAGTGATGGAGACATCCAAAAAATACCTCTCTAACTGCCTCAGTCTTTTTGATAAGGGTTTCTAATGTAGAGATCAGTTCAATACCTCTTGGATAGCTCTTCATGCTCATCAAAGAGGACTCTGCGAGCTCAAGCAAAGTTCTCAAGTTTTGTAGCTCTTCATCACATCTGACAATACCTATTCTAAGCCATTTCATCGTCTCAATGTTCTTGTCCATTAATCTGAATACTTCTAGCAGTTGGAAATAAGCGTGATAGTTGTATGGATTCTTTTGTACAGATTCTAAAAAGTGGGCATATGACTCTTTGGCTCTATATTTACAAACCAGCTCAGTTCCCAGAATAGCGTCATCCATGGACGTCCTTTCTTGGGCTTTCTCTCTTTTCATGTAGTCTCTAAATACGGAAAGCTTCTCTTTCACTTGTTCGTAGAATCTTCTCAAACAAGGGTGGAAAAGCTCTTTAATTTCTTTTTGACTCTTGTCAACACTCATTGAAGATAAAACGGCCATGTTGAACTTTCTTCTCTTCGTTTTGATTTCCTCACAATCTACTGTCTCCAACAGGGGAGAATATTCTTCAGAATCTAAGCTCAGAAATTGAGAGAGTTTTCTCTTTTGTGCTGGAGTGACATCATCAGTCTTGCTTGGTTGAGTACTGGTTCCACAAGCAACTTGATGACAAAGGCCAAAAAGGTTGAAATTATTAGTGGAAAGAGAGTTATGCTGGGTCATCTCACCATTTTCATAAACATCTATTGCAGTGGTCAGGTCGTTGATGGAATGTCTCATAAACTCGTCAGAGTTCAAATAAAAGTCTGGATTCTCAATGCGGTGCTGTAAAAACAACACTCTCACATAGAACTTGAAAAATAGAAAGAAAGCGTTCGCAGAGATGTGATCTGACCTGGACGTATCGCTCTCTGTAGAGCTAGAAGTTTGAGAAATGACGTTCTTTGGATTGATTAACCTTTCCATATGCTCCATCGCAATCTTGAAAGAGCGATTTTGGAAGAAGGATCTAATCATGTATTTAAATGCTCTTTCGCTTTGCTTGTTGAACAAGGTTGCTTCCTTTTTGTGCTGCTCTGTGGAAATAAAGTCTGGCGAGAGAGCCAGCATACAAAATTCATCATCACCAGAGAGAATATCTCGAATGTCTTTCCAGTCATTGTTTGGATTGAGATCTTTAAAGGCACCAACGCTTTCGTTTAGCGAGTAGTTGGGAAGAGAAAGTACATCTACCGTCGATGTGGAAGAGGCGGTGATAGAAGCTGGTGATGATGAAGAGAAATAGGTTTTGTTGTTGTTATTACAAAGAGGTGAGGGGGAAGAAGAGAACCCACTTTTGTTACCGTTGCAATCAGTTTGAAGGGGAGTTAGGAGAGAGGATGATACTCTATCACCATCAGTGTTGATTCGGCTGGCCGAAGCGGTGGTACTATTGCGAATGGAGGTGGTTTCATTGCTGAGTAGTGTGTTAGGAGATCCAGTGTGAGTTCTGTGAGTTGGTAATGGAGAAGCAACGCAAAACAAAGCTTCCCCTTGCTGGGATTGTATTGTGGATGGCGATGACGTTGGAGTAATGTGGCGATGATGATGATGATGATTGAATTGGAGGAAGGACGAGCTGGCAACCACACCACCTGAATCACTACTACTAGTAGAAGGCAAAGACCCTGTTTCGCTTGTTGTTGAAGATGGTTGCATGGTGTTCATGTTGAAAGAAGAATAATAATTACACAAAAAGTAGCGGTGTTACAGATCGGTTGGATATAATCTTCCTAGTCGTGTGTGGGCTTTAAATTAAACAGTATTTGCAATGATGATAATTGTTGTTGTTGTTAAGGAGGTTGACATATAAAGCGTGATGATCAAGCTGATGATGTTCTCTCGAATAATTGCTATTGCTGACAGTTAGGGAAAACAACAATGAGAATGAGCTAACAACGAAGATGTATGGTACAACTCTAAAAGGTTGAAATTGGAGCGCTCTGGTTGCTAGTTTCAGTTACTATTAGCAGGTGGTGGGTGGGTGATTCAATGATTCGGGATTCCAATGTTGTTTGAAGGAAATTGATAAACTGATGGTGATGGATTGGAGTTGTGCACAACAATGAGTGGAGATGTTGATGATGATGGCTTCTCAGTTGGGGACAAAGAGAGAGAGAATATGCATACCCGACTTCCACTACAACAACAACAACACTCTGGTTCTCTTCGTTTGTGAGGTGAACAAGCAGAGAAACTTTTTTTGAAGAAAAACCTGATTGATGATTCCTTGCGCCCTTGATGGTGGCAGTCAAACAACTTATCTGGTTTTTTGTATTACCTTCTACCAAATAACCTCACTGGGACATTCAATTGTCAAATAAGTTATTACGTGCTTGTGTGTGTTTATTGAAGGCAAAAGAAAGCTCATCTCGATATCTGAACATTACTCATTATCAAAGCTAAATTCTTCTTCACCTTCTGCTGTGGCACGAGAAGAACTTGCCATATATTCGTCTTCATCTTCATCCTCAACAGTCCTAGCGGGTTGATGTTGTTCAACTTGGAGGTCTTCATCTTCCATATATTCTTTGTCCTGCTCAGGCTCTGCAGTTTCGTCAGCTTTCTTCTTGAGACGGGACTTCTTCTTTGAGGAGTCTTTTTTGCTCTTTTTTTCTTTAGGCTCTTTGCTCTTCTTCTTTTTCTTGGTTTCTGGTGGTTGTTGATCGTCTCCTTGGGTAACTACTCCCTCATCAACCTCCTTCTTCTTTCTCTTCTTGGTTTTCTTTGATTCTTCTACCTCTTCACCTCCTTCATCTGCGGCGCTTATGGCTGCTGATCGCATAATATTTTCAATCTTTTCAATGTTTTCCATGTAAATTCTTTTCATCTTCTCTTCTCTTTCTCTTCTTTCACGCTCCTCTTCTTCCAATCGCCTTTTATTTTCTTCCTCGAGAAGCTTGAATGCCTGTTCTTGTTTTATCTTTAATGACTCTCTTGCTTTTTCCTCATTTTCTGCTTTTTCTCTGTATTTCTGAATTTTCTCTCGTACTTTTGAGTCCAGAATTTTGATGTACTCGTTTGCTTTGTGAATGACAACAGGATCAGGAAGCGAGAATTCACTAGATATCTTTTTCTGTTGTTGCTGTTGTTGGGATGCATTAATGTCCTTATTAGATATTTCTTTAAAGAGGTCGAGTGCTTTGTGTAAATACTCTTCCAATAATTCAGCATTTTGCAAGGACTTATTCTTTTGACTTGTGATGGTATTAATCTTTTCATAGTATGTAATGGCAAAATTATACTTGACAGTGAGGTTGTTTGAGTCAATTTTTTCAATTTTAGAGAGTGTATCCAAACACGAATCATAATTGGCATTGTCGAAGTAAGATTTGGCAAGGAATGCCAAAACAAGAGTATTCTCATCGTTGAAGAAACGTTTTGAACATGTCGAATAGAGCTTTTCAGCTTGAGCATATTGCTTTTGAAGCATTGCTAAATGTCCCAGGTTAATATATGTCTCTGGATTCTCTTTCTTGTCGTTGTAGTCTCCAACACAAACTTCACGAACTCGGTTCATAAGGGCCTTTCCGTCTTCTGTGTAACCATTTTCACACAAAACACAGCCACTATTCATGGTGGCGTACAGATTGCTTCCATCCAGTTTCATAGCTTTCTCAAAAAATCCAAGTGCATACTCGAGATACTTTTCAATCTTTGCATGTTCCTTTTCGTATTTCTCATCATTGGTCTTAGTGGGAACTCTTAAAGAGCGGAAGTAAATATTACCTAATCCTAAAAGAGCGTAAATATCATTCTTTTCAATGTTCTGAACAATGTATTCGAAGGCTTTTTGGGCTTCAGTAAAATTGTTTTGTTCTAAAAATGTTTGACCTAGGAAAGACCATGTCACAGGATTGGTTGGTTCTAGTGAAGTTGTCAACTTGCAAAGTTGAATAGCCTTATCATAGTTTCCTTTGGCTTGTTGAATGCTAGCAATTCTAAGATAGGCATTGATGTAGCTTGGATGCTGGGCTGCAATCTTGAGAAATAGTTTTTCTGCTGTGTCATATGCTTTTGTGCGTTCATATAATCGAGCGATGTTGTACACTAATGACAAAGTAGTAGTATCAATGGACTGCTCTTCCAAGTCATCCAAATTGTCAAGAGCCTTGCAATTGGTTAGAGATAAAGCTTTTTTAAAGTTATTCTCAGCCTCTTGGTATTGACCAAGTTGATATTGGTGCACACCAATATTGTTGTAAAGCTCAAATGAAATAGATGTGCCTCGTTCTTCCAAAATTTCTTGCCCTTTTTTCAAGTTTGCTAGAGCTTGTTGTGTATTGCATCTCTCATACTCTCCTATCCTTATCAAGGCATCTAGATCTTCTGGATCCTTTTTTAATACCTTTTTAAAGTATTTGATTGTCTTTTTAGGATCTCTTTTTCTTGCATACAGTTTGCCCAATATACGATTAGTTTCTAAATTTTCAGGTTCTGTCTTCAAAACAGTTTCGAACTCATTAATAGCGTTATCAATCTCATTTCTTTGAATGTACATTTGGCCAAGACCATAATGAGCAAGGGTGTGACCAGACCAATGTGAGGAAATTATACGATAGTAAAATCCGAATGCTCGACTGTACTCTTTTTCAATGTGATATGCTCTGGCAATATTGTAGCAGCTTTCTGCTTTGATCTTGTTTGCTGTTGAGTTTTCAAAGGCAGTGTAAGAAAGTTGCAATGCCTTATCGGTGTCTTTCTTGAAAATGAAGTGATTTCCTAATAGATTTAAAACTTGAGGATTTGTTGGGTCTAACGAATAAGCCTTTCTTAGGTTATTTTTCACAGCATTTTGTACAAGATTTTCATCGTTCGAGTTCAAATCCATAATAGCTAGAGAAACAAGAGCAGCAACATTGTTTGGATCAAGCTTTAAGACTCTTTCAAAACATTGTCGAGCTCTTTGATAATTCTCCAGTTGGTAATGGCACATTCCTAATCCAAGTCTAATATCTGCTGGTCCTTGTGGATTTAATCTCATACATTGCTCATAGATTGCAAGTGCTTCTTTGAAATGACCCTGATTATATCGGACACAACCCATTCCAAGAAGAGCCGGAATATTGTTTTTATCGACAGTCAATACGTAATCAAACTTTCCTTCTGCTTTGTCCACTTCTCCGAGATTTAAGTGAAGCACAGCTCGCGAAAGAAAGTTGGTTACTTTCGAAGGATTTAACTGTTCAGCTTCTTGGATTAATTTTTCAATTTCATTTCTAATCTCTTCTCTCCTATTCTGTGATGCATCATCCGAAATATTCTTGTCATTACTACTTGAAGATACTTTGTTATATCTTTCGATTTGATATCCAGCTAAAATGTTTAATACTTCAACTTTAGCTTCAGTATATTCATACTGTCCATAGTAATCATTGAAGGATGACTCGGATAGCAATCGTTTCAACAGTTTTTCGAAAAGATCAATCCTATTGATTTGATAGTACAAGACAGCTATTCTAATGAAACAATCCAAGGGAGGCTTTTCGTCAAACAACAAAGATTCTATTTCTTCGAAAGCATCATTCACCAAATCAACCTGAATCACCACACCATCACTTGACGGAACATCGAAGGGTACCGATGTATTCGAACTTGTAAATGATGATGAGGTATTCATTTTTGTATTTTTTTTGGTTTATCAAAAAATTTATTCGTGTTTGTGCACAGTGGTGGTATTGTTGTTCTCTCCGAAAGTGAGTTGTTGATTGAAATCATCACACCCTATTGGTAATCCAAATGTGGTCCACTTAATCATTGCTGGTGCAACTTTCTTTCCAATGGATGTAGCAATGACGATGGCGAGATGAGATGACGTTGTTGTTGCAGTGGTTGTTGTTGTACACAAGATTGCTCTCCTGAATTGGCTCCATAACGAGATGGTTTAGGTGTGATTTCACTCATCATAAACTCTTCACTTTCATCTTCCGATAGAGCCTGACTCTTCTTGCGATTTTTCATGGAGGAAGAAGATTGGTTGACCAATTCCGAAATGACAACATCTTGTTCAGCCTTGGCGAATGGAGAGGAATTTTCAGAGGGTGGAGTCATACTTTGCAAGACTTTTCCGCTTGATGGTGTTTTGGAGGAGTGAGGCTTGAGAACGATTGGAGGAAGTTTAGGCATTGCCATATCATCATCGCTATCGTCCATATCAAGAGCTTCGATCAGCTTGACCTCCTCAATTAAATCTTCATAAAAGTCGGAAATCACTTTGAAGTACTTCTCTGTAAAGGTGTCATGATCATCCGAATATTGTTTTTCCAAGATGACACAAACTTGATACACCTCCTGCATTCTCTCCTCTATCACTACCTTGAATTGCTTTCGTTGGCACGGATCTCCTTTAAACTCCTTGAAGAGAGAGCACAACTCTTTGTTGCAATTCACGAGCCAAGGCTTTGCAATTCCCAAATCAAGAAATTTCTCTCCAACACCACATTTAATAGTTCTACAAGCTTTGTGCGAAATTCTACATAATGGACAAACATGAGTAACTTTCAGTGATTGAACCTTAGATTTGCCTGCTGAGGACATTGGAACCAATCTCTTCGTCTAAGGTCAACTGAGGTTCTTAATGATTTTTTTATGGATGCGACGATCTGTAAATTATTGGTCTACTTGCTTCAACAACTCGAGAGTCTTGTATTTATGATAGTTGCTTCTTTACAACCAGAAGATCATCCAACAACATCTCAAATCTCATTGTCCAAAGGATTATTAAAAAATGAGAACAACGCGTTCATCATCATTACTGTGGATAATGAGAACCCTCTTCTTTAACAACCTACAACCTTTGTTGTTCCGAACAAGGGTTCCTTCTCGCGATGATACCTCCTTTGAAGAGATAGTTTTGAACAATATTGATGTCGAGAAGCTAACACGAATACCATTTGAAGTAAATTTGGCATCATTGAGAGAAGAAAACGAAGAAATAGTGCAAAATATGTCAATGTTTATCAAAAGATTTTTGGGATCATTTATGTGGAGTCTCATTCCTTTATTTATTTCGAAAATATGTCAATTGGCACAAACGGTGTTGGTGAGCCATATTTTAATGTTAATAGAGACCAGAGGTTCCAGATTCGGGATGGATCAAAATAATGATTTTCACTACTACGATACGTCTTTGACACTGTGTTGCTTTTTATTATTTATGAATCGATTACTTATTGGCATTACATTGCGATGGCATTTTAATGTACAGAACATATTTTCACATCAAATTAGCTATTATTTATATTCTTCGAGTTACATGAAATGTATTAGAGCACAAAAAAGAGTTGGTCTCAACATATCTACAATATCCAGTGAAGTTTCTCAAATTGAGAAATCAGTGTCACAAGCTCATAGCTTGGTTTCTCATCTCTTTCATTTACTTGGAGCGATGGCAATCATTCATTATCAATATCAAAGCACGTTCATTACTACAACCTTTATTATTATTTGTAGTTTGAGTATTCCACTTAACATGGCTCTACAATCAAAGAACAGCTCATACACTAACATGAAAACATATTATTCAAATCAAAGAATTAATTTATTGTCACATTTCTTGAATTGCTTCAAACAAGTCAAGTCTTTTGTGTGGGAATCAACAGTTATAGAGAAAATAACACGATTAAGAGATACAGAAGCCTTTTATTTATTTAAATTGTACTGGGTTGATAACATCATTGCTTGCATATGGTATATTTTCCCGTTTGTGATTGCAAGCTCTCTTCTCCTCGCGTCCAAATTAATGGAAAGAACAACGGATGAAAAAACAATATTCACGATTTTGATTTTATTGGATGGAATTTCAGTGCCAATATTTGAGCTTCCTAAATGTCTGAATCAGGTACTATATGCTTCTCAATGTCTGGAACGGCTTGGGAACTTGTTACGCTCAATGCAAGTTGACGGGGTTCCCTTGAGTGAAAATGCAGAAAGCAAACTTGACACCAACATTTTACTTATACCACAACATAGCGCTTTGACAATATCAGGAAAGGCGAGTAAGGTTTCAATAGTGACACCATTTTTCATAAGACCAAAAGAATGGATATCTTTGCGAGGTAGAACATCCTCAGGGAAAACGTCACTCATAGTGTCGATTTTAGAAAGAATAGCAAAGGTTTCCAACACAAATAGCAACATCCAAATCAGAAATAACTTGAACATCATATATTCTCCACAAGATCCATTTATTATGAATGACACGATCAAGGAAAACATAGTTTTTGGGCTACCCTATCAACAACACATTTTCGAGGAAGCTGTAAAGGATTCACAGCTCGAGTTTGACTTAACTCAATGGGGCTCGCAAGACTGCAGTAACAAATTATGTGGTTACTTTGGAAATAATTTATCAGGCGGACAGAAAATTAGGATCAATCTTGCTCGATGTTTATACAGATTTTATTATCTCAAAGAAGCCAAGCAAGATACGACATTCTTATTGATATTTGATGAATTATTTAATGCGCTTGACCCTACAGTGGCAGAAGTAGTCATGGACACGCTAGTGAATACCCTTAAAGACGTTCCAAATGTTAGCGTGTTTTTCACATCGTGTGATAATAGATATGACCATCTTATGGATCGAGTGTATGATGCATCCGAAGGAAATATTTCAGAAGGAATGATTAAGAAAGACGAAAGAGTAATAGATGGCTCTACTTTAACACGAGGACAATTTAAACGATCTCATAGTGATTTGAGAATGGACGAATCAAAGCCATCTCAATCAGAGAGAGGCACCGATAGTCAGATGGGATTGTATGATATCGCAAAATTCTATTTGCTGTCACAAACAAACATACTCACAGCATTTACCGTGCTTTCACTTTTAGGCATTTCTCAGGTGTTTAAATCCTCAACAGGAATTGTATTTTCGAATTTTAACTCATACACATATTTATTTCTGTTATTAGGATTAGTAAGAATATTGGTAGAGCTTGGATTGGGATATTTTTGGAGCTTGAAATGTTATAGAACTAATTCAAAAATTCATGAAAATGCTCTGTACAAGATATTACATGTTCCGTTACGATTTTTTGTAGACTCTTCAAGTACGAAACGAAAAGCCGAAAAGAATGGTAGATACGGAGATGTGATTGAGAGATTTTCAACTAACATGACAAGTCTTGATAGATCCATACCATGGTTGTTAAAGGAGGCATCTCAAAAGTATTTAGAGTGTTTTGGTTCGCTTGCAACATTACTTCTGTATGTCTCTGAAGCAAATCTATTGGTTGTCTTCTTCTCCTTTCTTATCATGCTAGCAATTATTTTGTACTCGAGGAAATATTACATATTATATTCAAAAACGAGAGATGACATGTCCCTCTTACTTTCAGAAAAACGAGCCATGATGTCACAGTTTTTCATGGAGTCTACACATCCTACTGCAGTTTTAATGATTCAGGTGTACAATCAAGTGCCTTACTTTTACCAAAAATTTACACGAAGTGTGGCTCATACAATGAATATTTCATACATATTCAACAGTTGTACAGACTGGTTAGGAGTTCGCTTGGAATGTTTAATCTCATTACTGCTATTTATTCCTTTCATGTACCTTATTCAAGCAGTATGTGAAGGAGATTGTGACTCTCTTCACAAACAAAAACTTTACTATGCTGGAATTTTGCTTTCTACCTGCATTGAATTCTTCAACAGATTTTTATGGACTCTTGTCGTGACTACACGAGTGGAGTCTGAATTACCTTTCATTGGTAAAATCATTGAATACGGCAATTTACAAACAGAGCAAGAAGAACAAGGAAATGAACGTATGTCATTAACTTCCACCACATGTTATGCACAACTGGAATTAGAAAGGGTAACCTTTGAAAATATTCTTTCCAATTTATCTTGCCAATTTAAAGAAGGAGCAATTAATGGTATCATTGGAAGAACAGGAAGTGGGAAAAGTTTTACACTTTCTCTGATTCATAGGTTTTGGTTTCCACTTCAAGGTAAAATATTACTTTGCGATCGTGATATATTTGAATACGATTTATACTCTTATCGATCCAAAGTGGCCATGATACCTCAAGATACAAGTTTTTTACTTGGAAGCTCTTTACGAGAACATGTGGATGAGTATGAATTGTTTTCAGATTCAGATATTTTACAAGCATTTAAAACAGTTGGAGTGGATCACATGACTAGTGAGGATTTGAATGTTGTCATCAACAAAGAGGATGATATGAAGATTGAAAAAGTAATGATTTTTCTTGCAAGAGTGTATCTACTAGTCACCAAATTGACAGACATGAATCCAAAGAAACCAAAAATTCTCATGTTGGACGAAATTACTGCATCTATGGATATTCATCGTACTAGAAATGTCATTTCTTGTGTGAAATTGTTGTGTACCAAATATGATCTCACAGTATTATGGGTTACACATCAGTTGGAATGTTTGAGAGCTTGTGAATATTTAGTTTGTTTAGATAATGGCCAAATTGTCGAAAGTGGTCTTGTGGATGAGTTACTTAATGATCCAGACTCAAAAAGTTATTCTCTATTTAGAATATCGAATGGGAACATGTTCAATACCAAATTATCGTTTTGAGTGTCATGTGCATTCGATCACTGACTCATATTTAATCACTTTCACTGCTGTCATCACTGTCATCACTATCATCATCATCATTGGAAGAATCAGAATCATCAAGATCACTATCTTCTAAATCACTATCCAAATAGGACTGTTGAGAAGAAGCAATGTTACCAAACTTGCTTTCATTCTTCTTATTCTTTCGATAGAGAAATCGAAGTTTGAGACTTGTAATAATCTTCTGTGCCAGTTTGGTATTCTTAAATCTCATGAAATCTCTGGCCATGACAATGAGGACCACCATGATTGCAAAGCTCAAAATGAGAACTGAACTAGGATCAGAGAGAAGAGTATAATCAAACTTTGTGGGATACAATTGTGAATTCACACAATATCTTCGAGATCTCCTGTAGTCTCTATTTCGTGTGAAAATGGCATTGCTTTGAAGGTAGAGATAGTCTTGGGATGAAAAATCAGTGTATTCTACTCCATCCTTACATACTTGACACGTTCCTTGAATACATTCTAAACCATCGAAACCACAGGAATGAGAGATTTGAAGACCTTTCGATGAAAAGGGATGAATCACATCCGAACATTGCTCGCCATGTAAGGGATGCTTGATAAGAGATCGACACGTTCCACTCTCATCGCAATAACTTCCCACAGGACATTGATAGTCACTCAGTGGCAAGTTGCTTGCACTTGGTTCCGAACATTGTCTTCCAAAGACGGTCATTTTACAGAGTACGATTTTATAATTGAAGGACACACTGTTGGTTGTATAGTCGTAAAATAAGGAACGTGATGGAACACATTCACCACATACTGGTTCGCTTGATGTCTTGTTCGGGTAGAAAAAACCCTTATTCATGGGGCAGTTCTTGTTAAGGGTTGAAATGTCTTTGCGCAAGGCTATACTCTCTTCAATGACACCTTTGCAATCACCTTGTTTTTGCCCCTCGTTGTAGGTGCATGCTGAAGCAAAACAAACATTTATGCACTCAAGATTGAAAACGAAAAAGATGGTAATAATAATAAGCATCGAATTGTTTTGTGTCATTTGTTTGTATTAGGAAATTGCTTTTTTTGTTAGATCTAACAAAAAATTTTATTGTTTTGGGATAAATTTGTTGAATTACGAAAACATGTTTTAAAATCCTATCCAGCTTACAATTATTGTTTTCTAATTTCAGAAGTACAGTCTAAAATATTAATCATTTCTTTTTCCATTGATTTTTCACCACAAATACACGTAAAAACGAATGCCTTTCTTGAGTTTCTCAACACTGTAATGAGAGAATGGGGTTTGGATGTATGCTGAGTGGTGAGTAAATCCACCAATGTTTTTGTTGCAGAAATTTCAACAAACACAATTTTGCTGGAAAGCCTTTCACCTGTGACTTTGAAAACTCTGTCAATCATAAGAGTCACTATTAAGTGTGAATCATCTCTTTTCTTTTCGTGTTCAACATTAGAAAGAACCAAGTCCAAAGATGAAGCATTCCTAAGGACCGTGAAGTCTTTTGTTGTAACCTGAAGATCATCTCCGAGCTCTGACACTTCGCATATGACAGTTGTGGTTTGAGTTGCTCGAGAGCTTTCTGCTTCTTGGAAGATAAAGTCCAGAGTTTGAGGAAGAAGACCCTTCTCGTTAGCTGTACCATATAGAGTATATGTTTTTCCACATGTATTTGGTCCAGTGGCTAGAATACACATATCATCACCTTCCATGCTGCTTCTTACAGCATCCTTAATTTCATTAAAAACTTCGGTTTGACCACCAACACAAATTGAATCAAATTCATAATTCTTGCTTCCAAGAGATAAAATGTTCTTTCCTTGGATATGTACAAGCTCTTCGTTTGATGGTTTGCATCTGGCCATAAATCTTAACCTTTGTTTCATTTGAGCTATTCCTAACATCCTTTGATCTGTTTGAATATGAACAATTCTTTTTTCGATTTGTCCACACATTCCTCGTTGTTCTTTGAGTTGAAGTGCTAATTTTTGAAGGGCGTTTTCGTCTCTTTGAGATGAGTTAAGCGCTTCTATTACCATTTCTACAGAGTTAGCAACGCTCTGAATGTTACTTCTAGTGACATTAATTTGCTCAAAAAGTTTTTCATTAAATGCGCAGGCTCTATCGTGTTCTTCTTTCAATTGTTTGTATCTTTCTGCCTGTGCCTTGATTTTAGATTCATAGTCCAACCTTACTTTTCTAGTGTCCATCTCAGAATTCTTTTTCAGTTCAGAATTCACCAGTTCCAATATAGTAGCTTTATGAGAGAGTTGTTCATGGTGCTGAAGAATTTTCTTCATTTCTGCCACTTGTTTTTTCTCTTGATCAAGCTCTTGCTTTGTTACAAGAATTTCGTATTTAAGATCGTCGTTGTGCTTGATTGCATGCATCTTTTCGGAAACAGCCTGTTGAAGCTTTTTCTCCAGCTCCTTGAATAGCTCGTGTCTTCTTTCTGGATCCGTATTCTTACATAAAGAAATTTCATCTTCCAAAATTTCAATCTTCTGTAGTAACGACTGGATGTGATGATCTCTTTCCTCGAGATGAACATTTGACTGGCTAAGTTGCATCTTAGTTTCTTCAAGAGTTGTTGTAAGGAAACTTCTATCTTCCTTCAAGGTTGAATGTTCCTTCATCAGTATCTCATATTTATCCTGTAGCTCAGACAAGGCCTCTTTGTTCTTTTTGCTAGAGGACTTGTATTTTGTTAGTAACCTCTTATATTTATCAAGCTCAACATCCAGAGGTGTGTCTAATGCTCGTTTTATGATCAGATCATGATTTTCTTGTTCCAACAGCTCTATCTTTTCATACTGCTCCCTGATAATATTTTTAATCCTATCCAGCTCAACTTGTTTATGAGTTTTCATATCTTCAAGTTCTTTAGTGGCCTGTTCCAATAATAGTGTCAATCTCTGTTTCTCTTGTTCCAATGGTGCATGTTGATTCGAGATGTGCTCTCTTTCTTCTTTGAGAGTCTGTAATTCTGCTTTAGCTTTGTTAAAGTCAGATTCCATGTTCGAAAGGACCTGTTGAACGTCATGCAACTTTTCTTCGATCTCTTTGGTCGTGTTCTCTTTTACCCTTAGAGATTCCTCTAATATATTGATATTTTTCATTAGATCCTTTTCAACTCGTTCCTTGTGTACGATCTCTCTTTCTGCTTGCTCGAACTTTTCTTTCCATAAAGACGCTTCATGAGAGTCCTTTGCTGCATTTGATAATCTTTCAACTTCTTTTTCCAAAACATCGTTTCTATCCTTCCACATTCTGGTATCTTTTTCGCTTTTTTCAATTATGTGTGTTTTCTCCAGAACTACCGTTTCTAGTGACGATATTTTTTGAGATAAATCACTAACTTGCGATTTGAGGGATTCCTCTTGCTTTTTTTGTGCGTCTATTAGTTTAAGCTTTTCAGATTCGAGCTGCTTAATTACAATGGTTAACCTGTGATTCTCTTTTTCAAGATCAGAAGAGTTGTCAGTACGTTCGGAAACAACTTTCAAAACTTCAGCCAATTCCTCTCGATGCTTGTTTTCTAATTGTTGCAGCAATTTGTTCACCTCCTTTTCCACTCGGGCAAGATTGATTTTGTATTGATTCTTGTTGAATTCAATTTTGTTGATCAGGCATTGCACTTCATTTTCTCTAATTTTCTCCAATAGTAAGAATTCCTCGTTGAATGTTACCAGGAGTTCATTTTTCTCTTTTAGAATTTCACGACATTTTTCACATTGATGGTCTTGTTCCGAGTCTGAGGTTTGGACAGGATCATCCTTTGTTTCAACTTGGGTTTGTTGGGCGTACTTGGTTTTCATTTCATCCAAAATTTGGATATATTGTTGTACCTTTTGTTTGGTAAAGTTGAGGGGAACATAAATCTCGTTTTCTAGTCTAATGGAATTCTGACTTGTTTCAAAATCTAAGGACTGCAATGAGCTTACGATGTTCTCGTTCAGATGTTTTGGGAGTTCCATCGAGATATTTGATGATTCAATAGAACAGGCCGTGGGTGTAGATGATACATCTTCAGAGTTCTTCTCGGAGCCCGATTTTTCGTCCATATCCTTTCCTATATTAACTGAAGACATGGCTGATTCTTCTTTTTCTTGGAAGCTATTGGATGATTGAAAGGCTTCTTTCAAAACAGATGGAGTGGATGTGTTGCTTGTTGTTCCGGTACCCATCATCAATTCGTCATTGATACCACCCGTAGATAATGATGATGATGGATTTGGAGCATCTCCTCCTTCGGGTTCATCCTTCTTCAGCCAAACATTGAGGTTGCTAAAACTCATCTCCATATCGAGATTTCTACAATACAATATTTTCTAGTGCTGAGCTTTGGGAAGTGAGGCTTAATTTTTTTAAGGGTGTTGTTAGTCATGGCCGTTACAAAATATTTCTGTAAAATATATTCTGCTGAGGTCCATTGAATAAATATGGCAGGTCGATAATGACCAAGCAAAGAAAGGAGCAGATAATAGATAGCCATCTTTTGGATTTTGGGTCGCATCACTATGCTAGAGGTAAATAAATAGCAATTTAAAGTGGACAATTCATTTTTACACACTCTTCCAAAAAAACAAAACAACATGAAACTCTCTTCCATCACTTTGTGTCTTGTTATTTTAGTTTGTCTCAGCTTGTCTGTCTTGGCAGCTCCATCTCGTCGACACAAACGAAAACAGGCTGTATCAGGAGGAGAAAACGTTTCAGCCAATGAATTCCCACACCTGGTCTCTCTTCAATACTCTCCTACCGAAGGTAGAGCCCCTCAACACTTTTGTGTAAGTACATTTTGGTTCATAATGTCTCGTAACCAGTCGTTATTGCTTTCTAGGGTGCAAGTATCATCAGCAAACGTTGGTTGATCACTGCAGGTCACTGTGCAGCTGTTGATGGAATGGATTCATCCAAAATAAGAGTTGTTGCTGGAACCAATAATAAGGACAATTGTCAATCGTCCAACTCTGGATGCGTTGTAAGATCGGTCTCTAGAGTTATTGTCCATCCAAACTACAACAAGGATTATATCAGAAACGATTTGGCACTTATTCAATTATCTGCTGATTTGCCATTCAGCGAAAACATTAAACCAATAGCATTCGAAGGTGGAAGTATTCCTTGGGAAACCGTGCTCACTGTTGCTGGTTGGGGTCTGACTACCGATGGATCACGAGATTTACCAACAATTGCGCAAAAGGGTTATCTTCCATTAAGAACAAGCTCTGTATGCAATGCACAAGGTCTTGACATGCAATCTCCATGGCAATTATGTGCAGGAGAAGGAAGAGGTATTAACTCATGCCAAGGTGATAGCGGTGGTCCATTATTCTGGAAGAGACAATCCACACAAAATCCTTCAGATGTTGTCATGGGTTTAGCCGGTATGGTTTCTTATGGTCCACAAGGCTGTGGTCGTCAAGGCTCATACAGTGTCTACACCAATGCCACCTACTGGATTAACTATGTGAAAAATTATGTGAGCGACATTAATATTGTCTACTACTCAAATCCTACTCCATCTCCTTCTCCATCTCCCTCACCTTCTCAGCCTTGTGTTTGTTCACAAAGCGAAGCAAGAACTGACTCGAACATTACACCTACACCACAACCCATTCCAGATGACGGAGCAAAGAATAACAACACTGACGAGCCAATACCACCCAATCAAGAGCCAAATCTTGCCAAGGTGGAGATCAATGCTTCAACCTAGAACCTTCCTCCAACAAAATTGAATGAGGATTGTGAATGTTGCACGCGATCATGAAAAAGCTTGTCCCTGTAATTTTTCCAATAAAACAACAAGAACGTCAAATGAACAATAAATTCAGTCAATTCAATGAAATAGCCTTGTTGAATGTTGTCATTAACAATGTGGATAATCGCACTACAGTTGGTCTGTCATTTCTTTTGCACGAGTCTCGTAAGGCTGCTTTTCTTCAGAGCTCATGCTTCTCCACATTTCTTCTAATTTTTTCCTAACTTCAAAGAATGTGAGCTCTGGATTTGTTTCTGCAATGCGAGGTCTGTTTTCTTTGCAAAACAGAATGAAAGATGTACTGGATACAGATGGTTCATTGATGCCTCTCGAAGATGTTATTGGTGTTGGTAGTTCATCATCGTCAGACTCAGTATCAACAAATGTCTCTCCAAGTAAATCACCGCTACTTGCTTTTCGTACAGGCTCATCTGATTTAGTAAGAGATGAATTTTCAGGAAGAATGTGTCCTGTAGAGTGGCTTTTCTTTGTATCCTTGGTTTTAGGAACAGCTCTATTTGAATAACCAAAGTGCTGTGAGTCATCACTCATTGTATCCTCAGTGATAGGGTTAGATTGTGTTTGTACATCAACAGATATCGTTGTCTTTTTAGAAATCGTTTCTTCTTTTTTCTTGTTGTCTTGCAAATTTGTTGGAGTGGCCTTGATCTCTTCACCTTTATCCTGCTTTAGGAATTCTCTAAATTTCAAATATTCTCTCCAAATGCTGTAAATTTTGAGAACAACTTCAATCGCAATTATCTTATTCACAACAATAGTAACAAAAATCATAACGCTTAGAATTAGAAGTAAATAGAGCCACGATGAAACAAAATCGAAAATTTGAGCAATAACTCCAGACGATGCTCCAGATGAAGGTGAAAATGCAGAAATAAATACATCTCTTGCCAAATCTCCCATAAAGAAGCCAAGGCAAGCAACAATTATGAGGAGAAATTGAGGATTGTTTTGGTAGTATTTTTGTTGCTCTGAAATAATTTTCTTCATCCAAGTCACATTCTCGTGTTCTAATGTTGAAGAGTCATGAGTATCAATAGTAGGGGTAGAGGTCACTATTTCTTCTTCTGATGTTTTGGCAGTTTTACTCTCCCCAATAGCTTTGTTCCAAATGAAAAGAGAAAATCCCATTAAAATAGAAAAAAATAGAAAGCATAAAGTTCTGAATTCTTGAGTGAGAATGTGAGTAAATACTTGATATCCTCCAAGAGCCCAACTCATGCATAATGAAAAGACACCTGCTGTTATGACACACAAACAGATAAGAATAATGTTCAATTCTCTCATGAAACTGGCTCGCCAATACGGTATCTGTTCTTTCATGAAATCTTTTGTGATCACCGTAATACTGTCTCTGATTGTTGAATCAATTCTGCTCATATTTTGATCGACGCTTTGATCAAGCTGCACAGCCAACCTATTTGCTGTATTGTTTAAACCATTTTCTAATTTATGACCTAGATGATAGAAAGCTCTTTCGATACCGATACCCCATTCAGCAAACCCCTCTACAACGGTTTCTTTTAAAACCTGTGAATATTTGTCCATTTCCTTCGACATCTTTTTACCACTTGAATTGATATTCTCTCTAATACTTGTTGTAATATCATCAGTACAATTCTTGAGAGATTCTTCAATACAAGCTCCGAGCACTTTGGCTGCCTCCTCACCAAATTGGCTTGCACTTTTGACCAGCACTTGTGATGGAGCTCTGGTCAGAGCTTCTAAAACGTATTCCATTTTGATTTCGGTATATTATATTTACAATTATCGATCAATGATTATTCCCAATTTTTGTATGGTGTTGTTATGAGAGTTCAATGAGGTGTCGTGAATTGAAATATGAGGAAGATAATCAAAATGATGATGATTCTGAACTTCCGATGATCAAATTACAACGTATTTTTTTAAAAAAACTTTAATTTTTGTTGATTGATGCATTCTTACTCTCCAATCGTCACAGATAAGGAAAAACCAGAAGCAAGTTTTCTAATGTTCGAAACATTTGGATGAAGCACACGAACAAATCTCCCCTCAGCATTGATTCTTGATCCCTGACCTAATTGATAACTTGATCCACATCCAATAGCATACAAATGTTCATTCCCAACTCGAATGAAACTATGATGAAATCCACTCTCGAGGAGTGTGATTCGATTTCCAGAAGAATTTTCAGTCTTGTTGATTTCAAAGTGAATTCGTTGAGGTGTTGGTGTTGGAGAAAAGAAAATATGACTTCCCCACCCGACAATCTCTTGCTCACATGAATCAGTATTGAATAACACAACAATACTATGAGTCATTCCACTTGAAATTTTTTCAATGACATTGTTTTTGTCAACTGGCATTTCTACCAGCTGCCATCCAGACGAATATTTAGAAGGAATTCCAAGTTGACCTTCATTTCCTCTGCCAACACTGTAAACCTTGTCTTTCGTGTAAAGAATACTATGTGAAATTCCGCAACTCATTCCCAAAACATCTGAACCTTTCACACCCTTTGGTAAAAGAGCTTGCGTTATTTCATTTTGATTAAATGTGTGTCCAAGTTGAAGTTGAAAAAATTGATTTTGTCCCCAACAAAATAATTTTTGCATTCCATCTGTTGTTCTACATTTCATGAAGGTATGCCTCGGACCACAATACAAGTCATGAATTTTCTCAATATCAAGAGAATTTGTTTCAATGATACGAGGAGTGTGAACAACACCAGTCCTATTGTAACCCAACCCAAGCTGAGAAGAATCATCAAGTCCAAAAACATAGAGAGTTTTTTCATCAGTCGCTAATGCAATGGTTGAATCTCTGAGACTGTAGATTTTCTTGATTGGATGTTTTAATTCGATTTTTGTTGGCTCAGCTGCAAATGGAATTTCTTTTGGGTTGTGTCCACATTGTCCATATTGATTATTTCCTTTTAAAAATTAAATATTTAATTTCAATCCATTTAAATATTTAAATTCAAGAATGAAATTCTTCAATTAACTTTAAAATACAATTCTTCACATTAATTACCTAACGCATATAAATTTCCAACATCAGAAAGAAAGATTACATGTTCGGATCCGCAACATATATCTACAATCTTTTCTCCTCCAAAATATGATTTTGAAGGCGTATTTGTGAATAATTTCGTTGGTTTTAGAATTTTCTCATCTCCTATCGATCCCCATATGTAAATTTCATTATTGTTGGCACCGAGGAGAGAACTCGACGATGTCGAGTACGATCGTTGCTTGCAAGCAACCAATTTCAAATGATGACGTGAAAGGCTTCGAAAGAATTTTTTCATTTTGTATTAATTTATTCTTCTGCAGGTGGTAATTGACCTTTTTCTTCTAATTCTAACAACCTCATTTGTTCTTCAATTTCGCTTTCAGTCAGTGACACTTCATCCTCATCAATTTCACCATCATGATCGTCATCATGTTCAATATCAATATCAAATTCAACATCTGCTTCTTCTTCTAATCTTTTCTTTTCTTCTTCTTCTTGTTTTCTTTTCAATTCTTGTTGCTGCAGTTCAAAGGCCTTTCTGATTTTCTCTTGCTCTTCATCTGCCTTTAATTTTTCCTCTTCTCGTTTTTTCTGTTCTTCCTCAAAGATCCTGAGAGATTCCTCCATGGCTTTTTTAAGCTCTTCCTCTTCTTGTTGTTTCTGACGTAATGCTGAGAATGCACCCATTCCTCCAAACGGCATTCTTCCATAATCAATAAATGGTTCAGCTTGTTCACACTCTTCCAATAATTCACGAGCTTCCTTATTATTAGGTTGAAGTTCTAAACACTGTTCTAAATATTGTTTGGCTTGGAATGCTTGACCTAAGGTGTATAAACATTTTCCTTGCAAATAATAGGATTTTGCGTTTGGTATGAAGCGATTTGCCATCTATTCATTGAAAAAAGGTTCCAAAATTATTCGAAATTTGTGTAAAATTACTTACTGCCGCAGCCTTGAATGCATTCACAAAGTTATTGAGTCTCATCAATGTGAGAGCTGCATTATTGTACGTATCCACCACAATGTTTGTGAGTTTTTTTACGTCCTCTCTTTCAAGTTTAAAATTATCACAAGCGACAATTCAACTTCACCCACATATTTCTTTGTGGGTAATGCTACTTACTTTCTGACTTTTAACTCATCCTCCTTGTTCAAGTAAACAAACCAAATCTTGAGAGTCTCATTATAAAAGTCAATTGCCTGGAGCGTAAAAGTGGATAATGAAAATATTGAAATTTTTGTGTTGTCAATGTGAGACTTACTTTTTCAAATTCTGCATTTGAGAAACACTTATTGCCTTCCACCTTGAACTCTTCCGCTTTTTGAACAAGAAGAGCAAATTCTTCAGAGTTGTCGTCATCATCATCTTGTGCATTTGGTGAGCTATTGTCCAACCCCATGTTAGTCGTGTGTGATCATCACATGAAATCATCAATAAAAATTTAATTAACAAATGGTGGTGATATCCATTTGAATGTCATTGTCCACAAAGAGATCACAAATATTTCGGGTCACGATCAATGGCCTTTTAAACAAATCATCATCAACACAAAAAACAAACCTTGTACTATCATGGTTCACTTCGGAAGTTTGTTGGATATCATTCATGGATCCTTCTTGTTTGTTGTTGTTATCTGTTGTTGTTGTTGTTGTTGCTTCTGGTTGTTTAGGCTCTCCATCGGTGTGATTTTGAGCTTTTGGTTGTTGAATATTATCGGATGAAGGTTCAGACATTTTTTGGTCCAGTTCAACTTTATTTTTAGTAGACGAAGTAAGACGAACAGGACTTGATACCATCACGACCTTTGATGAGGTGCTTTCTTGTTTGGTCAATAATATTTTGAGGACTTGGCAAAAAGAGTTTATTTTGTACACACCTCTTATTTAAAAACCATTGGCGTACTTATTCAGGACTGCATTTCTATCATGATCGGTACCTTGAGCAGGATAAGCCATGTCAGCAGTGTGACACCAACCTTTAGTGATACCCATGTTGTTGGCTGCAGCAAAGGCAGTTGTGAATCTAATTTCAACTGTACCATCATTTGGTTTATATAATACCCAATCCATTAAAGATTGACAGGACTTGCCACCGTCTGGATTTTGAGTGGCATAATAATAAATCTTCTTCTGAGAAGATTCTGGAATTGTCTTGAGCCATTTAGAAGCACCTTCAACACTCAAATCCGTGTTTGATCCACAGCCAGCTCCGAAAATCTTTCCAACGTTGGCAATGGAACCAGCAGCTGTATTGTTGTTGAAAATTGTTCAAAAAATTAAGGGAACGCAATTTCAATCATTTTCATATAAATCATGGCAATAACGTTCATGAATATTTTCACATAAATCATCAACTTACCTGAACATCCACCATATGGAGAACCAACAGATTGCAAAATTCTAATGTTTGGATTGGATGGCACATTGTCAGCCTGGGACCAATAGAATGTATACAAGTGTGCTGCTGCTAAACCGCCTTGACTGTGTGAGACAACGGAGAAAGAAGGCAAGTCTTTACCAATTTGCCAAATCAGTTGAGCAAATTGATCATTGGTTCTTGATTGTTTAATGTCTGAGAAAATAACAGCATTTTGGAAATCAGATTCAGTGAAAGGATTTCCTCCAGAACAATAGCCATGGACAAGGATGACCTTCACAAGTCAATAACAAGTATCAAGTAATGACATGTAAGCATTTGAAAAAAAACAAAATTTGCATACCTTATGTCCTGAAGAAACACCTCTCTTTGTAGTTGTTACTTGTGGAGCGGTCAACTCTTTTGGTCTAGGACCAAGAGTCATCATTTCAGTAACTTGGTCGCCCTTGTTGAATGCATATAATGAGTTGAGAAGCATCTTTGCAAACTTGTGAACAGCTTCTTGATCAGTCACTCGTCGCTTGACCAGTTTAGTCATTTCATCGACATGTTCATGATGAGTGGAAACTTGAGAAATTTCAGCAATCTCTGAAATGATAGTGGAAGAGTCAACATCTTGAATTTTAACATTTTTCAAAGTCAATGGAAGTTGTGCGTTTGCCTTAGACAACCATTTCATAGAAAATTGCAATGGAATAGCCATGAGATCCTTTCCTTGTGTAGATGGAGCAGACAAAGACATACCAAGAACCCAACAAACAGGAACAATGGAGGAACCATCTTGTGAACGAGCCCAAATCTCAGCATAAGCCTTATATTTCTTTGGTTCAGCGTCTTTAACGAGTTGTTTTGCTTGCAAATTGACGGTCATCATTTCGTCAAATTGATTGAATGTAGCAATGGTACCAACATTGACCAATTCCAAATCCTTTTCAACAACAGAAACAATGTGTTGGGTAGTACGCATGAAGGTAATCTTTTGTTGAGATGGAACCATTTTGGCATTTGCAAACAATCTTGCCTTCATTTCGTCAGAAACGATACCTTTCACAAGAACTGTAAAGTGGAAGATACCTTTTTCAGTTGCAACAAATTCACCACTGAAGGTACCATCTTGATGAAGCTTTGGATCAAGTGCGAAACGACCACTAGACACGGCATCTTTCATTGGAATGACAGTGGCATGGCCATCTGGTAAAATAACATCCATCTCAGCTTCAATATGTTCGAAACTTGCCAATGGAATTGCCTTGGGAACGTATTGAACACCAAGGGTTGCTCTCTTCTCAATCTCAGACTTTTCACTGATTCTTGTGACGAAACCAATTTTGTCACCCACAAGAGTCTTGAAACTCAATGATTGAGTGTGAGCGGTTAATGGACTGCTGTTATAAATCACCAACATGGCATCTGTGGAAGTACTCTCTTTAGCAAGATACTTTTCAATAATTTCTTGAGGAGCAGTTTGCTTGTTCAAACTAACTTGAACAAACCAATCACCAGTTCTGATCTGATCAACCTTGGTAAATTTGTAGATTTTAGCAGGAACGCTACTCTCTTTTTCATAACCCATCCATGATTCTGAAATATCGGCAACAATAGGTTGACCTGTTGGTTCATCATCGAAATTCAAAATTTGTAAATCCATATACTGTGCATCAGGACTCACAATAGAAACTGAAACATGTTCCAAAGAATCAACTGGAATGAATCCTTTCCATATCAATTTGGCATCTTGTTTATCCAAATTAATTTCCATCATGTACGAGTCTGATACCAACGAAGCCATCGATGGAGAAGGATCATTAAAATTAGAAAATTCCGATGGATCTCCCTGTAAGTGCTTGTAATAGGTTGATGGAATGATTTCTTCCGAAGAGCACTGGGCGAATGGCATCATGATGCAGATAACCATCATCAACAGCGCCAACACGAATAACCATAAAGAAGATTTTGAGGCGTTCATCGCTCTATATTCGTATCGTTTGTTTTGAAGATTTTTTTTAAGCTCTGATCCGCTGAGCGAATTTTTGACACTTCAGAAAGTTGAACCTATTGTGAAACACACGTTTGAGGTTTTAACTCCTGCTTGTGTGCATGAAAAAGTGAACGCAAAATCAAGTGGGCGGTCCTTTTGAAGGCAGAGAAGGTTTCTCCGGAGAAGGAGTTGGGAATGAGATGATCATTCGCGCGTGAGGGAGAGGAGGTTGTGTATTACCTTGTTGTGGTTACATTCTGAACTATTCGAATGTGACAGTTAACTCAAGGCGATAAATCCAAATTAGTATCTGTGAGATGAGATTGTTGCAGGCAAGTAATTCCTTCCTTCCTGAGATTGGATGATTTCAAATCCAACTTTAAATCTTTATCCTCTTCATCTGTTCTGCAGTCACACCAAAACTGTCGATCTTGAAATATGTTATCATATCCATGATCCACTCTCTGAAGATGATAATGATAGGCAGAGAGAAATTATTACAAGAATCCAAGGGTCCATCAACTCTTCAGCCAATTTCCTAATGGCGGCTGAATCATTGGCGTCATGGATTTTTCTTCGTTTGTTTGATTCGAATGGTTCAGTCTCCTCTTCTTTGTCGTCATATGATCTTGACCTAATTCTTCATCCTTCTTTTTCTGTTCTTGCACATCATCCCAAACATGTCTTTAATGTTTGACTGCCAATTTTTTTCCTTCTGACATTTCTGGAATGTGTTTTAATGAATACTTTTTTACCAACTACTAAAATACTTCAGAATACCTCCTTGATCAAACAAATCAAAGGTCAGTGTCACCATATTATGCATATTAATATTTCCCCCATGGTATACCTTATGAACAGGGTTGAAAAGAAGCAAGAAAATGATGACGAATAAATTTTTCGTCAATAAAAAAAATTGTACAAAAAAAATTTGAACACACATTATTGGTTGGTCATCATCATGGGTTTCGATAAACACACGACGGTTCATGTTCGGAATTTAGATCCTTCACTCACAGAAAAGATAGGTTTGATTTTTATAATGATTAACATCTTGTTGGCTCACAAATATATACGACTTGGAAAAGTTCTTTCGAAATCAAGTAGGAGATGTGAAACGAATAGTATTGGCAACTCATAAAGATACACAGAAAAGTAGAGGATATGCTTTTGTTGAATTGTATGTTATTGAATGAGTTATGATGGAAATATATGAAACATTATTAATTAATTAAACATGATCATGTGCATTCATTTATGATGATGATTTTCGGAACTTTTTAAAAATTTCAACATTTTAATGAATTTCAACAATCATGTTGAATACGACGATTGTCATTCGAAAAATAATAATATTCACATTCCGTATGCTTTCTCACACACCAAACACAGTCCAATGGCTTTATTGGCAGATGAATGTATTAGAAAATGCAACGGAGCAACTCTCAAGGATAAACCAATTTCAGTCTCACCTTATTCGGAAAAGAAAGAATTGATTAAACCTGAAAAAAAAAAGAAAGAAGAGCATGCTCCACAAATTGATAGAGATGATCCATTCTATGTAAGCTCGAGTGACGATGAAGATGACGAAGAAGATAAACCTAATAAGGACGGAATTTTCCCAAACAGAGTTTTAGTTGTCTCAAAATTATCAAAGAAACAATCATGGGAGGCCACTATGGAAAGTTTGCAAACGAAATTTAACAAAATTGGAAAAGTTTCAAACATTCGAATGCCAAAACAAGGAAGGTAAGTTGTCTATATTGGAGTTAAATGGTGACCATGATTATCAATATACTGCCATGTATTATGTGTGACATTGAATAGCTATCACAAAGGATATGCATTTATCGAATTTAGAAAATCCAAACATGCAAAAAGAGCTCTGGAATGGGCCAAAAAGAACACCAAATTGTCAGTAGCATGGAAACTCGACCGAGATCAATATGTGAAGAAGAAACAAGATGCATACATTAAGAAAAAAGAAGATGAGTTTGATGCTGAACAAGAACGATTCCAAAAACATTTGAAAAAGTATTCAGAAGGAGATCAAGATGAAGAAGATATTGAAGAACCTGAAGAGTATTTTGGTGAGGAAGATGCACACGTAGAAAACAAAAAGGAAAAGGATTTGGATGAGTTATTACAAGAAGAAGAAGAAGATCACAATGATGACGACATTGAGAAGGACACTCACGCAACAGATGAGGAAGAAGACTCTGAATCAGCACAACAAGATCCAATGGAATTAAGCCATAACGATGATGATGACAATGATGACACAGACGACCACAATAATGAAGACGACGACGACGAATCATTCTCAACAACCAAAGAAGATCAAAAGAAAGACATGCAAACAGCTGCCGACTTGAAAAAAACAATTTTTGTTCAAAATTTACCTTTTCAAGCTGGAGTGGATGAAATTAAGGAATTATTTGAAAATCATTATGGATCTGTGGCATATGTTGCCATCGTAGCTAAAAGTGATGGACTCTCAAGTGGAAAAGCCTTTATCAAATTCAAACGTTTCTCTGATGCTAAACGTTGTATCCGAGAGGCAGAGAAAAACATGTCTTCGGTGGTGCATCATGATAATGATGATGATCAGAAGGCTGCTCCTAATCACCATAACAATGAGAAGAACAATACTACAAAGGTTGTGGGTCAACTCTTACTCGAAGGAAGAACACTACTCGTTGCGAGAGCACTTCCCAAACAAGATGCTGAAGAAATTAAAAAAAAACACGAAAAGAAGGAAGATCCTAGGAACTTGAGACTTGCCAAAATTGGATTTATTGCAGCGAATAGTGCAGAAGCAAAGGAAATGCCTCAAGAGCATTTGAAAAAGATTCAAAAGAATTGGGCAGAAAAGAATGAAAAGTTAAAGAATCCAATTTATCATGTCTCTGAAACAAGACTTGCCATTCAGAACATGCCAAAGTCTTGGACCGAGAAGGATCTCAAGAAAATCATTTTGGAAAGGGTGAATTATGATGAAGTGTTGGGACCAAATAAGAAACCAAAGTTAATTCAAGTTAAGATTGCAAAAGAAAATGATGGAAAGCAGAGCAAGGGATTTGGATTTGTCGAATTTGAAAAGCATGAGGCTGCTCTCTGTGCTCTCCATAGATTGAATAATAATCCAAAGATTCTCAACCCAAGAATCAAAGATACCAAGATGGCAACTGCTAGCCGTTTGATTGTGGAATTTGCAATTGAAAATACTATGAAACTGTCGATTCTACGAAGGCATCAACAAAAGAGTAAGGTTCCAAAGAGCAGTGGTGACCAACCAATGACCAAATTCACTTCAACTGAGGAGAAGAAGAAGAGAGACTACACGAATGATGGTGATAACAAGAAGAAACGAAAGCGAAACTTTGACAGCAGAGGTCACTCTAAGAAAACCAAACAGAAATAAACATTTCAAAATACTCTCACACTTTTTGAGATTATTGGGACTGAAGCTTGCCAGTTTTAACTAGTTTCTTTTGGAGAACAAGGACATAATCGTCTTTCTGCCTTATCTTTGGGTCGTGAATCGCACCTGAATGCAGATCTTCGTAGAGCAATCATACACCTCTCTTGATTGAGATAAGGCGCTCGAGAAGTTGCTTCCTCTTCTCTCAGACATTCACATCTCAAATGATGATATTGTTTAAACTCGTCACACCTATTGATATATGGAAAATATTCTCGATTGCATTTCATTCCCTTCTTTACACATGCCTGATCACAAGAGGATCCCAATTCTGCCAACACTGATTCAGCTTGTTGAAGTTGTGAAAGACTTAACTTGGAAGTTGCTGGGAAAATCACCTCTTGAGCAGTGTCGTGAACGAATTCAGTGTCAATGAACTTGTTTTTGGAATTTAGTTCATTTTCCACTAACAAATCATCATCATTTCTTTCACATGGTGAAAATTTTGAGTGTTTGCAGCGATCCACATCAAATGAAAACAGTGAAGTAGGATCAATCAGTGTTTCGTAACATTGGGGTTGATGTACATTCACATTTTGCTTTGGAATTTCCTCTTTCGTCATGAGTTGCCAGCGATGCATGTATAAATCCTTCTTTTTTAAAAAATCAAGAACCAACAATTCTGTTAATACAAATCTACTCGTTGGATTCTTCTTTGTGGATGCTTCCATTATTAATTTGTTCAAAAACTCATTCATTATTTTGTCATTAAAAATTAATCCATTAACAATTCCAGTAGAAGCTCGATACACATTTCGTTTCTTCTTTTTCATTGCTGCTTCTTTTGCAATATTCATTAAATGATAGAGAGACCTTTCACAAAATTCATATCCTTCTTCTACGAGATAAATGAGTGTTGAGAATGGTTGTTGAGATTGTTTCCATGATTCAAATTCGTTGTTATTTAATTCTTGAAGAGAATTCGAAACTTTTAACTCTTGTTGATTTAAATTCAATTGTTTTTGTAAAATAGTTTCCAAATCAAGTTTAGAATTTTTCTTTTCGTTCATTGTTGAATCGACAACAACCGTAATACAAGGAATAAATATTCGAAAATTCCGTAATTTCAAAATACTTTTTAAAGTGTTTAATAATTGTTCGTGATGTGAATTTTCACTACCACTACTGGTACTTGAAAACCACGACTTGGAAAAGACTACAAATTTCATGGAACATTGAACGGATGCTGTCACTTGTTGATCATTGAATGGCAACATGGTTTCGGAATTTTCAATTCGTTTTCGCCATTCTAATAATTGATTAAAAATTGGATGATTATATAAAGACAAAAGAGAAGGTAAATCATTTAAATCATTCGAAAGTTTGATGGTTCCTAGAATGTGAAAAACCAAAGCGATGGACAGCAACAACACGAGTCCTACTACTCGAGTGTTTCGCATTTTTTTTGGCGGTTACCCATTGTCACCACTCACCACCACTCACCACCACACATTAATCTTAAGAAAGGTCTGATTCTGGATTCCTGCAGGAGGTATCCATCCTCTATGGCATCATTCCCAATGGGGATCAACTGAGTGGACTCTATAAAAACTATTGAATTCTCTTGTTTTTTTCTTGTTTTCTTGTACGATTCAAGATAGGCGTTCAGGTGAAGAGTTTCAAAAGTCTTTGACTTTTCTCATGAGATAAGAGGTTAACCAAGTTCATTGTTGTCAAATTTTCATTTCGAAGCGTCTATTAAGGGCATTCATGAAAATTTTCAAAATTTTTCATCATTATTCATCATTAAACCCTCACTTTATTTTATTCTTTTCAGTGAATTACTATATAAGGAAAATTTACTCTTTGGCCCTCCATTGCATGAGAAAGTTTTCAAAAGCATTCTTATCAAAGACACACCATTATAATTAACAAAATGCAAACTCGATCTGTGGATCCTTATTTCACTCCCACAAGGTACGCACGTTTGAATCTTTTCGAGAAAACCCTTCCATGTTCACATAAAACAACAACAACAACAACAACATGATGATGATTCATGTGGGCGAATCCATTTCATTCCATACATTCAATGATTCAAATGACACATTCATTCCATTGATTCGAATGATAAAAGCCCAAGCACAGGACAATGCGCAGATTTCTGCTATCCTCTCATCCCCAGTGAGACCAAAGTCGTCATTTTAGGAATTAACTCTTTCATTAATCGTCATTTGGCGTTCCAATTGTTGTGTAAGGGTTACCAGGTGGTAGGAACCGTTTCAGTGGTTGTGAAAAAATCAGTGGGAGATTCCATGAAAGAACAAGAAAAAGATCCATCCATATTGAGAAAAACACAAGCCATCTCTTCTCTCATGCCTTATTTATCGTATTGGAAAGAATTATTCCCAGAACCACAATTGAAAATTGTTGAATTGAATGCACCTCTTCATGTGGTCGATCCATCCATCTTGAGACAAGTTTGTGAAGGAGCTTTTTGTGTCTATCACTCGACCACCATTCCAAGTGTCACACCAACGATTCAACAAGAACCTCAAACGGAAGAACAAGCAGAAGAAATGTTTTATAAACCTGCAGTGGAAGGAACAAAGAAAGTGTTGGAAGTGTGTGAAGGGTGTGGAGTGAATCGAGTGATTATTACGAGTGGAGTGGCAACAGTGTTTAATCCGTATAATCCTCCAAGGTAAGGAGTACCAGCTAAAATGGTGAAACAATCGTTGTTTTTGTTGTTTCAATTTGTGTATTTATTTGGATATATATATATATATATTCGTATTTATTTGGATATATATATATTCTTTTCCGGATGATACTAAACGATGGTCGAAATGATTGCAATGAATGATGATCATGGTGTCATCTCCTTATTAGAAGTGGAATTGTTTCTGAATGTGATTGGAATCAATCCAGTAAATTATCAGAACCATTGGGGGCTTTTCGAATTTCAAAAGTGAAGGCAGAACGTTTCGCATGGGAATTTTGTCGATATTTGACTTCGGATCATAAAATTCAACTCGTGACCATTCTACCGACATTTGTCATTGGTCCACTTCTTCCTATTCATGCATTCAAAGATGAAAAAGAGAGGGATGTGACTTGTTCACCTTCCTCCACGATGGGTGGAATTCCAATTTTAAGTGTCTTGAAACAAGCAGCCTTAGAACACGATGAAGAATTTCTAAATAAGGAAAAAGAGGCCATGTTTGAGAATATTCTCTCGAACATGTTAACAGAATTAACTCAAACACACGAGTCAGTGGAAAGAGTAAGAAGGGCTTTCCTCTCAGGATCCATTCAAGAAATCTATCGATTGTTAATCTTGCATGAAGAGACACCTTCCATTTTCAATTCCTTAAATGTTGGATTTGTGGATGTGAGAGATGTTGCTCGTTGTCATCTTCTCGCTCTCGAAACGAAACAAGCAAAAGGAAATCGATTCATTTGTTGCAATGCAACACTTCCTTTCATTGACACACTTCAGAAAATAGCCACAGAAATGATTGAAACCTTTCACTTGCGACATGTGAATTCGAATTTGAATGTGGAATTTGAACCCTCTGTGGAAAACATTACACCCATGAAAAAGATTGATGGATCTAAGGCTGAGAAGATTCTTGGATTGAAATACACACCACTGGATCAGACCATTCGAGAGATGATTCAGTCGTTCATTGATTGGAAATTGGTGACAGTGTCGAGAAGAGGTTCAGAATGTGTGGTTGAAAAAGAAGCTTTTTCCTCCTCCACTGAAGAACAAAAGATGGAACCAATGGGACCAAGTATTAGTAGTAGTAGTAGTAGTAGTGCTGCTAGTGTTGGTGGTTTGGAAACTCTCGAGTTGAATAAGCAGAAACAGTTGGCCACTACCACTACTGCAACACCTCCTCCTTCTCCACAAACCAATGTGGTGGCAACCACAACCTCAGAGATTTCAAGTGCTTCTCCTCTTCCAACAGAACAAGATCAGAATGATCATATCATTGCAGCTCAGGAAGAGAAAGCTCCTCAAGAAGGAATCTCTCAAGAGTCAACTCCTTCCAAATCCTCGTTGGAGGAACAAAAAGAAAAATTTACAGTGATTGCAGAAACTCTTTATCCTTGAGGAAATATCATTGGAAATATAGAGAGTCGAGATCGAGTGGTAGAAATGTTGCACGGTCTGAAGGGAATGAAACAACAAAAAACAGCCCACTCCCTTAATCATGATGAAAATTATTAAACCTTAAAAAGGCAAATTGTAAAAGATGAAAAAATCAACGCGTTCCATGATGATCATCCATCATCATTCACTCCTTTTTATAGACCACTTCTTCTTTTCCTTCAATTTTTGCAGCAAATCGAGCAGCCACAAATAAGAAATCACTCAATCGGTTCAAATACTTTTGAACATCTTCCAATCCCTGTCTCTGCGAATGATTCACTAAATGAACCAAATCTCTCTCCGCTCTCCGACACACAGTTCTCGCCACATGCAATTGACTTGATGTTAAACCTCCACTTGGCAAAATGAAGTTCTTGAGAGGTGGCAGTAATTCATCCATTTGATCAATCCATTCTTCGAGGAGAGTGATATTCTCGGAATTGAATTTGACACGATTGAGTTTATCGAGAGAGGATGTGGATTCCATGGGTGTTGCAATACAACTGCCAATGTCTAAGAGTCGACTTTGAATGGATTCTAATCGTTCAGGGAATTGTTCAAAACAAGTGGAAGATTGTAGAATGGCCATAAACTCTTCTTCTTCGCATGTAGTAGTGTTGGTGTTGTTGGTGTTGTTGGTGTTCGAATTGTTATATTTCGTCCTGATGATGCAAAGTAAATTTTGTAAATGTTCTCTCGAGAGTCCGATATGAGCATTTAATTCATCCACGGATCCTAATGCTTCAAAAACGAGATCATCCTTTCCTCTTCGTTCTCCAGAGTAGAGTGATGTGGTTCCTTTGTCTCCTGTTTTTGTGTATATTTTCATGGCACTTGTGGTTGTTGTTGTGTGAAAATGTTTGTGAGTATAATTTGGTGATGATGTGCGTTTTAAAAACAAGCAAGAAGAAGTGTTGTAATGATGATGATGATCATGAAAAATCAAGCCAGAGAGCTTGCGGGTTGAGGTTTTGTGCAAGGACAGGGAATGAATGGATTTTTTCAGCATTTTTGTTGACAAGATTGGATCCAACGAACAGACAACATGACAACAAAAATTAGTCAGATTACTATTTAATATAAATTTAAATTAGTATTATTTAAATGATGCTGATTCTTACAATACAATTTTATCGTTTGATTCCAGTTTAAAACAAAAGAGTTATTCAAACAACTTTAAGGTTATTTATTGCTTGCAAATTGAGGATTTAAATTTTCTGAAGTAAGCTTATACTTCCATGATGGCGTCGTAATGTTATATTCAGATCCTCCAAGGAAGACAGTGTTGTGAATACTTCGTTTGCTTTCACCTCCTTCCACAGTAAAACCTCCAAGTAGTCCCTTTGCATTGAATTTACACAAGAATTCTGTTTGTAATTCTCCAATATCTGTGACAGCTTTGTTGAGCAGGAATTTGGCCATGACCGACCCCTTAGGTCCTGGTTGATCAACATTTACAAGAAGCTCTTGCCTAGTTGCATTCCAACGACCTTCTGGTTTTGATTGAGATTTGAGAGTTATTTGTTCAAGAGCAGGTGCAACACGAATAAGGAAGGAAAGTTTGTCTAGTGGTGTGGCAGGGTTCACAATGTAGTCAATGGTAACTGTTAGCATGGTTTGATTGTCTTTGGTGACCATGAAATAGAGTGGCCTGAGTTTAAAAGGTACAAGATTAAGGTGATCTTTCAGCTTATACTTTAGCAATATTGCGCTTTGTGTTTTTGGGTTAATTTCTTGTCCTGTAATATTGCATTCAAAGGCGTGTTTTGTGACATTTTCTGCATCTGTTACTTCTTTAGCAAGTTTTGGATTGCAAACTATTTTGGCAATTTTTGTGAAATTTTCAGAGTTGTTAAATTGATCATTCACTAGAGAAAGCACAAAATTATAACTATCACTTTCTCGATAGCTTTCGTGATTGAATAGTATGAGCTCGATTTGGCCCAAGAAATTATATTCTTCCTCTGTTAGCCCACTCATGTTCTTCACGACGGTCTCGGTGACAACTACCTTGAAAGGAAGAACGGCGGCTCTTTTTTGCTGGGATTGTTCAATACTCTTCTTGAGTTCGTTTGGATCAAATACTGGCATTTTAGGAACTGGGTTAAGTTGCTTGTTTTGAATCTCTTGCAATAAATTACTCTCTTTGTTGTCCATGTTGACTGTGTTATTATTTGTAGTAACAACCTTATTGTCTACTGGTTTTCGAATTGGTTGACTATTAAGGGGCGTAGATGTCACAGGAGGCACTGGAGGCACAGCTCCATTTTCCCATACGTTGATAACGTTTGGTGGTGGTGAAGAGACAAAAGTATCATTATTACCAGTTGTGCTTGCAGGTTTCAAAATATTACCCAACAAAAGTGAAGTAGCATTTTGAGATGGAGCAGTGTTCGCAGTATTTGTGGAAGTCATAGGGCCAAAAACATCGTCCAAAAAGTTGCTTGATAAAGCATTGTTGGTTGGCTGAGTAATTTTCGTTGGCTGTAAGGGTTGTAAGGGCTGTAATGGTTGCATTGGCTGCAAAGGTTGTGTTGGGAATAGGACGTTCGAAGAAGAGCCATGGGTATTGAATTTTGGAGGATTATACTCATAAACAGAGTCAACAACGTTTGTGCTATCTGTCATCTTGTCGGATCTAAATGTTACATCTTCGTCTGACATGTCAACTTCAGTATCATCTCCTTCAACTCTGCTACTTGCACTACTTCCATGCAAATCAAAAGGTTCGAAACTAATGAGCTTGCTATCACCACGATCGAATGCAGTATTGGTTTTTGCAGGTTGTGGACGAAGAGGTTGAGGTTGTAAGGGAATGAGAGAAGGTGGAAGAGGAGGCAATTTCGTTGTAACATTGTTTGCTGGAGGTATAAATATTGGTTTTAAGTTTTCAGGAAGAGTTGGTGCTTGTAGTGAATGCCATTCTTCGTCACTAAGTGGAAATACTTGTTGTCCCATGGTGATGTGTTCCATTTGGCGTTTTCTAAAGCTAGAAATTCCATTAGTCTCAGACCCTGATGAATTGGTAGACTTGGCCCTTCTATGATTAAAGCTTGGCAATGCATCTTCTTCATCAGGAGCAGTAAAATCGTAACCAAATTGAAAATTAACAATATCTGAAGGGTCTGGAAGTATAGAGGCTTGTTCATCTTTGTGATGCTCGCCATTTTGTTCTCCATTTTGAAAATTATTTGCCGTTAGAATTGGTGATTTGAATTTGTCTAAAATTTGAAATCTTTTTTGATGAACTTCCATTTGTTTTTGCTTTTCTTTCCACATTTCATCAGCTGTATAAGAAATGAGCTTTTCCATTTGGCGAATAGTGCCTCTTCTAGCTTTCTTTTGTGAAGCATCCACAGGTGGTACTGCTGTACTCACTGAGTTTGCTTTTGCTTGAGATGTTGAACCATTATACTGAGAAGACACATGGTGAGCCTCTCCCAATTTTGTTTTTCCAACCATTTCTATACTTGTTGATGGTGGTTTAAATGTGTTTGTTTCATTAATTAGCTCTTCAAGTGCAAGCATAATTTGTCCAAACTTTTTGTACAAGTTCACAACTGTCACTTCGACTCCTTTACAGGCTTCAAACATCAGTAATTTAGCATTATTGGCACATCTTAGAGCATCATAAGGATAATCGGATTTATGACAAACAGTGACGACATAAACTTCGTTTAGCAAGATAAAAACAGCTCTAAATTTTTTGGCAATAAACACCTCTCCTCTTGCTGATGTGTTGGTCGCGATTTGTTTGGCGAAGTGATCTGATATGGTGATGGCTTGATTTTGTGATAATTCGTGATGACTGTTGATGATAATTATTATTGTTATATTAAATTCGTCATCGCCAACGAATAATAGTAATAATAAATTGATAAACGGATTTTAACAGGTTGTTGTTTGGGAAGCGAGCAAACTTACGAATGAAGGAAGAGATTCAACCTTGGCTCTCGTTGTTCTTGTACAAACAAACTCAACACTCCCATTTCTATTTAAATTTGATAAACTAGAGTTTTGAGGAATGGTGAATCGTAGGATCACTCACAGAGTAAACTTCTTCAAAATCGCTCCACTTACGTACTGTATGGACACAATAATAATTTACGAATCAGCAACTAAACAATCACTGTTGTTTTATCAGAGAGAGTATTCAACGAGAATCAGTTTTGAACGGAACAACAGATAGAACACCAACTTGTCCGTACAATGTGATGATCACTAAAACTCGGAGCGAAGAAATAAAAATTTTTTTTGATGGATGATAAAGTAATCGCATCTTTAGTATCAAACTCGTTTTTATTTTCGAAAATAACACACTCCTCGATCTATGAGATTAAGGCTCTCCATTCCAAAAGCGAGCTCTCAAGTCTTCACTACAAGACATAAAGGCATGCATACATGGAGAAGTGGCAACCCAACGAACTGGTTTGATGTGGCCGGAGAGATGATGAGAAATTGATGTCATTCTTGTGTCCCACATATAGATATCATTGTGGAAGGAAGAAACAACACCACTTTCATTGTAGTTGAATGTAGTTTGAACTCTGGATGTGAGTTCATGAGGATTAGGAGGTTCATAAGTTCTAACTTGTTTTCCTGTTGAGATATCCCAAAGTCTAATAATTGCATCGCTTCCTCCAGATAAGAAATATTTAGAATTCTGAGAAAATTGTACACTGAAAACTGCCTCTCCATGCGCTTTTGGAATTGTTGTAACACATCGTCCAATTACTCCATCCCACAATTTAATAGAGCCATCTTTTCCAGCGCTGATAAACATCTTTCCATCTGATGAGTACCGTACCTGATTAATTGCACCCATATGATTATCGTACGAATTTGAAGAAGCATAACACTTGTAATTATTTGTTAAATCATAAGTTCTAATAATGGAGTCTTCTGTTCCTACAAGTAAATAATTTCCAGAAGGGTGAATTGAAAGTGTCCTAACGTTGTGTGATTCATCTATTGTGTGAAATGCTCTTTTAACACTTGGTTTGGTAATGTCGAAAAACTTGATGGTCCTATCCTTCGAGGCAGAAATAATAATTGGTAATACTGGATGGAATTCAACATCATTAATATCCATTTGATGATCATAGAAAGTTCTAATAACCGGTTTAGCATTTGAATAATCCTCAACTTCTGCTTTTGTTTGATGATGATAATTCATTCTAGAGACATCCAATAATTTAAGAGAGCAATCAGCTGATCCGGTAACTACATATCTTCCATCATTTGAAAATTTTGCACATCTAGCAGCTCCTTTGTGAGTGGTGATAAATTTAGTTGTGAATGTACAGTTCTTTAGCGCCAATCCATCAGGTGACAATCCAGAAGATTTAGATTGTGTTGATGTTCCCTCTGGGTTTGAAGTTTTGTAAAAATTTTCTCCTAGTGTTAGTAAATGGCCTTGTTGGCTCGCAAAATCACCCTTTCTCTTTTTTGACGATTTTTTGGTTCCACTCGAGAATGGTTCCACAAATAAATCAAATTTTAATTCCTTCTCTGCTTCCAGTCCAAGCAAAACCAATTCACTTAATCTATGGGGAGATTTATCATAGAGATTGATGTCTTGATCTAAAAAAAGAGCTTCTGCAACAGCATTGGCTGCTCCTTGAAATCCATCGTGCTTAAGTTGACTGCAGATAAGAATTTTTGATCAATATTAATCTAAAACAGAACTCTCGTACAGCAGCTACATACTTGACAACCATTTGATAAAGAAATTTCTTAAACATTTTAGAATTCGGATTCTGAAAATCATCTAAATCTTCTTGAATTAATTGTTGAACATATTGTTGTTGTTGTTTGGCTGATGCTCCGGCTTTCATATTCTGTTGATGATGATTTTGATTAAAAAAGGAGGTGAATAAATCTCCACAAGAAATTGTATTTCCAGCATTATTTGCAATCGTACTTGGTAAGCTCGTTTGTTGCGTCGACGATGATGATGCAGAAGCACCACCTCCGCCAGAAGATGATGATAAGCCTTGAGTGGATTGTGGATTCATTTTTTAATTTTATTTCAAAGAACTTTATTCACAATGTTGAGTCTCGATTCTCAGTATTGTGATAGCATGATCCAAACAAGATCATCATCAACATTTCAAACTGAATTCTCCAATGATTATCCATCATCAAAGTGTCCATTCAAAAAAGTTGATGAACGGTTTTCCGATTTGTTGAAACAAAAAAATGCCCAAAGAGAAGAAGGCTCTAAAATCCAACACTGCCACTGCTGGTCGAACACAAGGTATTCAATTTCAGAAAAGTTTTGGTCAGCACATCCTCATCAATCCGGGTGTTATTGATCATGTGATTGAGAAAGCTTGTATACAGCCAACGGATATTGTGTTGGAAATCGGTCCGGGTACCGGTAACATGACGGTCAAGTTGTTGCAAAAGGCTAAAAAGGTGATTGCAATTGAAGTTGATCCGAGAATGGTTGTTGAGTTAAAGAAGCGTGTTCAAGGAACGAGTTTGGAATCTAAACTTGAAATTATTCATAAGGATGCGTTGAAAGTGGAATTACCGTATTTTGATTTATGTATTGCTAACTTGCCTTATCAAATTTCTAGCCCAATTACATTTAAATTATTGGCTCATCAACCATCATTCAGAGTTGCATATCTCATGTATCAACGTGAATTCGCTCAAAGATTAGTTGCTAAACCAGGAGATAATTTATACTGTCGATTGTCTGTTAATTGTCAATTATTGGCAAGATGTGACCACGTTGTCAAAGTGAGCAAGAATAGTTTTAGACCTCCACCAAAAGTTGAAAGTAGCATTGTGAGAATTGAACCAAAAAATCCACCACCACCAATCAACTTTTTGGAATGGGATGGTCTGGCACGTATTCTTTTCCAACGAAGAAACAAACAATTAGGTTCAGTTTTTAAAAACAAAAAGTTACTGAAATTGTTAGGAGAAAATTATAAACGAGTGATCACAATGAAAGAGAGTGGCCAATCAGCTTCAACCGAAAGTAATTTGAACGCGCAAATTTTGTCAGCTACTGAAAATATGGTAGATGACGATGGAGAGAACAATAATGAAGACATGAACGATGATGACGAAGTAGATACAAAAAAGAAATCCAAAATGAACGAATATGAACAGAAAGTGAAAGATATTATTGCTGAAACTCTAGAAGAGCTTAAAATGACAGAAAAACGACCTTGCAAAATGGACCAAGATGACATCCTGACACTTCTAACCAGATTGAACGAACAAGATATTCACTTTTCATCTTAAAAAGTGTGAAATAAATCGAAAATTAATTTACAAATAAGTATTGCGAAATCATTCGAACTCGTCATCATCTTTGCCGAGAACGCCCTTTCCAAAAGAGTCATGGTACTCTTCATCGCTTTCAAATTCGTCATGATGATTCTCTGTAGATTTGCTTGCATTTGTCTTGATAGCAGTAGATTTGTTAGTCGCAGATGTAGTTCCATATTCCTCAAAGTCATCAAGATCATCATAAAATTCATCCTCTGCATAGTCATGAGTAGTTTCCATATCAGAGCGATCCGTAGTTTGTTTAGTTGCAGTGACTTCTTCAAATTCGTTTTGATCGATAGTGGCTGGGGCTGTCTCTGGTTGTTTGGTGACTTTCTTTCTGACAATACCTTGTATCTTATCCTTTTCTGTACTTTTCTTTTGGAAGAGTGAGAGGTCAATAGGTGCTCTGTTTTTAAGGGCGAACTCAACCTTTTTCTTATTCTTTTTTTCTTCACTCTTGTATTTTTGATGGATTTCTCTTCTTGTTCTTTTTGGGAACAATCTTGAAATCATTGAAAAATCCATACCAAATTGCCTTAATCCACTGTAAAATAACTCAACTTCTTCTTTTGTCCATCTTTCTCCCTTTCCTCTTCTAGCATATGTTGCTTGTGTGATTGGTTTGTTTTTATCAAGGTTCGCAAGTCTCATGGCCCTTGAATAATTGAATTCACCTCTTCCTGTTTCTGTGACGGGAGTGAGTTCCACTTTAGATGGTTCTTCTTGCAATTTAATATTTCCTTCGCTGTCAAAAGAAAAAATAGAAGGACCAATGGTTTTTTCATATTCTTCTACTTCATCATCATCAAATTCATTATTAAAGTCCTCCAAGTCATCATTTTCTTCGTTATTTGTGGCTCTTTTTGAGGATCCAATAATACTTGGTTTTGGCTTTACTTCAACAAAATCACTGTATTTCGATGATGGCACACTGACAGACGATAAATTATCGGAATTATTTTCAAATTCAATTTCATGAATTTTCTCCCTGTATGATTCGTTTAAATCAGAATTAGCAAGCTCATAATCATCATCGTTAACAAATTCGTCTGCACTGATTCGGTTGGCTTGTACGGCAGAAACGTTAGCATTATTGTTATTTGTTGCTGTTTCTGAAATGTAATCGTTTAAAATTGCATCCCTGATAAAGTCAGAAATAGTTTTAAATTCTCCAGTTGGCTTCTTTAACTTTTTTGATTTTGACCTAGTAGAAGATTTAGATGTGCTTGAGGTTGATGTTAAATTTGAATTTGTTGAAATTGAATCAGATTGATCATCCGAATAATTTTCATCGTCGTTGTCGTTAGTTTTTCGTTTTCTTCCTTTTCCTCTCTTCTTTCTATTAGAACTTTTACTAGATGTAGAATCGTCATTTTCATATTGATCGCTATTGTTGGTTGCAATGGTTTTTGGACTTGTTGTTTCCGAGCTTAACGCTTGTGAATGATCCAACGAAATATTATCTTCTTCAAGAGAATTATTTTGCAGAGGAGTGATCGGATCACCAACTCTACTGGTTGTTGTAGTTGTTGTGGTAGATGATGCAGTATGAAGTGGACCTACTCCCGCGACTTCGGATGATGATGCTGTTGTTGTTGTTGTAGTAGTAGTGGTTGGAGTTGTAGCATTGGAAGAGGATGGTACACCAGAGGTCGTGCTTCCTCCAACCTTCTTTTTTGTTGCCAAGTTCGGAGCAAATGATGAACTCAACTGGGATTTAGATTTGACTTGTTTTTGCTTGTCGAGTAAATAGCCAGCAAGAGAAGACATTTTTTGTTTTTTTTTGAAAATGCATTTGTTTCGATTGCTTTATTTCCAACCTCAAGTGTTGAGGGAACGAGCTAGAACATTCCACAACAAGATGACTTTTCCTTTTGTACGATGAAAAACTTCAAAACTAATCCATTAAACTCAGAAACTTAATCGTCATTTCCACCTCGAGTAATTTTGGAAAAGATAAAATTTCCAAAGTTTCTCAATCCGGATGCAATTGTTGTAAACATGTTATCATTTGCATTTCCCATAGATCCCTGTTCTCGTGTCAATCTGTTAAAATTGTGTCTGCTTTGTTCATCAAAAAGTTGTCGTTGTTGACGATTTAATTCCTTGATCATGACATTCGACTGAAAGGGTAGTCTGGAAAATGTTGAAACAGATTCAAGTGCGCTTTTCCACATTCGTTCTTGTGCACTCACTTCTGATCGATATTCATATAAATTTTGTGATAATTTCTCAATTTGTTCTTTACATTCAAAACGATTGTGTTTTGTTTCCACACACTTTAAGATTTCATTAAGCAAAACAGCTGTATTCTTTAGATAATAATTACTTATTTCCTCAGTGGATCTAAACTCAGGTTTCTCCGATTGAAAGGAAGATGTCTTATGGATGGGTACACTCGTCCCGATATCATCCCGAGACGAAGATTTTGATTGTGGTGTGTGTGTCGATGGTTGAGAGGAAGAATTGTTGGAAGGCATTTTTTTGATTGAATTCCTTTTTTATTAAGCACTCAAGTGTGTGGATATGAAAGTGCTCTTGTTGTTGGATTCCACAGACAGATATAATGAGAGGACGGTTTGAGATCTCCAAATTGAGCCTCAATAAGTGGAACGCATCATCATCACTAACAAGACTCGACAAAGAAGAAGAAGCCTTTCTTTCATCAGGAACCTCAAGCTAAAAATAAGACCTTCAGCCGACAAGACAAGATTCACCAAAACCAAAACGCATAAAAAATGTTGATCGCTTTCAAGACGGTAACAAAGAGACAATTTGAGTTAGAAGCCAATCCTACCGATACCGTAAGTAACCGGTTATGATTGGATCCATCAACAAGATCAAATATATTGACTCGTGTGTTGTATGGATTATTATAATGTTTAAACAATGGATGGTTTTTTAATTCGATAAACATCGTTATTATTCAGATCAAACACTTGAAACAATTGGTAGAGGACAATACCGAATTCAGCAGTGCTGGTATGAAACTTATTTACGGAGGAAAGGAATTAAACGATGATCAAACAATAGAATCCGCAAATATTCAATCTAACATTGCTGTTATTCTTGTAGCAAAGAAAAAAGCAACATGTTACTCAACCAAAGAAGAAGGAAGAGGAAACAACATCTTCTACTACTACCTCCTCCGAAACAAAACCACCAACTACCACAACAGCAACCGAAAGTACACTTCCTTCTATGACCACTCCTGCTAGTACTACAGCAACAACCACAACAGCAACCACACCTCAAGCTCAAGAGCAAATACCAGGTGGACCTGGAACTGCTGAATACGACGAGGCAGTACAACAATTTTTGGAGATGGGTTATGATAGAAATGATATCGATGAATGTATGAAGGCTGCTTTTTATGATAGAGCCACTGCTGCTGAATTTCTCATTTCCGGTATTCCAGAAAATGTCAAGCAAATGATGCAAGAACATGGAGGAAATATGCCAACTCCACCACAAGGTGGTGTTGCAGGACTTCAGGGCAACCAACAGGGGTTCAGTTTGCGTGATTTGTTTACTCTTTCACCACAGCTTAACAATTTGAGAAATGCTATTAGACAAAATCCAACACTTTTACGTGAATTTTTACAACATGTATCGCAAGTGAGTCCGGAGTTATATCAAATCATTCAATCGAATCCTCGTGAATTTTTGGAAATTATTAATGAAACTGGACCAACACAAGCAGGAACAACGCCACCAACTGGTGTGCCAACCGGAGGAGAGACTGGTGGAGAACAAGCAGGAATTCCAGGAGGTCAACAACCTCCACCAGGTACTGTTTACATTACTCGTGAGGATGAAAGAAAGATCAATGAATTAGTCGGTCTAGGATTTACCAAAAATGAGGCTATTCAAGCCTATTTGGCATGTGATAGAAACCAAGAAATGGCAGCCAATCTTCTTTTTGAAAATCGTGACAGGGGATTCGAGGACGACGACGAAGATGACGAACAACAAGGAGGTCAAGGTGGCGGTATGCATGACTAATTTAACAAACTATCAATTTTCTAAAGTCATTCAACAACAATTTAAAAAGTTAGAATACAAACAATGTATTATTTGATGAGTAGAATTTCTTGGTCGTCAGCCGTTCGTATTTTCACCTTCTTTTTTTGAGCCTTATTGATTCCTAACATTTCACCATCACACACCAACTTAGATTGACTCTTATTTTTGATCATATTTCGTTTCTTCTGTTCTGCCCATTTGAGGTGAGGCTTATTCTGAACAGCAATTTGTTGTTCATCTGGACTTAGTACTTGAATCAAAGGAGCAGTGACGTCTATTTGAACTTCTTCCTTGAACACTTGCTTTCTGCGTCTCAATGGAGTGAGTACAATTCCATTTGGAGTGGTTAAAGAAGATGTTGCGAGAGTTTTCGAAATTGTGTCCGAGCCAACACACACTTGTCCAGAATTATTTTCATCATTGAAAGTGTTGTCAATGAAAGCTGTCACTGGCAAGGGTTGATTCGATTTTGGAGTGAGAGGAAAGGGAGAGGCAGGATTATGAAGAAGCAACTGATTATTGTTCGTTGCAGTAGAAGAGACAGAAAGGGAGAATGGTTGGGAGTTGTGGTGATGATTTTCTGTCATGGATGAAGAAGGAAAGGTGGTTGAGGAGGAGGAGGATGAAAGTACTGCATTCTCTGACTTTGTTGATTGTTTTGGATGGGTTTGAATATGAGAAACCACAAGATTTGATTGGTCATCATGGAAACCAGTCGTTTCTGCTCTTCTTTTCAATGCATCTGGTAGATTTTGCTCTTTCAAAACTCCTCGATGTGTCACGACACTCTTAATGACGCTTTGAGACGACACTGTGATGGTTTTTTGTGAAAGCTCTCGTTTTTTGTGACTCATTGTCGTTTTTGATGGCTTGTTGATTGAAATAGCTCCATTTAAGGTTTTCTTTTGTAAAATCTCATTAGCTGTTTTACCCAATGTTGAAGTCTTGAGTATGCTTTGATAAGCTTCTTCGATGGAATCCACATCACTGTCACATGTATAGCTTGGAGATGACTCATCACCTTCCTTGTTATGATTGCACCATTTGGAAGATGGTTCCTCCTTTTGATTCAAATTGGAACCGGATGAACAACTTTCATCACTGTTACTTGAATCCTCAGCAGAAGCAGCATCTTGAGATTTTACACTTTGGTCAGTAAATGACATTTCTTTTTGATATGGTGTTGAACAAGATCCAATTTCAATTTGAAGAGACATTCTTAATGTGTGTTGATGTTTCCTCTTGTTGTCAAGTTGATCCTTGTTGTTGTTTTGGCTGGTTTGTGAAGGTCGAGCGGAAGAAGGAGATGAAGAAAGATCAGAAAGTGTTCTCTTAACGGCACACATGGATTCTAAATCTTTCGATTCATCACCATGATGAGGATACTTTTTTCGAACACTGGTTCGATTGGGTTCCGATTGAGCTTTGCCACTTGATACTCGGGATGAAAAATTAGTGATTTGAGAACGTTTCTTGTTGGAAGAAGATTTGGGTGGTGATGGTGTCGTTGGATTCGACTCTGTAGTGGCAGCAGAGGAACGGCTCAAGATTGCCCCCATTCTTTAAGCATGTTTAAATTAATTCGATACGTAATTATGAGGAGAATCGATAAATTCACCTTGATGTCAACCTGTCAGAGATAATTCAGTGGAAAAAACTCATAGCTCTCCAAATGAAATGCGAAGTGGAGATAATGCGGGCAATACGAATCTTTACGACTCGAGTCAGTCGGGCAAAGTAGAAATGGTTCTTAAGATTTGATAAACACTATTTCTCGTTTTCAAAATTAAACATCATGAATAAATTATATCAAAATGTAATGTATTCAAATTAAACTGAATGGTCGTTCAAAAGATGAAGATTCATGTTTTTACAAGAAGTGTCTTTAATTGTGTCCCATGTTGATTACAAGTTATTACATTTCCACCAACCATAACAACATAAAAAACAAACCCATCATCCAAATGGTGGGACAACCTCTCCACTCGACGCTTTCATTGACTCGAGAGGATGATTTCATTCCTCCTCCTTTTTGAGAAGAAGAAACTTGAGGTTGAGTTGGAGATGATGATTTCTCAATCACAAGATCTGATGGAAATGCATTGTAAAATTGAATACTTGCATTCACAAAAGCAATGACATTGGCATGTCCAGATGGAAGTGCCCATGATGTATCACCTGAAATTAATTCAATGTTCACTTGAAAATCCTTATTCCATTTTTGGAACATGGTGAAGGTTTGATTCCAATAATTTTTGTTGCTCACCAAAGTAGCAGATTCCAAATAAATGGTTCTTAGTTTTCCTTTAAGCTTGTTTAAATCGGTAATAAATTCTTGTTGTGTTGCGTCGTTCAAAATGACAGAATTATCCCAAACGTAGAGATCTCGTTTTGGACCTGTCAATGGTTGAGTGAAATTTTGTGTGAAATTTTTGTACCACTTGTAATCATGAACACAAACTCCTTCATAAGAAGCATTCCCAGCAAATACGTTTTCAATTAAAGTCAAATCATTTTCCAATTCTTGTGAAAACTTTCCAAAATAAGTAGCTGTCGGTTCCGATGGCAGGTACATGGTCTCAATACCAACCACGACTTTTGTTCCAACTGTTAGAGCGTATTGTACTTCAGAATTTGCATCTCGAATGGCTCGTGTTCCTGAATTCACATAATCCATGATCATGAGATTGGCCTTGTCTTGAATAAATTCACTCAATTTTTTAGTCACACCATTTCGAGTGTGTGAAATTCCATCAAACCATCTAGGAGTAGCAAATCGAAGAGGAATGGGAGGATTGAGAGCTTTCAATTTATCGATCATGTCCAAGTAGTTGGCTGTTTGTGTTTGATTTTGAGACCATTCGGGCAAGGTGTATGGTTCCACGTCGAGTTGGATGGCTTTCACAGTTTTTGAAGAGGATGCAGCAAGGCAACTCGTGAAAGATGACGGTGGCAGTCTTGACATCAACATGAACAGAAAGGATAACAAAAGGAAAGACAATCTTGACATTTTTTTTGGTAGTTTCAAAGACATGATGATGATCATGGTAAATAAGGAAACTTGAAACTGAAATGCCGCCTTAGGAATAAAGTGGTCTTATCACCATTTGTGTGTCCTGTGAGTGTTGGATTACTAGCTTTGTTCCCAAAGTTATGTCATAGTTTTTTTAGAATACTTTTCTTTGGTCTGAAATGAGTTTAAATTGCTTGGAATAAGTTCGTGGTGGTGAAACTTGTCAAACTTGATCGACGGATGGTGAAGGAGTTGAATCATTTGAAGGTTGTTGTGGCTGTATCTGTTTTGATTTATGCTTCGAAGCAATATCTCCACCATGATTAATCTTTTCCTTGCTTGTTCTGTTCTGCTTGTTGTCTTTAAACCAATTACAAAGTAAAATATCACTAACAGAGGTACTGTAATGTTTGGAAATTTCGACATCGTTTGCTAGAATGTAAGTAATGAAGAGTAAAATTATAGAACTTGTGACATCAATGAACGGAGATCTGTACAGACCGACATAAATTCCAAACAAATCCCAAGTGTCAATATATGTTGGCAGAAAAACAGCTGCAGCTAGGAAGGACACAATGAGTACCAAGTTGAAAAGTACCATCTTTTTCGTGAATTTCAATTCTGAAATGTTTTTCTGGGAATGTCTCAACTTTTTAAAGATGATCCAACTGTAAGCACTGAACACAACTATTAAAATGTTCGGACAAACAATCATGCAAATGGCAGCAACAGCGAATAATGGAAAGGTTCCTTCTAAAATAATGCAACCAATAGCTCCTACGATCAGTGTAACTATGTTGAATGCATACATGGCTGCTAATATTATCAAATTTCTTCGAGAGAGAGTTCTTTTTGTCGTTGACGAGTCCAATAAATCAACAATGTGTCCCCAATGAACTAGAAGAGAAATATAAGCGAATGAAAAGCACCAAATTGCTATCGATCTGAAACATCCCATTAAGAGGTCAGATCCAATTGCGTCAAAGAAAAATCTAAAATTCCAAATAAAAAGAATAAAGTTTTCCAAAAGTATCAACAATACAGAGCACAGTAGAAATAGTAAAATAGTAGGCCTCAAGTCTGAGTATAGTAATTCCTCGAAGATTATTTTCCAAACAATATTTGGAAGGAAGGTAGAGGTTGCTTGGTTTGCAATTAAAGATTTAAGCCTGGAGGAAATGATTTCTTGTTTCGTGAGAGCAAGTGGAATAATAATGTACACTATGAAAAGTATTAAATTAATGGAAAATAAAAAAAAGATTACTATAGGTGAACCAATGTACTTGTAAGGAAGAAGAAAGGTATAGTACGCATCTGCACATTGGAATGAAAACTTTTCCCCCCATTCATTTCTACACCAACACATCACTGGATTCACCGTTTCTGAAACAAAGAGAATATTGTATAAATGAAGAGTATTGTCTAAAGTTGTTTTTGAATGATTTGATAAATAAATACTACTATAATAAACTCCAGGTTGAAAGAATCTCCAATCTAAAATTCCAACGTTAAAATTCAGTGTATTGAAGGAGCTGTTTGAAATAATGGTATCGATGGATTGCAGGTTGATTTTGTGATTACAGTGTTTAAGCATTGATGTTTGTAATGATTCATAACTTGGAAATTTTGACTGACATTGGCCATGGTTGTTCATGGATATTGCATTTCTGAATGCTTGAGAATGAAAATTGTCACAATGAATGCAAAAATTAATCATTCTGAAATATTGCATTCGAAATGTGGAATTATTCATGAGGTTAATGGTTAAATTAAAACAAACATTGGAATCAATAGAACAATCACAAAAGTAATCAACACAAATCGAGTGGTCCAAAATAGATGATGAATTTTGTATCGGAATATCAAATCTTGGGTCAATATTATTCATACTCTTGATTAGATTGCTTGAATCACACAAATCAATTTTCGTATTATCCAACACAAATTGAACCACATAATAGCTTTGGCTAATTCTATTGGTGTATGAAATATCCCTATTTTCAGGATATGGAAGAGTAGTCAATACGAGCCCTCTTGATAAGTCATTCAATGGTTTCGCCTGCAACAGTACACTGAAACATGTAAAGACGCTCGTTACGAGCACCGTTAGCTCTGCAATTCCTATTGTTTTTTGCTTCATCATGAGAGAATTTAAGAGAGAGAGAGTAATTTGTTTTTGATCGTGAAAAATCCATCAGAATCGTGTACCAGAATGGTGAGTACTATTGTCCTCTCGCCTGCTAATAGTCGCGAAGAGATAACATCTGTACAGTTTCGGACGACCTTGAAAATTTCAAACAGCACTGGTGAGTTGTTTGTCTGGACAAATGGGTTTGTCTCCTGATGATCTGAAATAATCTTTTTCTCTCCAAATCGGTTTGGAAATATTCTACAACGTGATCACTCATTTCATTTCAGATTTGAATTCCTCAATATTATATATATGTTATACGGGTCATCATTTCTGTATCGAATATTTCCGAAAATCATATCATTATACAACATAAGATCTCCCCCAGTTAATACGTATACGCATATAACATCGTGGGAGAAAAATTTTTGTCAGAAGGAAAAGTAATCTCTTCTTTTGATGATGAAGGACAAAAAAGGCTTGACATCCTTTTTTTAACGTGCGTTTGTTTGGCCATTTTGAAAAATGAAACAACAACCGCCACAGCAAGGGACCACTTTGGCCAGTGGTAGCTCATCATCATCCTCATCTTCAGTGGCGAGTCGTTCCTCCTTGTCCCGAAATCACACAGGTGAGTCATAATTATTGAATTTCATGAATAGGATTCGAAGGTTGTGGAATCTTGTAGGATGGTTTGATGATGCTCAAAATTGTATTTTGGAAGAGGTCATTAGGCAAAATAACGGAAAGCCTTTTACCATACAGGAAACGGAACAGGCACAAGAATTAATGAAATTACTTTCTACAAGTGCAGATACGAAAGGAATTAAATTTTCATCAACAGCTCTTCATTATCAATACTATCAAAGCAAATTTAAAAAGAGAGCTCTGTTGATGTATCAAGTATTGATGAGCGTGTGGAATACTGAGTTTGTGACAAATTTCAAAAAGAAAAATAATGCATTCAATGAAAGAACAATTTATGAAAGAGTGAATCAAATGTTGGAAAAGAAGAAAGGACAGTGGAGTTTGAGGGAGTTTTCTGAGCTAGCGACCTTGACATTGATTCTAAGTACAAGGTCTACATCGAGTGCTATAAAAATGACGAATATTTCAGATCAAAATGATGACGAGTTGGATGTTGCGAGAAGTCCTTGTCTGTTAACTATTCCAGTAATGAGAGAGTTTACTGAGGTCAATATATCCTCTGAAGCAAGGCATCTTCGAATTGCTAGTCTTGGAGGAGGTCCAGGAAATGATGGTGCAGCGTTTGTCGTGTTGAAAGAAACATTACTTTCTAAATTGTTTGAAAAAGGCACAATCATTGAGTCAGATTTGTATGATTTGGAAAAAAATTGGAAAAATTATCTTGAAAAACTGCAAGAGATTACAAAAGATAGCCTAGTTTTGAATTTTAACAGATGTGACGTAACAAAATCTTTAGAAAACTCCCTAAATAGAGCACTGAAAGATAGAATTGTTGAATATGACATTTTCTTATTCAGTTATGTCTGTAATGAAACATCGCATCTGACAAAACAATCGGAAGGTTTATTTTTCAAGGAACTTTTTACATATTCTAAACCTTTTTCCATTTTCATTTTCACCGATGTGATTGAACATGCCAAGAAAGCCCTGCTGTATATTGAAGATTTGACAAGAAAAGTGAACTCAAAATTTGTGACCTTCCATCTTTCATCAAATCAAGCACAAGTAATGCTGGTGATCAAGTGCAGTGTTTAATAGAATATAATTGAAGGTTTTGTTCTTGATCATTCTCCAGGCACACCTTACTGCTTAAACAATGGAAGAAAGGTGACACTGTGTTTGTTTATTACTACAACAACAACAGCATTATTCCAAACATTTGGTTAACATTTGGAAGAAAGGGATTGCCTTTGGATCTTTAAAGACTAACTGCTTAAAAGTTTCAAGTTCCACCTCAATAGGTTTAAATAAACCGCACTTTTTACAACGAATCGTTCTCCACTCAATTTGTACGGAATCATTATTGCATGAATCGCTTGTACTGACTTCAATAACTCTACCATTACGAGTGGAAGTGGTGTTGACTCTGGTTTTTGTGTCCCTAGTGAGATTGATCAAGACAAGATAGGGAGTGGGTTCAAAATCATGAGGATGGCAGTTATGAATCGATTGAACTGGAACTGGATAATTTGTTTGAGATGGGTAGACATTTCCAGTGGTTTCTAATCGAACAAGAATTTTCTCATTTTCCAATTGCAGAGCTTTAGAATTTCCATTAAGAAGTTGTAAATATTCATCAATCTCATCAATGGACATCTTTCAGAAAATGATCCATTCATTAAAACACAACAAATGCAGCAATAACCTACTCTTTTTGTTTCACCACATGTCTGACAAGTTAAAACTACCAAATATATTTGCCCACTCACTTGACATGAAGATTTCAATCTTTCCTTTGAGTGATGTTGAGAATATTCGCGAATTTTCTGAATTCCAAACCAACGACTGGAATTTGACCATGTTTCTTTATCGATGGCCACCATTCTTTCTTCTTCCTTTTCATAGTGTCTAACGATCACAATTTCATGTGTTGGAGCAAATTGATGAATGTGCATTTTTTTTGTTGTGACATTCTTTCACGTTTATGACAGGAATGTCAATTGTGACACCCAAAAATAAATTTCAATTCGAAATGAGCTGGCTCAGCTAGAATGAAAGGTGGTTACAAGTTTGGTTGCTCTTGTTGAATAGCATCTTTTCGTTTTGTATAATGGCATTGGTTCTTGATGTATTTCAATGCCTCAATACCCGATGATCCATGTTGACTTTTTTAGAGACAGATCAGTAAAAGGCAGATTTATTTACCAAATCAATCTCATTCAATTGTTGTTTCTCTGCACGTTCTTCCAACTCTAATAAAGCCTCTTTCACGATTTCCATTGGAGGCACAGTCGTACCTCCACATTGAGTACAAAACATGATGGGAATAGAGACAGTTCCTCCCTTAAATGATACCTCTGTATTCATGGACTCTTTCATTCCCATATCCACTGAAATGTTCTTTGAATGATTTACTCCCAAATCACACACGTTCATTACTTTCAAATTGATTTTTGTGGAAATGGACTTTTCTGTCTTTTTCCACATTTCAATGTTGTATTCTTGTTTGGCAGCTCCATAAGAGAAAGTGGCCAAAGGTTCTTTCGCAAACATCAATTTGTGCCTGCCATCCGTAGAACAAGGGCATCTTCCAAGAACCATTGTTGTTGATGTTTTTTTTCGCTTTGATTTCTCTCAACATTGCATCATGAGAATAAAAGTGAGGTCTTCAGAGGACATGGACTATAAATACTATTCGAACACGATTTGGCCAAAACTGGGAACTCACCAAGATGTGAATAAGATCGTGAATGTGAACGCGAACTCGACCAACCATATAAAAACCAATACATCCTTTAGATTATGTTTACATTCAAAAAAAACAAACCACTAACAACCGCAACAACAAGTGACACACCAACTGAAATGGATTTATGGGGTGAATTGAGAAAATTTGAAAAGCACGTCATTCTACCAGTGGCTCATACAGTTAGAGAGCCATTTCATCAATTAGAAAAACATGCGATTCGTCCAGTCGCTCATGCCATCACTGGAAAGAAGAGAGAAACTGTGACTGTCCGTGTGGTCAACTCTCAAACGGAAACGATTGCAACCCTTCAAGTGGATGTTCCAGAAAATTCAACTCTTTCCACTGCTGCAGAGGTTCCTTCATGTACTTCTCCACAAGATCATCATTTAGTACCTTGTGAAAATGTTGTAACCGTGTTTCCACAAGTGAATGTAAGACCTCAGCCAATGGTAAATTGTGTACTAAATGTGGAAGGTTCTTCCCTGATGATCAATGATTGGAATCATGTAATATAGGTAATTTAACATTAATAAATGAACGTTGATGCAAACTCAATTCCACCAATATCTCTATCCAATCCCTTAAAACAACATTTCGTAACTATAGTAGTGTTAAACAGATGCAATGTTTAATAGAATATATATTTAGGGAAGATTAAGTTCTTGATCATTCTCCATGCACACCTTATTGCTTAAACAATTGAAGAGAGGTGACAGTGGCATGATTCAAACTATTGCTTCCAAAGCGTTGTGCAACTAAATTCAAATGCAAGCCTTTTGGATTGAAAACTTTCTCATTCTGTTCCTTCACAATATTTGGAATTTGAATCTTTTCAGCATTTTCACTACATGGCTTGACAGTCACATAGTAAATGACAATCAAGTAAATGAGAAGGAAGGGTAACGCGATAAGAAAAGGAATTCCCAACAAGGGAGCAGAAATAAGAATAGTCCAATACAATGGACAAGTAATCTGCTTGTAGAAAGTATTCAAGGACTCTTCTGTTTGTGCATTCATTCTACTGATAAGATTCTTCCATTCATCAGCGGACAATCCAAATTGTTGAGATATTGTTTCTGGTAGAAAGACATCAAAGAAACGACACTCCTTATTAAAGGTGGTTTTTGTTTCATATAATTTAACAGGAGAAGCTAGAGGTTGATTGCTGGGTGGTAATTGGACTCTTTCTGAAATGACTTTCAATTCATAACTTTCTAAAGGGACTCCAAAAGTGTTGTTTTGAAGTGAAACATCCAATGCAAGCCATGCTCCATGCGATTTAAAATTCATATTGGCTTCATCCACCACTGCTTGCAACTTGCCTCTCAACTCCTTCTCTCTTTGTTTCTTCCAAAAGAGTTCATCCAAACTAAAGTAAATCAAAATACCCACTAATGGAATGAGTCCAATCGAGAGAATGGCACAAATGGTTAAAATGGTTTGTTTTCTCTCCTCAACGGCATAATAATCCATGAGGATTTGGTCCAACTTTTGGCAGCACTTGGAATAGACATCTTGTGAAGCTCCATGATATTGAAGAAATTGAGCAGGTAAAGTGCTTGAAGTGGAGAATTTACTCAAGGAGTGAGAGTATTGGGATTGAAAAGCAAGAGTGATAGGAGCCATCTTGGAAGCCCCCGAGAGAAGAGAAGAAGCCTCTGAGAAACCAGCAACTTGCGAACCAGTTTGCATCATGGTGATGATGATGATGATGGAGCTTGTGTGTGTGATATTTTTTCCGCGTTCAATCAACAGCGAGGACGGAGAAATTATATCCATTTTTGTCAAGTTCACAAGTGCCTATATTCGAAGATTCAGAACTTTTTAAATTTGAAAAATACTCCTTATTCATTTTCTCATGAGAGTTCACCTGTTCTTTTTTGTTTTACCAAATCTCCTCGCATTGTTCCCGATTGACCAAGCGAAGGTGCGTGGAAAATGACGATGTTTTGTAAACAGCTGTTAATGTTGCTGGATTTTCTCCGAGGTTTTTTTTTGGTCGTAGAGCAAAACATCATATGATGTTTCAAGAGGTAATTTGTAGTGTGGAGGTGGGAACAGGAAAATTGATGTTGCATGAAGATGAGTCCAGTTGCAACATGATCACTAGTGATCCTGAGAATTCATCTTCACAACCTCTTCTACCACTAGCACCATCTGTTATCTTGAAGAGTGGTGATTCTTGTATCACTTATCTCATGTATTTACTCGTCACGCGGAGCAATCTGAAATTGGATTTAGAAAACAAAGAACTGCAAATTAGAGACTTGTCAAATTCAATTTTTAAGTATTCAAGAATTAATCGAATTTGCCAATGTAATTCGAAAGATGGGCATGGATATCAAGAAAATTAAATCCAATAAAAGGTAGAATTGTTAATTAATTGTAGTTTACAGGTCATGCGAGCATCTGGATTTGTCCTTACTAGGACTTATAAATTTTTCATACCAAACTCAAATTCTTCCTTTTGCCTTGCCATCATTTCTCTAATTTGATCATTCACATCTTTTTCCTTTGTTTCAAATAGACTTGCAATCAATTGAGGTAATGAAAAGTACCCGAGCTGATCTCCAACAATTAAAATCACAATAATAATAATAATCATGATTACGAAGCTAAAAATTCCCGTTTTAGCATTTTCCCATCGGTAATACGAAATTTCTTCATCAAGCTTTTTAATTCGTTCTTCAGTTTTTTCTACTTGTTGTTGTAAATTACTAATTTTTGTAGCATTATTTTCAGTGTCTGGCATATTTTCTAATTCTTCTTTTAACTTGGATAGTGTTGATTTCATTTCCGATTGTTTTTCAACAAGTTTTTCCAAAGTCGCAGCAATGTTTGTCATTTTTTTTGAAACACACGAATAATAATTGCATCTGTCATCATCAAAAGACAATCTTCTTCAACACGTAAAGCTTTTATTTCTCGTTCTGTTGAAGCTTTTGTTGCTTTTCAATAAATTCTTGTAAATTTTGAGCATTTTCGACTGAAAAGAAATCAGATGGTACTCCAGAATACATTTTGCAACTTGGTCGCATTACTCCTTCGTTATTTTCAACAATGTTGACCACCAATTCCTTAGAGTCTGAAGATAAATGTCCAGATTTAAAAGAATTGAATAGTAATGGGCTAGTTGGAGGGCCAAATACATTAAAGTCAACAATAAACACAGCACCTGTTCGACTAATATATAAATCAACAGTGTCTGTATGTAAGAATAAATGTGTAAATAAATCAAAATAAATAAACAATATGTTAAATTATTTCTAATACTTACATTGAGAGAGAGGGAATGAGTTCTTGATATACTTTTCCCAAAATGTCACTAACTTTTCAGTAATGCTTTCCCTGTCAACTACAAGGAATTTATAGAAATTAGAAATGTCTCTCTGAGAAATTCCAATCAATGACCTATCCTTAACAAAGCATCTAAACTCCATAGAAGGATTCACGTCATACCATTTTCTTAACGCTAAAACACGCTTAATCTCATTCTCAGGCTTGTAATCCAAACAGTTATTATAGGCTTTCTGAATATCATGTGTGACAAACGATGAGCTCTTTAACACTAGAAAAACATCCTCAATTGATTTACATCGCAATAGTGATGATTCAGAAAGCATCCAATTGGCATCCTTTGGAGCACTCCAATTTAGTTTGGGGAAAACTTCTTCAAACTCATCTAAAGCATCCGCTATTTGCAATTGCAATGCTGTAAATTCGGGAACCTCGTTCTCTTCATCCTGCTCATCACTATTGGCATACTTTTCTCGTTCTTCGTCGCTATCGCTCTCAAAATTTGGAACAACTTTTTTAGTATCCACAGATGCTGGTAATACTACTCCATCTTGTTTTAAATATTCAATAAAGTCATCTTCAAGCTTGATTATTTTGGTCAGTATAGTAATTCTTTTCGGAGTGATTTGCGGATTTGTTTTTCCATCATACAAATAATACCAATTAGAAATTGAACATTGATTCACCTCATCCATTGCTAAACAAGGCTCGATGTTTTCTTCCTCGTCAAATTCCAAATTTAAGTCATCATCATGGCTTGATGCATGTTCGCTCGAGTTGGCATTGCAGGACATTTTTTTGTGTATTCAATTTAAAAAACAATTAAAATTTGAAAATTTCATTCAAAAAATATTTTTCTAAACAACTCTGCAGAAAGATGCCTCCTCCTCAACAACAACTTGTAAAGCAAATAATGAAAACAGGGGCGATTAATATGCTATTTAAGAATGGAAAAAGAATACAAGAATTTGATGCATCAACCAATGCTTCGGACTTTCTTTTGAATTTTCCAAGAGGAGCTTATACGACTATGAGAACACTCCATAGACATTCCATATTTCAACTTAAATTTCATATTCATCGATTAATATACAGTACAACAAAGATGATTGCTGATGAGCTTTTGGATATTAGTCAGAAATCTCCAAATTCCGAGCAGTTGATTGAAAATTATTTAAACATTGCCAAGGAAAATCATAGAATCGGTGCCTATCCACTTTCGTTGATGACTTCTGTCGATAATTGCAACAATGAAACACATGAATTGTTTCTCGAAGAAGCAATAAGAATTTTATCTCAAGACATTTGCGAATATTATAAGAGTGTTGATGGCATGGATGAAATGGAAATATGTACAGAAACTTGCCCAACTGTTCCAATGGACGAGCTAAAAATTACATTGCTTTTGGTTTGGTATCATCAAATCTCATCATCAGAAGATAACTCCTTTGAAAACGAAGTGAAAATTTCAACAACCTTCGATTTATATTCTCACATTACAAAACTTGGAGAAAGACCTTCAAAACCAGTGCTTGTCGACATTTTGCCTGGCAGCAGATGTCATCTTGGAAATGCAAAAGATAGCATTTGGATTACTGAACGAAATGCAATGATAGACCGTAAATCGAAAGGCTCCAATGAGGTGATCATGTGTGAGAGTGACGGAATCGTAAGAGAAGGCCTTAGCTCCAATTTTTTCATCGTTGACTCTTCAAATCGAGTGGTTACTGCTAAAGAAGGAATTCTATTTGGAAGCGTGCGTGGATTGTTAATTCCAACCAAGGATCAAGCTGAGAACATTATGGAAAATACAGGAACTCAAAATGACTCCTCTGATACTGTGCTTAAATCTGACGAGTATTGTGAAGAAACCCCCAACTTGGCAGATATTTTGGCATGGAAAGAAGCTTTTATCACAAGCACCTCAAGACTTGTTTTACCAATCAAGACCATGAACATTGCAAAAGAATGCATTGATGAAATTCTTCCTCGTGAAAAATCTCAAGAAATTAAGCAAAGTGGAAGGCTTCAAGATTGTGGAACGTATTACTCTTTTACTTTTGAGAGTACACAATTTTCAGAGAATTTAAATCGGTTACTGATAAGCAAAATGCAAACAATGAGCATTAAGGTGGTGACCTCCGATTCATGCCATTGATCAAGCTTGCAACAATCGATTTTTAGAGCTTGCATAAAAGCTCAAACTTTATCATCCATTTGTTGCATTTCTTGTGCAATGTAAATCATGGGAACCTTGTTTACATTTGTTTTCATTTACAATAATTGGTTCAATACTTGTACTTGTTGCAGATGACCTAGGTAGCGACCCTATGCTCAAATCATCATCCACCTTTGATTTAGTGTCCGCAAATTGTGATGACAGTTTCATCATTCTCCTCACTCTTGAAAATTGCTTCACTCCAGAAATGCATAAAATAATTCCAGCAAAAAGAAGACAAGGACCAAATGAACCCAAAATGATGGGAGCCAACAAAGGGATACAATATTGCTCCTTCCTACAAAATACATAGAAAATTCCTAAAAGAATGGCCAAAATGGCTCCGATGAACCCCAAAATAAGAAAAACACATCCTGTGATGATCGTTGAGAGTGGATGAGAATAAGGTCCGTCTCGAATGGTGGAAACGCCCGCTATTCTACTATGGTACAGCATTGAGAGTGGTTTTTTATCTTGAAGAATGCAATCTCCTTCTAATTTCGTGGTGACGAATTAGTTTGGACAATTGTCAAATTGGGAGAACCGATAATATTTCAGAGTTCGGTAGTTCAACAAAGATAGAATGTTGCTTTCATTAGTGGCCACAGATGTGATCTTTGCTATCCAGACAGTTTCGTTGTCCAGAACTTGAGCTCGTTCACGAGTGGTGGATCAGCAATGCAATAAATTGTGTGATCTGGCACATTCTTCAATGCAATGATTGAGAAGGAGCATTGCTACCGAATACTTCATGCAAAAGGCACTTACCGATAATGGAAAGGAATTGATTGAGAAAATATTTACTCATTATCTTTACAAAATATTTAAAAATTTATATTCAAAAGTTTACATTAAGATACAACAACCTTCATTTTTATCTCCTCTTGAACCTGTGTTTTGATTTTGTGTAGAAGTTGCATTCTTGTTCGTAGTGTTTGAAGAATTTCCTTCAAGGTCTGATTTCTGAAGAATTCCCTGATATAGTAATCCAGCTTCACTTGCTTTTTTGAATACTTCTGTTATTCCTTGTTGTGTTTTACCACTGCACATACAGAATGCATAGGCACCTAGCTTTTTGGCTAGAGATTCTCCTTCTTCTTTGGTGACTGGTTTTTCACCATTGTCTTCAAGTTTTTTAAGAATTTCAGGTTCTGTGATGAGTGTGTGTTGAACGAATCGTTTGGATTAAAAAAATGGTGAAATAAAGTGTTCGGTTGTTGTGAATCCATTCATCATCATGGATAATATTTCATGGTTCATTAGAATTTCACAAAGCCAAAAATTTCACAAAAAGAGTCCACACGTGTTATGAATAAATTGTAAGTTAATTTGACATTCATTAAAACCACTTGATGTCTTCAATAATTCCAATACTTACCTGAAACGCAATCCAATTTCGTTCCACACAACACAAATGGCACATCTTTGGAGAACGTTTTAATTTCCTTAATCCAATGTGATTCCACATTCTCAAAACTTGATCTACTGATCAGTGAGAAACAAATTAGAAAAACATGAGTTCCCGGAAAAGCGAGAGGACGCATTTGTTCATAGTCGTCTTGACCAGCTGTGTCCCAAAGCCCAAGTGACACGTGAATATTCTTATTGTAAACCATTGTGCAAGTCTGTGAGTAGAAGTGACAATATTTCACACCACACACACGAAGGATGATATTAACGTGACAAGTAATTGTGTGTATTTTGAATATTTGTAAATGAAGTGTAAAGACGTATGAATATTATTTCATTGTCATCATCATCATTGAAAAGTACATTATGTTTGAAAATGTTATCATCATGTGATGATATTCACACAAATTGTTTCCATATAGAATATATATTTCCAAATTCAATTCTAAACAACAACAATTCCACACTTACATAATTATCAAAAACAGTTGGCACATAGTCTTCTGGGAATTTATCAAGAGCATATGACATGAGGAGAGATGTTTTACCTATTGTTAGTTGTCATCAAGAAAGAATCATCACAATGAGAAATGAGAACATGAATGTTGGTGTGAGAGAGAATTTTCATTAGAAACACCATCATGGCCATAATAATAATTATTATTATCGTTATTCATAGAAGTTGTTGTGATGACGATGGTGATTGATTATAAGTAAAAAAGTGAAAAGTAATAATAGTGTTGATGTTATTGTTGTTGAAATGTCAATTGTTTTTTTCATTACTTACCAACTGCTCCATCTCCAACCGTCTATTCATTGGTTCATCATGTTTGATGGAGTATAAATACAATGAAAGGATAGTGAATGATTCGATATGACACATTCAAAAGAATTCAAAAGGATTATATACAGGACATAAGAAACAAAGTGATGGTGGCGAGACATGAAAATGATTATTGACAGCAGTCACCGGACAGATTTGGAAAATTCCGAAGACCATGAAACACACGATAGAGAGGTCATGATGATGAATGTGTGAAATAGAGAAACAAAATGATAGTCATCATCATTATTGTCATTCATTATTAGACTCACAACTCTCTTGTTACCTACCATCAATTTGACACTTTCCATGCGTGGCTGACTCATTTTTTTTCGTAGTGCTGTCAAATGTCTTGTGAAATTGGAACATGACAAAAGGAAGAAAAGCCAAGGTGATGATGAAGATCACTAATCTCACAACCAGGCAATAAGGAACAAACAAATATTGTCATCCAACAAGAAAGAAAATAATTGGAAATTGAAATTAAAAAAATGAAACATCGATTCAAATTTTTCATTCCTAGTACAACCACAACTCAATCGAGAACATCATCATCATTCAAGCCTTGTTTGCATTTTAAAAATTCTCTCATACGGAATGAACAATATTTAACTCAATGCAATGATCGGAAATGTTATTCAATGATATCCATTGATAACATACCGTACACCTACCAAGTACAACCATCTTCTCATGCTCATTTGATGAAAGAAGACGAAATTGCACCTGGATTTACTTTGGAAGAGTTCAAACAAAGACATTATAATTTATTTAATTTAATGAAAGAAAATTCTGTATTGATTTTAGGATCAAGAAAAGAATATTTCATGTCTCCAAATGTTAGATATCCCTATAAGCAGGACTCTAGTTTTTATTATTTAAGTGGTGTGAGCGAACCAGATTGCTTTTTAGTGTTCAAGAAGACAGGATCTGGAAATTCAATAACTTTATATGTGAGAGAAAAAAGCAAAAAGGAATTCTTTCATGGGGTTGTCAATGGAGTTCAATCATTGCAAAATCTTTGGGGAGATTATCTTCAAGTAAAGCAAGTGAAAGCATTTATAAGAGATTTACAGTCACTTGTTAAAAACTTCAACACGCTTTACTATGATCCTGACTATGATGAAAGATTGTCACAAATAATTGTCGAGAGTGGAGGAGGAATTGAATTCTTTAAAGGCCCTATGCAAAAGTACAAAATTTTCTATCCTGAAAGTTTAATTGCCACTCTTAGGAGCATTAAATCCAAGGCAGAAATTGATCTCACAAAACGATGTGCACACATCAGTGCTCAAGCTTTTATTGAGCTGATGAAACAGATTAGGCCTGGAATGTCTGAAGCACATGCAGAAGCCATCTTAGAGTTTCAATGTAAAATGAGAGGAGCACAGAGACTTGGTTATCCACCTGTAGTTGCCTCTGGGGATAGAGCAAATATCATACACTATCTTACCAATAATCACATTATGGAAGATGGAGACTTGATTAGAATTGATGGAGCTGCTGAATATTATGGATACATGAATGATATAACACGAACATTTCCTGTGAATGGTAAATTCACACCGATTCAGAAAATGCTCTATCAAGTTGTGTTGGATATTCAAAAGAAATGCATCAATTATCTGAAAAAGCACTTAACAGAAACGATAACGATTAATTCTTTCCATGACTACTCTATGTATCTCACTCAGGATGCATTAGCTGAACATTTTAATATTGGTTTGGGTTATGGGAAAAACAATGCTGAGTCATGTCAACTCATTGAAGAGGTTCTGTATCCTCACATGATTGGTCACGCTACAGGAATGAACATCCATGAAGATGTTCCAGGAAGAGACGACAAATTGGGTCCTGGAATGATCATCACTTGTGAACCAGGAATTTACTTTTCAAAACAAGTGAAGAATTACATACCTAATCCTCAATTGCATGGACTTGGTGTTCAAATTGAAGATGACATTTTACTCACAGAAAATGGTATAGAAATTCTCACACATGAAACACCGAAAGAGGTCGAAGAAATCGAACATATTATGAGCATTAGTAGCAAGACACCGTCAATTCCGTTTTCGTTTTAATCCACACTGGCGCCTCATTGTAAACTATTTTTATTTGGTTGACCAAAATTTTCATAAATTCTTGTTGAAAAAAAATACGCCAAAACTATCCTTCATCATGCCTGCAAAAGCCACCAAGACCCAAGTCAAGAAGGAAATTGCTGAACCAAAGACCTCTCAACAAGTTGAGAAGAAGAGAGAGCAAGCAAAGAAGAATCTTTCCAAGATCACCAAGAGAGGAAAGGGAGTCAGATCCCACAAGGTCTGGACTTCTGTTACTTTCAGAAGACCAAAGACTCTCAGATTGGCCAAGAAGCCAAAGTATGTGAGAAAGTCCATTGCCGGAACTAACGACCTCGATACCTATCAAATTCTCCAATATCCACCAACTCTCCAAAATCCAAAGGTTTCCAAGGCTATTGAAGATAACAACACCATCGCTTTCGTTGTTGACTTGAAGGCAAACAAGAAGAACATCAAGAAGGCTTTCGAGGAATTGTGCAAGACAAAGGTCCAAAGCGTTAGAACTCAAATTACTGCTAAGGGAAGAAAGTTGGCTTTGATCAAACTCCCATCATCAGTTGAAGCAGTCGATATTGCCACTCAAATTGGCTTGTGCTAAATCATAATTATATTAAAAAATCATTAATTCAATTTTTGTGGTTTTTGAGGTTTATGTTTCTTAGAATCGTACGTCTTCATTCAACTCCTCTTCTGGAGGTTCTGTGAGTCCAGGAGCAAGAATTGCAACATTGTTTCCATTTAAGATAAGGGAAGGAAGCTTGGTTTCTTTCCGAGAGCCATCCACGCTATAGGAGTATTCCGTGACATTGTCTAGAATCATGTCTTATAATTGGACGAATATTCAAGCATCACAATGATTCATGGTCACAATTATGTTCAAACAAGAACAGTGTGTTGTTAATCCAATAATAAAATCATCACATGTTTGATTTACATACTAATATAATCATCAAATCCTCTAAGCGTTCCTACCAGTTCTTTATCATCTTTCATCAAGACAAATATCGATGATCCGATACATTTATCAATCAATTCTAATCATATGAATGAATTATAATAATTTTTCTCCGTGTTACATAATCCATCCCGATCACGACCATTATTTTACTTGCCTAAAGGTTGAACCACTGGAATTGACGGTTGCTGTTGTTCTGTCATTTTTTTGACTGTCACATTCCACAACACACGTGAAGGTTTCGTTTTGACAAAGTCAAAGGATTTATTGATCAACTTCATCATCGACTTGCATTGTACCCTCTTTTGATGGATACTTGGATTTATGCTGAGGAAGAATTCCAGTTGGATTATTAAGAGCCTTAACAATTTCCACACTCATCGCTGAATTTTGTTTGTGCGTCTTGCAGACCTGTTTGAGTTGTTGTTTTTGTTCCTTACTCAACTTGGATCCATAATAGGTGGCAAAGGCAAGAAGTGTTTGATACCAAATGTTATGAATATTGGAGGCCTCTGGTGAGATATTTAAAAATCGAGTAAAGTATGAAACAACCCCTTGAATCACTTGAGTTGGAAGAACATATCTCTTATCTAAAAACACCTTAATAAACATGCAATTAGTGTTGGAATAGTTGAGAGATGCAATTTTCAAAAGAGCAGCTGCAGAGTGCATTACTGGAATTGTCATCTTTTTCAGAATTCCTCCAATAATATGAGCTTCCTTAACAGTACATTTTCCATCTTCACATAAAGGTATGATGAATCCTTTAAACAAGGCAGCAGGTCTCCATGTAGCTTTGATAATAGATTGATAAAGATGATGGTTTAACTTGAGTTGCTTACGGGACACAAAGTGAGAAGTAGGGCCAGATTTCTTCTTATTTGAAGTCAAAATGTCATTTCTCACTCTTGGCAATAAGATCATATTCAAAAATCGTTGTGTGATAAAGTCATTTCCTTGAGAAACAAATAGCTTTGTGGCTTTGTATACTGATTGGGTGGACCATTTGTCTGGTTGTGTTAAATAGAGAATTTCTTCCCAATTGGAGAGAGTTGGGATAATAGCAAATACCTTTGGTAATTTTCCAGATCGATACTTTTTCAGAATTGTTCCCAAAGCTCTATAAGATGCAACAACTTTCTTGTGCAACTTTTCTTCCAAAGTCTTTTCATCAAATTGAAGAGACGAAACCAAAGTTGGATCTGTTTTAGCTTGTTGTGATTGTTCCTTTTCCTTGATTTTTTGTAAAATAACATCGGAGATGTTAATGGGTTCTCTGTGTTCATCATCTTCTTTGTCTCCTAAAAAGAAATTCAATGCATTCTCATCTTCTTCTTCTAATTCAATTTCTACATATTCTGGTACTGATTTTTTCTTATTGTTTTTTGTTGTTAATGTTGATGTTGGTACTTCCAAAATTGAACTAACTTGTTCATCATCATCATCATCCATTTCAAACTCGGCCTGTTGTTTCTTTACCACATTTTCAATTCTTTGTGTTGTTTTAGCATCAAGAAAATCTTCTTCTGCTTCCTCATCGCTATCATCAGCTTTATAATCATCTCCGACAATCTTTACTTTCGAACCCAAAGTTCTCTTTTGAATTCTTTTAAGAGCTTTTCTTTGATTGTTGTTGTTTTCTTGTCCTCCTTCTTCATTATCTAAATATTCTGTATGAAGAGGCTTTCCTTGTCGTTCCTTGATGAGTTTCTTGATGCGAGAAGAAGAAACGTCCTTTGGCATGTTGTAGGTATTTTTCTTTTCAACAATTCAAAAATTATTTGAACTTTTAATATCTTTGTTTGCCAAAGTATTCTATCATCTGTTGAAAATGTTAACAAGAAGAATACAGCAATGATAGAATACAGCAGAAATAAAGATCAAATTCAATTTTAGATTATAATACGAATATGATTCATATTTATTATTGTAATTCCTATCATTCATTGACTGACGAAAGAGAGAGAGAAGAAGGCACTTCAGAAAGTCTCGTTCATTCATGGATGTCCCACTTCTGCAACAAGCCTTTCATGCTCTCGGAAGAGAGAATTTCGTATCACCTCTCAGAGTGAGTGGGAGAGAACTCTTGACTCAGAATGTCTATGTTCTGAGTCAAGAATTCTCTCATGATGATCACAACACGGTGTTGTGTTTTCATTAATATCCAATGCGCCTTTGGTGATGGACAATGTTGATATTTCATGTTCATACCCATAAAGCATTGTGAAGAAAGAAGAACAGGAAAAAACGAGCAAAATGTATGTGATCATGAGAGGTGATGAAGCTCTCTCTCTCTTCTGAGCAATCCAAGCAAGTTGAGTGCGGGCCGATCATACCTTTTACTGGTTCATCATGGTGCCTCTTCTCTCTCTTTCGTTTCAATTTTTTGGTTGCTTTCAATCGTCTCATGTGCAAGTTTCAGATGAAAAAATTAAAACGAAAATTGAAATAATAATGATCATCATCAGCTCGAGAATAACGACCTTCAGTAAACCATCCTTACAAAAAAAATGATGATGGATCAAGCAAAGCCTTCATCTCCATCACAAGGGTTCCGATTACCCACCACTCATAATTCGTGGAATACGGCCAAACCAGCCAATAGTAGCTGGAGGGAATTACGTTCATTATCGGGACTTCATGATAACGGAACCAATTCATCAAAATCATTACTCAGAACAGATATTTCAATTGATGACAGTTCCTGTATTTGTGTAAATCAAGAAAATAATTTTGTAATTCAAGGAGGAACAAGCGGACGATTTCAATCGATCAAAGCTCTACAAAAACAAAAGTTGATGCGAAACAATTTTCAAGTACCACAACAGTACTCGATAAGAAGGATTCAACAAATCCAGCTGCAAATGTTTTTTCACCTACTTTCACTGGAAGATTTCCTGGACCAATCCATTGCATGGATATGCATCACGATCTCCTTCTTGTCGGAAGTACAAATGGAGATTGTTTTTTAAAAACATTCGATGTGACAACAGAGAAGAATAATTGTTTGTTAGATATTTCTCCCAATAATGTTGTTAAGTGTAGAACATTTTCTCACCCAAAACTCAAAAAAACAGACGCCCTGCTGACTGTACCATCTCCAGAACAATACACTTTTAGCACAAAAATTAATAACGTTCAAATTCAACCATGTGAACAACCAACCACGTTCCATACTATTGAGAACAATAGGTTACATGTTTGGTCATTTGAGAAAGAGGATGCTCCAATTCAAACAATACAAGGATCAAGAAGTCCACTTTGGTGTAGCTCATGGTCAGTCCACAATAATAATCTTATTCTGATTGGAGGCGTTAGCAAATCTGTAAAACTATTAGATATCAGAAGTATGTCAACCTCAAACACTAAAGAAAGCATGCAATTTTCTCATGGAGATACCGTCACTGATGTAAAATGGAATCCTCTTCTTCCTCACTGGTTTGCAAGTTGCTCAACAGATGGGTTAATTTATATTTGGGATCAAAGATATGCAAATGAACCTATGAAGATATTAGAAGGACATAACAATATTGTTAAAAAGTGGCCTGGTCTCATTCGCATGTTGAAATTTTAGCTAGCGGAGGAGCTGATCATTGTGTAAAATTGTGGAGCTTAAGACTTGAACCACATCATGTATTATCCACATTGGATAAGGGCTACTTTACTGACTCCATTGTTGGCTTGCATTTTTCTTATACTCAACCAAATCAATTCTTTGCTCAGTCTGCAAGTGGAGAATTAATAGCAGTTTCTATAAGCCCTGAACAAATTAATTCTCTTGTTCAACATCGATTAGAGGATGAGAAAACACAGGCTGAAAACGAGGCCATCTCAAACATTGAAACGTTAATTTATCATAGAAACCTAAATCAAGCGTTCCTCGAAGTGGAAAAAATAGCTACAAAATTGAAAGAGCAGAACAAACTTGAAAAAGCGTTAAAATTGTTAGACCTCTGCAAAGTTAGAACAGTGTCTGAGAATGTAAAAAGTAACAATCCTAAAGCTAGATTTAAGAAAGAACTGGAAGATTTTTCGTATTATATCCCTCCTAATATATCCATCCTGAAGTATAAAAACCAGACGAAAAAAGAATTGAAGATTTAGTATTGAATTGTAAAATACTTCGATTCGTACAGAAAAATGAATTTATGGAAATTGCTGCATTAGAAAAAAGGTGACCGAGCTCATCAAGACAGATAGTCAAAGAATTGAAATTTCCACAATTAAGGACGTTATTAATCTGTATTTAGCACATGACTATCGAAGAGGAATGACTCTTGCAATAGACATTGCTGAGATATTCCGAAAGGATGGCGAAAAGTTTACCGAGTATATGAATATCGTGAAGGAAGTTCTCAGTCCAACCATATTTGAAGTCACTCACAATCAAGCTCTTCGAGAAAGTGGCTATAGAAGTTTAGCAAAGGCTTTTCAAAATCAAGATTACATCATTGAGCAGCTGAAACTCCAAAGAGATGTTTTTGTGCTTTATGGGAGTTTTCTGACAGTTCTTCCTCGATTATCAAATTTGTTGGAGACACATATTTGGATATTATTTCAGTGGCAGTCCTTAGGGCTTATTTGAATGCTTTATTGTGCCAACAACTCTATGACAAGTTTTTTATTGTATGCACAAAGTTGCTCCAAAAGATTCAAGGATATGACATTGCTGTTATTGTGCGTGACTTGATGAAAAATGTAGCATTTGCAGACTTGATGAAATTATTGAATTCTGAGATTTTAAATAGTGAGGTAAGTGATCAACCCATCGATTGACTTCTAAATAGTTGTCATACCATTTATCTAACTATAGTTCCTAAACACCATTGAGACAAAATCCTCTATATCTGCAGCTCGGTCCTTTCCTGCTGCAAAGTGTTTGGATTTCATCATTCAAACCAAGCAGACAGTATTCGCTGTAATTCGTATTACCATGTTTTGCCCAGTACTTCCTTCCTATATGAATACCATAATTCAAGCAACCATCCAAAAGTTAGTGGTGATGTACGAGTTTGCATTTGAACAAATCGGTAAATCAGTTCAGCATCAAAATCAAGGCAGAAAGTTCGCAGAAGAAATCCTCAAACGATTCGAGCTGAAGAAACTTGCTTCGAAGGATGATTTGCCTGACCATCAAGCAGAAATAGTTAAATTACTTCCAATTCTTGAAGAATTTTTGAAGAACTAAGGAACAATAAATTTAGCTCCATTTGAATTTTTAGATCTTTCCGTTGTTCCACTTGTGTACGATCTATAAATTGAGATGAGATGCGTTGGCAATGTTCCTTTTTTCCTGGACTTGGACATAACTGAAATGGATTTGTCTGCCATTTCCTTTTCTTCGTCGAAAGATAAAACTTCTTTTTTTCTTCCTCTTCTTCTTGTCCCCAGTGTCTTTGAAGTTTGACAGAATTGAATTCTCAGTAGTGTCCAGCAAGCTTTGAACATTGAATACCTTTTTCTCGATGATGGATTGAATCGTTTGTAGTTGCTGCTCGTCTGACACTATGTGAATCTAAAGTTGATTTTGGGGAATATTCAAACGAGTTCTTTTCAGCCTCAGGAATGTTAGCGAAATTTGTGTTCCACATGGATAATGCCTGTAAAACAGAGATTGAGGGCTTTTCTTCCTCCACATTCTTTTTAATATTCTTAGCAGTATTTCTTGCACTTTCAATCATTTCTTCTTTTGCTTCCAAAAGCTTGCCTAGCTTTCTGGGTGTTAAATCGATGTCCACATGCTTAAGGGTTAAAGCTCGAGACCTCCATTTTTCCATTTCGTTAAGAGAAGTTTTGTATTTTTCTGTCATTCTGGCCAGTTCAGAGGACATGACATCCAGTTCTGTGTGCAATATTTCGTTATCAGCATTTACAGTTTTAGTTTCATAAATATCCTCTTCCAATAGTCTGATTTTTTCTTGCTCTTTAAGAAGTTTCATTTGCAGGTCTCTAATTGTTTCTTCTTTTTCAACAGCTCTTGTTCTAGACCTTGCTTTTCTTTTCTCAATTTTTCGTTATGGGAGAGTGTTAATATTACTTGGTCTAAGAAGAGCGAAATATCTGAAGGTGGGCGATTTGCTGTTATCTCTTTGAAAATTCCACTTTGCAAAATTGTTTCCCAAACAGTATCATTCTTTTGAGAACAATCAAAATGCAGCGACATTTCAGATAGCTTCTCATTGAAGTCCAACTCTAATTGCTTTTTCCATTTTTCCAGCTCGGCAGCTGATGTTTGTGATTCAATGTTCTTGACCTGTGCCATCTTTTCTAATTGTGAATGCAAACTCTTCACTATTGTTCTTAATTCTGCATTTTCTTTTTCATAGAATTTATAAATGTTCATCTCGCTTTCCAATTTGCTTTTTTCGATTGTCAAAGTCTTAATTCTAAATTCGTCCTCCATTTGTTTCGTTTTCATTTCCTCTGCAAACATGTCGAATTCTTGCTTTGATATCACTCGCAGCTTTCTTACTTCTTTTTTTAAATCCTTCACTAAAGCTTCTCTCTGTTCTGCTGCTTTTTGTAAAAATTCAATAGCGCTTTGTTGTTCTTCTAATTTGTCTTTAAGAGAATTGTTTTCCGCTCGGAGTGATTCAAATCTTTTAAATTATTGATCTCAGCAAATGAAAAACTTCTGAATACATACTCTGACACTACTTCCTTCACTGATGTTTTCTTTCTAATGGATTCAGCTTTTGATGACACTTTTGATCTCGGAGATGAGGCTGTTGAACTTCTCACTTTAGCTTTTCCTGTTGAGGGATGTGATTCCTGACGTCTTGCTGGATTCAAATCATCAAGAACAACCTCTTGTATCTCCATTGCACCTGGCGACACGGAGAGGTTGGCTTGATTTGCCAATAACGAAGAGGAAGGTCGGCTTGGATGCATTTTATTCGTTGAGGGTAACGTCTTAAAATGGCGGGTTTGGCACGTTTTAAAAAAACAAATCTACGATTTAAAAATCTCGTTCATTTTTCAATAGGGTCCCGCTGAAGCAGGTGTTTGATTGGACTGCATCGGCTCATTTCATCCTATTCCACGTTGTTGTATTTTTAAATATTAATATTGTATCTATTACTACGATACGACAACAATGTACAGAAGTATTCAGAGTCGACCCTTAGATGTCATATTCTCCGGATCATCAAAGGAAAGAATTAAAGGACAAAATCAAATCGTGTATGGCATAGGAGAGTCTACACCGAGCCCTCCTAAACGGCCCAGTTCATTCTCCTCTCAGAGAACAAAAAATTCGTTCAAAAAAACTCAACCCTTTGACACACATTCTTTTGATGCAAACAACAGTTTTAGCAGTAATGATTTGCTTTCATCGATCCGAAGTGCGATGTCAAAGGATGCCAATATCACGGCAAAATCATTGGAACCTTCATTCGAAAAAGCAATATCGCTGGTTACCGATAAATACTCTTCGGACATGATAGAAAGACATTTGTTCGAATTTAGAAAAATATTAGGCCAAAGAGAAATCGGTTTCTTTGTTGATGAGAAAGACGATTTAGTTTTTTTTT